GCACCCTTTTTAATGATGATACTTCCGGGTTGACCTGCATCTTGTACAGCTCGTTCTGGATTGTCGGATTTAATCCGAACCAGAACCTCACCACCTTTTTGCGGTCAGGTATGTTCCCTATCATCATCCATAATTCATTTAACTCAGATAAGTAGTCTCTTACATGTTTATCACCCTGATAACAACGGTATAACTTCTTCCTCTGCTTTGAATGGAAGTCCAGAGGGAAGCAGTAATTGAACAATTCGGTAAAAAATTCCCTTAGTCTCCATTTATTGGGTTTATCTGACACTTGCCTCGTGTAGAAGTCGTGAGCCTTCCCTTTGAGGTAGTGTGATAGTACAAACACTTGTCGCTTTCTGGCGACATTGCCATCTTGTACATATGCTGTTCCTTCGGTGATAAATCGATGGAACGCCCAGGAATCGACTGATCCATCATATTCGGCGGGTGGGATGGGTCTTAGTGTGACCCTCCCCCTGTCTGATTTTTTATCTGACCTCCGTTTCTTAGAGCGATCGTGTTTTCTCTTGGACACCTTTTTCTTTCAAGCACAGGGTTCACTTTCCGAGCTGTCTGAAGATGGGCTATCTGATGTCTCGTCCAAGGAGTCAATTGAGCTCTCGGACGTGGATGATGATGAAACTGACGACTCATCGTCCGAAGGTTCTGATCCTCTGTGTTTCTTTCTAGGTTCAATTTGCTCGAACGCCCGGCCCAAGTAGCTTCTTGGAGCTATCTGGGCCATGGAGTCCAGCACTGCTGGTGAAGCCCGGGTGGCTCTTCTCTTTCCCTCCCTGCTCACCACCTTATTGATGATCCTTTCCACTGGGTTCCTAGTGGGTTTGTCGGTTTTCTTTCTGGCGGGTAAGTCCGCTGTCTTTGCTAGGATTGAGTCCTTCTTCCTGATCTCGCTTTGCAGCTGATTGATCTGCTTTTCAAAGTTCAGGGCTACGCGCTTTTCTGTGGCCCGAACTGCTCGTTCGATCTGAGTCTCAGGGGGTCTCACGGACCCTTGGTCGAATTCCTCAGGATCAGATTCCTGTGGTTCCTTCTGGGACCAATTGCAGGCATCTGCCCATGCTTTCAAAGCCTTTTCCTGGGCTTCTAGGTCCATCTCAGACTCGTCAATATCAATGTTTCCCCAGTTTCATGGGTCCACACCCTTTCGCTTGGATGGTCCTTCTTCCAGGGATGACATTTCCCTGTCTTGGTGTTTGTCTGCCTCAGCATTCCTTCGATCAGGGTGGTGCTGTTTCACTGTTTCAGTAGGCCTAGTCTTGGCCTTCCTTGCTCGGTCAGTCTTTCGGGACTGTTCCTTTTCATATTGATGACATGCCACCTTCTCGGTCTTTCTGCGACGGTGTTCTATCATCGTCCAGGGCACTCCGTCATCCAACTTGTCAGTTGTTTTGCTCATGCTCTCAAGGGGGCTTTCTAGTGTTCTAATAATTTTATTAACAGTCTCTTCCGACAGTTGGGTATCATAACAGGTATTAGCCGTAGCGCTAGGAACACTAGCCAAACGCGATCCAGCACCAGGCTGGGGCGATTCGGGCCTCATCCCTGCCACATTGCTGTATGAGTGGATGGGCTTATGGATGGTCTCGTCAGCTCGAGATGGGGATCTCTCTGCTGATGAGGGTATGGGGGTATCATTAGTTTCTATTATTTTTAAAGGAGACTCACTCAGAGCTCCGGGAATGGTATTGACACTGGTTAGAACCGAGCATTTTGATCGAAGGTTGTATTGAGCAGACATGGTGTGTGATATTGTTAATTGGTTTGTAGTGGTGGGCCTAACCATTACTTCCAGGGTCAACGAGGTATCAGCAGATGAGGTTGTTAAATTCTAGGGTAGACTTCTGTTTGTCAAAAAAGATGTGGCATTGGCTATTTAGCGTGCGAAGCTTGAAGGCAACGACACAGAGAGAAGAATGCTTTTGGTCGAATGACAGGGTAAAAGTCTGGGATTCAGGGGTCCAGGAAACACAAAGGTAAATCTAGTACTCCGACTCGTATATAAGTAAGTATGGCTAGGGCTATATGAGACTCGGGATAAACAGGAAGTAATCTAATGAGATAAGGAGTAGCTAAGTTACCCATATTGAATAAATAAGAGAAATATATCAGTATCACAATGACAGGCAGATATTGAATATAAGCGCATATTCAAGGGGTAAAGTTAGATGTCAAAAGAAAGACAAACATATCAAAGGGACGTGGTACGTGTGGTTAAGCGCAGCCATTACAAAAAGGGTCCCACCTATTACGATACTTGGTCGGACAAAATACCCCAGAATGGTACTGGACTGCGCAATTTCTATGATACAGTATACTGCTCATTTGACACTGAATCTGACACCCTTCTGAGCTCACTGCTGGTATGACTATTTATCACCAACTCATCATGGTATGTTTAACATTGTCTCTGTTACTGATTATGCCAGCATGAGTTCTGCATTAGTACTCGCAGGTTTCAACATGCTCCACTAGTAACCCATTGTTGCTTTATGGTTGCTGGAATGTGACAGCGGTTTCCAACCATGGTGAGGATGGTGTCCGAAGAGAGTGTCGAGTGAGAAAGTTGCACAGTCCAGTGCCATTTGGGGGTATTTCGCCTGACAAAGTATTGTAATAGGTGGGACACTTTTGTTTGTCCAGCTCCACAAGTAAACAAAAGCGGTGGATGAACAAAAATGGATTCTGGTCTATTGATATGAAAGTAGCTGTGAAAGTCCAGAGGTATACATTTGTCATGGCTGCAGAGGAATGGTTCTATCTCCGCTTCAATCTGTGGTCTTCCTCATTACTAGTAGTAGGAACTTGGAAGTAGACATGAACAGTGGTTTCACGAGGGGCAATGGCATGGGTTGAGTTGAAGTATTCGCGAGTTGGTAGTGTTCGGCCTAGCAGGTCGAGGGTGATAGAGTCCATAAAATATATTCTGCTAGACGTTACATTCAACATACCTACAGAAGAGATTCTGTGAACCCTACTGTTCACTGATGTTGAGAAGAACAAGTCATGCTAGGTGAGCATTTACCAGTGAGATGGGTTGATGACAGAAATAGAAGAACATCATCGAATGCAGGCAAATTCACAGGTGACACATCTATACAGACTGTACTTAGCGCTCTGAGGGATGCGCATTAACTAGCATAGTTCGGGCAAATTTGGATGCCCTCTACCTAGCTCTAAGGGTCTATCTATTGATAAAGGATGAGTCGAGTACCTCTTTGTATCTATGTAAAGGTCTGAGGAAGATCTGGGTTTTCCATAACATTGGCTCCACAGAAGACCTGCATTTCCCAACACGTCTGAGAACCTATCTCTGTTGCCAAGGGGACTACTAGATGTCCACTAGAGTTCATGCATTTTGGGGGTAACGTCTATTACTCCACAACGCACAAACATAAAAAATTAATTCTTTGACAGTTCGATAGCCTGACATCGAAAGTACAACATCTGCTAGTTTTTTTTTTGAAACTCGACGTGTTGAGTCTGGCAGAGAGTTATTGTGCAGAAAAGTGCATTTTCCCTAGAGTTTGTGCACTTTGTCACACCATGTCACATGTCTGCCACAATGCCTGTTCACACTCCGCAGTGTCCACAACGTACTACTGTGTTGCGAGGACTTCAATTTGGCATTGGTGTTTTTGTGCCGCATTTCGGCATTGCGGAGTTTCAATTTACACAGTCTTGATGTAACTTTGGATAGATTGTCATGTCTGAGGCATATTTCTTTTATTGCAGATGATCCTGACAAGCATGTGGCCCCAGAGAATTTTTTTTAGTATTCTCTCATCATGTATAACCATCATGCCACATTCCAGAATTTTAAGTGGTGATCTGACCTTTAGAGCGAGCCTTCTATGCACAAAACTAGCCTCCAGCACCAATAAGTTGTCCATGGGATGAGATCTACTTCGATTTTCTTCAAAAAAAAACATGGCACTGTGTATTATGTTGGGGGGAGCCTAAATGCAACATACATACGGATTCCGTGCAGAATTGCGTGTGCTAGAGTCAATGTGCGAACTCTTGGGACACACAGACTCGTGGGACTATCTAAGGTAGGGCTCTTGCAAAACTGACCAATCGTGACCTGCTGTGACTGAACACATAAGCACTGGAATGGCTGGTCCTGAAGCTGTGCTACCGGCCACGTACAATGAGATTAGAAGATTAGATGTAGTAAGTAGTACAAGTGATGGTATGTGAAGTGTATGTAGCAATGTACGAGTATGTGGTATGTGATTAATTAATTAGGATATGAGCTTATGCAATTTGCTTCTTGTCGAGTTCCTTCAGTATAGGGTTCTGCATGGGTACGGGTGACCCATATGGGTCATGGGTATGGGTACCATCGGGGTACGGGTACGGGTTGCCTTTTGTGGTACCTGTACCCTCACCCGTACCTGTACCATGGGTTGACAACCAAAAATGATATATATTGCTACCTACTACAATGCAGGGAGAACTCCGAGTCTGAAACTATGCAGCTGTCAAACCTTAACTAAACAACCCCATATCGCAACTGAAACCTTGTCACACAAACTAACACTCAATATGTTTGAGACAGCAGAAAAACAGGTCACAAAAATGACAGAGAAGGCTAAGGCAGCCCTCCAGACTTCCAGCAAGAAGAGGAAGAATGATACAAGCAGCATCAGTGGCAGTGCTAGTGAGCCCAAGAAGGCAAAACCTAACCTGCTCAGTGGAAATTATAATGATAGAGCCACAGAGCCACTCTCACCTTCACCGCCAACATCGGATGTCATCCCAGTCCCCAAGCCCTGGGCCATGCAGTTGTATTGGGCCATCGTCTGAACTGAAGAAGAGGAGGCTGCATTGTATGATGATGCCATTGAGATCAGCAACCAGAGCAGCAGTGATGGCAACGAGCCATTGCACCAAGAGGAGAGTGCAGAGAACGAACTCAGTGAGCTATATTGATTTGAAGGTTAATCAGTGTTAACCATAGAATAGTGAGATTAATGAAAGATTGGGTCTCACCTATGTACATGTTCTTCCACCCAGAGCCACGCATTGTTGTCATTGGCAGACAGCATGCATACAAGTTCAAGTGCTGTTCAAAAGGCTGCAAAGCAACAACCTGGAGATTCCTTGACAAAAAGATGCACAATCCACTGGAAATATGCGCAAGCATGTGAAGGTATGCTGGGGTGATGATGTCCTTGCAGCCGCTGATGATGCAAAGGATGCCAATGAGGCGCGCACCAAGATAGTTGGAGGTATCCTACACAATGGGTCAATCACTGTGTCATTCGAGCGCAAGGGGAAAGGAAAGGTCACATACTCTCACCATCAAAATATGAAGGCCAAAACACAAGGGTTTTCAGTCCCTTATGAAGACTGGAAGACCAGAATACTACATACCATCACCATCAACTGTATCCTGAGATGTTCAACAAGTCTTTGTACACACATGCGAACATATCGCTAAGATGACAAAGGTTAGATTAAGAATTAATCAATGATACCCAAAAAAAAACAACGCACCAGGAATATCCAGGGAAACTCAACTTTACAACAGATGGTTGGACTGCCATGAACCATCAGGCATTTGTGGCTGTTTCAGCACACTTGGAACACAATGGGAAGCCGCTAAGTCTTCCATTAGATATCATCAAAGTTGCAAAGGTTTGAATCACTCACAGATCATATAAAGACCGTCTTGCTGATCCAGATGCAGTCTCACACTGGCGAAGAACTCGCAGTGACATTTGCAAAGGTCCTAGAAGATTTTTGTATATCAGACAAGGTGAGTAAATGGGCTGGGGGATGCAATTCAGATACAGACTCACCATTCATCCACAAATCCTTGGCATTACATGCAACAATGCTGCCAATAACACTGTGATGGTGGACAACCTTGCATATTCTCTTCCCTCCTTCCCTGGCACAGCAAACCATACAAGATGCTTCCTGCACACCATCAACCTTGTTGTGAAGTCGTTGATCAAGGAGTTTGATATGACCAAGAAAGATGTGACACGGGCACTCAACAATGATAGCAATGACACCAGTGAAGACTTGGAGAGCGATTGGCAAGAGGATGATAAATTGAATGCGGACATCACAGACTGCAGTGCTGGCGATGATGGGCTTGGAGACAATGAGGATGGATGGGTTGATGAAGTAAATTTGCTGTCTGGTCATGAGCGCAAGCAACTACAGCATGATATATGTCCGATTAAATTAGTTTTAGTGAAGGTGAGTTAGAACAAATTGCGCACCTTTGAGACTAATAGCCCATTATGTAGTTGTGCAAGGTCACTTTTAAACTGATACACTCCACCACCGTTCTTCTCCCTGCCTGGCACGAGGCCCTCCATTCATTGGACATGCCTTGGAGCATCGCAAAGCAGTCAATGTTGTAATGCAACGCCAGGACCTGGGACTCCACAAGTTTGAGCTGATAGATGAGGAGTGGGAAATTGCTGGCCAGCTGAGAGGCATGCTAAAGGTGCGCTGATTTGTAAACAAACCATGGTCACTGAATGACTAATTCCCATGATTCAAGATTCCCAAGGACACCACACTTTTCTTCTTGTGCTTTTTACACCAAATCTTGCCACTGTTATTCCAGCGATGGACCTCATCAATGACAAACTAACAAGCTACTCACATGACCACAAATATCTACCTGCAATTTGTGCTGCTGTCCGCCTTGCTAAGAAGACTCTTAACAAGTACTATGAGCTCACAGGTACTATGAGCTCACAGATACATCTGAAGTCCACCACATTTCTATGAGTGAGTTCTTTTACATGATATACTCAGTCAATCACTAATCATTATAATCATAGTCCTACATCCTCGTCATAAGCTATCATACTTCAAGAACGCAGGTTGGGAGGACGAGTGGGTGGACACAGCAAAAGCCCTTGTACATGACAAATTTGAGCGATCCTATGAGCACACAATTGTCAATGATGACACGACGGACGATGAGGATAATGGACTTGGAGTTCCTGCAGACAAGAAGCTGACAAAGGGAGATTCATCCATGGTATGTTTTTTTATTGATTTCTTTGCTGGTACTGACACTATTACAGAGCAAGAACATCTTTGATCATTTACCAGCCCTCGTGCCACCAATAGTGACGGATCTCCACAATGAGTTAGACCATTATCTCAGTGCTGATGTGGAACACATCACTGATGCCATTGCATGGTGGCATGAATGCCATGGTTCTTTCCCTTGTCTCTCACGAATGGCCCTTGATTATTTAACAATCCCTGGTATGTCTCATTTCCTGATGTGTTACCTACCAGCACATTAACGAGGTGTCTGAGTCAGCTACTTCAGTTGATGTTGAACGCTTGTTTAGCCAGGGCCAACTTTTACTCTCTCATGTTCAGTCACGACTTTCCGCTCAGTCAACATGTGCACTGCTTTGCCTTGGATTCTGGAGCTGTCTTAATCTTGTGAAGAGTGAGGATATCATGAATGTCAGCTTGTTGCCTGATCTCAAAGGGGAGGAAGAGGACTTAAAGGATGGGTGGGACCATATTGAGATCGAGTAGCTGGTCCTTTTGTGTCATAGTAGATTATATGAATTTTGCAAGATATCTACAGGTATGGGTTTTTGCTGGGTACAGGTGCAGGTATGACCTCTGGTACCCTGGGGTTTACCCATGCAGATCCCTACTTCAGTATGCTGTCAGGCAGCATGCAGTGACCATGGTATCTTTTATTTGCCCATGTTGCTTGCTTTCTATTCAAACCTTTTTGATATCCATCAAGGAACCGTGAGGCCTGGTTGGAAAACCTTTGGCTGGTGTGTAGGTTTAATTCAAACGAGTCCAAACAACACTCACCGGCACATGCACTTGATTGGAATGGAGTCAAGGGCCTTATGGACATTGGCTTCCATTTGTTCATCCTTCTTCATGGGTGGATATATGTCATGAATTCCAAACACAAATCACTTTTCATTTCTCGGTTTTCCTTTGGTTACTTCTAGTTCCCGAGCCGGTCATGTGACTTCACTTCCTGTCACATCTTCACCTCTTCACATATCACCCGTTGTATCTCCGATTGGTTCCCCAACTCCATGGGCTAGAACAATCTCACTTCCAGAAGAAGTACCGGTTGGATCTTGGGCTTCTATTTAGTCACTGTCTGACTCATCGCTTATATATCATGATGTCATGCTTAGTCATCCGCAGTATTGTACAACTCTTTTCTCATTGGCTGATTTCTTTCATACTCGGATATCTCCTATTGTTATGACCAGAGTTCATCGAATGGCAAAGTCTGACAACAACCACTAGGACTCGGTCAAGAGTGATGATGAACAATGATAGGATTGAGCATGAACATCTAAGTCACTACAACAGTAGGAAACGAAGAGGTTGAGTCTAAGGAGTACTTACGCTAACTACCCTACTTTTATACATAACATTGAATAGGAGTCTGAAAGAAATCAGCCAATGAGAAAAGAGTTGTACAATACTGCAGATGACTAAGTATGACATGATGATATATAAGCGAATGAGTAAGACAGCAACTAAACAGAAACCCAAGTTCCGACCAGTTCTTCTTTGGGAAGCGAGATTGTTCTAGCCTGTGGAGTAGGGGAGCCAATTGGAGAAACCACAGGTGATATGTGAAGAGGTGAAGGTGTGACAGGGTGAGGAGTCACGTGACCGGTTCAGGTATTGGAAGTAGCCGAAGGAAAACCGAGAAATGAAAAATGGTTTGTATTAGGAATTCGTGACACCTATTCAATGTTATGTATATAAGTAGGCTAGTTAGCGTAAGTACTCCTTAGACTTAACCTCTTCATTCTCTACACTTATAGTAGGCCTAGACGTTCATGCTCAAATCTATCTTGTTCATCATCATTCCTCTTGACTGAGTCCTAGTGGTTGTGTGTTAGTCTTTGCCATTTGGTGAATGCTAGTCATAACAATATAACTGGTACAGTCTTTTTGCATATCCCCAACACTGTTCAATGAAGTTGAGCTCGCAGTGGAATTTCGGGAGGATCATATGCTTGAACCCCCATGCATGGCAGTGCTCTGTTCTTCAACAGCAACACTGAGTAGCCCCTTCTGGACATCTGAACTTTGGACACTGGGCTTTCAGCTTCGAGACATTGTACCCCCTCTCCTGTAAGATTTCTGCCATTGTATGTTGGAAAGAACATAGGGCTTAAGAACTGGAGCCTGGACAGAGAGTGATTCTGCAGTCAGATCTGCGAACACTGAACCATGAAAAGGTAGTCACAAATGTCGTGGTCATGGTCACTATACGTAGCTCACGGTTATTCTATTTAGATCATGGTCATTCTACTCTACTGAAAATTGTGCCGATGTACTCCGTCATGCATGGACCAGCTCATTCAGATGATTATGGATTCGTTATCTTATTGACACTCTTACTGCTCACAGTTTCACCTTACATTATCACCATAGCAGATACTTATATGTGCTTGGGGCTTTGTATTATTCCTCATTGAATCAACGCCAGTATCTGGCCTCTCTAGTGTTTCATTGTTGCTATTCTCTCTCACTTCATCTAGTGCCCATTACAACAAACATACCTTCTCTGAGTCTTTGTTGACTTCATATTCAAGTTGATTTAAACCTTGACATGCATGTTGAAGGTTTGCAATACTTGCACGGTTCCTCTTGCTTTGTGGGGCCATCTTACCAACAGCCACTGATGCGGCAGTAGAAATGTAATGGCTGGCCAACGGTGGCGCACAAACTCTGCCCAAAGTATGCCACACATACATATATTGTCCATAGTTTGCTCTACATCCACTTTTTTACAATTCTGCTTCCTGTGAACTATGCTAGATAGCCTGCTCTATGATCCACTGCTCTCGGATTTTCTCTACTGCATGAATCTCTCATGTTATCATCCTAACTGTGTTTTGTCACGCTTTCATCACAAATGTCACGTGATATTGGTCGGTTTTGCAAGGGCCCTACCTTAGTAGTACTCCACGAAAGTGCTAGGTCTCAGATTCCACCTTTGCCTTCTCCATGACCACACATTTAATCGCCATTGACACGTAGACGGTATTCTCGACATTGCCTACAGGGTGAACAAAGTTCATACGTTTGCAGTCTACATGTTCTAGATTGTTTTTCCTGTCACAGGTTCTGCCTGAACTCTCTGTCTAAAATCTGCCGGGCTCAACCATCCTGATAGAACCGAGTGCTTGGCAAAGGGAATTTTCTACTAATCAGCAAAACACTTTGCACTGTGGAGCTCTGTGAGACTCTGTGGGTTCTGTACAGTTCTGCACACCATACCAGCATTCTACGCATCAATGATTCCTACCAACTTCCCAACCCACTAAACAACAATATTAAGCCAAAATATACAGATAGCTCAGCGTACGAGAACACCTCCTGCGTGGCGCGGACCTTGAAGGCTCCTCTGAGACTGCGAGCTATGCTCAGCATTTTAGGTGTGTTTTCATTGAATTCAGTTTTGGGGTGTTGTTAGGAGAAGGGGGTTTTCTTGTGTACTACCTCATTATATGCAGATAACCGTCAAGTAAGTACTGCTCTCCTGTGTTGCCAACGGTCGGATCTTCCGTATTAACTCGGTCGCAGCTCGGGCAAATTTGGATGCCCTCTACCTAGCTCTAAGGGTCTATCTATGGATAAAGGACGTCGAGTACCCCTTTGTATCTGTGTATAGATCCGAGGCAGATGGTTTTTCCATAACATTGGCTCCACGGAAGACCTACGTCTGAGAACCTCTCTCCGTCGCCAGGGGACCATGTAGTACGCCACGAAGCGCTAGGTCTCAGAATCCACCTTTGCCTTCTTCATGACTACACGTTCAATCGCCATTGACACGTGGACGGTATTCTCGACATTGCCTACAGAATGAACAAAGTTCATACGTTTGCAGTCCACATGTTCAAGTTGTTTTTCCGCCGAACCTCTCGCAGGTTCTGCCTGAACTCTCTGCCTAAAATCCGCGGGGCTCAACCATCCTGATAGAACCGAGTACTTGGTGAAGGGAATGTTCTACTAATCAGCAAAATACTTTGCACTGTGGAGCTCTGTGAGACTCCGATGTGGGTTCTGTACAGAACTGTACAGAAATGTACAGAACCCACAGAAGCAAAGTGATTTGCTGACCCGGGCCTAGGACATAAAAGCAGCCGTCTTCCTACTGGCAGTATCAGAGCTATCATTCGAGATCCCCATCTCATATCACCTAGCACAAGTCATGCGTTTCTCATTCATCCTCGCTGTTGTAACTGCTTGGACAACATCTATGTCTGTCAGTGCATGCGTGACTCAAAACAGGGCTTGTGGGAAATCGGCGCCCGGCGTAACATGCTGCTCAGGTTTTCATTGTGTATCGCATGTGAGTATGAGTCATTGGCTTTATATCCGGGATTCAACCCCATGACTCATCCTTTGCGCCTTGTACCAATAGCCTTCCGGATCTGTATGTCATGCGAATGGGGAGATAGACTGAACATGTTGGGACAGTGAGTCGTGTTTCTGCCTCTGCATTGGTACAGTGGTTGATCGCACGATAGTATGAAGTTTTTTGCGGAGTTGGTCGATAGTATGCTTACTCCAGGACAAAGTTTCCTGCTGCCTCGACCAGACTTTTGAATAACATCAGAAAATCACCCTCATGAATTCAGTGGCGACACTCATGTTACTCAACTTGCGAACGTTTTTGCATGAATGTACAAGAAAAGTTCAGAAGGAAGGAGCTAGTGTCAGGAACACTCGAACTTCACCATTCGGCAGGACACCAGTGTGCTTTTGAGAGTGCGAATAAATCGAGGAACATCTCAAACACGATATAGATCTGGATGCATGACGCATGTGACATCACAAATTGTTCTCCTACCCTCGACATTGGTTTATTATCATTCTCCCAGGCTGATTATGATTGTGACGTGGGAGGTTCGCCCATCTTATCCGTATTCTCTCGACTTCCAATCAATTTGGAAGTACATAGTTCAACTACGGAGTACATCGAATTTACCATGGATGATCGTGTACCTCGGCCAGTTCTTGAACTCAATTCATATAGTCGATAACATGGTGCAGCATCTCATTCGTGAGGTTGAATGGCTGGATTGCTTGCGGGTACTGTATTAGTGCCAGATCAGCATGGAAACCAGGGCCGATGCTGCCCTTTTTCTTCAATCCGTATAGCTTAGCAGGGTTAGTCGATGTTACCTCGACGAACTTTTGTGGGGAGATGGGTCTAGAGAGGATGCCGCCGGATAACAGGAATGGAACACGGGTCTCCACACCAGGCAGGCCGTTCGGGATGGAACAGAATTTTAGTTACGACAGAAGTACACAGGAGCCCTTACCTTCGAAATCCGCTTCCGCATGGAATCAGCGAGAGGGAATGTGTGCTGTGGACACCTCACAGTGGGTCACTTCGAGAGTCGCAACAATAAACCTACTCGTCGCCTATCACAAGCGTGCGCGATAAAAATCCCATTGAGAGTCTTAGAGGTTCCGGGGTCGTACAGCCAGGCGACCCTCTGTGGGCCTCTATCACGAATACAGTATTTTGGATGCACTGGAAAGCTATGCTCGGAAAGACGATATGCAACGTGCTACATGCCGCCCAGCCCATATAAAAGCTCAACATCTATATATGTCCTGTAGGGATTGCCATGTTCGTATCAGTATCAGCATGAGGAATATGTGAACCACGTACCCCGAGCAACAAATTCTACGCCCAATTATTGTGCAATGCGCATGCGCTTTTGGAATATCCTGAAGCGGAAAGAAGCAACGAAGTGGTTCTCGCCCAGTCCATCCCCTTGTTGAACTTGGATCTCATCTGGGCGACAACCCAAACAGCATCTCAAAGGCTCATCCTTGGCTGATGGTAAACGACGAATGAATCAGCGCGCTCTCGGGGAATTAAGTACCGTGCACTTACAATTAATTTTGCCTCCCAAATTCAGTTGCGTGAACAATGCGCGGTCGTTTACTGTCATGCACGCGAGGCGCAAGTCGAAAGAGCGGACGCGCGAAAATTTAGAAATGAATAGAGTCAACACCGAAAGAGCTTCTCGCCGGTGATCCATAATTGCCCAATACAGTGCGGTGCGACCCTCAATATTGGGTTTTTGCACGAGGTTGGAGAACTCTGCTGCTGAGAAAGCATCAGCGCAGGAGATGATAATTCGGGCCACAGATGAAGGGGGGAAATCGGGAGGAGACAATTTTACGGATGCGAGATAGAACTGTGGCGCGTTTCCGCTTCGATTGTAGAAAAGGAAATAGGGATCGTCTGCATTGGACAGAATTTGCTGATACAGACGTAGAAATTGCATCATATGAAGGGGGTGAATTAGTGGCAGTCTTGGTAGCCATAGTGGATGAAGTCGAGAATAGGGCCTGCCAAGCATTCCATCGTATCACTTGTTGTTGTTTTTTTTTCTTTCCCATTTTTACGTTAAAAAAAAAAAACAACAAGATGTGATAACTAGTCCGCCGGGTCGTGCTCGTCGCCCATATCTCAGACACCTGAGGCAGGTGCAAGGTGCGATGATGGATTGGACTACTGACATGCGGCGACAATAAAGGTCGGTGGAAATAAAGAAACTGCGTATCACCAAAAAAAACAATCACAAGACTTGAGCGCTTGATCTGCACAGCATAAAAGACGCACCTGTAAACCTCCCTCCCGACTTGATTCCGCATCGAAGAAAACCTCCACTCCGTCGCAGCTTGTTAAAGAGCGAGAACTAAGGTAGCGTGAGTCTCAGTCAATGGTAGAAAGACTCTATTCGTGTAAACTAACCTAAGGTAGCGTGAGTCTGTAGGACCGCTAGTAAGTATCATGTATAGTATAATATGAATGGTATGCGCACCTCAGTCAATGGTAGAAAGACTGAGGTGCGAGTATAGCGTCTAGCCATCCTTAAATAGAAAAGAGAAAATGGTCAGTAACTAGGGTGGATGACGTCCAGTGACACTGGCAGCTAAGGTACATAGAACTGGAACAGTTAGATATATTTATCTGGAACCGGCTCGGTGCTCTGACGGATCACCTCTCAACAACTTCGAAAATAATCAGCCCATTGGATCACCCCTCAATCATGAGGACAGAGTGACATCTACGTCCTTTTCTGCGGACGGAAAGTTACTCACCACTGTTTGTGATGACCACCACTTATACACATGGGATGTCTCTGCTATCGTCAGAGAAGCTGGCCTCGACGACCTCCTGTCAGAAAATGTAAGTTTGGATGTGTTTCTTCAATCTCATCACACTGACAATGAGTCTGCTCATCCTTCCAGGGGGTATGTTGCATCGAGTCTCTTCAGAAACCTTCAAGTTACTCATTGATCTTCGTTTGTCGCAGAATGCTATCAAAAAAAAAGTGTCGGATGTATGTGGTGTGTTTCTTAGCAAATTCATCGCTTTTGAGTACCTGCATCTTAGGCTGATGTTACGCAACCACGAGCACCGCAAATCGAAGACACTCGTCGAATAGTACCCCCAAGGTCCTTTGATGCACGAGATGCTGCTGATGTACGTGACCTGTATTTGTAATTGAAAAGTGCTTATGTGCTTGTTAGTTCTCTACCTCGCGCTCGTACCTCTCCTATAATAATAGGCGACATGACCGTCGTACTCGCGCACCGATAAGCTATGTACAGGAAGCAGCCCCCAAGCGTGTGCGCTTTTTTTCTTTCTCTGTTCTTTATCATTGTCTCATTTCAACCCAGAGGAACTATCACGCAAGAGGGAAGAAACCACCTGCCACATCCCCTAGACCTCCTGTTGCTCATGTCACGCAGCAACCACCAGCCACTGCCTCTCCCTCGACATCTTTCGCAGCCGTTGGTTCTGTGGGGGCAGCAGGAACAATGCCACGTCCTGACATCACCGTAAGACAGGCCGGATGGTGGACTCGTTTCTTGCTCAGGGTTACTTGTGTGTCTGTTGAGTACACAGAGGGTCGACATTAGGGAAGAAACATTGCGGTTTTCGTGCATCACCGACATTATCTGTTGTCTCATCCCGGTCTCTATGGCTCTTCTGCGCTCTACCATTGATGGCACTGTATGTTATACTTGTTACATGTTCCGCTACCGTTTTCTTTTGAAAAAATCATATTTGTTTATTGCCCCTACGTAGACACTACGGCACACTTCATAGGACATACATATCTCTTTTATGCAAACATCAGGCTCGTGACCAAATAAATATCACAGACGTCATATCCCCCAGCGATACGGCAACGCACAAATCATCGTAGGATATCGTTATCGTTATTTGAACAGTTGAAATTCTAGTTCCCTGACGGGGACCTGTTAAAGGAAAATGACAGAAGATTCACCGGAACAAGCTTATGTGTTCCACCGTTTGAGCTTCCTGTTCTCCGTAGATTGGTCTACCTTGCCCGTAGAGATGATATGCACAAGAATATAATGTCCCCGAGACCCTCCCTGCCGTGTTCTGTACTTTCAATCCTCCATCGAGTCGACGTCACCTCCAATTGCCTCCCGCAGACATTTAGCACTTTATAGTTGGACGGGAACATATCAATCTTATGACCCTGATCAACTGCAACTGACTGATGTTCACATTTGACACTGCAAGGAAACTTATATGCATGGCTAACACTGGTGGTAACAGCCAGCATCAAGTTACGAAGTGTGATGCTAAATTGATGATACGTACATATTTCAGGTCGTCATTTCCTTCACTCATACACTGATGGGAACGATCCGTTGGATAATTTTATTGCATTCAGTAAGCACAACCCACAATTGAAGTTCCACAAAGCAACCGAAATGTGGTATCGCAGGTGAAAACATCTACTCAGTAGATGGCAAGTTGGGCCCATGGTGTCCGTGCCACAGGCACCGCACAGACATTCCCCTGGTTATGGGGACCTGAAGTTGCAACAGACAGGAGATGACCGGTGATTCGTATTCGGCTAGTACGGCGACAAGACCTTGACCAGAACTCGCGTAGGACGTCAAGAATAATGGTTGGATAGAAGAGCGCGAACCAATATGGTCATCCTGTAGGACTCTTGGAAAACAGATCGCGTGCAGCATGAGGGGATAGATACCAAGAGCGGGGACTCAGGATGGCGAACGACTTGTGTGAGACGTAATGCTGCATGTAGAAATGAACAAAGTGCTCGGTGAGAAAAACGAGACTTGGGCGTTGATTTGCACAGCCTGGGCTCACGAGGACACAGCATGAAATATGGACCTACAAATGACTTAAATAGTGAGCTTCCTCCTGACCCTACATTGAATTAAATGTCCTGTCCGTTGCAGCTTCCATTCCTCAAGCACTCTTTCTGTGTGTTGGTCATACTCCTCTGAGTAAGTGATGGTATTTAAACAACTTTTGGTGGGAAGAGCTGAAATAGTCCAGCGCTCATCGGGTGATATTTCCCAGCCAAAATCATGTGATTCATACCTTCCCGTGCCCCTGTAAAGCCTCCAGTAGTGGAAGTATGTGTCATTCGCCGGTGTGGTGGACAGATAATACCCGACACCGACCCTGCGATATCTCCGAATGAGCGCATTCTCGCAAGTGTATCAGGCCTAGGCAAGACAGCGCAACTATGGGACCTCGGAACAAATCAGTCCATCGGCCTGCCCCTCTACCATGAAAACAAGGTGAACTGCGCTACCTTTTCAGAAGCTGGCCTCGATGACCTTCTGTCAGACAATGTAAGCTTGAATACAAAAGTTCATCCTCAATCACACTGACAACTCATCCTGTTGCATCAGGTCTCTTCAACAGCATTACTCACTGATATTCCTTCATCACAGCGCGCTGTAGACGAGATGTATGTCGTGGGTTTCTTGACCTTTTGCATGATTTTGACTGCAAATTTATCCAGGACCTTCATGAAGCGCTTCCGAGATATTTTAAGGCGATGTACTTGGAGTCGTGCCGTTTCAGTGTTCGCCACTCGAAGCAATAACCTTTGGTCGGCACGGGGGCTCGTTGAAAAAGCACCGCGGGGCATGTGATAGTCAGCTACTAGTGTATTTATTCCTTGATCTTACCTGGAGTTGTGTTGTTTCAGTGTTCAAATAATGTTGTTGTTCTGCGTCCTTCGTGGTGGTTACGGTAATCATATGCGTTGATTCTGTACGTACTAGTACTTGCGCGCGGGAATGAGGTCGGATTCGAAGTACAGCTTTGTTGTGTTCACTGTTGACTCGTCAGCACATCAGCAGTCTTACAGCGGAGCGGTTTTATTTTTGACTTTACAGTGGTTCTTATCGAGGGGTCATTCGTGCACAAATGGGTTATACCTCTCAGCGCTCAGCGTGTGCTTGCGAAATTGCGAATAGCCTGAGGCAAATACTCTGAGGCAGTTTGGAAGATATGTATAGCTCGCTGGTGGGCCATGGTGACCTCGGTGAGTCCTCTTACTACTTTCTCCTCGTCTGCGAGCTCATTCCGAAGTCTATTATGCACGTCGTGCTTAGTATGTAAAAGATCATTTGGGCTTACAATATTGTAGTCCCGCTCGGCGGAAACTGGAAGACACGTCACAGGTTCATCCAGATGTAGCGAAGCCCCTCTTTCCGCAAAAACAACCGTGGTCGAGACTTGATACTGTGACGTCCTATTCCTTTATAACTCCACTACTTAAAGCTTTCCTTCCCTATCTCATCAAATACAATTTCTACCTTCGTCGTGTCTAGATATGACATCCGTGCTTGATACCACTGCCATCGGAAAGGTTCAACGCCGCCGCAGACATGTCAGGACACTTACTGGTAAGCCCGATTCTTCCGATGTTTCCTCGATGAGATAGGTGATTTTAACTCCAAACAGGATATCTGCCAGAGAAGGACATCGAAGGCAAGGAAAAGTGGCCTCGAGGCGATGAGAAGGTCTGGAAGGATGGGCTGAGAAGCCTTGATACAGGTAGGTAATCAGAACACCCAGTTCATGCTTCGCCTCAACCACCCCCCACAGGCATACCATCCATCACCAAGTCGATCGTCAGCCATGTCCAAACGTCTCTGGCTCGCCAACCACACGAGATCGACGATTTGGGAGCTTACCAGGCTGCAGCTCTCTCCGTCCGCGATAATCTGATCGTACGTCCCCTTATCTCATATCTCTCCACCCACACAACTAATCGCCGATGCACAGATCAACTGGAACGAAACACAACTGCTCTACTCCCGCACCGCAGGAAAGCGGGCGTACTACTTATCTCTTGAATTTCTCATGGGCCGTGCGCTTGACAACGCCCTCCTCAATCTAGGCCTCAAACAGCAATACACGGAGGGAGTGGAGCAACTCGGCTTCAATATGGAAGATCTCCTAGCGCAGGAACGTGATGCCGGACTTGGCAACGGCGGCCTCGGGCGTCTTGCCGCATGCTACCTCGACTCTTCCGCATCTCAGGAACTCCCGGTATGGGGCTACGGCCTGCGCTACAGGTATGGCATCTTCCAGCAGCTTATCTCACCCGACGGGCAGCAGCTGGAAGCGCCTGATCCCTGGCTGGAGAATTCGAACCCATGGGAGCTCCCTCGCATCGATGTCACCTACGAAGTGCGGTTCCACGGCTCTGCAGAACGCTTGAACGATGGAAGCGGTCGCGCCGTTTGGGAGGGAGGTCAGGAGGTTCTGGCGGTCGCTTATGATATCCCCATCCCCGGCTGTAACACGCGCAACACTAATAATCTCCGTTTGTGGGAGAATAAACCGAAGAGGGGCTTTGATCTGAACAGTTTCAACGGTGTGTTTGCAGCGACATTGTTGCGTCTTCTGCTTGACTGATGAATGTTGACTGTAGCTGGGGACTATGAACGTGCTGTCGAGTCTTCGAATAGCGCAGCGGCGATCACATCGGTCTTGTATCCCAACGACCACACTACTTGTGAGTACCCCCAACGGTATCCAGCGTTGCTACTCATTTAGAGTCTGTTTGAAGTTGGAAAGGAACTTCGCCTGAAGCAGCAGTACTTCTGGACTGCAGCCAGTCTCGCGGACATCATGCGCCGGTTCAAAAACCTCGGAAGGCCCATCACAGAGTTCCCCCAATGTGCGTGAACCCAGTTCGTTCTCAATTGTAAATGCTCATATTTGCTATAGATGTCTCGATCCAGTTGAACGATGTAAGTTGATATATGGATGTGCACTTACCGAGTACTGACTTTATTGAAGACGCACCCAACACTCGCTGTTCCCGAGCTCATGCGACTCCTTGTTGATGAAGAAGATGTTCCATGGAATGCTGCTTGGGGTATTGTTACGGAGACTTTTTTCTTCACCAATCATACTGTCCTCCCGGTAAGTCCAGATAATACTAGTTCTCATGGTGGACGTTTACGATATCGACGATAGGAAGCGCTTGAGACGTGGCCTGTACCCCTGATGCAACATCTTTTGCCAAGGTGAGTTTCGTGTATTGCAAAGGTGTGGTAGCGTTAAACTCCTATCTCTAGGCACATGCAAATCATCTTTGATATCGTGAGTCTTCTGTTCGATGACTGAAGCTCTTCGCTAAGAGGCGTTGGATGGATTTCAGAATATGTCAGTAACAATTTTTGTCTTTGATGCTGAACTAAATACCGGACCACAGGTTATTCTTGCAGTGTAAGAAAGACAGTATCGTATCGTATCGAGCGCGCGACTGATCTTTTCAATAGCTGTGGAACGGAAGTTCCCTCGAGACAGGGAACGACTTGCACGGATGTCATTGATCGAAGGTATTGTGATGCTGCGCACAAAGAATCACGGCTTAAGTATTTCCTCAGAGAGTATTCCTCAGAACGTTCGCATGGCTCATTTGGCATGTATTGGTGAGTTTCGAGGACTGTTTTTCATATTCCTACTGATATGTGTATGTGTAGGCAGTCGCAAAGTCAACGGCGTAGCCGAGGTAAGTCTGCCTGAGTATCCATCATCTGAATATTTAGGAACATCACTTTTACAGCTGCACAGCGAACTGGTTCAGACAACTATTTTGAAGGATTTCGTAGATTTCTATGGAGTCAGCAAGTACGTTCATTTTGCAGCTGAATTAGCAGTCGCTGACTGTGGTTTGCGCGGAAGGTTTGGAAACGTGACTAATGGGAGTGAGTACCGTACTCTTGATGCATCTGTCCTTCTCATCATTTTTCCAAGTCACTCCTCGTCGGTGGCTAGACCAGGTACGTGACTATCTCGAAATGGGTACAGCATCGCTAAGTCACTCATATCAGTGCAACCCCGGGCTCAGCAAGCTCATCACTGAGACCCTGGACATAGAGAAGAGCGTATGGCTCAAAGACCTCACTAAACTCGAGGGTCTTCTCGATTTTGTCGAGGACGAGGACTTCAGGGAAGACTGGGCAGCTGTAAAGCAAGCTAACAAGGAGAGGCTTGCTCATTACGTGCAAGTTAATCTAGGTCTTAAGGTCAATACTAAAGCCTTGTTCGACGTCCAAATCAAGGTCAGTCGGACATATTCATCATGTTGCGGTACTAGCCTTATCATTATTTCAGCGGCTGCACGAGTATAAGGTGCGCAGACAGGTGATTTATGCCATCGAGCTGTGATATATCAGCCCTTTTTAGCGCCAAACTCTCAATATACTCGGTGTCATTCATGTGAGCATCATTAATAGCGTTTGTCGAATTTTTGCGCTCAACTTTCTTAGCGCTACCTCATCCTGAAATCTATGACTCCTCAGGAGAGGAAGAAGGTAATCCCGCGAAACGTCTTCTTCGCAGGCAAAGCTGCCCCAGGATGTAAGTGTCTGCACATTGTCAATTCCATCGAGCTTATCGGGGTTTAGATTATATCGCCAAGCTGGTTGGTTCGACGAGTGTGACGCACCTTCGCGATACTGACAAGCTTCTAGACCATCCGCTTGATCGTCAACGTCGCTCGCGTGGTCAATGCTGATCCTGACGTAAAGGACTACTTGAACGTCTTCTTCTTACCAGACTACTCGGTCACCTTGGCCGAAGTCCTTATCCCATCTTCGGACATCAGCCAGCACATCTCCACCGCGGGTACCGAGGCCTCCGGCACGTCTAACATGAAGTTCTGCTTGAACGGTGGGCTTTTGCTGGGCACTGTTGGTACGTAATGTACAGTTGATCAGTGCACGACGGATCTGAATGATCGACTAGACGGGGCAAACATCGAGATCGCGGAGGAAGTTGGCCCTAGCAATGTCTGTGCGTAGCAGTCTTACACGTTCGTTGCATGCGCTACAGACTTACTACTCTTTCGGCGCAGTCTTCTTTGGTCATCTGACACCCGCGGTGGAAGGCCTTCGTTACCAACACACATACCACCCCATTCCGGTGGAGCAGAAGTCACCTGCTCTTACTCGGGTTCTTAATGAAATCTCCTCGGGGTTGTTTGGCGACAGGGGCGTGTACGAGCCGTAAGTAATGCTCTAACAAGTAAAAGCACGAGGTTCACTTAGTTCTTTGACAATAGGCTGCTCAACACGATTCGTCAGGGAGATTACTATCTCATTACGGATGATTTTGATTCCTGTGAGCATCCTGCTGTGTGGTGTGGCGTTCTCTGATGACCCTTTTCAGACATCGAGGCTCTTCGTATGGTGGACGAAGCCTATAGTGACCGAACAGAGTGGATTAAGAAGAGTATCAGGACCACTGCCAAGGTATGGGTTTTTCATAAAAGATATAACAAAGGCGAACTTTGAGTAATCCACAATTTGGAACAGATGGGGAAATTCAGCTCTGATCGAGCGATCCAAGATTACGCACAGGAGTACTGGAACATTGAAAGCACCAAGGTCGAGTAAGCATCTGAGGGAGGCATATGTGATGTAAAGGAGAAATGGTGAAGCCGTGTGTGGGCGTATGTCAATCCGAATGATAGGTATGATAAAGTGGGACAATGCGATATCTTCAATCCTGCATGAGACAGTAAATGTGGATTAATGGGATGGGGAGTAGCGAAAGAGATATGGGTGCAGAGGGGATAGCAAATGACAAAGGACAGTAGGAGGTTTCGCGACCAATGATCAAACATGAAACGATAAATAGTAAAACCAATCAAGAAGGGTAATCACGATGAATCTTCAACGACGACCTCAGTTTGATGGAGGCTCTTCTGGAACATCCGCATCAATCCTGTGCATCGGCGGACAATGACGGTTCAATGGATGCTGCGCCGTTAGTACATTCGGTGAGCTTTGACTGATCATCTGCAGGTTCAGCTGCTTGAGTAAGATCAACGAGGTCTTCTTCTGAGACTTCGGGCTGAGTGGCCTCAGCCTCAGAAACAGGTGCAGAAGCTTCTTGAGTAGTAACCTCTGTATCCTCGACCTCGGGTGTTGAATTTTCTACGACGCTCTCGTCAACAGGCTCCTCAGCGGGTGATTCCTCAACGATAGAGATCTGATCTTCTGATGCGATGGGCAACTCGGGTGCAGGGGGGGCGTTATCCGACGCCGACGTTTCAACAATGTGCTCGATATCTTGTGTAGGCTCAGGCGCTGTGGGCACGACCTCTGGTTCTCCGGCAGGCAGCTCCTCTTCAGCAGGCGCTGGCTCGGATTGTGAGACAGATCCCTCAACAAGCGTAACTTCAGACTCCAGGACAGATTCATCGGGGACGACTATGAGTGCGGCGGGCTCGCTAGTCTCAAAGGTACGTGCAGGAGGAATGGCTTCTTCGACAATGGCTTCTTCCTGTAGCCCTGGTACAGTGTTGTCCTGCTGAGGCTGCGGGATTGTAGGTGCGGCTACGACAGGTTCCTGTGAAGGTGCAGGGGGCCGAACAGTCTCTGCGGCGACTGCACCAACTGCAGCAGCAGCGACGCCCAGTCCTAGACCCCTCCTCCTGCTCGTCATAGCCTTCGGCGTCTCAGGTCTTTCCTCCTCCTCAGGCAACATCTCACCAAGCTCTCCAACCTTGGGTGACTTTCCAAATATACCCTTCTTCCCCGATAAATTCGACTTGCTGCCCCCACTGAAAAAGCTCAATCGCTTCCTCGTAGCTGCGAACGTGCCAGAAATATCCGAGCGGAACGACGGGCGGGGTGACGTACGGCCGCGACGTTCGGGAGACGTTGCGCGAGGCCGTGGGGACTGCTGGCGTACATACGTCTGCTCGATGATGAGCCAATTCACAGCCTCGTTCGCATGGAGCGGCTTAAGCCCACAGATAACGAATGAGGGCCAGTTCTCCGTGATTGGGTCTGCGATGGCGTCAGACCAGAAATCAATGAATGCCTCGTCGACCTGCGCCATGTGTACGCCGGCAAGCTTGGTACTGATGGCTGCGGGTTCTTTGGTGCTCGTTTCTTGCGGGGAGTCTGCAGAGCGCTGGCTCGAGCGTGACCTTCCCCATTTCTTGCTCGACTTGGGGGACACGACCGGCTCAGTAATCTCAACGTCTGTATCGAGGAGCGTTGCAGCGAGGGGGGTAGTTGCGCTCGTCTCACCGAAGCCGCTCGTAGAAAATTGTGCCCAGTCGTGGATGATTGGCGAGGCGATCGACGAGATGGGGGACATTGCGCCGTTACCGTTGCCGTTGCCGTGGGCAGCTTGATCCTTGGTACGTTCCAGAATCTTGCTGAAAGGTGAAGAGCGTCTGGGCACCGGGGATGCAACTTCAAGTGCCGGAGACATCAGTGGAGACGATGAATTACGAGATATAGACGCGAGGAGATGGATCGTCTCATCCACAAATACCCGTCCGAAATATGGGCCTTCTTGACCACCAGTTGCCGTGGACGTAGAGGCAGTTTCGGTGGCAGCAGTCTTGAGCGCGTTCCACAACTCAACTTGCTCAAACGTTTCGCCTTCGGAAGATAGGTTGAATGCATCAACGAGCAGGCGAACGGGAGATGCTTTGGGCTGTGTTGCAGTCTCTGACAGAAGGGTCTCTACGCGTACGAATAGGACACTGCAGGTACGCGTGGAGAAAAGGGGATGGGGAAGGAGATCCTCTTCAGCGGCGCGTGAGCCTCTCGAATACGGATAGTGCTTGACAAGTTCCTGAAGTCGGGTGGGCAGTCTAGAATTGAAGCTCTCCTCCCTGTGCTACGGTGAGACGCGGCCCAGGCTTCATACAGCGTACATACCTGATTCGTGAAAGGAACAGATGCTCAAGGATCCTACCAGCGCGCTCCCAACGAGCATAAAACGTGGTCCAGTTATCGGTTGGCTCAGTCCTCGTCGCGGTGAGCAACCATAAGCCCAAAAATTTGGAAAGCTTGCTACCAGAGATGCTGTTCGCTTCAGCATGCGAAGCTAATGCGGATATGATGTCAACTGTCGCAAGAAGCAACTCAATGTGCGCTTGAGGGAGCTGGGGGAGGAGCAACTCTGTGAAACTCTTGTGTGGGTACGACGCCTCTTTTTCGGCATCAAAAAAGGACTTGTACCACGCCCATTCAGGTGCAGAGACATTCTTGCCGAAAGAGTTGTTTTCAAGCACAAGGTGACGCAGGCCCCAACGGAGGACAGCTGCAACGTCGTGGGGAGAGCGCGTGTACTCAAGCTCAGTCTCAAAGGCGGAGATTGCTGCGGCGGGCGTTGGAGAGAGAGTGGTTATGCGGCTTTTAGGAGCCAAAGAATGGATGAAAAGCGAAATCAGTTTTCGTTGAATGTCGGGTGACGCGGAATGCCAATGAGGGTGCATGATTCCGAGAGTTTCCAGACCTGACGATGGTCATTAACATGAAATAGTTTACATGTCAGTTAACCTACCTCGTTCAGTGATGGTCTGGGCACATGCTCGAACTAGTATGAGAGCTTCCGAAGGATTCAAAAGCTTTGCACCGATGACAGAGTCATCAAAAATCCTTTGAGACTCAGGGTCAACCTCGAAAACGCCAAGAGACTCTGTATTGTCTTTCAGACTCGGCAGCTGGAGTGACAGTTGGGGGAGGTTCTCGTTGCGCCTGTGTGAAGAGGGAGTGGAGCCAATACGGGATTTAGGCCTAAATAAAGAGAATCCTGCGTGATCTTTGCCCGTCTGAGCCTTTGACAAGGTGGCAAAATTGGAAGCTGGAAAGGTCAATGGAGAAACAGCCTCGTATTTTCCGTCAAGTAAACCAAGGTCTGCGGAGTCCTGAGAAAGTTTGGGTTGGTCCTTGTCGTCGCCCGTCTTTCGGCCAAAGACCTTGTTCAAGAACGAGGGCATGGTGTAACCTGGCGCTTAGGTCTCAACGAGAGAACCGAATGACCTGGATGGTTACAATACAGACCATGATTAGGAGTTCGAGTTCGAGACCAAATTAGCAAAACTCACAAATTTCGCGTTGTTGAGTTGCGCCAGAGTGATAAACGCTTGTCGTGTTAGACAGCGCGTATGGCAGCTCCTCAATGATATCTCCTTCGCGAAACCGACGGCGAAAACCGTCCTTCTCAAAATCTTTCACCGCGAGCCCACGTGGCCTCACGTGCCCGACCGATCAACAACCGCAAACTTGGCAGGGCCACTGCAAGGACCCCGTCATGCTATAAAGTATTACCCTATCTTATGAACAGTGATCAGGCTGACGGTGGTTGAACTGGCGTCAGTAGGTGTTCACCCAAATGGAATCCAAAACGGCATCCTTCAGCCGCCCGCTATCATCATTGACAAGCTCATCCATAAGCGACGTGAACGCTGGACAACTACTTACGAGGTACACTCCGCCCACATATGGTGACGAATTTGACTTCCGCTTCTGCAGCAGATTCAAATCTGCCATAAGTGCTTAGTGACCCGGCACCGGGCACCTCATCGCACACATCCTGAAGATTAATTCTGGCGAACCGCTGGGACTGGTGGACTGCCAGCGTTAAAGAATTTAAATCTACGCTCGTTAAGTGCTTGTCATCATGACCTTTTGAAAGGCAAGCTTTTGTTGCGCGGATCCGCAGATTCGCAAATCACCTATTCATATTGACCTATAGGCTACAGACGGGCTGAATCACCCTCGTTTCAAAACCCGTCCCAGAAGCAACAGAACCGCGGTTCCGTCATAATGCATGAGTGTGTCGACAACTTAGTAAGACTACAGCAATTTATCATTAGGTATCTTTGGAAATTCCCGGAAGATGATGTCCTCTCGTCTCGTCGTGCAGGGTCAGGTACATGACTTTCAGATGCATTCGCGGTGATTCACCTGTATCCCGCGACATGTTATTTCCACCGCTGCTATCCCGCAGTAGTGAAGTTCTTTGTATATACCAAGCTGGCCTACATGATTGTTCACCGACACTGAAGGTTTGCGTCAAACCATATATGCGCGATAACCGGTGATTTCCCTTCATTTTAGTGACCTCTCTCCGCCACTTGGATTCACATGTGCCGTAATAGATGAGCAAGAGGGTGCGCTTCCGTCAGGAAGACCGGCAGTTTCTGGCAATTATTTGGTATGTCTTGTTATACCCTAACCTATTGGGGCAAAATGATACTAAGTTACCGAGTTCGTGCTGCAGCATAAGGCGTAAGCTCCCCAACAGCTCTTTGCACGCTGATAAGTCGATTTGTGGGTCCAGGACACGGGCATCATACATAAGTAGCCATGGAACGATTGACCTCATCACATGTATTCGAACCAAATCGTTTCGTAAAATGCCAGGGCTGCTTCTTGAGTAATACTGCGGGTTGTGAGCATCGACGCTAGCCACTTTAGACTCATCAGGTTCTCTGGGTGCTCGAAACTTTGCCAGACACGCACCGCATCAGATGACTATCCTCAATAATGAAGTACTATTTCGAATAACATTGTATCCTTCATGATTCTTTGCAGTGAGCACTCTTGATTGGAGCACTATCATGCACAATCAAGCAACAACGGCGGTTATCTGATTAAATACCCTAAGCCTATCTCGCAACAATGTACAACTAGGTCACTTCGAGGATAAAGTGGCGAGGAGCTAACCATGCTGCTTCGTGGGCCGTGGCAGCTGATGTAGTACTGCATTGCGCAAGCCCGACCCTTAAAAAATTCCAAACGGCAAAGCCGGTCACAAATCAAAGGGAAAGTTAACCATGAGGTGTATGACAGTCCCGTGCACGGTACAGGGTATCGCACTGCACACTGTACAAGATGATTGTGAGATCTGTAGTGTTTTGTGTTATTCGTTTGTCGAGACTCGAATGTATTGGCCAAGACACAGCTGGCAGGCACCAACTTGAATGGCAATGATAGGCACGCCGTAAGGCTGTTCAGTAATTACAAGCAAATCGCAGGCGCCTATTTTCTATGTGACCTCCTGCTATCACCAACGTCCTCGAGAAGCATCATGTCGTCTCAGAATGGAGGATATGACCAGAACCTACTCGATGAAGCCCCCGCAGCGACGAGGGCGCAGAGGCAGGTATGCAGCACCAGCTCACCCATCCCAATTCGTCACCCACTAAAACGTGTTTTGATTTCTAGGAAGGCTACAACGTTGATTTACTCGACGACCGTCCTAACCGTCCCTTATCTACCCAACCACTCCAAACGCCTCCCCCACAAATAACCCATCGTGATACAGACGTCGAAAGCAACTCACAGGAAAAAGTCGTTCCTGGAGCTGTTACGAATGCCTCACCTCCCACTAAATCCTTTTGGCGGAGACGCAATGGCATCATCACCATCTTCGTTATCGTTGTTGTCGTTCTGGGAGCTGTGATTGGTGGTGCTGTCGGTGGGACTGTTGGAAAGCACAGCTCGACCACGAGTACCAACGCTGCGAGCACCACTATCCCTGGCGTTCAACCAACTTCTTCAGCCGCCTCTGGTGGGGCAGCTCCAGCGACTGATACCCCTACTGCAGCCCAGCCAACGGCTGGACGGTCGACGACCACATCCTCAACACCCACTTCGACCCTGAGTAGTCAGGGGATAGGTATAGCGTATGGAAACACCTCATAGCTGGGCAGAGGATGAAGGGAACGATGATGGCGCATTGGAGGATATACCAGTAATTTCTTTGCGAAACGCTTCCTTCATTGGTTATCTACATACATATGTTGCTACCTTTTTACTTTATTATATATACCAAACCGGTTCCTTCCATCGTGCAGCTGCAAATCCTGTAATATAGTCATTGCAAACTCGGGACGGTGATACGGGCCTAAGATATGTCAGTTTCGTGTCCTTTATGAGAACCAGCCTTTGGGCTGATCTACTTCCTCCTTTTTCACTTCCCCATCCCTCTGTTGTCTGATAGCTTCCAAGATGTCCTTCACGCCTTCAACGTCCCCTACACTAGCACGGCCACCAACCCAATCCACGACGACGGGCCATTTGAACACATTGGGATTCTGCTCCACAAGACTCACGATACCTTTCACACTCTGTGGCTGTTCTCCAGGCCCAGGCGATGCCGGGTGCGCTGATAAAAACGTAGACAATGCAGGGGGTGCAGTAGATCTCGCTGGGGTAGTAATGTAAGAAAGAATAGTCTTCAACTGGTCAGGGGTCGGAGGTTTTGTGTCGACGACTTCTAAATCAAACTCAAGTGGCGGAGCAGATGGCTTCCCAGGGGGGTAAGGTGAAGAGAGTGCATTCCGCAGTAGCGCAAGCGCCTGGATTGATGGTGGCGATGAAGGGTGGTGACTGTATGAAAGATATATTCAGCTCTCTCAGGTTTCCTCACGATTGACAGATTGTGCACACAAGATGGAGATTTGAGGCTATGGTTGATGGTAAGCTCATCAAAGAGAGCTTCAAGTAATTTCGGGCACTCACCAGTGACCGTTTGAATCCAGTGAACATTTTGGAATGGTGGCTCAAGTTGGAGTTGACGCTCCTGTCAAGAGGTTTCCCTTGGTAAGTATGGGGGCTTAGTCAGCACCCCCCACGCACTGCCTTTCGTTGAAATTCATATTCAAAATGGAAGCACGGGCGGATATATAAATTCTATGATCTATCAATCCTATCAAGCTGGATGAGCGCATCAACTCGTCGCCAGCAGATGGTGCAGACAGAATGGAATAATCAGCTCGGAGAGTTCATGAGCCCGAAGTAGTTGATTAATTGTTGCACTGACAATATCGATAGTGACGGAAATTGGAATATCGACAAGCTACGCGTAGCCCCATGCATATAGATATCTCAAGCAGGATCGGTAATAGTGAAGTAGAGTGAAGTAGTCGTGATCAAATCATATATGTGATACAAGAAAATGGCACACATGAGGCTCGTAAGCGAGGACTCGGGGGACGTGACAGTCGACCTGTACATCAAGTCCACAGAGCCCAATAACAATACGAAATCCTGGTGGTATATAGTATGTACTAGGTCGTGAGTGATAAATAGAATTATCGATACATTTATAGGTAGAAAAAATGAGTAAAGGTGAATTATGATGACAAACAAGAAGTATACGGTATTCCGACTCAGGCGTCTAGATTGACAATGTGTTTGATTCGAAGATGGGGTCAGGGTATGCGTGCGAAAGCTCAAAGGCACCAGATTCTGAAAATAGCGCCATAGCGTTGGAGAAGATGCCATCGAAGTTGAGGCCGGCGATGTCAAGCGCTCCATGCAAGTCTTGGCTCGGACTCAAGGAAGGCGCTGAGAATGAACGCGGCTGTGTGGCTCTGAAGGCGTCACCAGAAGACATGGCATGGGAGGGAACCAAACTATCAAGAGACTGTGAGAGAACGGATGGGCTGGAGTGGTTTGAACTGGCGCGCGAGTGAGATGCTGCATAGGGATGATAGTTTCGGCTGGAGTTGCTGGATACAGAATGCGAGCGTAAATGAGATGGTGTTGCGCTTCTGTGACGTCTGTGAGGTCCAACCTCTGAGGGCGTTACAACAGATCGGTGGAGAGACATGTTGTCCAGGGCAAAATCCTGTCTATGAGACGAACTTGAAAGAGACCCCATAACCGGTTCTCCGTTACATGTTGCAGCCAACGACGGAGAGCCCACAAAAGGACTTGCCCAGGTCATCTCCGATGACTCAACGTACCCGGAGTGGTTCCCAGTAACGCTTTGCAAGAAATAGCTGTTACCGAGCCCACCGTCTGAGCTGGGGTCGGTTTCCATGCCAAAGGAAACTCCAGACAATGCAACTAGACCCTCTTCATCGCCTTGCACGTCTTGCACCTGGCCTTGCAGTTCCATTTCACACGTCTCCATATGTAAGCCACCCTCTGCAAAGGAGAAAGCCGCAGAAAAAGCAACATCGCCGTCATCTGCATCCTCGTTTTCCATATCAGCATCGAGTGCAACATCAACGGAAGCTGAGTCAGCTCCTTCCGTACGTGCGTGAATACGAAGATGCTGGTTGAGATTATCCGACCGAGAGAAGCGCTTGTTGCAACGGTCACACACGAATGGCCGTTCCATAGTGTGCGTGCGGACGTGCCTCTTTAAGTGCTCCATGCGCTTAAACAGGCGGCCACACGAGTAGAGGGGGCAAACGAATACCCTCGAGGTCATTCCGGCGGCGGTAGGATCAACATTAGAAGGGAATGCAGGTAGCGAAGAATTATCCGAAAAGGGATGGAGATGAGATTGCACGGGTTCCTTGATTGATGACTGCGCGAAGGCTGGCACCGATCCATTTTGGAGGGTGACAGAAGACTGCGCTGAAGGGAGTTGCGGCGCACTAGACCATATCGCGTTATCATGCGCTTGTAGCATAGCCTTCGTGCGTCTCACGCTAACGTCTTGTTCACCCCTCGCTTGAGAGGAGAACATATCAGCTGCCGTCATGCCGGAATCACTAGGTCCATAGCCAACACCGACGTCGTATGCGGGAATGTGAGTATGGTTACTCTCTTCTGAATTACTGCGCGTGACCACATTCGGTCGGCTGACTGGCTTTTTGCGGCGTTGTTTATAGGTGGGAGAACCCTCGAAAATAGAAAGGGGCAGGTACGCCATATCGGGACCATGCAGTGCTGAGGGAAGATGCGCGACGCCTCCGCCATCAATGCGACAGTTACTAAGATGCAACTCCCCCGAGTTAGAGTTATGCATGGCCACCGCACGTGAAATCGTCGGTGTTGATCCGCGTGTGTCACGTTTCCCATCCATTTGGGATCCGTCAAAACTTCTGATGACGTCGCCGCCGGCTTCCACGGTGCTCTGTGCCTTGCTGAATTGTTCGTAAAGGCTACGCTGCGACTCGTACGTAAACGAGAGGGCAGGTTCACCAACGATGACAGTGGTCGGTTCACAATCCATCTTTTCGCGTTTCAAATCGCGTTCGAGGGCATCCAGGAAAAGGCGGTCGTGAGGTACCGCGTACCTTTCGACGAGAGTGAGCTACAATATTCCAGACAATGATGAGGGTACATACCAATAGAACACCTTTTGCTTCTTCTGCGTGCGTATGCACTGATACTTGAAAAGAAGATCCAAAAATGGTGACTAGTGTGCATGAGATGGTGCATCATGGGAAAATCTGGACGGTACCAACCTTGGGGTCCTCCAGGCAGGCATCAACTCCGGGCTTTAGATTTCGCAGATCGCTGAAAATACCTTCCTCGAACTTTTTCATATTCCTGACGGGTCTCCCGAATGCCTCAAAGCGGAAGACTAGCGCACGGACAATGTCTGTGCCCGTTATATGGTAACGATTATTCCACGAGATACAGGTGACATATTCCGAAGAAGGGAGAAGGAAACGGTTCATAGAGGGATGTGAAGCGCCTGGATGGCCGGAGGAGTCTATGGGAAATGAATCGTTTTTTGCTGAACCAGAAGCGGTCGATGACCACCGCGAAGGCGCAGTAGCGAGAAAATACTTGAGGTTGTCCAGATGAAGGAGATTTTCTTGCTCCTGCACGGTCAAAGGCCTCGACAAATTTTTGCATGTACTTAACCCGATGGCTGATGGATTAAAGCGAGGGACAAAGGTAGATTGACCGTGTGCAGGGGTACGATCAGTAGCGTAAGGCGTACGAGGTTGGAAGGAAGGTGTAGTTCGTTGGGAGGAACCATTGCTATGCATTATTGGTGATCCTCTTGATGGCATAGCGATGGAATTCATTGCGCGTTGATCTGGCGCCTGCATTAGATGGGCATCGGGGTGGGTATTCAAAAGAGAAGGAGAAGAAGAAGCAGAGTTCGATGGTGAAGTGAACCCTGCGGCGCCTGTGTTGAGTGAAGAATCAAACATTGGTAGATAATGGCCCATGATATCAGTGGAGTGGTCGTAAACTGAAGACAATTAGTCTGCTCAGTGAGCAGGGCTAAGGTATGACGGTGAGCAAGACATATTTCGAGTTCAAGATAATGTCACGCACTACTTGAATCAAGAAACAGAAGCAGGTAGAGGTCAAGGCTTAAAGCTGGAAGGGGGGGATGGATGCGATGACCGATTAGATGATGATATGCAATTATAAAGGGAGGAAGGGTGATCCATTTGCGTGTGCTCCGGAAGAATTATATCATGACGGCAAAAAATATGGATATGGGGCCGGGGCAATCCAGAAATGAAATCATTGGGTGCAATCGTTTACATTGGAAAGGGTTATGAGCGCCGTTGGTCAAGATGCCGGGGTTACACTCACTGAGGGTTGCTTACTTAATCATCTAAATTTACTCAACTTCCCAACTTCGCATCGCCTTCGTTGTCTTTTGTTAACTTGGACGTACGTATACACAAGCTAGCGAGCATTAACCTAGCAGCCATCTCGCATCCGAACAATACCAGAAGCGCTCTCGAATGGAACTACGAGGAACAACCCAACACGGCTGTGCTCTGAATCTTAAGATCATCACGATCATTCCTGGAAGTTACACCGCGGAAAAATATCTCGTAAGTGCCGAACAACTCGTGTTACTTTGATAAGCTCACCAAATTGCGGTGGTCCCCATCTTCAGGCTAAGCTGATGGGCTGATTTGAATATGACCCTGCCTAACGATCTCCTTCGCTTGTATTCGCCGTTTATGCACACTTCGCGGGATGATCTTGTTCATCCTCTGATGTGATCTCTTATTCCATGTGAGCTTGCATCATAATTGTATCATAAGACCGTCAAGCGACCCATATTCAATTACTGATCCTTTGGTACCGCAAATTAATACATAAGCCATAATCCGGACACCTTGAAGGGGCCCGGATCGAAGACTCCCTATCAAGGCATGAGCCCGACCCGACCCGAGGGTACCAGCGGTCCGATCACCTTGATCATCGCACCTTCTTGAACTCTGTCGCTCAGTTCAGATTAAACACTCCAGTGGGTCCGGTGGCACATCCCATCATGGTGATGGCGGGACCTACAATATACTACATTGTACGAGACTCTTGTTAATTTCATCGCAAACTCAGACTCAAATTATCTCGTTACCTTAATAAGAGAACAACAACATCTCGTCATCAAAACCACTTTGTCGAGTATTGATCCTCTGAGAGCGGGTCGACGAGGTAATACGCGCCATCAATCCTTTTTCTCCCGCCGTGTCCACGACATGGAACAGGGCCCTCATCGCCGAATAGCCCGAAGTAAGGAGTTATTTTCAAACTCGAACTAATCCTGGGCCACAATTGGGAGCAGTCACGGAGGCCGCGGCTAACTGCACGTTTCGAAAGATGATTGCAGTTGACTTGCGCCACTGGTGATCAAAAGGTAGTTGCTCGTCATGCCGCCTTTGTTATGAGGCTGTGAGTTCAGAACTGAAATGGAGTCGGTTGCTACAAACTGAAAGGAACTAACGGTCGACGTGATCTCGACGTCGCAGCAGAATGTTTGGGCCTGAACCATATATCAAGAGTGAACGTGAAGTCATCGTGCAGCAGAATGTTTGGGCCTGAAAAATCATATATCAAGCGAAAACGTGAAGTACTCATCTGTCGAAACTGTGGGCGCGTTGAAGAGACACACTCGTTCCGCCGACGAACCGAAGTATGGAAGCCTCTATGAGACACCGCTTTCGGCGGGCGCGTACACATTTACGTTGTCCGACGAACATGAGGAGCAGAAGGGGCTATTTCCTCAGGGACATCACCCGCTCCCTAAGCGTGGATTGATTTGCCCATAAACCGTCCCTACCTTCTGAGATGCCGCCGGGCCACGACAATCAGTGTAAACATTTCCCGTAGCCTGATGAATTCCGTACTCCGCAAACGAGGTGCAGCTTGATAGTATATTCGTGCTACGAAGGTAGCGGAAACGATATGCCACAACTACTATAGACCGATGTCACCGGGAAACTCACAATAGGGACGCACTGATAAGCCTTGCGATAGGTCGATAATTGAGAACTGACAGCGTAACCTTGATTTTAGTTTCGCTCAGAGCACCGCGGTGGTTGTCTGTACATCCTGTTGTCTTTCATTTACGGGATGACATCAATCCAGAAGCGAGCTCAGAGATGATAGCATACGTAATTTGCGAGACAATCGGTGATTCGAAAGAAGAATAGGCCTCACCGAGGCTTTCCCGTCCTGTGGTGCATAATCGCAGCAATGTACTGAGTCATGTGTGATGGCTAATTGCAATTGATGTTAGGGTGTTGAGACGCCCAAAAAGGTAATCAGTCGATCGATCGGGTGTTTGTTTGTTTCTGAAGCTTTTGCCAAACACACCATAACTAGTATAATTCATTAATATGTGCAAGTTTGAAAACCATTTGAACCAGAAATTGAATTATTCCCTTACAATTACAATGTCAGAGCTTCCATTGTCATTTGTTTACGTCGACGGAACTAAGATCGCAAACAGGTATTGTTTTCCCAGGTCTCCGAGCTCCCCGAGCTGTTCCTAAGAATGGACCGCAACGCCCACAAACCGACAATAACTTGTTTGATATTGACGGGGCTAACTGTAAACTCTGAAGTAAGCATCTTCACAACTGACCATCCCAAACATGCTCCGAAAAGAGGTTCCTCGACCACCTAACTTCTGATGCAGTCCCACTTCCACCACCTTTGATTGCCGATCTTTCATCATCTCGGCAAATCACACCATCAGCTTCAACGGCAGCGATCATTTCATCTGCAAGTCCGATCGTGATATTTTCCTCGTGGGCGACGTGGCTTGTCGTCATCGCACCAGACATGGCAAGATAGCCTATCATTCGGGCGGTGAAAGAAGCATGCGTGTACGGCGGAGTGTGTAGGACAGATAAACCTGATTTGAACACTCTACTGCGGATAGGTGGTGACGTATATGCTGGCAGCTGGGGTAATACTTGTAGAAAAGTCGATGGTGGAATTAAAGCTGCGCAAATGTGTGCGTTCAGGAGCTCACTTGGGCAGTGTCGAGGAGGTTTCCTTACCTACGCCGCGAGCGCGATTCCACCCGCCCCAAACCTCATCCAGCCCAATAATCCCCCGTTCTTTCATCATTCCGATCGATTTCTGTCCGGGAATATCGTCGGGTGACCCTTGCAACACTCCCGCCAGTTCCCGCGCCAGTTCCTCTATCCATCTTCGTTCGTCCCTGATCATATCCAGCGTGACGGGAGCATTAGACATTTGTAAACCTAGTTGCGCAAGTGAAGAGCGTATAAATTTGGCTGATTCGGGCTCAGTCGAGGGGACAAGCGTGGTTGTTGAAAATAAACTCGGTGGTTGAGTGCCTGGCGCTGATGGGGAAGAAACCATCAAAAAAGGAGAAGTAAGCGTTGAAGTGGTGATTGTCGTAGAAGATGCAGTGAGTTTCTCGTTTAGCTCCCCCGCAAGGTGAACAAGACTCTTTGCTTTCATCATTAACGCTTCTAAGTCTTTCAGGGCATCGTTCAGATCCGTGTTTGTATTCTGGGCTGATTCTTCTACGTTACGCAAGATTCCGTCTTAATAACCAGTAATCAATGTCAGTGTTGGCAGTACCCACAAGATAAAGTTGCATTCCATACCTATTCCAGAGCGACGCATGGCAATAGGCGTTGGCCCATAATTAGAGCTTGGAGCGGAAAGGCTAGAAGCCCCGCTCCTCGCGGTCTGACCAATCCGCTTGCCCTGATCGTTATGCAATTAGTAATATTCAGCTTGGAAGGATGATGTCATGCTTGCCTCCCAAGTCTGAGATTTAAGTGCGCGCCTGAGCACGTTGTAAAATAATTTGTCGCCGCCCTTGCGGAAGCTTAATTTGATGAGGAGATTTGCAGGATCGAGACTGTCTCCTACGGGTGAAACTGGTCTAGATGGGGGGGCAGACTTTGCCCCCCTCGTATTCCCAGCGTGATCAATATTGGGAAGTGGTGTCGTGCATATTTCGCAGGCACGCAAAGATGGGTGATTAAGGAAGGTACATGCAGGACAAGTGATTCCATCGGAATTATCATTCGTTGATGGAGGTGATAAAGGTCCTGGAGAACTCGAGGAAGATAGAGAAGTATATGGAGAGTCGGAAAGGAAAGGGAACGAGGATTTACTGTGAGAGGATGGCTCCGACGCCGTTGAGCCTGCAAATGCGCTGCGCGGCACACCACATAAAGCACATATTCGAGCTGCGGTTGGGCTCAAACCTGGAGGATTGCGATGGCTGCAAACTTCGCACTCCCAGCTCTCGGATACTTCTGCTCCATGCCCGGATGTTGTGTTCAAAGTTAAAGCAGTATCGGCGTCCAGGAAGAGTGAGACCTTCGGCGAAGACTTGAACAGACCGGTGTAGTAAGTCGTCCGTAACACGTGGAGAAGATCCATAGTGAAAGAAAACAGTGCAGGGTTCTGTGAATGAACGAAGAATAGGCGATGCGTTGAGGCGTGAACAGAACCTAACTGGTGGTTGGGAGCTTTCTGTAGACTAATTGGCGATATGAACACAGAAGCCAGTGTGCCAGGTCGAACAGAGAAAGTACACGCACCCATCATAGATACCTACGCCATCCTGGGATGCCAGAAGTTCTTCATCGCCATAGAGGAGTGCGGAGACTGGAATGGTACCATCGATTGACACTGTGTACCGCCGAAGTGCCATGAGCACCGACCAATGTAATTTGAATCAGAAGACCAAGTAGCAGAACAAAGACTGTTGACGGGGATAAAGATGAAGGCTCATATGATATCGGAATGCAACTACACAGCTTACCGCTTGCACTCTAAAGATAGAAGAGGTCGCTCCTCTTTATGAATGGGCTCAATGTTCTCTCAATTCGATGCATTCGACTAGTTGCAGAAGTTCGTTACTGTGGCGAAGGTTGGTTACAGTCCCTGAGCGTCTCTCCGTGCTGTGTATTCGAGATTTTGTCAAGAGTTTAGGACGTCTGCATAGAATTGACGCAGATATGTAGCGTCGAGTGCTTAGTGTATGGACCCAGAACCGGGTATTGTCGATACTAATGACTCAGAGGAGCTCGAGAAGACATTTATGTACACATATTTATGGAGAAGCGCTAGCTTGTCCCCGCTGGCTCGGGATGACTCGGAATCCAGTTGTTCCTGCATGCGACCGCGAGCCTCTGAAACGTCGGTAGCCATGTTTCTTTGCCCAATTGAACTGCTTTTAACCGCACCATCGTTAGACTCATACGTGAATGCAAGACCGATAAGCGACAATATTAATCTCAGTGACTTGTTTTGCCTGCAACATAAGTACCTCCTGAAGTCCTGGTTCCGAGTCCGAAGTTCCCTCTACTAGCCGGGTTGTTTTTTCTGGACATTGTAGCGCATTCCTTCCTGCCCAGTGGGAGCCCGCAGGCACCCAACTTACTAGGAGAGGCTGCTGGCTTGCACCTAAACCTTTACGCGTTGCGGGATGGCGTTTGTGAGTCTCGCATTCGACACTATCTTTTTTTACTCACGTTATCTTGCCGCTTCATACCCGCTTTAAAGACTCCCTGCCAGCTGTTGTTCCAAAATCTGCCAACTTCACAGTAGACGACTTGGCATCAACGGTCACATGCACATCTCGCTCATGTCGCTCGTGGTCTGATTCCACTCCCACCCCTTTGCGGACTACCATCAAACGCTCACTGTTGTATTATTCGGAAGAAGTTTATTGGCCAGAACATCACTGACTATACAGCATAGAATCGTTTAATTAGAAGAAATTCCCAAGAGTTCTGCTGAATGTGTGGTATGTTCCGATTGTGCAAAATTATCGCTCATCCAGTGTCAGGCTCTGCTATCCATCTGCATTCTGGCTCACTTCTCATCGCTTCCATCGACCATCAATCCGGCTCTATTTTTTGTGGAAAATCTGCCGGATCCTATGATGACGCCTTGTCTTGTACAAGACTATTTTCTCAAGGGGTCGGTGAATAGCATTTTCCGCAAGTTGTTCCTCGGACCTCAACTAGAATCCACGTTCTTTGGGTTTCGCGATCTACTTTCGTACTGGGATGAACCCTGGGATCCTGCACTCCTTCTAATGGCAAAGAGGTTGGATCCACAATCATATCGGAAAATTACTTTCAAGCCGAGATCCTGCGAGTATCTAACACTCTCTTTAACCGCGACTAGCAGTTCATCTATTTGATACGCTGCCTTACTCATCACTCGACGGCAACTCCTCTGCGAGACCCGACCGGCAACAAGACAGGGTCTTGCAACGTGTTCTCCTTGCGTACTGGGTTGTATCAATAGGAAATGAAGACATGTGACAGCACTGAGTATGTAAGAAGTTCTAGTCTCCCTCGGCGCCGTATGGACCCGTGCCGTTCTTTCCCCAACCATCCCCAGAATGGTCCCTGCTGCACCGCCTCTACGATCCCCCTGATCCGTAGAGGTTAAGTTAGCCTCGCAGAGTTACCTCTCCACTCACATGGTGGCCACGTCTCCCGTTTGCCAAGCGTCCGCCTCCATTGGACACTGGAGTTTATGTTAAATGCCTGTGCTCGGACCCGGCTCGACACCACCCGTGCTTTTATTCGGCTTACTCGGATAGGAGCGTCGATACTACGTGCAACCATCATCTCATCTAATACATCTAAAAAAAGTCGAACCGGTCAAAACAAGTTTTGAACTTATTTTCAACAGAAGAAAGTTTCAATGTGAACGTAAACTAGGCCGTCTCTCAGATATACTATCAACAATCTGGTAGATCAGCACCGGTTTGGACAGGGCGCTCCAGGGCACCGTGGACCTGTTCAAATTCCATGACTTGTCGCTGAGAAAGTCTGTGCTGTACATCGCTAAATTGCGACTAGACTTGTACCTCTATCTCCATTGTTTCCACATAGATGACCGACCTCTTGTATTAGGACAATGTAGCAGTCATCAATGATTCACGACCGATCCAGCACTGGGACCTTTCGCCATCCAGTCGATTGTGATTGTTCAACAGCATATTGACATATGAGATCTACAGATGTTGGATTCAGCTCTGGTAGTAACTCTCTGGGCGATCACTCCACCCCGGAAGGGGAGGCTGGGACAAAGCCGCGGAACAGAGGTGTCCTCCCGTGCATCTCTCGTTAATAATAGCTAGGCAATTTATCAGAAAAAGATAAGATAGCTGGGCAATTACGACGCACTTACCACAAGTCGAGGCATAGCAACGTTACTATTACTTTTTCTTCTTTGGCTTTTTCTTCTTAACACCTCCGGTTGCAGGACCCGCAGGTTGTGGGACGAATGGAGATGACGAACGCGTCGGGTCTGCATCTTTAGTGATATCAGGTATGCCCAGGGCGTGTGCGATCGGTGTAGGGCGTTTATTCTGCATTTTCTGCATTAGCGATAGATTCAAAGCTTCAAATCGATTGAGGAAGATTGAGGAGTAAGTTTTGAACTTGATGCACTGCGAAGATATATAAGTAAGATGTGGATAGAAGCGAGATAGCGACGCACTGTCGTGTCATCTGTAATTTTCAAGACGAGCTTGCCCTCTGATGATCTCCACTTCACGCAGTATCGAGCCTGTGTGTACAAGATCGGCGTCAGACGGAGATAGACGTCAAAGATACGAACCTTGTTGGGAGACTTTGCGTATAGATTTTCAGCTGCTTCCTGATACTCTTGCCAGGAGGCGATGTATACCATGCTCGCATGAGCAACACACGTACGGTCTTTCGATCGAGTCCATTTGGTAAGGCAAAGCAGTAGTCACAAGGAGTCACGCTGTCACATATCAACTCCACGGAACAGAACCGATTATCCAGGCGAATTTATAGCACGCGTTCTACATCCACCAGTAGACTCTTGTCACTTGAACAGGGTTTCTGTTTTGTTCCTTCTTGACTTCATCTATATACCTCTTATCAACCAAAACAATAATGGCTACTGATCAGCGGAAACGTGAGCTAGACATTTACCCCACACATGCAGCATCATGCTGACAGAATAATTATAGCACTCCCTTTCGTTGCGAATTTCGCTGCTGGCGCGATTGCTGGTGTCTCAGAGATTTTGACATTTTACCCTCTAGGTGAGTCCAATTCATCTAATGAGATGTCCGCTCACTTTTAGTTTAGATGTTGTAAGTATTTCTCTACATACGGCGCTTGAATCGATGACGGAGCATGTCTCAGGTAAAGACTCGGATGCAACTTGAGACCGGCAAGGGCAAGCACGGAATGGTCGGCACTATGTCGTCTATAGTGCGGGAAGAAGGGTAAAGCATGCCATTATGATGCTCACGCGACTATTACTTATCCTCGCCAGTTTCGGCCGACTTTACCGAGGTCAAGAATACTCCTACAGTCTTCATTGCGGGGCCTTAAATATTATTTACAGGCTTGGTCCCTCCTCTTCTTCTCGAGGCGCCAAAGCGTGCGGTTAAGTTGTGAGTTAGGCTCTCGCAAGAATTCCGATGCATCGTCTCACTCCCTCGCAGCGCCGCTAATGACTTTTGGGGAAAGACTTATATGGGCTTATCCGGAGACTCTAAGATGACACAACAGCTCTCCATCTTGACGGGGTGTAGTGCTGGTGCAACGGAGAGCTTCGTTGTCGTTCCATTTGAGCTTGTCAAGATTAAGTGCGACTGTCGCTATCATACATCCCCTTACTATGTTCTAACCCTTGAAAATAGGCTGCAAGATAAAAGTAGTACATTTGCTGGTCCCATTGATGTGGTCAAGCAGATTCTCAGAAAGGAAGGTCCACTTGGTCTCTATGCTGGCATGGAGGCAACCTTCTGGAGGTCACTTGATCCACAATATATCGCCCCTAATTACTGACCAAAGCGAACAGGCACTTATGGTGGAATGGTGGATATTTTGGATGTATTCATCAAGTCCGTAGCATAATGTCACCTGCCGAGGCAAGTCTTCAATAATTCGTCGTGGTATTTTTCTCATAGCCTGTCTTAGACGCAGCAAGGGCAATTGTTCAATAATTTCGTCTCCGGCAGTGTAGGTGGCTTCGTTGGAACTGCTGTGAACACCCCGTGAGTTGCAATCCAAGAAATTCCGTGAAATGGGACTGATGTGCCTCTCAGCTTCGATGTATGCTTTGCTTTTGATTCTTCAGTCCCGTGAATGACGCGGCTATGTGTAAATTTAGGTCGTGAAGTCTCGCATTCAGGGCGCTGCTAAGGTCCCGGGAGTTGTCTCGAAGTATAACTGGACATACCCTGCGTACGTTTCTCCTTGTGCTGTCGGATGAGATACTTGACAATGTAACAGACTCATGACGATCATGCGCGAGGAGGGCCCTGCAGCTCTTTACAAGGGCTTCTTGCCAAAGGTTCTCCGTTTAGCACCTGGAGGTGGTGTCTTGCTCCTGGTGGTTGAGTTCACCCTTGGAGTATTCCGGCAGGGTGAGTATCCATGTATGTTATCTGTCTGCCATAAACTGACTTTTGTTGGAAGCCCTTGGTCCACCTTACATCTAGGTTGTGGTCAGCACTCCAACGCGAATGGCGACGTGGAGCTGATGGGGTACACCACACTGGAGCACTTTCGTTAACATCTTTACGCAGTTCTATGAAGCTGAAGCATAATTCTGAGCAGATTTTACCGATCTACGGCTTGTCCGAGGCTTTGAAAGATTGCTATATTTGATCTGCAAAGGGCGTGAAGCACGTACATGTGCAAGCGGACGAGTATTAATATTGTGCATTACGGGCTCAGACTTCAAAGCTCCACAGTGCACAACTTTGTCAAAACTAACTGATAGAATGGACTCCGCTCTAAACATCAATGACCTCGAGGTGGCCGTGATATATAGCATCCTGGATGAAAGTCACTATGCCGGGCTTTCTTAGGAGAAAAAAAGCACGGAGAACTGCTAACACAGAACATCGCGTCATACAACTGGACATTTCTATCAATGACAAGTGTGGTGTGGGGTTAGGTCCATGAACACATCGTCAACGTTTGCATTGGGAACTCGACACAGCGATTCTGGGGACCAGCTGTACTCGATCGTTTGTTGTGAGGGTTTTGGTAGTATTGGAAAGATTCTGGCCAAGCATTCATCAAGAGATAGAGGTGCCCATCAGCGACTGCATCAAAAATTGTTCTGGTATAGAGACCGTTTTGAAATAGTGGACGTCAAACCTGAACCATGCTTGAACTTTGTCCCTGAGGAGTTGGAGACGTTCCGAAATAGGGGTGTGGTTGTTACTGGAGACAGGGAGCAAATGTTGGCCACCGAGTTCACCGGTGTATTGAAGATCTGATGATGATGTGTACGGCTGGAGAAGGTCCTTGTGGGCCGTGTACCTGTAAGCCTATGGTCAGTATAAAGGTCCATCTTGAACAACAACGATAACATCAAAATGAATTGTAGCTTACGGAAGTACAATGAAGAATATCTTGCCAAGGAAGGAAGCTCAGGATGTAAGAGTGGAGTTTTTCAGCAAGGGACATCAACTCTGCTTTGGGCTCGTCGGCTTGGTTCATTTTCATGACGCTCATCTCGAGATCTAGGGTGGGGAAGAAGTGTGAAATTTGAATTTCGCTAATCTTGTGAATGAAAAGTCCAAATAATCGACATTAGTTAGTAATATGTATCGTCCCCTCTCGGTCTGTTCTCCGACCTCCAAAGGCGGCAGAAGATGGTGCAGTCTATATATTGCAGAGTGCCCAAAATTCTGTTCACATTCCACTTGATATGGAACCGAACCAAATGATATGACCTTGGGTATTTGGTTCTGTTATTTTCAAAAGCTCTTGATAAACAAAGTCAATTAGAAACTCCGCGGAGTTTGATGGCGGATGCTAGCGGATGTTTCAGATTCACGACGACTGAATTACATGTACCCGCATGTAGGAACTTCGGAATTCGAGGAGCGATCCGTTATGGTATAAAAAGGCTAACGCCACAGGGGTTACGCCACCGGATCAATCCGAGTGACCCCCGTCGTTAAAATGTCGACTTCAAATTGGACCTGTCCACCTACACATCCATTTATCCCCGCTACCCCGGGCGATCGACGTTCTCCTTGTCCAGCGCTCAATGCGCTAGCAAATCACGGGTACTTGTGCGTTTCTTTTTGTTCCTGTCTGTAGTTCCAAAGCTAAAGCATGACCACCAGGCCCCGCAATGGCCAGAACATTGGATTTTGGCATCTTATATGCGCAGTCCAAGAAGTGTACAACCTGTCCTTTATACTGGCAGCCTTACTTGCCTTGGCAGGAATCCTGTTTTGTGGTCATGCCTTCCGTCTGGACCTTGACGCACTGGCGATACACAACAAAATTGAACACGATGCGTCCCTGGTTCACGCAAACGCATTGGGTCAACAACGTGCACCTACCGAGGTCGACCCCGAACTTCTAAAGTCGTTTTTAAGTCATGCAGATCCTCGACGAGGCATGAGTCTGTACCACCTCGCGCAAGTGCGCATTTGTCGTGAAGCCCAGCTGTCTCGTCCACTCGACGTCATCCATTCCCAGATCGGTTCTGGTGAGGCAGCTTTATGTTGGCTGCTTCTCAAGCAAGACAGTGGTTGCATTCCGTCGAGCACACTTTTACAATGGTTCGGGGAAGAACGTCTGCCGGACAATTGGGTTCGACCACGTCATGTTATAGGGCTGCTTAACGCGCGCTCAAAAGCGGTGGAAGTGGCCAACATCATGACGAAGTCTGCTTGCCATCGTGCACCGTCGTCTTCTAACACGAATGTCCATGCTTGGGGATTAAGGAGAATACTCAAGAACCCATAGAACATTAGTGTAATATATAGAGCCTTCTATCTGCATTCTACCGTGCATCTTTCCTGACCTTGAAGAAAGGATACAGTTTTTTTCAAGGAGCTTTTGTGCCGTTGGTCAAGTTTTCGTCCATAGCTGACTTGGTGGCTGAGGAGACTGATTTCATCCTAGCATAATATAAAGGAACGGTGACTGTCTTCCTTCTGTCATGGTCTGCCTAGGGGAGACTACCATTCTATATAGGAACAAGGCAGAGCTGTTGTCATAACTGCTAGCGGGTTCACGACAATGTATAAATTTCGGATGCATCAACCAACTTAGGGGGCCGCAGCTCCGACCTTCACCAGTGCTGACAGTTGCACATGTGCACTTCTCGCTAATGAATGTTTCAATATCTCCAAGCTCTTGAGTCAAGTGGGTCCCACCAGCTCCTCCGAGCCTCATTTAGTCCCCATCCCCGTTGATATTATCCTTTCATCCAACTCATGCTATATGTTTACACGCCCGACTCCAATGACACGAAGATCTATATATGCTTCACCACACCCTACATCCTTGTTAGCCTACTATCACTCCTGGGAATCTGCAACTGGCATGTAATATGCAAAATGTTCAAAACACCTCAATGCGCTGCTTGAATCACCTCGAAAAAATTCATGTGTATGTAGGCTACTTAGAGATGATGTACTGTCCAAGTAGAATAAATTTTTCTTGAGTGTTGCAGCTGCGAGAGACAGAATAGTGGTGATTTGCAACCTTGTATAATCATAAATGATCCAGATCCCATAGATCCTAGAGAGATATTCAAAAAGTTACACCCGGAGCATATCAAACACCCGTCAGGGTGTCAGAACACAATTTCGATGGAGGCCATTCTCTTGTTTTAAGATGCTATAGACACAGGATTGACGACATGTATGAAAGCGTGACAGCATAGGAGAGTGTGTAAGAAATTCAATCTCCTCTAAGTGAAAGTTGACGGTGACTCGCACAAGTGTGTACGCGCATAGGCCTGTTTTGCGTATTTAAGTTCGCTTTGCAAATTAGTGGACCTAACAATTTAGGCCTCTGTGATCTAATCAGCGTACGTTATCCATTGCCTACTCATTAGACCGCTCGTTCAATATCGCCACTGTGGATGCAACACTATCCTGAATCCTGATACTGTGCCACAAAGTATCGTTCACGCTTTGACCCGGACTTACATTATTCAACGACCACAGACTACGTATTTATTTTTATTGTCCATGGATCACAACCTGCACTTCCACATTTTGCTTTGACCGTTTTCCTACGTATATAAACCTGCGTGTCTTCTCGTATCTCCATCGAGTCCAGTCTCACAGGTTCTCGCTCATTTCCAGCCATCAAACTCTAAGTCAAAACGTCTCTCACTGATCTTTCTCGCTGCGCACCTTGTGGCAGACATACATGTCTTCTCAGGAACCCGCCTCCCGCCCCTTCTACCGCAAACTCCTTGCGCCATTTTGGCGCAAGAACGCAACTGATGCCCGAGATGTTGATGTAGGTCTCTGTATCTTACCCCCCGCAGCCGACTTGAAGATTGCCATGCAGAGTCCTTCTGAACCTTCCGGATGTTGTCCCCTCGTGCAAATGCCCAGAAGACGTGTACATTTCGGCCGTTGTAAAGTGGTATGCTAGGTTGATTGTCACTGTTTAAGAGGTCTCACACAAATTTAGTGCAAGTACGATCCGCGATTCCCACCGCTCCGAATTGCCCGCCTACGTGATTGGGTCAACGATGTCGATGATTTGGTGCCTGATGAATACTTTGATCCTGTCCTCTAACTTGGAAGCGCTGTGACTATGGCATGCGCACCTGTAAATTCATGTACTCGGTATTATGGTACAACAGTTGCTCCAATCCACTTCAAGAACAACGATAGGCAGTACAGCGAGAAGCGTACTGTATAGGCGCGCATCTTTTTTGATCAGAGATAGGAGGGGATTCTAGGTCAATGCCAATTGATGTCGCCTGTGTACGGCTTCGAGGATGTAGTTAAGGAAGTGGAACTTACCAATCCAACTTTAGCGGAAGCGGTAATGGTATCTCGCTCGAGGTACATACATAATGTCCCAGAGGACATCCATTGGGAAACGAGAGCCGACAACGGAGAATCGATGTTTGCGGTACCAAGTAGCGGCACTATCGCCATATGTCTCAGTCTAAGCCACACCATGAGTTCCCGACGCATTGCCTACACCATTGAGTGAAGTGAGAATCGAGTTGGCACAATTAGAAGACTGACCTTTGCAGTTTTCTCCATAGCTCTCCTATGATCGACCTTGAAGACACTGCCGGATATTAGATGGATGATTGATGAGCTCGGGCAAGTTGGTCAGACAAACTTCCACTGTGCTTCCGCTGGACTCCAAGTCGATGATATGCCGATAAACTGTGCCAAAGAAACCAGTTGAATGGAAAGTGTTTGAACGACCACAATATCGAAGCTGTGAATATATCACGGTACGTTCGTTAGCCTGCGTCTTGGGTTATGGAATGGAGGGAGAAGGGCATCGGAGCTTTGACCGTGGTCTGTACATCTCCTAGCATTTAATATGCATTGCATTACTTCGCCGCATCCACTGTTGTTCACAATGACACATCTTTGTTCTGTGGCTGCAAATATGCGTTATCGTGCCATTGTCTTATCAGTAGCAGGCCAAGTGAGATTTCGTGCATGGGACGTTGTGCGGTAGAGGTGCATCGTTCGTTCTTGAAACATGGTGCAAAGGCAGGCATCATTCTAGCTTGCGACTGTCCGTGGACGTACGGGACGATAACGTATCTACCATGAGGTACTCCCCAGCTGCGCAGATACCAGCTGACCAAACCAATAATAGAGAAGTTATGCAAAAGAAGCTGATTGATTGTCCAATCTCCAACCACGATCCTGCGTCAATACGTCAATTCAACGCAATCTGACCACGGCTAGCCCACTCACCAGTATCCGTGACGTTCAGGAAAAACGACATCGTCATCCCTAGTCCAGAAGTCAGCGATCACTGCAGGTCGAAAAGGCCGCCACAACCCACCATCAGTGAGCGTCAGAGCAACTAGAAATAGTGAAAACGGCGGCAGGTGGAGCTTTGCATTCAAAGTGGCAAAAACAGCCGACAAAATCACATATGGAGCGACGATTTTGAATATCTGTGACAATCCCGTTAGGTTTCTGGTACGTGGGGTTAGACTTGAAGAACCCACCAGTAAAGCTGCCATCAAGAATGGATTAAAAATTGGCACTAGACGATAGACAGGTTCCAAGTAGAACGATCTACAAGACGTGAACAGCAGTGCTGGATCAGCTCGTTGGAGAAACTCACGAAATTGAAGCAACACTGGAAATAGTCGATCATCAACATCGGTACTACGAAGGTGAGTCTTGTCTATCACTCACTTTCCGGTTCCAAAGAAAGCCACCTGAACGAAAAACAAGAAAAAGAGTGCTATTCTGATATCATCTGTGCGAAACTTGTATCCTTGGTTCTGCGAAGCAGCCCCAGCTCGATTTGACTGGATGGCTCCTTCAACTTCTATCCATACAAGTAAATTGCATGTGAAGGCGGCATAGAATAGGCCTTCAACACTGATCGAAAGAATGATAAAGCATACGCCGAAACCCAGGAAGAGCGATATGATTCTGGAGGTCGGGGTGCGGTGCTGCGCTTTGGAGATGAATGGATGTATCGACGATACAACTAAGAAAGCATGGAAAATCAGATGAAGAACTGATAACAATCAGTCGGCAAGAGTACCAAGTATGACCCATGCTAGAGTCTGGTTGATGATTGGCAATCCCTGCTTCGCTTGTAGACTTTTCACCGAGCTTGCAGTAATCGCCATGGTGAGTAAGATAAACGACACCTTACAGACGGATTAGTGAACTGCACGGCAATATTCGCAGCTGCCTACCTGGATGGTCTCGGATAGTTTCACGGCTTTCGGAACACCATTCGACGCCAAACGCAAGCAACCTGCGCCAACTGCAAGGATTGTCGCTCCTCCACACATACTACCACGTAGGTGAGCTATGTGCAGATCCATGACACTATGCGCTCACATCATATATATATTCTCTTTCTTGTCAACACTAAGAAGAGGGAATATGCCAGTCGCAAGACAAGTACTCATCCAAGAAAGTAAGAGCCTCGGCTTCTGCGACCAAATATCACTTGGCCACGAAGCATACGGCCATAAAGTGCCCATAACCAAGAAACCAACGCTCCAGAGCGACCGGTGAGTGTAGGCAGCCTGGATCATTCATAAGTCAAACAAGCTTCATGATATGAACAGAGTCCGACGCACAACCATACACTGGAGCACAACCACCACGATAACCAAGTGGAATAGCACTCTGCCGGTAAAAGGTCCGGGTCTGCTGCTCAACTTAAATTGTTGCACAAAGACAGGAACTCCATGAAGCGCGAATTGCTGCCAGAAGTAGCAGGGGAAAGTCACGTAGAGATAAAATGTCCACGGAGCTTTCTGTACAGCAAAGAGCGCCCAGAATATTACTAATACACCTGCAGCGGCAATTCTGACTATGGCGCGTTGACTGGCTGTGACCGAGGAAATAGGCGGAGGTAAGATCGACAATGATGCATAAGCAGCCCATCCCAGATAGGCCGTCATGACGATGACCCGTATGAGTACTCGATCATACCTGCGTCCTGTCAGCAGTCGTATCAAGCGAAAGACGAGCAGCTTACGTTTCAAGATACCGAAGACCTTGGAGAGTGATCTTGATGAGTTCAGCTGTCTCTTGACGAGCTTCAAACCATTTCCCATCATTGATCAGATGTTCTATCTTGGATACCCAAGCTACTCTTGACGGCTTCCCATCTTGACGGAGTTCTTCCAAAGGTTCAAAAGCCTTGTATAAAATGGTTTGCGCAGCTTTCGATTCTGCCAGGCAACCGGTTATAGGAAGGAAAACTCGATAGCGTATTTAAGGCGCACCGTGTTTCACCAGGTAGTGTTCTAAAATACTTTCCGCGTTTGCCAATGCAAGGTGAGCCAAGGCTGATTCTCCCCCTCGTGGTAGCAAGTAGCCAGGTTGCGTAGGGTCTACATCAGGGAGAACTCCCACTGAATTCACCGGATAGTTGATACCAAGCAGTGCAGCCATCAGAGGTGCAAGATCCGCCTGTTCCACGTCTCGTCGAAGAAGGTCATCCAGTTGCCAGGGCCGAGAGTAATCATCGTGCGAAGAAGGTATGCTGTCAGGAAGTGGGCCCCTGACGCCCCGCCCCCATGCAATTAGTGGTGTACGCGTGTTGTCTGGGTCTGCAAACCCCTTGAGAATCTCATTGTTAAAACTGACAAAGCGCAGACCTCACCGCCATCGCCATGATTGCCGATCTTGGACATACCGTGGTCAGCGGTAAATATGAAGCTCGTCTCTTCATCGTGGTAGAAGTCAGAGAAAAGTTCTTCTGTTTGTTGGACGATGCGATCAACGACTTGGATATTGTTCATGTACTCCTGCAAGGGGATGAATCGATATAAGCGTACTGATAGAGATACTCACCTTGGAGTGTGGCCTGTACGAGTGACCAGTGGTATCCAGACCAAGGAGGTGCAGGAAGAACACCACTTTGTCAGCACGCAATTGTGAATCAAGCGAGGCGTCCGATGATGCATTCTGGAACAACGTCCGAAGTTGGTCTATTACCCAGATATCTAGAGCGGTGGCATCTGTCCAGCCAATCTGACTTAATAATACGACTGCAGTAGTTCTGAACTTTCATGCCTTTGGTAAAGTCTTCGTCCTCCTCATCATAGCTCCAAGCGTCAACTTTTCCGGGGGTTGCACCTTGGGCGAACATTGGTAATATATCTGGAGAGCCGAAGGAGAAAGTATGGCCGGATTGATTGAACACAGAGTCAAAGTGAACCTGGGGGAGGAATAAAACCATGTCTCGCGGTGTCCATTGCTACGATACTGACCGGATTTGTTTTCCAGCCCTGCCCCGTGAGTCTCCTCAGTATATAATAACAAAAGAAATTTTGAATCTTTACCTTGGTCACCGCAGAGACATCCTCATACATACCCCCTTATATTTTCTTCACTTAACCTAATGACTGATATATTAGGCAACGACATACCAATGATTGCAACATGCCCAGGTCGACTTTCCGTTGGTACTCGAGTGTGCGACAATCCAAATGCCCCTCGTGTCTGGACAATATCGCGCAAATAAGGCGCTATGATTTGTGGGGAGGAAGGTACCAAAGAGAACGCGTTTACACCAAATAGAAGGTCTGCGCGTAGACCGTCTCCTGAGAGAAACCGTTCAATTGGTACAATGGACAATGAAAGCAATACTTGCCCACAATGAGAACGACCCGTTTTGCTTCCCCAGGACCAGCCCTGCGAGGAAGCATGCCATGAACGACTGGGCTAGTGAAGTAGCAGTCAAAAACAGAAGCAATGAACACGACGTGGAAGACGAGTCCCAGTGTTAGCAGCCTGAAGACATTCCTATGGGAGGATACTAGCACTGTCATTTGTATACTCTAAGTCTCGGACTAGACTTAAGTAGATGGCATATCTTAAGAGTCTAGACAGACTCTTCTTGAGACATATATGTGTCAACAGTCGCAAATAATGTATGGAATTTCAAATTCTTGATGTTCACGACATCATATTAATGTCCCCATCCTAGGCTTTGATTGATGATGATCAACTACGAAGGCGTATGTTGTCCTTGTCGCAGCCGCGAAGAGCATTCAAGCCATATTATGTACTGTAAAACATAATTATTTTTTCAGTACTCGTTGGCCTAGCCTTCCACCAATCAGCAGCCATTGGTTGCAGGCTTCTTCATGACGATCCCAATTATCTGTCAAAAAGATGGCGAGTAGGGAGTACATCCATCTTGGTCAGGATATGATCGATCATCGGGCAGGTAAAAAGCGTTCAGATGATCCTCAGCCGTAAGTCTGTATGCCTATAATCCATTTGTACGCGGTTTAAATAGTACTGTCTTGCAGCTTTCTCAGGTTCAACTCTTGAAAGTCATCTTCCTACGCGAGTGGTTATCATATATGGCACCCAGAAATCTGACTCCGTTTGCGGGGACGAGGGATCTAGTACGCCATCCACACGGCTTACAGATGCTATTCATGTTAGGGTGTGGTTGGAGTGTGGTTCCCTTTTCGCAGTTTACCGAAGTGCGAAGGATCGAGATCCGTGGTCGGCTCTGCTTCTAAACGATGAAGGAGGATATGCCGAGGTGCCATGTAAGGAAGGAGACCTGTGGTGTATTGGCCTATTCATCGACAACAATGGTAAAGACTCGTTTTTAATCGTTACCCACAGTTAAATCCCGTCAGGACACCATGGGGGGTCTTCTGTTCGACATGCCAATGCATCTAGATGTTCCATCCCACCCTCAGACCAACCGACAGAGGATCCAAGCTCAGACTTTTTAGCGTTTTACAACCCCGTCATGTTCATGTCGTCAGTTTACTGCCATACGTGCTCATCACTCAATCTCACAGTTCTAACCTCGATCTCACTTCACAAAGTTTGGAATTGAAAATGTTGCTCGTCCCACTCTCATGTTGCACATCTCCTGATCTAGTGCCTTGCTTTTCCCTGGCATGTACCTGGTGAAATTCCGGAATTGCTATCACAGGATGCGAAATTGTATTGCGCTGCTGCCCAAGATTGGTTTATGCAGACACCCGTGACAGCCGAAATGCACTGGCGCTAGATAAAATCAGGGGGTTAAGGTAGTTCACGTTAGTTTTGAATGTGCTGGGGATGACCAGTTACCACGTCTCTGACCAAAATGAACAAATAGCCTTAAGGGAACGTGCGCGCGTCCTCATCAGGTGGTAGTGATAAAATCGGGTAAATTGACTGCTCAAATGGGTCACGCCAGTAGATGAGAGCGGGGACGAAGTCAGTCTTCTAAGGTGAACTGTCATCGAATACGATACGCGTATGAACTACTTTCAGTCTGGTATCGGATCAGTGCATGCGCTATACATTCTACTGATCGTGTGTTTTCCTGCGTACCAGACAACAAAGAGATGGACAACGATGTATACTTGACTATGATACACAATTTGCATGTGCGACAAGGCCCGATACCGAGTCCTGGAGTGACGCCGCGTGTATGAATGGTTATAGTTATCGTCCCGACGGTGTGTCGTTGTCTCCCCGGCGATGCCATCCGAGCGTCGATGTTTCTCATGCAACCTCCGGATAATTCTGCATCATGCGCCTGATCTCCGTTTCCGGAATCCTCGTCTCAAACACGATTTCGCACGGCCGTTTTGACAACTCCCTGTTCATGTACCCCATGTCATCCAATGGCTTCGTAGGATCCAGAGCAAGTCGGAAGGCCCAAAAAATAAGGAGTGAGTTGATGAACACCGATCTTCATTGGTCGAAGTGAGCTCGGAAGACGATGTGCATGGAAGGATAGCTTTACCTGTTCGCGACATGTTGACCAGGGCATGCACTGAAAGGAATGTCATTCAAGAACGAATAAAGCAAAGAGGGTGCATACCGCCGTCCAAACCCGAAGGCGAAGAATTTTAGATCGTCTCTCAGGCGACCTTGATCATCAATCCAGCGCTGGGGTTTGAACCCGTAAGGCTCAGGGTAGACTTCTGGATCTCGAGAAATGGACCTAAGGCAATAACCATCAGTTCCGTCGTAGCTTGAAGCACGATGCTCACCAATGATTGCCGAATACCGTAGTCCCCGCTGGAATACAATAATTTCCCTGAGGCCAGATCATCATTCGCACGATAGGATTTTCGGGAATTACTTGCCCAAATCACGTCTTTGGTTGTTCGGTGAGCCAATCCTGCAGTGTGAATGTAAACTTCAGGGACAAAACCACGACAAAAATACATACCATTTGAAACCAGGGGTCTCCATCTCAAAGCCTCAGAAATGAAGGCGTGCAGGCGAGGAAGGGATTTTTGGTCGGCAAAGGTCGGCGCTTTAGAGCAGAAACCGTTGAATTTACAGAACGGTAACAGGGAATCGAGCTACCTCGGTGCCTTCCGATGACCGCATCGAGCTCTGCTTGAACTGTAGCTTGCTCCTCCGGGAAACATGCGGCTGCCATGAGCACCGTGCATATCGCTGAAGAAGTCTTTCACCTGATTTCAGCCACGTATCCTCAGAGACGACAGAACAACACCTCACCGTAGTGGATCCAGCTCCAAAAAAGGCACCAGGAAGAGCGGCCATCTCAGACTCTGTCAAACCAAAGCGATCGCTACTTTCAAGCATATATTTTGCGAACGAAGGACCGATGTCCACATTGTTCTGCTGTGGAATAACTTAGACATTTTATGTAAGAATCGGCAAGGCAAGACATACCATTTGTTCTTTCACGCGGTTCAACTGACCCACGTTGAGTTTCTTGCCCCTCTCAAAACCCCGTTTTACGTCTTGACCATACCAAGGAAGGTATTTGAGCCAGGGGATCGAGTTCACCAAGTAAGCACCAGGGTGGAGCATTCTATTAACCATCTTGACGACTTCGGTAATCTCAATGACTTCAGGATCAGTCGCAGACGTGGGCGCATTCTTCCCATATGCAACTTTCATAATTGTCGTCGCAGCATAACTTCAGGATACCTCTGAGCAATGTGCTATCATATCCGAAAGCGCTTACGTTTGCACATGGTTTTGGAAGTTGCATGGATCATCAAGGATGTCGAGGACAGTCTTCTTCGCGTGTGACATCTGCAGGGGCTGATAAGTCTCAGCTGCTTTAGGCTGAAGATGCGTATGGAGTGCTCTGCGCCACGTTGAAAAGTAAGATAGGATAGAGGAAAGTATGGCGGATTACTGACCTACGCATGCGACGAAACCTGACCCCAAAGGCTGCAACGGCGACGCTAATTCCGCCGCCGAAAATTTCTCCAGCGCGAGGACGATCAGCTAGTGCTTTGCCCTGAGTCTCCATGATATCCACCACGGCCTGTAACAGAATGTTGAACCTGGATATGACGAACTCGGCGTGGAGGGACTGACTTTGTAACGGCCAATAATAACGATATTCTCAACTCTTGACCGAATAGTGATTAGAGGGCCGTATTCAGTCAATCCATCCCGCTATAGTGAGAAATGAGCTGATCAGCGATAAGACGCAATCAGCGTTAAAATTAATGAGTCAACTATGAAAATTTACCTGCGAGGCGGCAGGAAGTGCCCACGAAGTCTCCAGGTCGGAGGAGATGGTGGGAGAGGAAGGCCAGTCTTTGATTTAAAAAGGTAAACCCAAGAAGTTACTCCTATTATCCCAAGACAAGCCGCAGCACGAAAGACGAGCTGCATGTTGTCAAAGATGGACAGGTTAGGCGGATGCAGCATGGCTAATGGGAGAAAGCGTAAGGAAGGCTCGGAGGGAACTCAGATCGCAAGTCACGGTCCTTTTAAGTAATGATCGCATGCCACTCGTGGCTACCCTGAACATGATACTGGCCACCTGTACCCGGGGCATGGATTTGATGTTGCTGGCCTGCAATAGTACCATATGAGCATGTGGTAGTTTTCAAGACACCCAGAGTAAGTCAATATGTTGACTTCCCGAGACTTTGCGCCAGGATTACGGACGAAGGTTCATTGCCACGTCTAAAGCCATGAGTTAGCCGGCCGACCAGCCACGCTTGATTAGAAACTACATGCCAAACGGAAACGGTCGCTCATTCATTCGGCAATATGTGGAAGGGTAGCGGCTACCTGTAGCTACCAGCTACCCTGCCACATACGTCTGAAACGCGTTCTCAGCGCACTAAAACCCCTGATTTTCGTCCCTTTTAGGTCAACATGTCCTAAACTGGGCGAAATAAACTGTAAATTGAGTGGGGCCAATTATGATACTTAATATGCCTTTAGTATTTAATATTCTCACCGCAGGTGGGAGCATGACAATGACCTCTTGTGCATAGCGTCTGGCTAGCTGGATGTGATTCACTGATTACGGTACAAAGTTGCCTTGTTTGGAAGGTAGAGCAATCATTGAAGAGAGAGAGAGAGAGAAATTCTATATTTATATACCGCAACAAACAAAGTGAGCTGTTAAGACGCGGTGCCCTGTTAGGGCTGTGCTGGGGAGTGTTGTAACAGGGTGAGGGATGTAGGTATAGTACGAATAGCCAAGCGGTCCGCGTTTGATGAGTTTTGGTGTGCGTGTGGGCTCGTTTGGTGAGCAATCATTGAAGATAATTTAGACAAAATCAAAATCAAGCTTACTGAGAAGCCAAAAGCCAAGCTTGTGGTACAAAGTCGAAACTGAAATCCAGAATAACAATTTGTTCAGTATGGGCCCCCAGAGTGGTGTGGATCGTAGATTCGAGTCCCTCGAGACGTGGCACAAATGGAATAGGATTCGCTAAATGAATTGCAAGCGAGTCCTTATTTGTGATCGCCGGAGGTGCGTACTGCTGGCAGGGCTGCGATGTCATATCCACACCCCGGGTACAGGTGCCCATCTTCAGGGTAGCTATGATTAGGATGGGATGGAATACTTAAAAAGATTCATTCATAACTTGAATGCACCGTGACTTACGATGAGTTCCCTCCAAACCTTCCTTGCGCTCCTTCCTCAGGCATGCTGCACTCACCCGACTTGTGCATCCGACAACATGCAGCTCATCCTACTCATCACTCTCAGTCTCGGCCATAATCCCGGCTATCAGGCTATGATATCAAATAGTAAGCGCAGTCCGAATCCGACGCAAAGCGCACTATGTGAGTTACGTGACTCAATGCATTGATTTGCACAGCAAGATACATCCTGGTCTATGATTCTGTGATCGGTCTGGTGGATATGAGTGGATATGCGATGCTATCATTACGCCAAAACCTGTCAAAACAGGGATGAGAGGGAGCATGGGGAAAAAAGAAGACTCGGACGCGCCTGTCCGACCGCATGACCATTGACCGTGCAGCTCAGCTTCTTGTTTGTAATGAGCAGTGTAGCCGCCAACCTGGTCCTGCCTTCCACCAATGATTCGACGACCACCGAGAGAGCGTCCCGCAACTTGACCATACATAGTACGGCGCTGCCTATTCTGACTGATGGTCGACGCACGCCTTAACTTCATTCCACACCCACAACAGACATGGGGACGTTGGTACTCGGACTCGACCTACAAAGAATTCAAGTTAGTTATACGGGACTGTCGTTGCTACTTTTAGCGAATGTTCAATTCCGCCTTGCATCAGCGTCGTCGGGAGCTTAGTTGTAAAAGGTGTAGATGACACCACTCGAATTGAGCATCCTGGAGCTGGGGACTGCTCTAGATATTGCAGTTTCTCGGAGTCATCAGACAATCGCATTAACGACGGAGGGCATGACGCAGAAAACCGAGAAGTAGGCATAGAGGAATACAGTATGCATTCGCTCGAAATATATTTCCCCGTGTTAGCCATGTGTATGAACACAACTGCTCAACGACGATGCTTTCATCAGCCATACCTTGGCGTATGAATATAGATACCATTGAGCATACGTTTTGCAGGGATATGACAAGCCATTAATCATATGCGTATGGCAGACACTGCAGATGGCCCTGGCAAGAACTCCTTCGCGTTCCCAATCATCAGAAGGCCAACTTCGATAGGCGTCAGCGAACTGCATCACGGAAAAGATTCCTTCACTTACTTATCAGTCCGAAGAGTCCCAGCACGCTTCCAAACACTTCTACCACGAGGACCTTCACGAAAAGTGTAGGATCAGATGCGTCAGCGAGCGCAGCAGTGCTGCCAGCGACGCCGACGCAAATGCCACAGAGAAGATTGCAGAATCCAACGGTGAGCCCTCCAAAGAATAGCGCATAGCCTGTAAGTCGATGAGTGACAGTCAATGATGGTGTAAAGAGGCAAGGGTACCGGTGAAGTAGTTGTCTCTTGTGTAGAGCTGCGCTTCAGGCACGACTTGAAGTTTGGCTGAGTATACGATACCCATGATCTACCATCGAGAGGTAAGAATAAGAAAGGAATTCGGGAGAACGAATACGCACCACTCCATAAATTGCAACCACCTCGCAGAAGATAATGCTGACAGTAGGCAATGTTCAGTCACTTTTGTGAATAGTGTATATGAAAAAACAACGCACCTGATCAGATTCTTGGTACTGATTCTTGGAGTCCTTACTCCTCCGCCCAGTATTGATGCTCCAGTCAAAAAGATGCCCCTTGGAAACTACGTCGATGCCACAGAACAAAAGTGGAGCTGTGCAAACTTACCATCCTGCTCCGAGAACACTCAAGCCAATGCAGAGTCCAATTCCGAGTGAACCCCAAACGAACGGGCTGGTTTCCTCGAGGAACCGACCAACATTGAATGCTTCTCCAGAATCTGTTCGAGAGGTGTGTGAGTGCTGCGGAACAGAGAAGACAACGTGTAACACACCAGTGAATAAAAGATACAAAGCAACGATGACAACAAGGAATGTCGGGAGTCCAAACGATACGTACGTGTTGTAGCCCATGTCTAGCAAATATCAATCGGTTCGAACTTTTGGCAAGTTACGAGGACATGATGAAGTAGAGGCCATCTGGAAAGGGCATATTATTCACACACACATAGGAACTTGCCATGTGCCCTGCTTTCTATAGCACTGATGGATATACTAACAACACCAACTAACACCATTGCCTCCCAGGCCTTGTCCGCTTCCTTCATCTTCTGACAAGAGCATCCGAAGCTACCTCCAAAGCCTGAGCAGCAGCACGTACGGTGAAGACTTTAGTAGCCATATCTCCTCTCCCGAATGGCCATCTTCGTTCGTTATATTGTCCAGGCTGTCAGTGGAGTCGGTATTTGTATATCTCAGCATGATGTATACGAGCATTTGTGAGTGAATGGGTTTACTCTGGCGCTATAGCTCATGGAGTATCTCTGATGTAGCGGTGATGAATTAATGTACTCATCACGGTGGCTACCTCAGTTTTATCCATGCAACACCTGAGCCCAGTGAGTGTTTATTGTGCAGCAAAAATCTGCATCGACTGCACGATATAAGAAAAGAGGACACCCACCTTCGTGATGGAAATTATTAGCACATGCAGGGCAAGGCCGACCACAAGGCAGCAGTTTTTGCACATTTATGCATACTATTTACGGTTCCTTGCCACAGCACCCTGCACGTTCATCATTCACATTTCCAGATTTCGCCTGAAACCTGGAAATGCGAAGCAAGGATAAAGCCTAACAGGGCCGACCTTGCGCCGGGCACGTACAGACATAAGCTTCTATATCTGCCTGTGCCAGCGCACGTTACTTTTTGCTGTGCGCCAATTGACAGGTTGAGGGTGAATGAGTTTACAAATTATGTCTTCGTGAGCAGATGGTCTCATATACCTACCACAGGTGTGGGCATTGACCACGCACCATCTACTCCAGTGTTTGTTGTTTTCTATTCAAGGGGCTCGGAATTGTCGCCACACTTCAGAGCGAGGCATTTGCCTGATCACGATGTGGTTGGAACACAATAGCGATGGCCTACTGGCAGCTCGATTATTTGGCAAAGTCACATGGTGTTCTATCGACAATAGAGCATCAATTCACCCAGTTGAGCGCTGAGTGTGGGGACACAAGGTCTACAAGGCCGGTCATAAACCACACAACGTCTTGAATGCTTCGGAAATCCATGCAAGTTTGCACCTAACGCAAGATCTTGTGTCTTCTTTTATGGCCAGGTGTATCATGTAAGGATTGACCAGTATATGTGAACTTTGGGCACGTATTCACTCAGAGTCTTATATGGCAGTAGATCGAAATTCAATCAATCGAGTAATCATAATGCTAGAACATCGAGAGCAAGCAACACCGAGGTCATAAGAAACAAGGCGCGTAAAAGCGGAACTTGAAAGAATCACATCTACCAGAAACATCTAAGCGCGGACACAGAAGCAGAAACACAAACAGCATATCCAAGCCCGTTTCCATCACGAGCCGCACGAGAGCAATCGACGAAGCTGTGCGATGGTGGATAATAATTTGTTGTTGTGGGCCGTGGCGATCCGTTCCCTGTGTGCAGTTGGAGCAGATGGCAACCCCCGTACACGCAACGTTGCGGAGACCCTGCAACTTCGCCGTCTGCGTTCAGCGTCCACACAGTGCAGAGGGAGGCCAGTTAGCCTTCTGTGGAAGTATCCCATCGAATATTCCACTTTCTATGCACATATGGGGGTAGTTGCTGAATATCAAAGAATCATTCAGAAGCGGTGTGATGAATGGTGTTGCTGACTAGGGTGGACACGAGTTATGAGGTTTATGGAAGAATATCATAGCCGTCAACCGTCGGGCGCGATATTTCTAATCGCAAGCTCGTTGACTTGCCCGTGGATTCGAAAATGCCATTGGGCGTGATATCGGGTCATAGAACATGTCGGAATAGTGGTGGAGTAGTGTGATAAGTTCCAGGCGCAGGCAGGTGCGATCAGTGTACTAAAAGTACTTGGTCAATAAGTCTGTTCGGTCGCAGAGTGTCTGGAAATGGTATGTTATTCTCACGCTTTGATCAGTGTATGTTTTCGGTTTGCCCACACAGTCACCGACGGTGGTGACCGACCTGGGTATGTATATATCGAATAAGATTCAGATCAAAGAGGTTTCTTTGAAAATATTACAGCTCCCACCGCGCAGGAACAATCGGCGCGATATGCAGAAGACTGGTACCGATAAGAGAAACTAATTACAGGGCTCTAATCAAGGTGATTTGTGTCGTCCTCGTTTCCCAAGGGCCCTCATGTGCACACCTCCGAGTCTGAGTAAACTCTCAGGGCAGGGACACTATATAAAACCCTAAAGTTAAGCATTTATTAGACTTTATCCTTCAGACAGTTACTGCTCGCTTAGTGGTTCTCCGTGCATGGTACGTACGTCCACTTCACTCGCGTCTAGCTCTCTGATAACTTAGTCTTAAAAAATCTATAGCATCTACAGCACGAGACCTCAGTTGACCAGATGACCTCAGTAATCTCTAATGCTTCCACTACGCGCAATTTTCCTCGGTTTCCTCCTGAACTTTGGCTCTCGATATTTAGCCTCGCCACCAATGTCCCTGGTCTACTGAGTTGCGATGGCCCAACTCCATCTGATTTACCGCGCCCCATCGTCAAGGAAAATGAGCAGAGACTGCTGAGGGAGTCGCTTATCACAAAGAGGAATATCATCCTTGTCTGCAGGACATGGCACGCTCTTGCCACCGAGCTCCTTTATCGGAGTGTCTTGGTCACTCGCCCAGCTACCCTATCTTCTTTACTTGTTGCCCTCGACAGAAGATCCTCTGGAGCAGCTCACCCCGCCCATGTAGGGTGGTGGACCAGACGACTTGATGTCTTGATACAGGATGACCGTTGCGAGGCATCTGATTACTCCCTATTGGCCAATGTCATTCGACGGTTCCCAAACTTGTCGATCGTCACATTATCCATGCCAATGCTTCCCTATAATGATTGCTGGCTTCGGCAGTTACCCACATCAGTCGTGATGGCGCTAGCTGAATCTTGCGGTCCATCATTGCGCGTATTTGATTGTTCTGAGTCCATTTTGCGCCCCTGCAGGTGATTGGCTCAACCTCTTGTGCAAACGGCGCTTGCTGATTTCTTTTTCAGAAAGGATCTGATGAAGTTGATAGCTGCAGCACCGAATTTGAGCGTGCTCCGCTGCCCAATTTGCTCGCCCAGTGCAGGGGACAAGTTCCCTTCCACCAGACTCGACGTGCCTGTCATGACCAACTTGCTGTCGGTGTCCCTCATGTCGGTCTTTTTGCGAGACTACCTGCCTGAAGACAGAGACGCCAACCACTTCCCAGCTCTCCGGCAACTTACCTACGATTGCATCCCTCCTCCATTCCTTGACCATACTTGGAAAAATTTTGTGAAGCTGAGCTGCGCGAATGTTACTACCGTGCACCTCGACTTTCCCCTTCAAGGCGACTCGCTTCAGAAGGAGCTGGACCTACTCAGCGAATGTTGCCGTTCTTTGAACGATCTTGTCGTTTATCTCCGTTCATGGACGGAGATCAAACCCAATCTCTCCCTTCCTCCTTCCGTTTCATACCTGGGACTATATTCCAAGTTACTCAAGACACCCGCGTTCCATTTTAAACAACTATTTACCGCTCTTCGTACCATGTCAGGCTCAAAGCTCAAGACTGTTCGATTGCTGCACGCGGACACTGTAGAAGATTTGCAGGAGAACTGGTCTTTGCTAGCGAATGAACTTGCTGATATCACTTCTTGTATTACCTTCCGCGTCGAGGAAAACGAGGGACATCCTCTGTTGACTTGATATGCAGGTCATGGGTAAAGCATAACTTATGTGGTTATCCTCGGTTTTAGACATTGGCTTATTCTTAGGTGAGTTTGTTCATCCACGCCACATATTGGCTCACTCACGCTCCCATTCCTCAGGGATCTATTTAGACGTATCATGGATTCATGATCTGTATCTAATACACGTACACTGCTGCAAATATCGCCCTTGCATTACTCCCGGCGCCCGCCAGGAACGGCCCGATAAGTTATTTGCCCATGTGTATGATGGGACTCTTCATAGCCTGACTCGTCGACTACTTATGAAGGTGTCTTGTCCGTAGCTAACAATAGATGTTGTCTAAGCGCCAGTCACATAACTCACTATCAGTCAAGAAGTGCTTACTAAGGAATGAGCACTGCGTCCTCGCCTCATGCTTGCCATCGTTTGAATATTAAAATTCGACGCATATCCTCACCATAATCGCCCATACAGTTGCCCACTACACCCATATAAATGACTGATGTGTCGGAATACGGTGGATCTGTGGCTGAGCAGATCGACGATCCCAGCGGATCTGGAGAAACCTCCCCAGACGAGTTGAACGCGGTCGCCAGAGAGAACGCGTCGAGGGTTGAACGTAACTACAGGCGGGCTGATTTCGCCGACGCAGCAGCCGTGTCCGACGACGAGTCACTGATCGAGGTGCCCTCTCGAACTAGTTCTCCAGCTCCTTCTCCCCCAAGGACTCCATCTTACGTCGATTCATCCCCGTCTTTGGCTACGCACCCAGCCTTGCAAAACTTTGATATAATATGCACGATTTGCTCATATGTACACCACGGAACGCTTGCTCCCCTTGCATCCACATGCCGCATCTTTGAGCGCCCAGCACTTGATGTCCTTTGGAGGAATCTGCACTCCGTGGCGCCTCTTGTCAGATGTCTACCAAGTGACCTGTTTGGCATTGATCAAGGACATATGGTGGGTGCCCCAATCTCATATGATCTCGCCCATCTGACTGATTCCACCTGTGTAGGCATTACTGAACCCTCTTGATGCCAAGATGTGGGATATTCTTTGCAAATACACGACCCGCGTGTACTCCATCACACAATCAGGCCGCTCGGCGGTTATTGAGGCCCTCGGTTCGCTAATGCTGTCTTATCCTTCGGCATCTGCGTCCTTGTTTCCGAACCTTCGCAAATTAACGTGGCACGCTGATGGAACACACTGCGCTGCAGAGTTCTTGCGCATGGCTTTTGTACCCACACATCTGTTTTTGGACATGCGAATTTCTTCAGCTTCCCCTATCTTTCTCTCAGTCCTTTCGTCTCTCGGGACGTTGAGTCCTCACCTCCGAATAATGACTATGAAATATCCATCTGCAACCAACGACTCGCTTCGTAAAGCTTCACCCTTCATTGCACAATCTATTTCCCAGCTCCACCATCTCCGGAAATTGTCTATATGGGACCTAGGGAACCAAGGCATGGAGCGCCTCATGCAGCTGCGAGCTCTGCAGACACTGTGGTTAGACTTGAAGGGGGACAGACGGTCGCATTTGCGAGTCCCCGGCTTTCATGATTTGCATTCTTTGACCCTTTGTATCGATAATCTCAACCACGCCTCGGACTTCTTGAGTTCGCTTCAGGTCATCAGAAGCAAAGGCATGACGCTCCGCTTCACCGCCGCTCATCCCTCCGCAAGTGCATCTACGACGCTGTCCCAGTTCTTCGCTGTCCTCCAAGAGACATGCGATCACGACAATCTTGAGTCCTTCGCTCTCGTTGGATATTGGGGACAAGTTCACACAAAACCGGGTGACTTCACGCCATTGCATGCGTGCCGTAATTTAACTCGACTGCTCGTTGAGAACGGCTGTAATATTTCCATGGCTGATGAGGAGCTCTGCACGCTGGTGGGAGCCTGGCCCAAGCTTGAAGTGCTCGCCATCAGCCGCTTTGTCGCCATAAACGACACCACAATGCCTACATTCCGCGGGCTAATCAGTTTACTTCGGCTCTGCCCCGCTCTGACTTCGCTAACTTTAGTCATCGATGCAACCAACCTGCAAGGCATCGATTTCCACACCCCCGGCGGTGGAATCTGCAACAACCATCTCGAAAGCCTCATCCTCAGCAATTCACCCATCAGCTCCCCGCTAGACGTAGCTCTCTTCCTCAGCGGCCTCTTCCCGTACTTGGAGTGCGTTGAACTTGATTGTTGGGATTCTGCCCCAAAGAATTTGTTACACCAGAAGCAGTCAGCGATTAAACAATGGGAGGCAGTCAACCTCTTTCTTTGTAGCTTCACCATCGTAAGAGAGCGATGGATGGAAGCATTATGATGCCGTCTGACTTCTGGACTACGCTTGAATCGTCACGTACGCTTTCAAGGTTGACTGTGCCTGAGTTTACACTTACAGTACAAATCTATGTGTGGCAGTGTGCTTAGATTGTCGTTGCCAGTGTACTGATGGGATGCGCTAGCGAAACCAGTTGACTGTTGCTCAAGCGTGTTCTGTGATCTCTTTCGCTCGAGTACATCAAGTCATATGGGTCATACTGAAGAAAACTGTCCTTATGATATCGTGGGGCAGCAGGTCAGTGCAACGCCACAAAGATCATCCCCTCTGACTGGATCTGACTCCTGACTCGGAGAATAGTGCATCATCATATGTGTCTTGTCAGCGGCTAACAACAGACGTTGTTGTCCAAGTGCTCGTCGCATCACTAGTTTTCTAGTCAATGAGTTATTGCTTGGAGTCGTGCCACCCCACTGAAACGCGCAAGATCAAGGTAAGTAATAGCGTAAGAGATCTCGGAGTCGCTTCATAAAGGTTCTGGATAGAATCTCTGTCAAAATCATGCAAAAGGTCAAGAAACAAAACGAAATACATCTTCGAGTTATTGGCAGTGTTCTGTGATGATCGAATATCAGTAAGTAAGGTTGTTGAAGAGACCTACGGTTGTCCGTGAACAAATATTGAGGATGAAATGGATCCAGGCTTACATTGTCTGACAGAAGGTCATCGAGGCCAGCTTCTTTGATGATAAAAGAGACATCCCATGTGTGTACATGGTAGTCGCCGCAACCAGTGACAAGGAACCTTCCATCCGCAGAAAAGGTCGCGCAGCCCACCATCTTTTCATGATACAGGGCGGGTCCGATGGGCTGATTGGTTTTGAGGTTCCATAGTTGCGCTGTATTGCCTGCGCCCGATACACTTGTGAGGATACACTCATTCGGAGATAACGAAATCGAAGGTCCGTACCCGCCGTCCAGAACAGCAATTTCTGTCCAGGTAGCGGTGTCGAATAAGGTGATTTTATTAGTAAGTGACGAGGCGATAAGCGTCTTTTCGTCCGATGTCCATGCCAGGCACGAAACTCCCCATTTCTCGAGTGTTTTGAGTAGTCCGCCTGTGTTGGCATCCCAGACTTTCAGGCTATCCGCGCTCGTAACAATCATCGTGCCATCGGGTGAGTAGCAAATAGTCCACACAATATCCCCTGCGTGGATTGGTACGAGGATGATCTTCCCGCTCTTGACATCCCACACTCTGAGTGACCCATCCATGAATCCGCTCACCACTCGCCTCCCGTCTGGACTCCAGCAGACACACTTCACCATCACGGTGATATTCCCCGTCCATTTTTTGATGACCTTGCCACTGTCAATGTCCCACAATCTCACTGTGCCATATAAACCTCCGCTCGCTACTGTCTTGCCGTCTGGCGACAATGCCATGGCCCACACTCCTTCACTGCTTTCTACTCTCTTGCCGTCTGGCCCAACTGTCATGACCTGGCACCGTACTTCTTCAGTTTCCTGGTCTTTCCATTCCTTTCCGACCTGCGTGGCCCTCTCCAAGTCCCAGACTCGAAGTGATCCATCCCATGAACCGGTGATTATCCGTTGTCCACCGGGAAGGCGTAAAATGCACTCGACAGTATTTGTGTGTCCTGGCATCTTTTGATGAGGGACTCTCGCTGAAGCATCGAGCTTCGCAGGATCAGGGGGAGGGGGAGGCCGGGACCAGGGCCCGGGTATATCCACCGTTGGGAAAGGCGCTTTCGCAAATGTTTCTTGCGTCGCAGGGGTAGGGGAACCTATGATTTGCATGATTTAGCTCACAGATTTCACCCAATGAGCGCTGGTCATTTTTAGCTCATCCCCCAAGTGCTATGTGAATGCCATCGCTTACTAACAGTAGCTTGATCGGTACACAAAAGAGCACTGACGGAGAGGATGTTTTATTCAATGTAGTGTTATGTCAGGAGGATGTTCACTATTGAAAGCAGTTTTCATGCTGTGTCCTCGTGAGTATTGGCATAAGCTGTGTAAATAAACGCCCAAGTCTCGTATTCTCACTGCGCACTTCCTTCATTTCTATTTGCAGCATTACGTCTCACACAAGTCGTTCGCCATCCTGGGTTTCAATACGAGTCCTCGTTCTTGATATCCATATCCTTGCGCTGCATGCGTTCAGACTCCAACAGGATGACTACACAGACCGTGTTGTTCTCTCCGACCACTGTTCATTCTCGAAGTCCTATGCGAGTTCTCAGTTGGGCCCCCGCTAGATAGGTACCAGGTTTTTTCCATTTGTTGTAATTCCAGGCCCTCATATTGTGCGGTGCCTATGGCAGGAACGCATGGGCAATCTCTCCATCACCCGCAAGAAACAATCTCCGGGGTGTCCCGTCGTCTCCGCTGGGGCGACATCATCGCGCGTATTGCAGGTGGTTCCCATGTATTTGCAAACATAATCTACCTGAAGACATTGACCAGTGTTGACATTTCAATGATCCAACAATTAAGTGGGAATGTGCCAGTCGGATCATCGAGCGCTTGTTTCCATCTGAGATTGTGCCTCTCACGAAGGGCTTAATACCGTGTCACGGTGCCGCCGAAGAGAATCTTCTTCCATATCCTCGCTTCTCATGCAGGGCTGTGGTCTATTCTGGGTGTGTATAGAGACCCTCCTCAAAGTCTGTATCACAGCCCTGCTTTAGATGCGTTCATTTCATCTTCCGAAGGCAAGAGCTTTCAGCATGTCGAGCTTTTCTGACGTCGGGAACCGTTGTGGTGGGAGCGTTCGCATCGTCCGCCACTTATGTAAGTAAGTAATACCATGCTTTATTACTTGGTAGTTTCTCGTCACGTCATGCTCATTTAGGTCTGACATACTTCACAAATACACTTTTACCTCATACAACCGTAAACCTAGGACTATAAACAGGCCATCAATCTTTCATACAAAGTATTTGGAGAGTGGGCCCGCTTTGTTGTCGAGACCTAAATAGCTCATCAAAAATGCACGGCCATCGTCCAACTTCGCCAGCACGTCATCGGCGTTCTCGCCATCCTTCAATGCTCGTACTGATGCTGCATCCTTCTCTGCTTGTATGTGAGCTGCCAACGCCTCTACAACAAACCACTGTGTTTTCGTCGTCCCATTATCCGATTCCGCGGGACCCTTCCACCTCAGTCTGTCGAAGTCAAATTTAATTGACTGTGTGACCGCCTTCATGAAAGCGAAATCATTGTTATCCCAGTCCGAAATTGGGAGGCGGTCATGATATACGGCCTCTAAGGCACTCGCAATCAATCGGGCAGCCTTGTCTGGGAGTGCGGAAGTAGTACAGGGTGGTATGCAAAATCATTTCAGTCACTGCTTGAATCCGAACTTAGGTGCACACTACAATGCAAAGTAAACTGAAATCTTACGAAGTTCCAGAGTACTGGTGCTGAGCGCGTCACACTTGCTTGCAGGAACTGTCAGCTTACATATGCAACTTGTTAAAATACAGTCGTGCAGATGAGTCCGAACTTCTATGAAGCTCCAAGTGCCCGTACGTAACACATAAATGACGCCGCACCAGATCACCACAGACTGCCGGAAACAAATGCGTGGATTGAGGGAGCGGTATAATGAAAATGCAAGGATGATATATGTTGGGTATCGCTGGGTAGATATGACCAATGTTCTAGATGAAGTGGCGTGAAATATGCGTGCAGATTCGTGACGGGGTCTTTGATGATGCTGAAATGCTAGATTTTGAGCTCGCGAAACCCGCGCACGTCAAGCCGCCCAGTGCCGTTCCTTTGCCATTCCTCATCGTCTGCCGCCTTAGGAGCTTTCTTGAATTTCCCGCCAGGAATGATGATCTTCCCCGCGCTCATATGCGCAGGACGTGGCTTTGGAAGCCCGAGAGCCTTACGCTGGCGTCGAGTAAGAGGTTTCTCAGGTTCAGGAGGCGGTGTGTTATATGCAGGAGGGGTACTAGGAAGTGGAGATGAGGCGGCGGATGATGAGGGGGTGGATTCTGCGGAGGAGCCAGGAGTGGAGAGATCAGGCGTCGAGTCATCCATATCGTCATCTGCTCTGACTTGACTTAGGGATGTGCGAGAAGGCGATCGACGCGAACTTCGCGTTCGCTTGGAGACTGCGTCCGATGTTGACGAGCCAGATGATTCGTCGAAGGAACGCTTGGGTGACCGGTGACCTCTAATGGCCGATGTACCGATCGGCTGACCGGGGATGGGAAGCAACGAGTCCGGCTCAGTGCTCAAGGAATCAGCGGAAGAAAGTGGTGAGGGTGAGCGGGATAAGGGGAGTGGAACGTGTGCCGGTGTTGGTGGTGTATTTTCTATATTCGTTCTAATGATGCTATTCTTGAGTATCTTCGGATCTGATTTGGCTTTGGTCCGGGACACAGGTTTCTTCTTGGCAGGCAAAGCAGCAGGCGGGACTGCGTCAGCAGATAGCTCGCATATCTCCGGAAGACCAGTGTGTGGCCCACTCAAGTTTCGTATTGAAGAAAAATGTTCCCAGTCGTGATATCTAGAACGGCAGGTCAGCACGGAGGTGATAGATATACTAGGAGAAATGACTGACGCTACATATATTGTCCCCTCCGACTCTTGAGAATCGTGCATCATTTCATCGCGCTGCTGCTGCCGCTTTTTCCTCCGCGCCTCTCGCTCGTTGTCTTGGGACGATGACTGGTCATCGCTCTCGGCACCCGCCTTCCACTCAATGACATATACCAATCCAGGCTGGATGACCTTAACATTCTTTCGCGCAAAGTGCGCGAATGCAGAAAGCTCAAGGTGCCCGCCATAAGTGCCTATAGCGTGTCATAACGCTGCACAGGAAGAAATCAAGAGGGCAAGCCCTGGCACACCTTGTTCTCTCATGCACCGCAAATGGGCGCTTAGACCACGCTCATCCTCACAAAAGGGCTGATAGCGCTGCGCATGGCTCTCGATCCAGTCACATATGTCTTTGCGCAGCTGGAGGTGCTGCGAGGGCGAGCCGTAGAATTGGTCGCAAAGAGCCCGAAATAGGCAATTACCGTCGCCCACGGTGTTTGCAGCGTAGAGACCCTGCGAGCGAAGTTGCTCCGTAAGAAGCTGGGTGTTATGTTCTGGATCTGTTATAGGCTGTATGGAATATAACAGCGAAATACCAAGATAAACGTGAGCAAGCTGCATAGATGACATGTGTGACACTCACTTTGCCCTTGGATCTGGTTATGCGGGACCTCACTAGGGTTGGCAACATCAACAACTCAAGATCGACTGTTGTTATCAAGATCAACGTACTTGGCAATGGTGCTTTAGCACGTCTCTGGGATTTCTTTGATGGGCTCATGCTACTTGTAAAAAAATGCAATGAGTTCTGTACGTGGGGATCGTGTTGGTTGTGAATAAAGGCAGCTGCCGCGTTTCGGGGTCCTGGTTTAAGAGACCCGAGAACCATCTGTGGGAGGTGGCACCGGCACAGCATAATCGCTTGCTGTTTGATGTATTCGGTGATTTTCACAGACTTTTCACAGTCGCCATGACCAGGGGGCCACTAGGTCGGTGGTTGCAGAGCTTGGGAGCAGAGCCTGTTCAGAGGACCCCACATTGCCAGGGCGCGTACTTCGTCTCGAATCTAGATGTCTGCACATTTCCTGGTCTAGTGACTTGCTTTTCTCTGGTATATATAGGTGGAATCGGATTGCGCTGCTAAGATTGGTTTATGTAGATTGAGAGCTGAATGCATTGACTGGCACTCGAGAAATAAGGTAGCTCGCATTGGTTTTGACTGCGCTGGATATTATTCTGTCACCTCCTATTGTCTCTGACGCCAAAATGACCAAAGAGCCTGAAGAGAACGTGCGCGTGCACCCATCAGGTAGTCGCGATGTCTTTGAAGATAATGGAATGGGATATGTGGACCATTCTCAGTCTGGTATCGGATCAGTGCATCAGGTATACATTCTACTGAGGGTGTCCTGCGTACCAGGCAAGGGCAACAATGAATAGTTGATTACAAGATTTACACAATTTACATTTGTGACAGCGATGATATTGGGTGCATGAATCGGTTGCCGTGGCGAGCCTCGTTGTCTCCCCAGGGGCAGCGATATCATCCAAGCGTTAAGGTTTCTCGTGCAACCTCAGGATAATTCTGCATTATGCGCTTGATCTCCATTTCAGAAATCCTCGTCTTAAACTCAATCGTGCACGGCCGTTTTGACATCTCCCCGTTCATGTACCCCATGTCATCCAACGGCTTCGTAGGATCTAGAGCAAGCCGGAAGGCCCAAAGAATAAGGAGCGAGTTGATGAACACCGATCTTCATTGGTCAAAGTGAGCTCAGAAGACGACGTGCGTGAAAGAATAGCTTCACCTGTTCGCAACATGTTGACCAGGGCATATACTAGAAAAAAAAGTCATTCAAAGAACGAATAAATGACTGAAAGATGGTACGTACCGCCGACCAAACCCGTAGACAAAGAATTTTAGGTCGTCTCTCAGGCGACCTCGATCATCGACCCAGCGCTGAGGCTTGAATGCGTAAGGCTCAGGGTAGACTTCTGGATCTCGGGAAATGGCCCTAAGGCAATAACTATCAGTTCCGTCGTATCTTGAAGCACGATGCTTACCAATGGTCGCCGTATACGGTAGTCCCCGCTGGAATACAATAGTTTCCCTGAGGCCAGATCATCATTTGCACGATAGGTTTCTCAGACATTACTTGCCCAAATCACGTCTCTGGTCGTTCGGTGAGCCACTCCTGCAGTGTGAATGTAAACTTCAGGGACAAAACTGCGACGAAAGTGCACACCGTTGGGAGTCAAGGGTCTCCATCTTAAAGCCTCAGCAATGAAGGCGTGGAGGCGGGGAAGGGATTCTTGATCGGCGAAGGTCGGCGCTTTAGTGCAGAAATCATTGAATTTACAGAACTGTAACGGGGAAAAAAGCTACCTCGGTGCCTTCCGATGACCGCATCGAGCTCTGTCTGAACTGTAGCTTGCTCCTCCGGGAAACAAGCGGCTGCCATGAGCACCGTGCATATCGCTGCAGAAGTCTTTCACCTCATTTCAGCCACATATCTTCAGAGACAACAGAACAACATCTCACCGTACTTGATCCAGCTGCAAAAAAGGTACCAGCAAGCGAGGCCGTTTCAGCCTCTGTCAAATCAAAGCGATCGCTACCTTCTAGCATATGTTTCGCGAACGAAGGGCCGATGTCCACATTACTCTGCTGCTGAACAACTCAGATATTTTGTGTAAGAATTGGCAAGGCAGTGCATACCAGTTGTTCTTTCACGCGGTTCAGGTGGTCCATGTTGAGTTTCATTTGCCTCTCACACATCAGCTGTAAGTCTCGACCATACCAAGGAAGGTATTTGAGCCAAGGGATCGTGTCCACCAGATAAGCACCAGGGCGCAAGATTGGCCTAAACATCGAGATGATTTGGTTAATCTCAATGACTTCAGGATCACTCGCAGATGTGGGCGTAGTCTTCCCATATGCAACTTTCATAATTGTCGTGGCAGCATAACTTCGAGATACCTGTGAGCAATATACTATCATAACTGAAAACTCTTACGTTGTCACATGGTTCTGGAAGTTGTATGGATCATCAAGGATGTCGAGCACAGCGGTCTTCGCGTGTGACATCTGCAGGGGCTGATAAGTCTTAGCTGCATTAGGCTGAAGATGCGTATGGAGTGCTCTGCATCACGCTGAAAAGTAAGATATGATAGAGGAAAGCATCTCGGACTACTTACCTACGCATGCGACGAAACCTTTCCCCAAAGGGTGTAAAGGCGATGCTGAGTCCGCCACCAACAATTTCTCCAACAGCAACCTTGCGAGGGCGATCAGCCAACGATTTGCCTTGATTCTCCATGATATCTACCGCAGCCTGTAGAATGTTGAGCGTGGATATGACAGACTCGGCGTGGAGGGACTGACTTGGTAACGGCCGATAATAACGATATTCTCAAATCTTGACCGGACGGTAATTAGAGGACCATATTCGTCAATCCATCCCGCTACAGTGACAAATGGGCTGATCAGCGATAATAAAAAGTCAGCATTGAAAGCAGTGAGTCAACTATGAAACTTTACTTGCGAGGCGGCAGGAAGTGTCCACGAAGTCCCCAAGCCTTAGAAGGGGATGGTGGGAGAGGAAGGCCACTCTTTGATTTAGGAAAGTGAACCTGAACGATTATTCCTATTGTCCCAAGACAAGCCGCAGCGCTGATGATGAGCTGCATGTTGTCAGCAATGGACAGGTTAGGTGGATGCAGCATGCCTGATGGGAAGAGCGCAAGGAAGGCTTGGAGGGAACTCATCGTAAATCACGGTGCATTCAAGTTCTGAATGACTCTTTTTAAGTACCGCATGACAATCATAGCTACCCTGAAGATGGTCTCCTGTACTCGGAGTGCATATGACACTGCTCCCCTGCAATGGTACCTGACAGCACCCAATCGCCAAGAGAAGCCGTTGGAGAGCACATCCCGCGGTCATACTCGTCACACCCCGTTGCAAAATACACCCAGATGATGTCGACAAATACTAGAACGGGGCCTCGCTTGTAATTCATTTGGAAAGCATAATCATTCCATTGGTGCCACGTCTCGGGGTCCTCGGATTGATAAGAAAGCGGCCCAGGTGTGCGTGGTTCCCCGTGCTCACATTCATTAGAAGAGTCACTTGATAAGTTCTACCTGGGGGAAGGGTGAGCAGTCGAAGTCGTGGTATCTCCCTGGCTTTCATCGGCTCGAAACTGGCGGCAATCCGATTCGACATCCCCTTCCCTTCGCTGACAGATCGGAGATAGCTGACCGCCCCAGGGCGAAGGATGTAGTCTGCCCAACGTCGCTCGCTTGCCAGATGCTGTAGCCGTGGCTTCGCTGTTCAGTGATAAAGCTGCCGGCTAAAACTTGGGCACTACCCACATGTCGCATCCACAGCCCTGCCACAGAAGGGATACCTTCCTTCTATTGGGACTGCAAACGAGAGACTAAGCAGCAGGAGTTGTGTCTGTGTTTCTCAAAGCAAGAATACTTGAAATTTCGCTGCGGAAAAAATCAGGACAATCACCCCCATTGAGCTGCATTAGAAGTTGAAGACACACGGCCAACATGCTATCCTCAACACTAGTTCACACCCCCTACCTTGCAGAAGATTTAGGATGCTTATATCGATCATCCCAGTGACGCTTGACTCCTTACCCCACTGTCATCACCCGGCGTCAGGAATGTCTTCTTTCCACCACCCCGATCCGACACGAACGCTCGATATCTAGTTTGTCCATAATCACTATCGCTGCCACCCCAAAGAAAGAAAACAGTACTCACATTCTCCCCAGCCTTTCCTATTCCTCAAGCGAAACAAATGGCCGTGTCGTTTTAAGCATTTTATTGACTGCGGTGGGGAGTACTGGAATGAAATGAAAATGACCAAAGAGCCTGGAGAGAACGGGCGCGCGCCCTCAAGACCTTATGATTGAGCCGCTATGAAACTCCGTAGAGTTTCTAATTGGTGGTCTATATCAAGAGCTTTTGAAAACAACACAACCAAATACAAAATTACAACTCTGTGTATATACATCTAATATAGTAATAAAGCACGAATAACCGCCGGCTGAAGTCCAGTGATGTCCACCACGTCATGTTATGTCGTTGCTGTGTGTTGTGCGCGTCGATGTCATTCATTGTGTTGACCACGTCATGCTGTGTTGCTATGCGTTCATAGTCGTCCACAGTTCTCTCTCCTATTTACAGTTCTTTGTTCACCACCATGGCGACTTCTGCTTCACTTCATGGCGTTGTTGGTATTCATAATGGAAGCAGATATCAGATCGACAGAAAAAATTACTGGCGATACGACGGATTCATTGCCACACCAGAAATGGGCGATATGCGTGTCAATGTGTTCACATTGGGTGCAAACACCGCTTCTGCTGAATAGTGCTGCCGCGGTTCGGTCCAGAACCATGGTTCGAACCTTAACTTCCCTGGACCGGACCAGAAGTTCGGTCCAAGGTCCGTGGAAGACCTTGGACCGAACTTCTGGTCAGGTTCGTGGTTCGATCAGTACTGACGAATTGTGAACGGGTTCGGACCGGTTCGAACCGATAAGGTAAGATCAAGGTTTGGTTGGTTACCACATAGTCGGTACATCAAACACGCGTGTACCGCACGCTTGGTTCAAGTGTTGCACACACACTCTCCATTTGATCCTTGTCGTGCACCCTCATCGCAGTGGGATCAGTCCTGCGATGTCACTGGTATGTACCCCATCTTTCTTATTCTTTAGTTTCCCATCCAATTTTTCTTATTCTGACATTCAATCTGTCAATGGCTAATATGCAATATTGCAACTGCCCATCTCAACTGCTAATATGTTCATTTTCTAGGATATATTCATTTCTGTTGCCTTACATTGTAGGTGCACAGGCCTTCAAGGTCCAAATAAAGGGATCACCAATAGCACATCTGAGGTGAGTACCTTTTCTCTTCTCTCGCAAAATGACCAACTGTGCTGTTGGTGCTGATGGGGCATTGAAGGATGCCTCCGAAATTCAATGGTTCGACAACGTGGATGATGACATGCCAATTACTCCTCCTGCCAAAGACTCACTCACTGTCCTTATGCAAGGTGGAAGGCAGCCAGCATCTATCAAAGGTGGTACTCGATGGTCTTCTTGCCCTTCCAAGCCCTCTGCTCGTCCTCGAGCAGCTGATAACACTTCAGCTGAGTCGTCTTCAGGCACGTGCCCACTCAAGCAGGCATTATCGAGTGCAGACAATGCACCCATCAAAAAAGTTGCCATACGAGCAGCTCCCGAGGAAGATGACTTAGATGACAACCACATCCCTTCCATTACTAATGGAGACGACTCATCCGCTGATGATTCAGAGTATACTAACACTCTTGATAACAAAGCTGAAGAAGCCGACAACACTGAGGAAGCATACCAGAAGACCAAGTCACTTGGAGATGCAGACCATCAGGTATGTTCTTTTTAATTATATTAATCTATGGACACATTTCTAATCTACATTGTCAGGCCCACCAAACATCAAGGAAGACAGATCGCACAGCTGATCTCTGGACCATTTTCACAGAAGAGAAAGGGCATCTTAACTGGACACTGGGACACCTGAGGATGGCTGGTGGTGCAATATTTGCAAGTATGTAAATTTCTGCATCGTAAAATCTGCCTTGCTGACTTGTACCTTAGGGATGCAGGGCTGCCCACTCATCAATTGTTTTTCAAAGGTAGCATTTCTATGTGCCATATGCACATTTCAAGGTGAGTATCCTCACTACCTGTGAACTTATTGCTGACTAACCCAACAATATAACAGGAATCTGAAGTGTCATTTCCCCATGTACAAGAGCTGATGTGAGGCACAAGATATCGCACTGAATGAACGTGCTATTCCTGCAAGTGTCTGAAACTCCAGCGAGCACCAGAAAACATTGGACGGGTCACTTGCCCCCCAAAATTCCTCAGTTCATGAAGTCGGGCTTGATGGACTACATAGTCGAGCTCATTGTCTCCGAGGATGAAGCTATCCAGCTCGTTGACAAAGTGTTATGCGAAACCTCTCGGATGAGATCCAGCAGCGCTAAACCCGCAAGGGGCGTTCTAAGCGTGGCCTTCGGCGCTAGCCCAGCAAGGAGCTTGCCTGCGCTAAGTCTGAGTAAGGGTTGAGACCCTTACTTACGTAGAGTCGATTGGAGCTTCTCAAGGATACGACCCAAGAGACGGAGTTCAACTCAAGAGAATCGTCTCAGGAGAAGATGGCTTCTTTGTACAGAGGGAGTTCTCTTAGGCAAGAGAAGTTCAGACCCAACGACAAGATCAGATGAGAACCGAGTAGATTCAAGTTAGAGAACCATATCTACTGAGACGTGAGATATATATATGTATGTAAAGGGGAATACCAGTGGAACGGTAAGGGTACAGGGTAACGGGAGTATTACCGAAGTACTGGTAAGGGCAGAGGGTTGTGTGAGTCATAAGTATAAATAGGTAAGAAGTACCGGTTGAGCGGTAAGGGCAAAGGGCATGGGGAATCCCCATCAATGAGAGAACTGAAACAAGGGGAAGGGCATAGGGTGCAGTAGAAGCTGTGGCTTCTATGATCTAGGGGAAGAAGTGAGAGCTTCTCGCGTTTCAGAACAACGGAATCAAAAGAAAGAGATGAAAATAGAATCGTAACCATGGTCTGGGTCCAGACGAGTCCGAAGAATGAAATGACACGTGTAACGCTCATGTTACTGTAACACAAAGGGCCTTTCCGTCGCCTCTTGCAGTATCTTTGCCCTAGTCTTTCTGATACTGCCATTCTTCACCATACAAAAACCTGTGAGGAGATCCTTGAAAGAGCCAGACTCGCTGTGGAGACAATCAAGGACAAGCTCGCGCACATTGACAGCAAAATATCAATGACATTTGACTCCTGGACATCTCTCATAGGCAACCCTTTCTTATCAGTCACAGCTCATTATATCGATGCTCCTGCTGACAAGCCCCAAGAGTGGGAGCTGAAGTCTGATCAGCTTGCTTTCAGGTATATTGAAGGATCCCATAGTGGTGCCAACATTGGGCACATTTTAATGGAGGTTATTGATGAGTATGGTGTTCGAAAAAGGTGCATTTTTCTTCCTTGTTTTAGATCACACCTCATGACACGACATTTAGCTTGGTTGGTTCACTGCGGACAATGCCACAAACAACGATACTGCTATCCAAGCAGTCACAGATGAGATTGATCCATCCGGTGAACAATGGAATGCAGATCAGCATTGTGTGCAGTAAGTATTCGTTTTTTAAAATTTATAGATACTTATGTCTATCTAATTGTATGGAGCATGCCCTTCATTTAGCAGTGAAGCATTTTGTCAAAGCGGTTGGCCCTACAGGTAACGACGCTGATGAAGAGCACAACGACAAATATGAAGTAGTGGATACTGTTGGCAAAGCACTTGCACTCATTATGCAGGTAAGCATTTTTTTAAAATTTTCTCGGTACTTTCAGCTAATGTAGTCTATTAGATTCGCAAGTCACCCCAAGCTCGTGGCTTCTTCCACAAATGTTGTGGTGAGGCAGATGTCCCTACCCTTGAGCTTCTCAAGTGGATTTGGACTTGCTGGGCCTCCCTATTCAACATGTTGGAGTGAATGCTGTGCTTATGAAAGGTATGTCACACTGTCTCAGTATCTTCCACACTAACTGACATTGGTTTTTTTAGGGTATCAATAGGTTCATTCAACTCGCAGATGACAGTGACAAGGTTCCAAAACTGCATGGTAAATCCTATCCAGACTTCAAGCTCTCAGGTCAAGAGTGGTCGAAGTTGGAGCTCATGCAAGATGTACTCCAGGTGAGTCTCTTTTTTCTGGTTTGTTTATACTAACCAACTAATTTCTACATTATAGGAGCCTGCTAATGCTCAGCAGAGCTTCTCAGTGACTCATCAGCCCACTGTATGGTATACTATTCTGATTCTCGAGTGCCTTCAAGAGACTTGGGAAAATATGGCCCAGGTTTCGAAGTTCAACGGTGTCGCAAATGCCATTCTCTTGGGTCTCGAAAACATCTGCAAGTGGTATTGTAAAACTGACGACACGGACATGTACTTTGTCTGTCTCAGTGAGTTTTTTCTTTTAAATTCATCAGCCGCATCTACTGATTCAAACTATATAGCTTTGGATCCTAACTACAAACTAGCATATGCAAAAGACAAATGGGATACACAGCACTTCGAGGATGGGATGGCCTGCCTCGAAAACCTAGTAAGTGCTTATCTACCCTTACATGAACTGGTTTGACTGACAACATTTTTTTAGTTCGATGAATATTCAAAGTCAATGCCAGCTGCATCTTCTGATATGACAAAGAATGCACCACATGCATTGGTGCGTGAAGGTTTGTATGGGCATAGTTGGATGCGCAACACCATCAAATCACGCCTTGCTACTGACACCACATGCCAATACCCACGTCAAGAGCTCACCAATTACCTTTCTGCTCCTCTGGAGGATGTTGAGAACCCAGTTGTGTGGTGGGGGGTGCATTATATTTATTTATTTATTTGTTTGCATGAGAGGCTAACAAAATTAAACATAGCATCACTCTTTGCAATATCCGATAATGGTGAAGATTGCAAAAGTCTACCTTGCAATTCAGGGCTCAGCAGTTGCATCAGAGCGCATATTCTTGAGTGGAGGCATTACTGGTATGGCATGTTGCAACTCATTGCTTCCAGAGGTCTTCGAGGCACTGCAGTTACTTAAGAGTGCTTATTGTGAGGGTCATATCTCAGCTCATGCTCATACAGAACTTGCAGCGGTGGATGTTTAGTACAATTACTTGTCATGTGTTGATTTTTTTACAATATTGATTTGGTACATGGTTTGAACCGGTTCTGAACCTGAACTGGACCCCCCGAACCCATTCACTGAAGTTCAGTTCAAGGTTCGGTTTGGGCTGTCCCCGTGAACCGAACTTTTGTAAAGTTTGAGGTTCAGAAAAATTGCTCTCAGAACTGGACTGAACTGAACTTCAGCAGCACTACTGCTGAAGATGGCATTTACCTATTGGATGCCCACACTACTATCAGTCCTATCATTGATGACAACAAAAAATCTGTGCATTCTCTTCATCTCTTTGCCAATGATGTATGTCGCTTTTCATTTCATTTCATTTCGTTTTTTGAGGTTCGTTAATATTGGATAGGACTTACAACCTCTTCCTGATGGCGCTCACGCCTTTCTGACAGTCGTGATAGCAGGCAAAGTTTCATGCAGTGCTTTTGCGGTCAAGCAGGAAAATGTGTTTGATATGGATGTCTCTCAATATGTTACTGGTCCTCTACAAAACATGTGAGTCTGCTGCTTCCATCCTAAAGCTCATCTACATTTCTCCAAAACTCCTTTGCCCACCGCCAGTAAGCATGTCATTGTTCAAGGCACTGTGCAAAGTATTACTGCAGAATGTTGCACTGTGACCATGAAGGATATTGCTCTTGGACCTTCAGATGTGGTTACAACTGTTGATGAGAATTCCGAAACAGTCCCTTCGACTTCACTCAAGCAGTTTGATTGGGGAGGAGTGCAAAAAGAGAAAGGGAAAGGGAAAGCAAAGGGTAAGGAAAGAAATGAAGAGGCAGGGGAAAGTGGCAAAAGGGCATGTGATGATGATGACAAAGATGGGGATGGCAGACCATCTGCATCTGCTGCAGGTCCTTCCAAAGTTGCTTGTGTTTCCACATAATATTTACTGTTCTGTATCTAACCTCTGATTTTAATGGCTGTTCCTCATGACAAAGATCACTTGCGAAAGCGCCAGTTTCGTGCAAATCCCATTCATGCAGCTCAAGAAAGACTAAGGCTGCACCAAAAAAGACTCGGGCAGCATCAAGAACAACTCAAACAGCGTCAAACAGCACAACATTCTGTGAGTCCAGTTATTATTGTTTGGGAATCATTCTAATAACTAATGACAATGTTTAGATCCTAGAATGAGACATCTTTGGACCTCAATCTCAACTACCTTCACTACCTAATCTAACTCCATCACCTGTCCCTGAAGAACCACGACCTCCTTCACCTGTTCCTGAGGAGCATTGGTGGTTCCATTTATGAGATTGACCACCTGCTGTCACAAATTCCTAATACAAACCATTTTTCGTTTCTTGGCTTTCCACCGGCTACTTCTTGTTCCCAAACTGGTCATGTGACTTCATTTCCTGTCACAGTTTCACCTCTTCACATATCACCCACCTGGGTTGCCCAATTAGTAAGCCTTATTATACTTGGTGATTACGTGCCTCACCAACTATTATTAGGCTTACTTGCGTCAAACCTCAACACCAGCATTAATACTGCCCAAAATCATCTATGACCTTCACAGCTACACCTATCCACAGTGGGGGCGGATATTCAGAGGTATTCTAGGCATATGTAATCCACCCACCCCCGCCATGAACCCTATTATATCCATGTGAGGTATATTGGTGTTCTCACGCCCCTTGCCCTTTCCCCTCACCGTCCTTCACAGTGTCTATGCCTACCCCAGCATTACCCTCTCCCCAAGCTCATCCCCAGCACTGTTTCTACTGTCTCTGCTGTCTCTGCAGTCTCTGCTGTCTCTGCTGTCTTTGCAGTCTCTCCCATCTCTCCCGTCTCTGCTGTCTTCCCTGTCTTTTGTCTCTCCCATCTCTGCTGTCTCTGCTGTCTCTCCCATCTCTCCCATCTCTCCCATCCAGACCGAGTATTGCCACCTCGCCTGCAGCCCATCCTTCTGTCATCAATATGCCCTCTCCATATCATCCATGCCTTATCAGATACACTCCTTGAGTGCCGTCCTACTGCCAGCCCACTCAACTGCCATCAATGTGCCCTCCCCCATATCATCCACACCTCTTTGAGTACACTCCTTGAGTGCCATCCAACTGCTGTCAATGTGGCCTATCGCGGCTTCCCTCTTAATGTCAACACCTCTTCGAGGTATGTTGACACCATTTTACTTTCCATCTCTCAAAAAGGTTGAGCCGTCTGCATTCTCTGCCCTAGTGCTGCCTTAGATGTTCCTGTCCTGTCTATAGTAATAGCTTGTGTACACTGTGCTTCCCCATTCCTTGGTCCTCATTATCTCATACAACATGCTCTCACTATGAGACATACACCCATTCAATAGATCACAGTACCTATCCTTGTTCTACATAATGAAACTCTCATTGAATAAATCAGTCTGGAATAGATGCCAACTTTATTGCATTCTCGGAGATAAACATATGTAGTTGAGATAATGTTCAAACAGTGCCGCCGAAATCAAGGAAGTCATCTGGGCCGAACAATGCATTGAGATGAGCCAAGGTGGCATCAGGGTCGAAAGCTGGCAAGCTGGACCCTGCAGTGAACTTGTGAGCATTGAGTTGTGCAAACTTGTGGGCATTGAACTGAGGGAACTGTGAGTCCAGAGTGTTGGACTGACCAGCAGGGTGAGTAGTACTCGGTCCTGACACATCTGCCAGGGGTGCAGTGGCAGACTGAGCTGCAGGACTACTAGTAGCAGCAGCTGCTGGGTCTTCGTCAGGCTCGCCTTCATCGTCACTGCTCTCGATGAATTCAGCACTCTTGTGGGTCTTGTTCCAATTAGTATTTCCCTTCTGAGACACTGCAGGTTGTTTGCGCTTCCTTCCCTTGTCAGAGCAAGTGTGTCAACGATGGTCAATGATCTCGCTGTTATTAAGCTGCTCATCACATTCCAGATGAAGTCTCTCGAGCTCGTCATCATCTATGGTTACCCATTTCATAGCACCCTGATACCCACTGCCGCTTGAGCATTTTGAGATCCGGGAGTGCACTAGACACATTACTTAGGTTTGTGAACTTGACACTGTCCAGGCCAGCCTGTGATTATGACCTGGTAACGTTGAACCACATTACTGGAAGTAGTGCAGTCCATTGCATGACAGCACGAGGCTCGCCAGGTGATCTCTTCTATTAATGGAGGTAAGTAATGCTGTCGTCATGGAAGTAAATGGACTGACGGAGTCCGATGTTAATGAGCCAGTGGATTGAGGTGCACGTGTCAGAGACGAGCTGTTGATGACTTTTCCTGGCACCTGTAAATAAAATAGTGTTAGATCACAGGTGATAGCATTGACAATAAGAAAATTCTGACCTTTCATCCCTTGGATGGTGAATCCTTCCATCTTGCTCACAAAATCCTGATTGTCAATCCCCATCACCGAACCCATGAAATTTTGAACACCCTCGGTAGCAAAGGTAATTCCCCTGCAAAGGGAGATCTGTTGAGCCACGTGTTGTGAATAGAATGCACTCAGCGCCAGTACGACATTTAAGACTGTGAAGCTAGAATAAAAAAAACCAAGTTAGCAAGATTGCAATGAAAATTTTCGTAAACCTCCAAACCTCATTCTCGACAGCGTTCAAAGTCTGAGTGATATTGTTTACCTTCGAACTTCATCGAGATACGGAGACCAAGAGTCTTAGTCTCCCGTTGCTCCGAAAACTCCTTCAAGAGGTCCTCCTGTTCTTGCTTTGACAAAGCATGGTATGGTTCCTTATGATCATGGACTAGGGACTGAAGGGCAGCTCTACCTTCAGCCATCTAGATGTATATGTTAGAATAAGTATATAGTGGTCAAAAAGAAAAGAAAAACTTACGGTTCTCTTTGTCCTGGTTTTTCTTCCAGCAAAACGCGTTCCAGAGATTCAGCTTTGAGTGCTTTGCGCATAGTGAAGGCGACCAAAATACAACTGATTTTGGACATGTTGGATGCTCTTCTGGTGAGATCCAGCTATGGTCTTTGTAGCCTCATTGATCTGGTCCCAGGCATCATCAAGGGCGTCCTTGAATTTGCAAGACTTGTTGCGCTGTGCAGCCCTGAGTGCCGCTCGTGCTTCTTTGCTCAGCATAAGCTTTGGACATCTTCGAGGCGGCTGGTTACGACAAGATGTAGCGCTGCGCTTCTTTGCGTAGAACAATTCAGAGACCATCTTCTATGAAGGGGGGGGAGATCTAGAGCATCAGAATATTGTCAGTATTGAGCTAAGGCTTTTAACACACCAAAAATAAAATATTTTCTGTGCGTTGGTATTCCAGGAAGTGAACTACATTTGATGCATATATTGAGCCTACCGAACAATTCAAGATCTAGTACACAAATAATAAACCAAAGAAGTAAAGCGCACACAAGAAAACCGAAATGCCAAGAATCTTCAGAATGGCAGTCAGTATTGTAAGCGCCAATAACGAAAGAGACTATTAATATGGAGACGAGCGCATGAACAAATTACTGACCTTTACAGCATCAGGGTTTAGCGTGAATCCCTGTAAGTCAGTGAGGAGAGCCTTGGCCAACAGTGAAGCATGTTTGTAGTTAAGGTCCCACTTTGGAGATCTAAAAACTGCCTCCCACTGGCTGCTACAGACAGTACTGACTAGCATTTGCAATTTCGGCAGGATCTCATCCCCGAGTTTCAGCTGATCGAGAGCAGTATCAGTGTTCGGACCAATACTTATGAGCGCAGTGGGGGCAATCCTGGCAGTCAAAACCATCTCGACCCTGATGCGAAATTCTCAGGACCCGTCAACTTCTCACCAGGATTCCTACTAGGATGGAATACATCCACAAGTCTGCGTTGGTGAAGCTGATGTGGCGCCTCTGCCGACAGCTGCAGGCTGTGTTAATGTGCTTTTGGTGAGCATCACCCCTTCACAGATAGCAGCGGATGGGATGTTGGCTGCTTCTGAGTCATTTGCACAAGCTTGTAAGTTGCTTGCAAAGACCTCGGAAGGCTGCGCTGAGCATTGTATGCGAACACCGGTGGGAACTGTAGGTGCGAGCAGATATTGTGATCCATTGAGACTGATATGAGTAGAAGGAACTTTACAATTGAGTTAGTGATGTACGATAGAGTAGTATGATGGATAACTTACAGCACTTGGGTGGGGTGACCTTCTCGATAGCACAACATTGCGAAAAACACTGGAGATGAGGGATGGCAAACTCCTGAGCAAACACTTGCGCCCAAACAGCAACATCTCCACCAATGCGCTCAGGTGTCGCTTGCAACTCGTGGGGAGTAATATAGATGTCCAAAGGGATTTTCTCAGGCGAGAATGTTGGACCTACTGCCACACCTGCACAGCGGATAATGAGTGAGATGCTGCCATTGAGGCGATCTTGTAAGTTAACCTATGAGAAGAATCAGAAAAGATAATCAAAATTGATACAACTTGAACTTACCACATCAAATATGTCCTGCAGCCCCGCTTCTAGTAGGTCGTCTTGTGTGAGAGTCCTCTTGTCCATCTGTTCCATGGGAGGATTGAATGCAATGTAAGATGGGTGAAGACCCTTAGGTGTCCTCGTCTGATAATGAGTACCATCAATATGCACGTCATGCCTAAGCAGTGCCCTAGCAGCTGCTTGGCGTTCGTTGTTGCTGAAGCCCTCCGCAAATTTTGACAAGTGAAGAGCCAGCTGGAGATGGTGTAGCATAATTAGAGGGTGTTTGCTTGGTTGGTTTGACAGGAGTGGTCATGGTTAGAGGTAGCCTCGCAGCCGAATCCAAAGAGGTGCACGAGTGTTGTATCTAAACGTAAGCAAGCACAAGTGATTATGATACTGATAAAAGGCACAATGCATAGATTGGTTGCCTGGTGGATGATCAATTGCAGGACATTGATGGCTGTCAGCACCTGGGCAGTTTGCTTTCTCTGTTTGCCATCGATGGATGCTTACTGTGGTGTGGGGTGAACTAGTAGATGTGTTTGTTTTCTGTCGATAGATGCACAAGTAAAGTTACCTGTGCAAATACTGATAACTTGAAAAGGCATGATGCACAGATTAGGTGCCTGGCGGATGATCAATTGCAGGATGTTGATGGCTGTCACTGCCTGTCAGCACCTGGGCAGTTTGCTTTCTCTGTTTGCCGTCAATGGATGCTTACTGTGGGGTGAACTAGATCTACTTGGTCTGTTTGCTGTCAATGAATGCTTGAGATCTGTTTTCCATCAATGAATGCTTCAAGCCACGGTAACCTAGATTTACTTGATCTGTTTTCCGTCAATGGATGCTTGCCATGCAGGTACTAACCTACTAGTAGATCTGCTTTCTCTATTTGCCAGTCTATGAATGCTTGAAATCTGTTTTCTATCAATGGATTCTTGCCATGTGGTAACCTAGATCTGCTTTCTCTGTTTTCCGTCAATGAATGCTTGCTGCACAATGGAAGCTGTGCGGGGAGTGTATAGCAAGAAAATCTCAATGTATTCAGTGGAGAACGGTTACATATACAATATAGTCAGTCAATGATGGAATGTAAGTAGTCCGCCATGTCCTCTGTTGCTGCCTCATATTCCTCTCGATCAATGGCTTCCATATTATCACGGTCGGATCTGATGATAGCCAGAACATCATCCGTGTCCTCTTGTGGTGCAGGGAAATGACCAGCTGTGCGTTGAAAAAATATTGGCGTGAGTTAGTATGAAATCGGCATGGTACTTAAGACATACCATTCAATTCATGATCATTCGCAGTGAGTTTGAGGCGGACGCCAACAGCGTTGACTCCAGAGAATCCAGCAAGACTCGCAATCTGATCTAAGCGAGATGAGTGTACAGCATTGGTAGCTGCTCATGAACGCCACTGGCGCTTCAACTCACTGCCAAGCAATGGGTCTGAAATAAGCAGGTTGTGTATGATACCAGCTACCTGAAGTTCCTTGTCATGAATGACTGTACGCAGTCGACGAAATTCAATGTTGAGCCGGACAATTTCTTCACGCACTCAAAGAAGCTTAAAGTATTTTGTTGTGGCTTCTCGATGAGCTGGCTTAGCCCAATCATTACTCCTGATGTCTGCACGTGAGTGGTGTAAAAGGTCAAACTCAGCAAGAAAACTGTAGTCTGCGATATCCTTCCACGAAATATTTGGACACAGCAGATTCACAGCTACAGCCTGAACATTGTAGCGAGTAATAGCCTTCCAAATAGCTTCAGAGCGCCACTGTAAAGCCTTGCTGATTTGCTGCCATAGTTTATACCCTAAAATAATATATTAGCACTGGAGTGAACTTATCAAACCAAATTTACCGGTGCTGGACAATGACAACTTCGAGAGTTCAAACAACCTCATGACGACAAGCCATTCTAGCTCATCAAGTGCCGCACGATATTTACTGAGTGAAGCTTCTTCTTTGAAGCGGTTGTAGTTCTCATCACTGATCTCCCATCGCACTTCAATGCTGAGCTGAATTTCTATATGGGCCACAAGCGCCTCCACATGCTGCAACCTTGCATAGGATGAATCTACCCCAATACGGGTGGCCGTTAGTGCTTGATTGATCTGTGTCAAACTGCTAGCGGAGATTTCAGTGAGGGCGTTGTTAGTCGCTTCACGAGCCAAGTCCCAATCAGCCCTGAATGAGTCACTCAGATCAGGGATGCTACTAACAGTAAGATTGAACTTACCTTCGTTCGGCAAGCTCACCCAGGACCTCGACATAACAGATACAGAGATTGTCTCTTACAGGGAGCTCCTTCAAACACTCAAGATAAGCGCTCTCTTCACGAAGGAATTGAGGGAAGTCGTCGTCAGTGAGTTGTAGCTCAGCTTTGATGATTGTTAGCTCAGCCATGAGGGTCGCGATGACCTTCAATGCTTCCCAATAATGATTCCATAAAAAATTACCTGTCAGATAAATGTAGAACATGTCAGCATTGCAATTACCAAACAAAAATTACAAACTTAGGGCAGCATATTTGTCCTTATCCCAAAATGCAAAGTGTTCTTCAATAGATTGGTGCCGATGGAATGGACTCACATGTCTGGTGCTCTGAGCAAGTTCATTTGAAGCCGAGAAGATATGCTTGCATCCTTCACCTTCACTATGTCCTGTTCCAGGAATATACAATGGATGCCAGTGCAACTGACATTTTCGGTTGTGGGCGTGGCCATGAAAGGCACCCACCATCATGCGGAAGCCAAGGTTAACCACTTGAGGCACCAATGAACTGTTACCCAATGTCTTGGAGAACACACATCCGATATCATAAGTGCAGCCTCCATTGGGTCCATAAACACCAAGGAGTTTGTCAATGAGCGCCAGGGGATATTTGGCCCTGGGAGTCAAGTCAACAACACTCAAATAAAAATGAAACTGACATACAGTTCACCACTTCGAATCATATCACATGCTAAAAGTACAAACCAGTGGCGACAGGCAGCAATGAATATTCCAGATTGATCAAATACAGAAAACATTTTTTTCGTGCTTCAGGTCCAGCGTTTCGCCATCGGTCAACACAAGAGAATGACTGAGAGGGATGTGCTTCAACAGGCTCATCCTGCCAATCATCAACGCGTGAATCAACCTGCAAAATATCATTAAACTTTGTTCATATTAAGATAGATTACTTACATCATAGTGTGCAAACTTCATTTTGAAATCGGTCCACAGCTTTGGGTTCAACCCAATAGTCTGAGCGAGCTGTATGAGAATCCATGCGTGGAGTGTTCCCATATATCGAGGAATCCCACCGCTTCAAGCTGTTGTTGCCATCAATGGATATAAGCCAGTCAAACTCGAGTTTTGGTTCATCTTGGAGCTTATAGAAACACGCAGGGCAGGCATTCAATAGACACCAATTTTGCAGTATCTCGCCCAAGCAATGCCTGCAGACACTGTTGCATGCGATGGATCATCTCTAAATAGATATCATAGGTGACGGAGAATTGCATGGTGAGGTATGGTCGATACGGAATCTGTCAAACCATCAACATATCAATAACAGGCTTGGTTGCAAAGGGAAATACTGACATCGTGAAGAAAAGCAAGTGATTTACATTGTGCTTGAATGCCAAAGCGAGGACATGTACAATGAGATTGATGGTAAGCAGCGAGAGTGTGAAGCGATATCGCAACAGTTGGGTACATTGGCGCACACCCAATGTAACCATAATATATGAGCGTCTCATTGGGATACCTGTGAGAGATGGGCAAGCGAAAAGATGAGCAAGTTCGTTCTAGAGCAGGACAAAATTTAGTAGCTGAATAGAGCGGAGACTGATACTTACTGAATATATCGACAAGTTCAATGTCATCAATCGAAAGGCAGTCTGTTGTGTCCAGAAGTGGCCCATCTGCTATGTCGCCAAGGATGGGCATGCCATCTCCAGAATCTCATGAGTGATATTCTAGATAGGCAGCCACCAGGCGGTCAATTTGAAGGTTCCAGTGGACCATTTGATCTTCTATGCGGTCTTGGCGAATGCGATGATCATGATAGTGGCTACAGTAAGGTAAGCCAAGTGCATAGGTTTATAGGGAGAAATACTTACTATCCACCAATATCAGTGATTTGGTGTGCCAGTCCTTCAAACACCTCGTGTTCACCTCCTTCATGGCTTATTCCAAAGCCTTCGTCTCCTGGGGGCGCTGTATACAGTAGTGTATCAACATCCATACCATGGTCGGCAACCATACTCTCGACTACTTCCCGATCTTTGGCTGACATCTCTGATAGTATAGATGTAAGTGAGGATTGATACTTCAGATGGTGATAAACGAACCTTGAAGTTCCGCTTGATGGAGTGCATCAGCTGCCCCTACGCACTGGTGTTGTTTCCCAGCTGAAAGAACTCGTGTTTGCCGTTGCCGTCCTCTGAAACTGTGCGAAAGGATTGATTTGGAGAGTCCAGTGACCCTGAAAGTGCCTGAGGCGTGAAGGCATGCAGGCGTGGATGATATGGGGAGGGCACGTTGATGACAGAAGGATGGGCTGCAGGCGAGGTGGCAATACTTGGTCTGGATGGGAGAGATGGGAGAGACAGCAGAGACAGCAGAGATGGGAGAGACGAAAGACGGGGAAGACAGCAGAGATGGGAGAGACGGGAGAGACTGCAAAGACGGGAGAGACTGCAGAGACGGGAGAGACTGCAGAGACGGGAGAGACTGCAGAGACTGCAGAGACTGCAGAAACAGTGCTGGGGATGAGCTTGGGGAGAGGGCAATGCTGGGGTAGGCGTAGACACTGTGAAGGATGGTGAGGGGAAAGGGCAAGGGGTGTGAGAACACCAATGTACCTCACATGGATATAATAGGGTTCATGGCAGGGGCAGGTGGATTACATATGCCTAGAATACCTCCGAATACCCGCCCCCACTGTGGATAGGTGTAGCTGTGAAGGTCGTAGATGATTTGGGGCAGTATTTAATGCTGGTGTTGAGGTTTGACGCAAGTAAGCCTAATAATAGTTGATGAGGCACGTAATCACCAAGTATAATAAGGCTTACTAATTGGGCAACCCAGGTGGGACATGTCACGAACGCGTCACTGATTGTCACCGCAAGTCACACATTGCCACGCCACATACAGAAACAAACTGAGAAACAAACTCGAAATAAACGGCAGCTGTCCAGGCTCTAAGTAGTTCGCGTTGGTTTTGACTGCCAGTGGCATGACATGAAAATGACCAAAGAGCCTGACTAGAACACGCGTTGGCGCGCCCTCATCAGGTGGTTGGGATGTGGATTTGACTACTTAGATGGGTTGTCAGTAGTAAACGAGAATAGGGACGGAGCTAGACTTTGAATCATCGAATAGTATTATAGGATACTGGTATTGGATCAGCGCATCAGTTATACATTCGATTACTGAGCGTTTGTCCTCCTGGGTACCCGGCAAGAAGAAATCAATACACAGTTTACATTTGTGACAAGGTCTGATACCGCGAGTCTTAGAGTGATCCTGCGTGCATAAATTGGTGATCAAGCAACCTCAGGATAGTTCTGCATCATGCGCCTGAGTTCCGTCCCCGGAATCCTCGTCTCAAATTCAATTGGGCACGGCCGTTTTGACAACTCCCTGTTCATGTACCCCATGTCATCCACTGGCTTCGTAGGATCCAGAGCAAGCCGGAAGGCCCAAAGAATAAGAAGCGAGTTGATGAACACCGATCTGTATTGATTGAAGTAAGCTCCTCGAAAGATGATGTGCGTGGAAGGATAGCTTTACCTGTTCGCGACATGTTGACCGGGGCATACACTGAAAGGAGTGTCATTCAAAGAACGAATAACTGAAAGACAGTGCATACCGCCGGCCAAACCCGTAGATAAAGTTTTGTAGATCGTCTCTGAGGCGACCTTGGTCATCAATCCAGCGCTGAGGTTTGAACGCGTCAGGCTCAGGGTAGACTTCTGGATCTCGAGAAATGGCCCTAAGGCAATAAGCATTAGTTCCGTCGTGTCATGAACTTGAAGCACGATGCTTACCATTGGTTGCCGAGTACCGTAGTCCCCGCTGGAATACAATAGTTTTCCTGAGGCCAGATTATTATTTACACGATAGGGTTTTCGGACATTACTCGCCCAAATCACGTCGTTGGTTGTTCGGTGAGCCAATCCTGCAGTGTGAATGTAAACTTCAGGGACAAAACTGCGACGAAAGTACACACCGTTGGGACCCACGGGTCTCCATCTTACAGCCTCAGAAATGAAGGCGTGCAGGCGAGGAAGGAAATCTTGGTCGGCGAAGGTCGGCGCTTGAGTGCAGAAACCATTGAATTTACAGAACTGTAACAGGGAATAGAGCTACCTCGCTGCCTTCCGATGACCGCATCGAGCTCTGCTTGAACTGTAGCTTGCTCCTCCGGGAAACAAGCGGCTGCCATGAACACCGTGCATATCGCCACAACAGTCTTTCACCTGATTTCAGCCACATGTCTTCAGAAACAGCATAACAGCACCTTACCGTACTTGATCCAGCTCCGAAAAAGGTACCAGCAAGCGAGGCCGTTTCAGCCTCTGTCAAACCAAAGAGATCGCTACCTTCTAGCATATGTTTCGCGAACGAAGGGCCGATGTCCACATTGCTTTGCTGCAGAACAACTCAGACATTTCGGATAAGAATTGGCAAGCAATGCACACCATTTGCTCTTTCACGCGGTTCAGGTGACTCATGTAGAGTTTCATGCTCCTCTCAAATCCCAGTTTTAACTCTCGACCATACCAAGGAAGGTATCTGAGCCAAGGGATCGTGTCCACCAGATAAGCACCAGGGCGGAGGATTGTATTAGTCATCCTAAAGAGTTGGGTAATTTCAACGACTTCAGGATCAGTCGCAGATGTGGGCGCAGTCGTCCCATATGCAACTTTCATAATCGTCGTCGCAGCATAACTTTAAGATACCTGTGAGCAACGTACCATCATAACCGAAAGCGCTTACGTTGTCACATGGTCTTGGAAGTTGTATGGATCATCAAGGATGTCGAGTACGGTGTTCTTCGCGTGTGACATCTGCAGGGGCTGATATGCCTCAGCTGCTTTAGGTTGGAGATGCGTATGAAGTGCTCTGCATCACATTGAAAAGTACGATTGGATAGGGGGAAGTATCGCGGACTACTAACCTACGCATGCGACGAAACCTTTCCCCAAAGGGTGCAAAGGCGATGCTGATTCCGCCGTTAAACATTTCTCCAGCAGCAATCATGCGAGGACGATCAGCTAGTGATTTGCCTTGATTCTCCATGATATCTACCACGGCCTGCAACGGAATGTTGAGCGTGGATATGACAACCTCGGCATGGAGGGACTGACTTTGTAACGGCCGATAATAACGATGTTCTCAAGTCCTGACCGAATGGTGATTAGAGGACCGTATTCGTCAATCCATCTCGCTACGGTGAGATATGGGCTGATCAGCGATAAGACACTGTCAGAAAGCAATGAATCAACGATGAAATGTTACCTGTGAGGCGGCAGGAAGTGTCCACGAAGTCTCCGAGTAGGAGGGGAGGGAGGGAGAGGAAGGCCACTATTTGATTGAGGAAGGAAACCCCGAGCAATTACTGCTATTATCCCAAGACAAGCCGCAGCACTGAGGACAAGCTGCATGTTGTCAGATATGCGCGGGGTAGGCGGATGCAGCATGGCTGATGGGAGGAGCGCAAGGAAGAATTGGAGAAAAGTCATTGTAAGTCATGGTGCATTCCGAAAAGTTTTGAATGGGTCTTTCTAACACATGCCAGATATCGTTATAGTTAGTAGTTACTTTGAAGATGCTGTATCCGGGGTGTAGATATGACACTAGTTGCTGGCCTGCAATGGTTAGTAGTATCGTAAGTAGTATACATTTCATAATATACCAAGAACAAGGCAACTTGGACACCTGGTCCTGAACGACAATTCATTTGGCAAGCCATGATCGCCCACGTCATGACTCGGATCGGCGACCCAAGTGTAAGTATGTAGGAGCATTTTAGAATCCTGGCAGACGGACCATAGGAAATTCGCATGACAATCACTTCTGCCGCTTGGTTGTAGCCTGTAGGCGCTATATGTAGCTAGGCCTGGGTTTGACTTTGAAGTTAACTTTCAACGTTCGAGCTCAGGCTATTATTAGCGAATGATTTGGCGATGTAGGCGCATGTCCTTTCTCGCTACTCTCAGTGAAACTAGCACTGCTCGCTATCAGTGAGACCAGTACTAATCCTCTCAGTGAAACAGGTGACGTCAGAATCAGGTTTGAACGCCACAAATAATTAAACTCAAAACCTCGCATGTTCGTTAAGACTGGCAGACTTGTCCCTCAAACTCTGTCGTGGAGTCTGTGCAGATTTCACAGATCGGTCATTTCCTGCATATCCTCAGAACCAGAAGCTTACATACAGTCAAGTTTGCCATCTAAGTCCAGCATTCATCATCCCAGTGACGCTCGACTCCCCACCCCACTATCACCGCCCGGCGTCGGGAACGTCTTCTCGCCACCACCCCGATCCGACACGAACGCTCGATATCTAGTTTGTCCGTGATCACTATCACCAACCTGAAAAAAGAAAACAACACTCACATCCTCCCAAGCCTTTCCTGTTCCTCACGCGAAACAGATGGCCGTGTCGTTTTAAGCACTTTCAATAGATGCTCTTGAGTGATTTCGTGCTGCGGAAACATTAATCATTTTTGATGAACCTGCGCAAGGAAGCATACCTTTTTAGGAGTGACCACAGCCCTGCTATCCGCATCCATCCTCCCAGATTTCGACGCCCTGATTTGCTGCAGCTACAGACCAATTCAGTCACAAGTACTCTTGCCACCACGAACGCAGTGCTTACCCGCTGCTGCATCTTCGTCTCATCTGCCTTGGACGTTGTGTTCGCTGCATCCTTCCCAGCGCCCAGCACCACATACTTCACCGGGGTCTCACCACTCAGCCCAACACCAACCCTCCTCCGGCCCACCTCAACATCAACACCACCGTCATCACCATTCGCCTTCTCAACATCAATGGCAGCATGCACCACCTCCAGATGCGCGTTGTAAACAAGCGCCTGCAAGTCAGCGCCCGAGAAGCCCTCAGTCATGCGTGCAAGCTCGTCAAAGTCCACAGATGGTGCAAGCGTTAGCTTCCGGGATACTGCAGCCAAGATCTGAACAGGAGCACAAGAAATGTCAATACCGCGATACGAAGCATAGTGGGGTACTGACATCTTTACGGTCTTCAATACCAGGCAGATCGCATAGCAAAGATTTATCCAGCCGTCCAGGACGAAGCAGTGCAGAATCAATGAGGTCTGGTCGACTGGGTGGAATATCAACAATCAGACGTGATGGTAAAGGGTGAGGACCCACCTCGTTGCAGCGAGGACATAGACGCCCTCAAGCCCCTCGGCACCATCCATCTGGGTTAGCATCTGGTTTACAACGCGGTCGGTTACGCCAGTACTGTCATGTCCTCTGCACAGACATTCAGCTCTAGAAGAGAGAACGCATAATAGGAAATCAACCTCTTGGGTGCAATCGAGTCAAACTCGTCGAAAAAGAGCACGCAGGGTTTGGCAGCCGATGCACGATCGAAGATGTCTCTTACCTAGACAGAGTCAATATTTCCCTCAGAAACGTCATGTATGCGTACCGATTTTTCACTCTGTCCAATATATTTATTCAGCAGCTCGGGGCCTTTGATGCTGATGAAGTTGAGCCCGCACTCTTTCGCGACGGCTGACGCAAGTAGCGTTTTGCCACAACCAGGGTAGCCGTACAGGAGCAGCCTACATTGCTTAAATAAATGACATCCCGACAAAGAGCATTAAAGACGCACCCAGATCTCAGTCTCAACGGAGACTGCTTAAACAACTGAGCATATTTTGTCGGCCACTCAAGGGTCTCCCTCAACACGATTTTCGTGTCTTTCAAGCCTGCTCACCACCACAATTAATGAACCAACGCTCGATATCCTCAAAGAGAAGCACGCACCGCCAATGTCAGCCCACTCTACGTCCGACTTTTGCAAAGGCACATCCCTCAGTGAGAGAGGCACAAAGCCCTCGTGAGCTTCCACGAAATCTCTCGCAGAAAGCGTCACCTTCCCAAACGCTCGTCAAACAATGAAACATGCGCATCAGTCGATGCTCACCTTCTCAACGCCAACGCCAGCTTCCGACACCGCCCGTCCAACAGCGACCTGTATCGTCCGCGTCACAAGATCCCGCAGATCTACAGGGGAGTAACCCTCCGTCTCCACCGCGAGCCGAGTATATTCCGGTGGGTCCGACTCATCGATAACAAAGGTCAATGGCTCCTTAGCCATAGAAAGACGGCGCGACACATGACTAGCGAGAATCTGTTCAAGCCGCTTCAACTTACAAAGTCCCAGCAATCCTAGAACACACCCACCTCCTTCCGCGCCTCCCTTCCCGGCGGAGGGATAGACACGACACCCTTGAAAATATGCAGCGTGTGCAGTAACGCGTGCACACTAGTCTGACTCTCTGCTGTAGCGAGGAGCACGATTCCACGGAAGTTGGAAGGTGCAAGGCGTGCGTTGGAGCTGTAGTGCATGAGGAAGAGCTCTGTTATATGCCGCTGGTGGAAGGAGTCCGCTTGTTCAACTTCCGCAGTACAGACTTTGTCGAGGTTATCGAAGACGAGTACGGAGGGGCTGTGCCATCGCGCTAGTACAAAGAGGTGACGAAAGAGGGCACCGAGGGTTTGAGCGGGCTTGGATGCGAGCGCGGAGAAGTCGATATAATGTATGGCTGATCGATGTCATTTAATATGGATGATACCGAGTAGCAAACGAGTTTGTTGAGCCGGAAAAGCACAAGAATGATTGAAATATCCCACTCACAAGCATACACGCGTTCATCTGCTTCTAGTCTGCGAGCAATCTCCTTCGCAACTGATGTCTTACCCATACCCTGACGACCTGTGATCAAGATGCCAGGTACTACGGTACGTGCGTGCATGCAAGACAGGCATCAGACAGACAGAATATATCCAAATTCCAAGGGTGCAAAATGCATCAGAATCCGTCAAAACCAAAATCTGACTGAACCACGCACCTCCCCGAACGAAGTCCTTGCGAGCATGTACGGCGTAGTTGGCAACGCAAGTTTTTATCGTATCTTCGAGGATATCGGTGACGCCTGATAGGGAAATCGATGGTTCTGCCGATATTGTTGCGGCAGGTGAAGGCGATGAGGACGATGTGGACGCGAGACTAACGAGACGATGAGTATATGTCGTGGCCAAAGGAGTGTAAAGCTTACTCATCGAAGTTCACATTTATTGCGGGCCCATCCTCACGAACACCTGTGAGCAAGACCCTACCACAATGTCACAAAATATAAGTTGTGGTGGAGCGACCGCAAGAAAAGAAAGCAGCGTACCGAACGAGATCCCAGTCCTCCACCCCATCCTTCACTTCACCAAAAAACACCACATGAGTCTCCAGAACGCGATCAGAGATTCCCAGCCACACTTCCCAGCCATCCTTTCCGTTCCCTTCATCTCTCTTTGCCCCTGCCTCTCTTTGTGATCCTGGGCGCAGTATCTGTGCGTCACCATCCTCCTGCTCAGCTTCAGTACTTGACTTGGCATTAGCGTTGTTACCGGTACCGGAGTTTAGGATGTCCGTCGGATCCTTGGGCGGCTCCAACCGACGCGCATGCGCGCACCACCAACCCGAGCGTGGAGGGTCAGGGTTTGTGTCGAACGGGATATATCGAGTACCCGTAAGGAGCGATAGAGTACAAGGATGAATATATGCACGTGTTTTGCCATCGCGTGGAATAATGGATTCGGGGAAGTTGACAAGGCGGGCAGGAAGCGCTCGGAGGATTTCGGACGGATATGAGGGTTTGTCTTGTGTTGATGGAACTGTTCCAGGCTCTATGCTTGTTGAAGATGAAGCTTTGGTTTCGAGTTTCGATTTCCTATGCGACTTTGGGGCGATGCTAACCTCGGTATCGGTTGTGAGCAGCGCTGCTGTAGTTGCAGGCGTGTCGAGCGCGACTGGGTATTGAGGGAAAGATATGGGTTAGCAGGATGAATGATAGTATGAGGTACACACCAATTCTTAGCCGTACTCTCGTCCGCCCAAGCACCCAAACATCGATCTCTTGTCCAACATTCGCGACCCTCACCTGGGAGAGGAGAGTGCCTTCAACGTGCGCTGCATGTAGTTCCTAGGACAGGTGGAGTTAAGCCGGTCAGACAACCAGGTGTCAACACCTACAACTACGTCCCAGTCGTCTGCACTGAGGGGTTCAGTGCTCACTGTCTTGGCGTATGGGAGATCGTATAATAATCCTAGTTCCACCTGCCGATTCAAAACGATATCATCAGCCAGGAAAGAAAGCAGCTGCAAGTTGACGCACCAAATCTCCCTCCTTGAAGCCCAAGCCTGCCGCATACTGTGGGTCTATCTCCAGAGTCTCTATTCCACGTGCACCAGCGGTAGAGTTGAATGAAGCAAGGGATGACGCAGAGGCCATGCCAGTCCAGCCAACATAGGCCTCTCGTCCCTCGCCATCGGTGGGTTTGAGGTGAACAGCAAGTGTTTGCGGACGCTGTAATCACAGTTAGAATAGGTCCCAGAGAGGGTCGGGGTGAGAACATACAATCTGTCTCTCGAGAAGAGGGCCATACACTGATATTGGAAGATTGACCAGGGATGATTTTAGCGATACAAAGTGCACTTTTACGCGTCGGGGCATTTTGTGGACAACCAAGTGGATGATCACTGAATACTACAGTCACGACGGCGAAACATATAAAGTAGGCAAACACCAATCGAAATCCACTTAAACACCACTTCCAATCATTTCGACTCTTATAAAATATTCAAACATCCGGAACACAAGAAAAGTATTGACGCAGTCAGATGAAGGAGGAAGTCATCGATATGTCTCAGTCCTAGGCAAAGCGCGGAGTTCCAAAGGTAAAGTCAGTCATTGATGCATCGGAAACATTCTAACGAGCATAGTTGACGCACAACTTATTATTTCTAATTAGCAGGCATGATGCATTAGCCCTACAGGAACTGGTGCCGCTCAGGCTGCCAGCTCATCAGACTAGCTTGAGCAGAACATTTGACCGGTGTAAATCTATTAGTATTACAAAGCGCAGGGGTTATGGTCAGTAATGAATCCAGGATCCAAAGCAAACTACTACTCACATTCCTATCATTACACTGTTTGTTGCAGCAGTCACTGTTCTCGTTGCACTGAATGCCTATTTTTTTGCATGCACTGACAGACATAGATGCTGTCAAAGCGGAAATAACGATGAGGACGGGGAAACGCATTATTTGTCCGAGGTATGACAGGTTATACGAGATTTGCCAATGAGACTCTTTCTAAGGTGGGGGTCGGACGTTGAAGACGGCTTCAACATTTATACCCGGAAAATCGTGCTGGGGTAGGACACGGAAGTTCCACTCATGGGTTGGCAGAATGGTTGCGCCTGACGAAAATTCACGGCGAGAATGTATGCAGAACCTAGTGGCAGAACCTAATAGCAGAACCAACAATCCAGAATGCAAACCGTAAACTTACATTAACAGGCTATTGATGCTAAGATTGTAGAGGCTATGGCCGCTATAGCAGCTTTCCATCAGGAGAAAAGGCCACACATCTCACTGTGTCTTCATGGAGAAGATAGGCTGACTAGTATTGTCGATATTCCGAAGTCGTGCTGTCTTGTCAGATGATGCACTTGCAAGGATACGGTTATTGCGTGATAATGGGATGGCTTTAACTTACACGATGCCGATGTCCCAGTGGTGGTGATGAAAGTCAAATGACCCGGAGATAAGCGCCAAAGGACCTAACGAAGGACCAAGTCATAGACAAAACTTTTCCAGTACTGTGTCCCTTGCAAGAGTGTTTTGAGCAATTCGCCCGTACTTGATATCTCATAATTTAATCGAGCGCTCGTTGTCGCCATCATCGTCGCATCGGGATGAATAGTGAACCGCGCACACGGCGTACATGTGCCCCGTCTCGATTGGTCCAAGGTTGGTCTCTCCGCTCTCAGGCATTCCATACTCTTACCGTTTCACCAATCTCACTATCCCATCTTCACTCCCGCTTGCTACTTCCTTGCTGCCCGGCGACAATGCTGTATTCCACTGCCTTTATCCTTCTACTTCTCGCCTTTTTGCTTACCACTCTCCAAGTCCCATACTCGCAGTCGAAAGCGTCGTCAGAACAAGTGGTAAGTGTCGTTCGTGGGGCAGGTACAAAATAGAATACTGTTCAACCTACGAGCAAGTGAAGGACACTCAAAAATTCATCGCGCGTTGGTGTAAGTCTTACATCCTACACAATCAGCATGGGTTAAAGATTGTGGGCGGAGAGTCTGAAACGAAAATCATACAGTCATTGGCTGAGCGGTGCTCGTGATACTACATTGTAAATTCCCCATCACTCCTAATCCCTCACAGGAAAGCCCTTGTTAGGCTCCAGCTCTTCGTGCCCTGGCTCATATAATCGTCGGTCAATCTCGCAGCCCTAAGGAAGAGTGATCCATCCAGCGCTTCTGCGCCCTCCAGCTCTGTGCCCTTGAAGTAGCCCTGAGGCCGTGCACCATAAAGCGAAGAGAAATGCGCAAGGGCCCGTTGAGTCTTCAGCATATGATCATTTGAGTGCAGTATCGCCGACTGAATGAGGTCGAGGAATGGATTACCGACTGTGTCTGCTGAGGAAGCGGGTGTGGAGGTGGCATTGAGGAAACCTTGGATATCTAGTCGAGGAGCGCCGCGCGCGATCCACCACGTGAGACTGGTTCCAAAGTATGCGCGAAGTAAAAGAACTTGAGAGTTTTGTGTCAAGTAAGGCAACAGAGATGGGAGGAAGAGACTCGACGTGACCAGATGCATCCTTCACCGTCCCGAAATCAGCAATTATTTTTTTGCAGACGACTACATTGGCACCGCTTACAAGAAGAATTCTGCTGTGAAACCTCTGTCTTTGCTCCATCCGCCAATAGCATAGAGGATAGTGTTGATCCAAACACATTCTTCCATCTTGCGTTCGATTTCGCCTGGCTGTGACAGGTCGATCGTCCATTGCTCGACGTAGCGCCATATATTAGCACCATGCTCTGATAGCAGCCCGTCAACATCACCAAAGTACCTCTTCATTTCCTTCGGTGCGAATTTTGAATCTCGCATGATCTTAGCAAGAACAGAGAATGCATGGTTTCTTTGCGGTCGTGGGAGCTGAGAAGGTGCAATAGGAATCTTTGTATTAAGGAAAAGCGAGGCAAGCCGAGTTGTCGTCTCCTCCACTGCAGTAGTGCCGCCATGCTCCAATAGAGACGATGGCAACGACATGGGCTCGTGCACGCTAGTCAATGCGAGACCTTTGAGACCTCTATCAGCGATCTGTTTACGACAGCGGGTTGTTCCACCGCTCACCTTCAGCGACCATGCCCGGGATACCAAATTCCGTGCCGTGTCCCACATGGATGAGGGCGTGGAATAGACCCCACAGGAAGCGGGTCAACATTGCCGGTTGAGTGGATGCATCTCGTCCATCTATAAAGTTGAACTTCTGAGAGAAGACGTATTCGTCCAGAGTGGCACTGACGCCCTTTTCTTCGATAACCTTAATGAAGAAGGTTATGTATGCAGCATAGAAGCTGACAAGATATTGAGCCGGGCCTCAGCTCAAGTATCATGCGAAACTCACTTGTCGTCACCCAGATGTTCGATGAAGTTCTCTTCAGTGATCGCTTCGGGAGGCTCGATAGCTGGACGCTGGGAGGCGCTCTCTTGCTTGTAAAACTGTTCGATCAGAGATCCACTCGCGCCCATAGCATAAAGTGCCAGCGCATGATGAGTGATATGGCTTTATCCATGGTCGAATCAGCAAACTGGGACATGGACTATAGTAAATGTATGCGCACTTGTGGTACCGCAGGTGGTTGTGGAAAATATGGTACTTGGTATGATTATCCGTCAAGACATATCTCAAAGCTGCAACTGCTTCTGCAGAAGCCCCAGGGTACCGCGCGGGGCAGAGCACGGTCGGCGGGGGAGATGGGGAGGGAAACAACGCATCGACTTCGTCGATGTGACAAGTGTGTTGAACTGTAACTTTAGTCATCTTTGAGTGACATAGAAGGACAAGTACTTACATGCATGACTACTCGCGAGCATGCATTTATACCCATGTCCTGGATACTGAGCTGTGATTCTCGTGCATTTGAGGAACTTTGTCTGGACCCAAAACGTCACTTATGACGAACAGCTGACGAAGCTTCTAAGCACTTGCGCAGCCGCCAAAACCTCTATTGGGCAACAAGCTATAAGTCCTCAGATGATACGGTGACTTGCTAGTTGACCTTGATGAGGCGTCTTTGCGGCTGATGGATAGGCCCGACTGCTGGGACAATTGTCTGACAAGTGCCCCGGAATTACGTTGTACGATCAGCCGGATGATGACAGAAATTGTCTGACGAGTCTGGTTTTGCCCCACAGCTGCAGTGCGTGTAATCCATCGGAAAGGGACGAAAATATTGTCTGACTTCGGCGTTCTGCAAAGTAAAAGTGCAGTCAGTTCTTCAAAGCTCGACGCGTTGAGGCCTCGGTAAGTAAAAGGTCAGGTGAAAATGACGCGGCGCATGTGACACGGCACGTGCACTGCTTATGCCTTTCAACTGCGCATACATTACCTTCAAACATCATTAATGCATTTACGTCGCTCGAAACACTTTGAATTTTCGTTATCGATGAATATCCATCTACGTACAGACCCTAGAGTGCTGAAATGCACATCGCACCTCATTTACATTACTAGTGCTTGTCATGCCCAAACTCCACGTTCGTATAGCATGGCCCGAGGAAGTATCAATCGCAAGTAGTAGTACGCCCTGTACTGTCTCTAATGGTGGTCTAATGTTAGCTCTCAGATGATTTATTCGGGCTATGTCAGTCTGCCGAGCCTCGTCCCCCACCTTGTCAAGTCACATGCACCCTCAGTAGTATCGGTATGTCGAGCCGCCGGACCCATGCTGCGTCAAGCCTTACCCATGCCCGCGTCAAGCCACATGGCAGTACCATGTCAAGCCCCACCCATGCTGCATAAAGCCTTGAGCATGCCGCGTCAATGTTGTTTAGTGCCGCGTCACGACCGCGTCGAGCTTGACACGGGCCACGTCACTGAGCTTCATGCAGCACCATGTAGGTGCAAGAAATACTTTCTGTCTATCATACTTGTTGAGTACTAACGTTTACAGAGTTCGCAGGGAGTGCAATATTTCACGAGGAAAGTAATTATTCGAGTTTAATGTCTTCTACCCAAGTCTATTTGGTCGAACTAATTTGCAGCGCTTCCGCTATTCTTGTTCCTGCCTCTAGAGCGTCTTTGCTTAGCGTCAGTCCCTCTTAGTCCTTCCTCTCACTTGTCGTCGTCGTCGAGTACGTTGGGAATATTGTCGGTAATAATCTTTTCTCACTTAGTCTCGGTCTCGTTAGTGCATTAACATATTTTCGGGTACCTACCCGCCCTTCTCTTCTTCCTGGCATTCGGCATACACACATAGGGTCCGCCGAAGGCTCCGTTCTCTGGTTGTACGATAGCTTGGTTCTGACAGGTTCGTGTACCATAGCTGAGACGATGTTGATCTTTCGAGTTTTTCACCTTCAGGTGTACCTGCTTCTGGGGGTTACAGCGATGGCCATAAGAGTAAGGAATGTGGTGGGATTAATGTAGGATAGCGGGACTACAAGCTATGCTAATATTTGGGAGGCTCAGACTAGACTCACTAGAGTGGCGGCTTTGACGCGGCATTTTTAGCGGTGTCAAGGCGCGTCACGACCGCGGCAGGACCGCGTCAAAATAGCCACGCCCGTAGGTAAAATGACCGAAAGCTCAACGTTGCAACAACCTGCAATGATCTTCCTTCAGCAAGCCATGGCAGCCTTCATGTACTTTAATCTGAACAACTCCTAGTCCTCATATATCCTTCTCCACTCCATCGATATCTCCATCACCTGGTACATCCTTCCTTTTTCCCCATCTGCGTCCCTCTCATCCTTCTTCAGCCGACAGAAGCTTCGTTGAGACCTCCTCCGATTCAGCTGCTAGAGCATCAAAGAGGCGTCAAGTTCAGTTTCTTGGTGTGGGAAAGACGCACGCTCTCCATACGCCATTACCGCCTTTGTTAATCAACACGGAAAGGCGATGTATCGTGTCAGGTGCGGTTTATCTCGCTTTTCGCAAAGATGCACAGCTGATTCTTATTTAAAGTCAGAGAGCCCCCCGTTCGATACCCTGGAAGAGCGCAGCATCAAGATTTCCGCCAGTGCCACAGAGAGCGCAACAACATACATAGAAGCTAGAAAAGACTCGGTGGATAATCGATATCAAGCCTCAGCATCAAACAGTTACTCTGACCCAATGGCAATTATTTCAGCTGACACGTCTGTGCCATGAAAATCACTCATACATCATGTTTCCAAGTCAATATCATATTGAGGGTTCTCTGTCCAACGGCTTCTATTGCCCAAGCAGCAATCGAGATTCCATATCGACCAAGTCAGCAACGAACTATGCCCATCAACCACAGCACCAATGCGAAAGTAGAGACACCATGACTCATTGCCCCGATGTATCATGTGCCACTCAGGCTGTCTCACCGCAGAACTTTTGACCGGTGAAAGGCTATCAGTATTACAAAGCGCAAGGGGTTACGGTCAGTAATAAATCCAGGATCCAAAGCAAACCACTACTCACATTCATATTATTACAATGTTCATTGCAACAGTCACTATTCTCGTTGCACCGACCGCCTATTTGTTTGCATGCATTGACAGACATAGATGCTGTCAAAGCGGCGATAACGACGAGGATGGGAAAACGCATTATTTGTGCGAGGTATGAGAGGTTATACGAGATGTGTCAATGAGACTCTTTCTAAGGTGGGGTTGGACGTTGAAGATGGCTTGCATTTATACCCAGAAAATCGTACTGGGGCGGGACTCGGAAGTTCCACTAATTGCAGAATGGTTGCGCCCGGCAGAAAATCATGGCGAGAATGTAGGCAGAACCTAGTGGCAGAACCAACAATCCAGAATGCAAACCGTAAACTCACATTGACAGGCTAGGCTATTGATCTAAGATTGCAGGGGCTATGATCGCTATAGCAGCTTTCCATCAGGAGAAAAGGCCACACATCACTCTATCTCACTGCGTCTTCATGGAGGAAATAGGTTGATGCACTTAATGCAAAGATACGGTTATTGCGTGATGATGAGATGACAAGATGCCGATGTCCTTTGAGCACGTGTCCCGGTGGCCAATGACACGGAGATAAGCAAGGACCAAGCGTCCAAACACAAAACTTCGCCAGTGTATCCCTTGAATGTTTTGAGCAATTCACCCGTCTTTATATCCCATAATTTAACTGAGGGCTCGTTGTCGCCATCGCTCCCTGGAGTCTGGACCGCCCATCGCCATCATCGTGATGAATAGTGAACCGCGCACATGGCGTACATGCCAGTGCCCCGTCTCGATTGGTCCAAGGATGGTCTCTCCGCTCTCGACATTCCATACTCTTGCCGTTCCATCGTCCGATGACTCTGATCCACTCATGACACGCCCTCCGTCTGCGCTCCAGCAGATAGACGGCACTGCTGAATGTTTGAACTTTGTCTTCAACTTTGCTGCGTTGTTGCTCTATGAACTAGGCCAGTCGTTCCGTCTCGCAAGATTCTTATACTCACGCATGATTTAGTTCACTTCTGCTTTATGTTGTTCATGAGCTTCTGAAGGTACAAGAATACCATTGGACCGATTTTTCAACGATATGATGAAATACGTGATTCAAATTGTGAGTGAGTAATATGACTCGGATCATCGATGCTCGCCCTACCATCAAGTCATGTCTTTGTCTTCTTGGCTATATTTCCTCCGGTGTGTTGTAGTCCGCCTGGCTTGACGTTCATGTGCTTATCACAGGCTACATGGGTTTCTGTTACAGACTGGCGAGTGCATCGATAACCTCGAATTCATATGCGCGCAGCGCATCAACATAGCATATCTTATGACTTCTCGAATACTTTTCAACCTACGAGTAAGTGAAGGAAACTCAAGAATTCATCACACATCGTTGTAAGCATCTGAGATCCAGTTTGCAGGAGGTCGGCTCGGGACATCGAGAGAGGTTTCATGACGATCATGTATGTAGCGTAAGCAACCACATTTTTGCATGCCCCGAACCATACCGAATAAGATGAAACACTGCATCTGTCTTACATTCTACACAATCAGCATGGGTCTAAGGATGTGGGCGAAAGTCTGAGTCATTGACTGAGCGGTGCTCGTGATACTACATTGTAAATTCCCCATCACTCCTAATCGCTCGCAGGAAGCCCTTGTAGGCTCCACATCCTCGTGCCCTGGCTCATATAATCGTCGGTCAATCTCGCAGCCCTAAGGAAGAGTGATCCATCCAGCGCTTCTGCGCCCTCCAGCTCTGTGCCCTTGAAGTAGCCCTGAGGCCGTGCACCATAAAGCGAAGAGAAATGCGCAAGGGCCCGTTGAGTCTTCAGCATATGATCATTTGAGTGCAGTATCGCCGACTGAATGAGGTCGAGGAATGGGTTACCGACTGTGTTTGCTGAGGAAGGGGGTGAGGAGGTGGCATTGAAGAAACCTTGGATATCTGGTCGAGGAGCGCCGCGCACGATCCACCACGTGAGAGTGCTTGCAAAGTATGCGCGAAGTAAAAGAACTTGAGAGTTTTGTGTCAAGTAAGGCAACAGAGATGGGAGGAAGAGACTCGACGTGACCAGATGCATCCTTCACCGTCCCGAAAATTAGCAATTATTTTTTGCAGAAGACTACATTGGCACCGCTTACAAGAAGAATTCTGCTGTGAAACCTTTGTCTTTGCTCCATCCGCCAATAGCATAGAGGATAGTGTTGGTCCAGACACATTCTTCCATCTTGCGTTCGATTTCGCCTGGCTGTGACAGGTCGATCGTCCATTGCTCGACGTAGCGCCATATATTAGCACCATGCTCTGATAGCAGCCCGTCGACATCACCAAAGTACCTCTTCATTTCCTTCGGTGCGAATTCTGAATCTTGCCTGATCTTAGCAAGAACAGAGAATGCGTGGTTTCTTTGCGGTCGTGGGAGCTGAGAAGGTGCAATAGGAATCTTTGTATTAAGGAAAAGCGAGGTAAGCCGAGTTGTCGCCTCCTCCACTGCAGTAGTGCCGCCATGCTCCAATAGAGACGATGGGAACGACATAGACTCGTGCACGCTGGTCAATGCGAGACCTTTCAGACCTCTATCAGCGATCTGTTTACGACAGCGGGTTGTTCCACCGCTCACCTTCAGCGACCATGCCCGGGATACCAAATTCCGTGCCATATCCCACATGGATGAGGGAGTGGAATAACCCCCCCAGGAAGCGGGTCAACATCGCCGGTTGAGTGGATGCATCTCGTCCATCTACAAAGTTGAACTTCTGAGAGAAGACGTATTCGTCCAGAGTGGCACTGACGCCCTTTTCCTCGATAACCTTAATGAAGAAGGTCATGTATGCAGCATAGAAGCTGATAAAATATTGAGCAGGGCCTTTCAAGTATCATGGGAAACTCACTTGTCGTCACCCAGATGTTTGATGAAGTTATCTTCGGTGATTGGTTCGGGAGGCTCGATGACTGGGCGCTGGGCGACGCTCTTTTGCTTGTAGGACTGTTCGATCAGAGATCCACTCGCGCCCATAGCATAAAGTGCCAGTGCATGATGAGTGATATGACTTTATCAACGGTCGAATCAATAAATGAGACACGAACTAGTTGAGATGCATACGCACTTATGGAACCGCATGCCCACGATCTGGAAGATGTGGTACTTGGTATGATTATCCTTCAAGACATGTCTCAAAGCCGCAACTGCCTCTGCGGAGGCCCCAGGGTACCGCGGAGGGCAGAGCACGGTCGGCGGGGGAGATGGGAAGGGAAACAAGGTGTCGAGTCCGCTGGCGTGACAAGTCTGTTGAGCCATTCTTGAGTGAGGCTAGTACGAAGGAGACGTCACGGTGGAGGCATTTTCGCGAGGGTGCATTTATACCCCTGTCCCATAGATCCGTTACTGAGCGGTGATGCGTACATTTAGGGAAATATGTCTGTACCCAAAACGCAGATTATGCGCCAGCAAACAGCTTTAATCGCGCATTCAGTCACGCTGACGTCTCATCAGCTGTCAAAACCTTGTATTGGGCACCAGTTCCATCATACGGCGACTCTTCGATGAGGCGTCTCTGCGGCTAAGGACCGAGTCTGACAAAGGCCTCAGGCACTATATACGATCAGTCAGATATGATGACAGAAACGCTCTGACGGATCTGATTTTGCCCCACCACACTCCACAGCTGGTGCGGTCGCACGTGCGTCCGGCTCGCACTTACGTTCAGTGCATAGTCTCCCAATAAGTCAGAGAAAGACAGTTAATTAAGTTTGAGACTCAACCGGCTCTCTTCTTCTTTTTGAAACTCCGACGTGCATGTGGTGTGTTCTTCCCTTGAAGCCTGCAGCCGAAAAGCCTATATCTGAGTCCGACTCACTGTCTCGATCATTCTATCGCATACCCCATACCTCGAGCCATGATTTATTATTGTAATTGATTTGCATGCCTACTGACCGTGCTTGCCCATCACCGAGGTTGCACTTCACACTGCACAGTGAGTCCCTGGCTTAATGCCTTGCTGGACTCTTGGAGTGTGTGACGCTAATCTACTACTTGTCTAGGTTTTTGACTACTGCATTACTCTAGAGGCAAATGTGATCAGCCGGAGCGGAAGTATTTGAGATTCAGTTCGCAGGAGGTCAGCTCTTGACATCGAGATCGGAGGTTTCACGAAGATCATGTGTGTAGTGCAGGGCTGGTTCCAGCATGTATATATGAATCAGTGAGTACGACTTGTGAACTACGATACCCGTCCAGTTGAGCGGTAGCCTTGCCTTTTACTCCTAGCCACGTTTTCGACCGTGAAGTGTTCACTCGCGTAGCTCACCTGTCCCCTTAGTATCGTGAGTCCGTTTAACAGTTCGCTCCCACCCCCCTTTCGGAAAATAAACTGATTATAACATTCAAAGCCAGGCCGACCACAAGGCACCACAGTTTGTGCACAGATGTATAGTTGTGCATGTCTATTTATAGTTCCTTGTCACAGCACCCAGCACCTCGGACGAAATCTGGAAATGTGAGGCGAGGATAATGAAGGCTGACAGGGTAGTTGTGCGGCTCCTTGCCACAGCGCCCAGCACTTCCATCATAACCTCGCCTCACATTGTCATATTGTGATTGGCTCTCTTACATTACTTCAAACTCCGACACGCGTTGCAGGTCACGTAGGTCACGGTACATATGTATTTCTCGACTTGGAGCAAGCCTCTCGGATATATATATCTAACTCTCTGTCTCAATCGCGTAGCCCATACCTCGACCCACGATTCATGAGTGTAATTTATTTGCACGCCTCCTGCGCTTGCCTGTCACCGAAGTTGCACTTCGTGAGCCTCTGGCTTAACTTAGGCTTTCAATGTGTTCAAAGCTGGGCAGATACCATTGGAAATATTCTCCAGCACAATGTGGGCGGTTTTCTGTTATTGACACCTTTGATTTTCAGGAATTCAGAAAGCTCATATAGCGTTCCTGCTGCAGTGCCACCGCCATCGTGTTCATGGTGAGACATCTAGCGCCAATTATGATCATACAGCGAGAAGCGCACCTGCTGTTCTGTCTAGTACGATCTTGATAAGTATCGTTCTGTCCGTTGACACTAGCATTCAGGCATCCAAGGAGTGCGATATGTGTGTCTGGTATGCCACAAGGTCTCTCCTTGACTCTTGATCCACCTAGTACTGCAATGATTTGGAATCACTTCAGTTTTTTTCAAGTACACATACTGTACTCACTTTGACTGAACCAATATAGCGGAACATTTGCTGTTTTAGTGAGTGCCGTGACTAGACTCTTGGAATGCGATGCCAATCTACTACTTGTCTAGGTTTTGACTACTGCATTACTCTAAGGACATATGTGTGCAGTGTACTAATCACAGAACCCGTCGGTGACCTCCGGAAAGTCGCAGTGAGTCTCGCACCGGAAATGCATGTTTGTGCGATCTATATTCACCATATTGCGGCACTTGCCATTTTTACCATATCAATATTGGGATGACATTAGCGGGCGAGCCATACCAATGCTTAAACGGTTGACTGGTATTGTCAGAAAATTGCTCATGGCCTACAGGTAGCTGCGTTTCCCTATTCGGGTGAAAGTGTGAGTTATAAAATGCCTAACATGCGCAGGTATTTCTCAAAACCGTGTAGTGTTTTGGGTACGGAAAGGCTTCCAATGGCTAGCGTGACTGGCTGACTGTATGTTGATTTACTCGTTCATCCTTTTCTTAGTGTTGGCCTGGACCTTTTGCACGGCTTGATATTCTTCAGGAACGAAACGGCCATTCTGTAGAAAATTCCAAGTGTGATATGCCAAAGGTTTGGGTGACTGATGCATACTGAGCCACACTAAGCATCAGGATACAAACTGACCCAAAGTAAGATGATTCAGAGTTTGGTCAATTTCTGGACGCCTTCTGCAAAATCTGGCTACGGAAGATTAGTCGAAGCCCGGAGACTATCGTCGGATTGGTACGTGCATTCAAAAGATGAATCGTGAAGCTGGGTAGAGAGCTCGGGTAATGTCACTGATGCCACTGCCACCGTGTTCATGATGTCAATATCATTCCTTAGTGATGGCCAATCGATTATCTCGCATAATAGTCTCACCAGGAACGGCATCACCTACATATGCATCAGAGCACGCTATGACAGGTACCGGGTACTTGCGTAACATTCCCCTGGCGCCAGTTATGCGTTCTTATATTCAGTAGCATCATACAGCGAGAAGTGCACTTTAACGCCCACCTGTTGTTTCATTGCCAGTAGAACTTAATGAGTACCGCTCTGTACGTCGACGCCGGCATTCAGGCATCCAAGGTGTGTGACATGCGAATGTTCTGATACATCTCATCGACTTCTTATCTACTAGTACTGCAATGGTTTGGAATCTTATCAAGTGTTTCTTCAAGTACTGTCTTTGACTGAACCGCCGATACAGTCGGAACATTTGCTGTTTTAGTGAGTGCCTTGGCTAGAATCTCGGGGTGTGTGACGCTAATCTACTACTTATCTAGGTTTTTGATTACTGCGTTACTCTAGAGGCAGAGGTATGTGCAACATACCAATCACAGGACACGTCAATGACCTTCGGAAAGTCGCAGTGGATCTGGCACCGGAAATGGACGTTTGTGCGATTGATATTCACCATATCGTGGTACTTGCCATTTTTTGGCATTGGGATGACGTTCGCGGGTGAGCTAGTCTTGATGGTTGACCGGCTTTTCACAAAAGTTGCTCATGGCCGACGCGCAGCTACGCTTCGAACTCAATACTATCCTGGTGAAAATGTGAGTTGCGAGACGTTGTACATACGCAAATATTCATCAAAAGTGTGTAGTGTGCTGAGTATGGAACAGCATCCAATGGTTAGCACACACCGCCGACTGTACGCTGGTTTGCTTATTCATCCTTTTCTCAGTGTTGCACATTCTGTCCGTTGTAGCCGCAGAAGGTATGTGATGTCTTGAATGAGCCCCAAACATTGACATTGTTCTCTCTAGGATTGCTAATAACGAGGATTTATGCATCATGGAACAGTAAGCGTCTTTTGACATCCTTACTAGCCTTTTCTGTGGTAAGCTTTTGGGTCGCCTTTCACCGCGAAGGCCTGACGTCAAACTAGACGATCAGATTTGTGTGGTCACTTCTTATATCCTCTCGGACACTAAACTGGTGTCTAATTCTACAAACACGACCCCGATTTACTTGCCGAACATGATCGGGGTTAACATACGTTAGTGAGGTGGTCTTGACTTTCGTAACAATTATCTCATGGTGCGCAGCGGATCCGGGCGATTGTCTTTTCATGGGTGGGAGAAACAACGTCTTCAACTACGCTGCGTTGTTACTCTTTGAACTGGGTCGGTCACGGTCTCGTCTCTCAAGATTCCTGTACTCACGCATGAACCAGTTCTCTTCTGCTTGATGTTGTTCATTAGGTTCGGAATGTACAAGAATACTGTCGGACCACTCCAAAAAACATTTTTCAAAGATACGATGAAATATATGATTTGCATCATGAGTGAGATGACCCTGTTCATCAATGCGGGCCCTACTGACTTCCTAGCCTCGATCAAGTCATGTCTTCATTCAGTATCCTCTTGACTATGTTTCCTCCGGTGCGTTGTAATATGCCTAGGTTAACATTCAGTGCTTAGCGTTGAGCACAGGTTACATGGGTTGCCATCACAGATTCGTGAGTACAACAATCTAACGAACCCGAATTCATATGCGCACCCATATAACATATCTCTAGTCCACAGATCGTCATTCACAGCGTCTTGGCCTCTCGGATACTTTTCAACCTACGGGAAAGTGAAGGACACATGGGAGCGCAACACACATCGGCCGCGGCAGAAGTATCTGAGATTCAGTTCGCAGGAGGTCAGCTCTCGACGTCGAGATCGGAGGTTTGATGAAGATCGTGTGTGTAGTGCAGGAGAATCCCACTTGCAGAATGTATGTGTCAAATACTGAGTAGTCGATTTACGAACTACGATGCGCGGTCAGCTGAGCAGCTGTCTTACCTCGCCTTTTGTTCCCAACCACATCGTTGACTGGGATGTGCACCATATCTTAGTATCGTGAGTCTGTTTTTCGTTGCCACTCTCCCTCACTTAGGATTTTAAGAATATTTTCCAGCACTTATGCGATGAATCTATTGGTAACACTTCGACGGTAAGACTTAACAAGATACAGTCATTGACCGTCATTTGAGTTCGAAATTTTCGGATGTCTACCACAACACAACCCGACACAATCTCGAAAATCGCTTTCGGGGATGTCACGATAGATAGCTAATCTACTTCGAACAAAATTTTGAAGAACATCAAACGAGACGTTATTCCGCAATGAAAAGTGCATAAATCTTGGTGTTATCGTACGTTCACCATCATTTGAGTTCACCCAAAAAGGCAGATTTATTCCCTAGTCGCGCAGATTATTATTCTTCCTCGCTATCATCTGACTCATCCTTTTCCTCGTCAATGTGGGCTGCGCGTTCGTGTTTGGATTAACTGCACGACCTCGAGCAGTATCTAACAAGGTACTCCAATAGCGGCCCAAATCGGCAGAGTGCTGCTGAATGAATCGAGTAGACCAGTTTTTGCCGACACCTCCTTCCGGAAATTTATCACCAAGCCGTGCTTGCAAAAGAGAGTCGACATGAAACTTCAGCTGCTTGTGATTAAGCGGGAAACCTCTCTTTGCAAGTGCAAGGCAATATTCGACAACTTTCGTCTCTTCCTCCGGTGCAAGCCACGCATTCTTCTCGGCATTGAACTAGTTCGTGTTTATCGGATCTCGCTTATTTTGCTTCGGTGACGCTGATAAGATACTATTGAGACACTCTGCACCGGCAACATTCTGGCAACACACACACTCATCAGCTCCCTTGCGGAATAGAACAGTGATGTGCTTGAAGGTTGTTTGCATGTATTTCTTCAATTTACGAATCTGATTCTAGTTGTTTTGCTTTCACGGACGTATAATAGTGAAAATTTCGCAACAAAACATAACATCGCACAGTTGTTCGAGGTCTTTTATACCTATCATTACTGCCAATATGTAGTTACGCATATAACTCGTATGATAGAACAAAAATGTTACATGGGATAGTATCAAATTCGAGTCTCATACAAGGTAAACGCAAATGATGGTGAAAACTCAAATGACGGTCAATGACTGTATGCCATTTACTATCGTAAAAACATGATTAGAATATTCAAGGCCAGTTCGGCAACAATGCAGCAGTTTTTGCACAGACATAGTCGTGGATACTTATGGTGCCTTAACACAGCGCCCAGCACCTCCATCGTGCCCTTGGCTCATATTTCCAGATTTTGCCCCAAACCTGGAAATGCGACGCGAGGATAATGAAGGCTAGCAGGCTTACGATTCCCCGTCGCAGCGCCCAGCACCACCGTCATGTCCTTGCCTCGCATTTCCAGATTTCACCTGAAACCTGGAAATGTGAGACGAGGATGATGAAGGATAAGGCTAACAAGGTAGTTGTACATACTTCCGGCTCCTTGTTACAGTGCCCAGCACCTCCATCATGTCATTACCTCGATTTGTCATGTTTTAGTTGAAACATGGTAAACTGAGGCGAGGACAGGGGGTAGACGTGCGGCTCCTTGTCACAGCGCCCAGCACTTCCATCATGTCCTTCTGTGCACGTGCAGACATAAGTTTCTATATCTGCCCATATCAGCGCAAGGTCCTTTCTGTGTGCCAACGGGCGAGTTGAGGGTGAGGGAGATTGCAGATGTCTTCGTGAGCTGTCGGTTGTCTTATTGATACTGGCATAGGTGTGGGCACTGACCGGCGTGGTGTACTTATTGTTCAACATCCATTGATGGCTCGCCCACACTTCAGTGTGAGACATTCTCCTGATCATATCGGTGAGATACATTGGCGGCGGCCTACTGGCAGCCCGATGACTTAACAAAAGTGTCATGTGAGTAGACAATAGTGCACCACGCTTGTATGATTTCACCTTGTGGAGACAATGTCTTGAATGCTTCTTTCCGGAAATTCATGCAAGTCTGCGTCCAACACAAGAATCAGTTGTGTCTTCGTTTACATGTGACTAGATCTAGTAGCTCAGAAGGATTGGCCAGTATATACAAACTTTTGATTCTGTTGAGATCCCGAGCCATTTATTCATTTAGGTCTTATAGATATGTAGCAATACTTACATCAGAATTCACAAAGAGCAAGCATCGTCGTCGTCAGCCTGAAAACATGGCGAGTAAAACCGGAACTCTAATAATCGCATCTACTAAAAAAACTATACGCACAAACATAATACATCCATTCAGAGCTCCTTGTCATCATGAACTATACGAGTGCAACAAGTCGCAAGCGATCGTGGTGAATAGTTTGTCGTGGTTGCTACCCGCTCCCTGCGTGCAGCAGAGGCAGAAGCAAGCGAAAATAGGAAATGTGGATTATTCACAGCTCCATTCTACAAACTCACGAGCCACTAAAGAATAGATGAAAAAGGACCATACACAATGCCAGTTGTGGATGGCGCGTCGGTGGATGCTTGGCCCGCCTGTGCTAGGTATATAAGGCGACACAAAATTGCAAATGCACTCACCCCTCAACTTGTCATCACTATCCTTGCGATCTAAGAGTTATCTGTTGACCCATAGCAAGTAGTTCACTTGCGCTGACATAGGCAGACATAGGACTTATGTCTGCCCGTGCCAACGCAAGGCCGGCCCTGGTAGTCTTCATTATCCTTGCTGGCAGTTCCAGGTTTCAGACGAAATCTGGGAATGCAAAACAAGGATAATGGAGGTTCTGGGTGCTGTGGCAAGAAACAGCCAATAGTAACTTGCGCTGACACGGGCAGGCACGAGTTCCATGTCTGCCCATGCCCAGCACAGGCCGGCTCTGGTAATCCTCGTTATCCTCGCTGGCAGTTCCAGGTTTCAGGCGAAATCCGGAGATGCAAAGCAAGGATGATGAAGGTGCTGAGTGCCGTGATCAGGAACCCCAAAACATTGCATCTTTTGTTGAAATTTTATCGTTCGTGTTGATTTGTGCTGCCAACTGAGCACGTCCGACATGTTCGCAGATGGGTTGGAAACTGAGGGCATCACTGCGCTGTCAACGGTGCTTGATCATGAGTTGTAGCGCTCAAGATCATCTTAAAGCAACACTCACAATTGTTTGAATACATATATATGCAACGAAGATGTTTATGACATCATGCATTATTCCCAGTGACGTAGTGGGCGCTTGAGCGGAGAACATAATGTTGACGATGCCGGGGACTGCGGAGTCCCGATGTCTTCCATGAGGAGAACGCAACCACAGTAGTACGACGAACTAAGCAGTTGCCGAGATCGTGGTGTCTCAGTGCATCGAGATACTAGTGACCACATCCACGCTAGTCAAAAAGGAAGAAACCACTGCCGTCCTTCTTCAAGTTCTCTACGGGAGACTAATTGGAAACAGTCCAGGGGTTATACTTGTACACCATCATGCATCTGAAAGTCTATCTAGCACCGTACCATCAATAAGCAGCGGAACAAATCTGGAACTCAATGTTACTACATAATGCTTACATTAACAATCACTGAGCCAAGCCTTCAGCTGCCGCGCAAGTTTCTTTGCGGTAACCTCTAGTTTCTCATCTCTCGTCCGAGCCACATCAACAATGGTACGTTTCCTACCTGAAGCCGTTAGCACGAGTCCAACCCGCCTCGGTGAGAACGAGATAGACAGCGAGCTAAATGGCACTGGTGCGGGGTCTGATGTCTGTTTTCCTGTGCTCATAGATCCAGTTCCACTATTATTGCCCCTGAAAATGGAGGACGATGAGGACGAGGCGTTCACTCCAGTTTGGTTTGTGTGCACAACTCCTTCTCGGACACCATAGTGTCGAACGAGGTCCTCTAGTCGGCTGCGCGGCTGCATGAGGTCGAAAAGGTCTTTAAACGAATCCTCTCGCTCGAGGTGAAGCGATGAGTCATCGAGCATAACATCTTCATGGACCTTTAGTGCGATGAAAAGGTCGAGGACTTTGGTCTCCCGCTGCAGGGTTTCAACAGAGGAAGTAGAAGTCGAGGAAGAAAATGGGAATGGGTCGGATGAATAGGGAGGGCGTATCATTGAATTGTATGCGGGCAAATATGTGGAGCGCAGTACATGCGCGCATGCTTCACGCCAAGGTGAGTTCTGCCCGTCAAAGGGTCTGTACGGAACGCACCGATGTAAAACGAGCGATTGACCAGCCGGAGGTGTGTAGAGAGCCAACAAAGTGTCTTTCTTTGACGTTCGATCTTTCCCTCATTAATTCCAGGTGTTTGTGGAAACATCATATACACAATCTTCAACAATAGATGGGGAGCTAAATCAGATAGCTTGATTGCTCCGCGATGTCCACCGGGGAAGGGAGGCGGGGGTGCAGTGCCATTTGGGGCGTAAGGAGGAGGCGGAACAGATTGCATGCACTTTTCCTCGACGATGACCATAATGCTGTTTGTGAGTGGGAGGACGGTCTTTATAGATAAATGGAGTTATTCTGGGTTCCGGAGGCAGTACAAAGTGCTGAGAAAGCTGCGCAGTTATTCAGAGTGCAACCTTGGCAAAAGCCACAAATGCTAAATTCAGGCTGATCTGGCTGAGCAGTGAGGAGATGATGGTTGGATCGATGACATCCCGGATCAGTGCCTTCTTCAGCCTACATAACCCGTAGTACTGCCACAGTGCTTGAACATGACCAAAAGTCAAAGTCACATGCTCATCTAGTCGCGTGATGCGATGAGCGGCAGCTCTGCTTATAAGTACTCCGTTTGCCTCAGCTTAACCTCCCAAATAAATTCATTGAACGCATTTTCGCGTCCAAGCAGTTAGGTCACCAGAGACATCGACAAAGATTACAACAACCACGACCTGTATATATGTCAGTTGCTCAATTGTTGGGGCGCGCAACTCCAAGTGGGACAATGCGCCTCAAGCAGCCCTCGTTGTTGGGATACATTTTCAAGGGTATCGCCCTATGCGGCAACGTCGCAACGAGCAGCTGTGGGACACCATGGTCGTGGAAGCTTTCAATCTCGCTTTTGTACTTTCGGATCGCCATCCGATTGCCATCGATTTGTTACTATCGATCAAGTATGTACTCTTGTCGCTAAGACCTCACCGCCACTTAAATGATGATGTGACTGCACAGCATCGTAAACGTGAGCCTCATGTCATACCTCCTGAGTTTTTTTCTTTCTGAAATATAATCCTCAGACATGTTTATGTGTGCAGCTTACAGGATGAACGCTATAGCGAAGCTGCCGATCGACTCGATGATAACATTCCCAGTATAATTTGTTCTCTCGAAGAACATCTTCGAACCTAGATTGAAGATATTCATGATGGTGGCACGTGTGTCAATACGAAGTTGCACTGAACACTTGCACTGATTGATGAGGTGTACAGCTCTTCGGTTGGGACTTGCATTCCTTATGGCAGATGGGCCAGCTGATTTGGACTCTCGTTCACAAGAGTTAAGGTTCGTTGTTCACCTCGGGCAGCCTTTTAGCGCACTTTCACTAGCGCAGCAGCGGGGAGTACAAGAGGGTCGCTTCGGATCACGCTATCATCGCACGGGTAAAGAACATGGTTGCTGTTTAGGACATGATGGACGTTAGGATGCTAGAGACAATGTAGCCTCATGCATTTCGATACCCGGGGATCTGGGATACCATAAGTACTAGTGTAAGGATTACCAAACGTTTACCGCCGGAATATGCCGATACTGGCCAGTCTGTGTGAGGTCCGCACAGACTCCGCGCCAAAGTCTGCCAAAGTGTTTGGGTGAAGTGTGGGGGACACGTCTGGGGGTATTTGGTCGGCAGGTTCCGGGCTGCCTGTTGTTCTTACATCATCGCGACCACCACCCTGCCGCCCCACCTTCTATGTCAGCCACTGTCACGCATCCCGCCGTCACCTGCCGTCATTGTCAGTGTGCTAGCTGCCATTGGAGGAGGACGAAAATGACATCACCCTCCATCTCCAGCAGTCCCTGCACCACAGATATCAGCACCCTCTTTGTTGCAGTACGACACCACGATGAACTGGCAAATATGTCGCTTCTCGACCTCCTTCAAATCCACGACCGTGATCACTTCTTTTCCCTCCTTCCGTCGTCCAAAGTGCCCACCATCCGTCTTTAACTCAGTTGCACCAAGTTGCACTCCTCTGTAATGTTTGCCACGCTCATCCTTCTCATGCGCTTGAAGGCCTACTTTCCTACTGCTCGGAGATCTTCGGGGCATTGCCTAGTCTAACTGTGCATCTCTTACTCTTCCTACATCACACACACCTCGGATCAGTGTCCCCATCTATTTTATCCTTGTCATGTGTAATGTTGCCTCCTTCAATGTTTTTGTGTGATTAATCTTGATAATTTGTGTACTACTAAATAAATTGCTACTGTGGCAATAATGATTTTTTCTCGTATCTTTTTGTGAAGTCTAGACCCCATCAAAATTGAGTGTTCCGGCCAGAGAACTATATGATGATGAGACTGAGACGTGACATTCTAGCTTGTCTGCAATTGTGAGTGGCGGCAGGGAAAGTGTTGTGGGTTGGTAGTCTGATGTGAGCACCTGCTACTAATGCATATCATCAGGAAAAACCCAAAATTGTCAGAGTCATAGTGGCAGCTATATAGCGCTACATAGGTGGTGTAGTACTATGTAGGCAACCAGGTTACTATATAGTGCTACATACTTGGTGTAGCCGAAATGAGGGCTATGTAGAGCTACAGTAGGCGCCAGAAGTAACCTGTATTCACTGTAGTCACTGTAGTGCAGTAGCAGTAGCAGCAGTTCTAATCACTACCAGCGGAAATACAAAATGTCTCTAGGTCAATAAAAGTATTCAAATAAAAATCATTTGCCATCTCATAGATGTTCGTGCTCGTCCACCCGGGGTCAACAGATGGTCCCATCTTTGGAATAAGGTGACACGGACGAACAATTTCATCAACATGTATCACGACTGCATTCCGATGCAGCTGACGAGTCGAATGTGACACTTGACGCAGACCAGAGGAGGGGTCTGGCTCCCGAAATGGCGTGAACCACTCGATGTAAGCCAGCGCTCGGGAGTATGTACCAAACTGACGAGGCAGAGTGAATATAATATGAACCTGCGCAACTCGCACACCTACGGTATCTATTTCAATATTCTGACATTTAGGCCTCAAATAACGGTTACTTACCTTCGAATGTCCGCAAACTCGACGTCTGAACACCATCACTTATCAGTGCCATGTCGAATCTAGCGGGGGATCCGGGCTTGCAGCCAGGACCAGGCTGCACTTCAGACGTTGCTCTAATGCGCCACCGCTTTGGTGAGTCACTGATGCGTGGATCGGGTGGAGTAACAATGACGACTTGTCGAAAAACATCGAAATGGTCATGTGGGCTGGGGATAATGGTATCGTGTGGCATGTGGGAGTGCAGGAAATATTTAAGAGCTGGGAGAAACATAGTTGTGCCATGTATGGCGACAAGGTGCTGGACGGACTGTCGAGGGTGTGCAGGGGTTTTCAGCAAGAACATGGACCACATCAGTAAACTACAATGTTCTGTACAGAGCTGTACAGTGCCCCAGTGCCATAGCTTGGTCCCCTCTGTACAGTACTGCACAGAACCTCCCAGTGCCGCAGCTCCCAGTGCCACAGCTCCCACAGAGCCCCAGCTTCAGGTAGTAAATAAACAAAAACAAATTCGCATTTTTGACACTTTTAATTGCCAATGTCAGGAGTTGAATCTGGAGACCTCAGGACTCATGGACTCAGAATAACTTATCAACAACAACATACTTACCATTACACCATAGTAGCTTCCTTATACCTCACAACAAATGATATATATACCATATCTCAAGTCACTTTACCTAGTCTAATAACCAAAAACTCGAAATTCACAAGTCTTGTCTTTCTTTACTCTGCTATTCTTATTGGTATTCCTAGTCATAATAAGCAAATATCAGTCACATTACTTGTGTGCCTGAACTTTCTTGAACACACCACTTTCTAGTATTTTGCTTATAACTTATTAGGATCTTAAGCAAAAAATGTTGTGAGACTATGGATAGACTACTCTTGACAAGGGCTACAAATTTTATTTTCTTCGAAAAAGTTCCCACGGTCTACCATAGTCAATACTAAGGTTTGAGATCAATGTTAAGGTAATAGAAAGACTTAGTGAAATTTTTGTGCTCAATCCTGTGAGCTCTGTGGGTCTGTAACACACTGTGGGAATTGTGGCTCTGTGACTCTCGGATCTCTGTGAGTTCTGTGGGTCTGTAGCACACTGTGGGAATTTGTGACTCTGTGGCTCTGGGATCTGGCAGCTCCTGTGGTATCTGGCACACTGTGGGAATCTGTAGCTAAATCAATACTCTGTGCAAGAGTTTGTGGTTTACTGATGCACATCAATGGGACGTGTCGGACTTAGCATTGGTAGGGGCAGCGCCACGTGACTCAGATTACAAGTCTTCAATCTTCGGAGTCTGAGTCTGATTCCAAGCCATATCTGTGCTTGGGATCTGTGCGACTGGATGCTGTGGTTGACTGAGACCGTTCTGACAACCAATTGAGGTAAGAACTACTGCAGGAATACTGCTTCCTGGCGTTGAAGCCATAAGGCCATTTGTTCCTCATAGTCGCGCTTGTTACTTGCATGATAGGCTTCTTTGGCGAAGTCGATGTGTAGTCGTTCTGGAAGCTCGGTGTTGAAACCGTCAGTGGAACCAAATAGTATGATTGACTCAACAAAGTGTGAGATTTAGTGTAATTTAGGAATATTGAAGTGTTCGCGAACTTCAAGTTCCTGCAGGATATCCTTATTAGGCGTGAAACACCGCAAGAGCACTCTCCAGACCATCGAGGGATTCACTTGTATGTATTCGAAGCTGTGCGTAATATGAAAAGTCCAGAATGGCTCGTGTGACCACTAAGACTTGACTGGTAAATAAAATTAATTGCATCAGTGCAGACTTTGTCGAGCAAGACTTAAAGCATACCTTGGGACAGCACCAGCGAGTAGACCAATGAAAACATGTTGCATTTCTTTGTGTTCTGTACCTATCCACTGTCTCACAGTAGAAATACCTTTCTTTTGAAGCGTGCGTCCATTTTATCTTCACCGACAATTTCAAGACACCACTTAACTAAGTGGTCTTTGAAGATGCCTTTATGGACCTGGTGAAGGAGGTCAGGCGTGAAGGCAAGGAAAATATCGGTGTGAGGGAGAGTAGCCCAGAATGGTTTGTAGACGGCACGTAGCCCATTGTCATCAAATTGAATTGGATGCTGACCATTCTTCCACTTCTCTAATACCTCTTTTGTCACCTCAGGGTCCCACATCAGCGAAGTCAATGGATTGCCTCGTTCATCTGCTGTGACCAAACACTTTGGACACCGATTTTCTTTGCAACACGCCACAAGACATTGCTCCAGAAAGTCGGCTACATAAGCAGCAAGGATGGGGTAGACTCGATGGATCAATGAGTCGGCGCAGACCATCTCAACACCATTTCGACCTGCAGCAACAAGGGGTTCGAGGAGCAGGGACATACAATGGTGGAAGAGTTGGTAACTGGCAAGGGAGTGCACATCAGATGTAAAGCAATCAAGCTTTCCTGCAGGTAAGTATCCAATAAGGACTGTTGCTCGTGCTGACGTTTGCCGCCTCTTCTCTTTTGCAATGTTGACAATGGAGAGGTACATGGGCCATGCTGATTTATTGCCTCGGAATTGCGACAGACATGTTTTGTCTGATGCGAGAATGATCGGTGTGATGGTTACACCTTTTGGCAACTGTTTCTGGACATCATAGGTCAGTACTTGTCATTTTCGCTTTTTTGGGGGTGCTTACTTGCTTGTCACACCACCAGTCCGCCGTCCACATGTCATCAATTACTCGGTGAAGTCCTGCAGGGTCCTTGTATGCTCATGCAGGTGCGTACACCATATGATCGCAGAACAATGGATTTCCAATGAGGTCTTTGACGCACTCAACAGGATCGCACATCCACAGTTCCACGTCTTCATGCAACATCTGGCCCTTCTCATCTGTTTTATTTCCCTGGACAGTAACCTTTTTGCAACTCCAGGCAGCTCTGTGTGGGAGCTTGTTGACTTTCTGGAGGAAAGATCGGTTATTGTGAAATGAAGGTTTCATTTGGTTTTGTGTCTATCACTACAGTTAGTACAAATTCTTCAATTTTCAACACTACACTTACTATTGGTAATTTTAGAAATTTGTCTGTTTGAGTCTGGCTGAGGCTTCTAACAAGCCACTCGGCGAGTCCCCACTCCTCCCTTGCAACCTGAAATTAATTGCTTTGCAGACATGACAGACATAAATTGGTACGTACGCATCACAAAAGGAAGCCCATTCATCCTCGCCCTCACCCTCCTTATACTGTTGAAACCTTTCAAAGCCGGTTTGTCCTTCACACAGTGTTTGGCCAGCGCCAGTGCATTGTTCGAAATGTCGCCTGTGGTCCTCATCTTTGTCCTCCTCAATGGTGACCCATTGATTTTTTGGTGCTGTTGCATTGTCTGCATCGGGTTGGGAAGACTCAGAGTGTGAGCGGTGATGTGGTGAAAATAAGTTGGCGTTAGAGTTGGTGTTGGTGTCAGTGCCTATACTAGGTACGCCAATGTCATTTTGATTTTCAACCAGCAGCTCCCATTGCCTTCTGCATTCAGGGCGTCCTGCGACATGTTTCTTGACACCTCCCAATGTGGGCATCTCCTTGGTATAGAATCCACAGTGAGGCATGGTGAGTGTTTCAGAGGTTGCTTTCTAACTTTGCAATGTTTTTGACGGTAAATTTTTTTTAAAGGCAGGTTTGACGGTAATTTTTTTTAAAAGGCAGGCCCTGGTCTAGACCTCGCCACACCACACTTGTTACTACTGTGTGGCGCGCCACATTACACTAGTCTGGATATACCATGGGCGGTGTGGGGAATTCCCCCACTGTAGGTGTAAAACCCCGTCCTTTCCACATCGTCTCACATCAGTTCTGCATATTCCGCACGTTCCGCATTTCCCACGCATCGTCCGATGGGTTCCGCATTCCTGCGCATCCTTCAGAACCTGCCCGCACTATCCGATATTCCTGCGCATCGTTGGACAACCTTTGCATGTCCTGTCCCCATCCTTCCAGGTCCATTGGTACGCTGTATCCCTCTTCCCGCTGTTTAGTGTAGGGGGCAAAACTACTTTGGGCTGAGTTGTGACCAAGTGCCGGCACAACTGGCACTTGGCGCACTGGCAAAACTTGGCAAAACTTCCAGACACGTTGCATCAACATTGCATAATACTACTGATTATTACATTGATGAGACACCCTTCATAGTCAACCGAGACTGCACATCCCAAGACAAACCATCCTCCGAGTCAGATCCCACCTGCTGAACATCATCTTCGAAAGCTGCGGGGACAATTCCTTTGTCAACCTGTTCCAGCTCAGTGATGTTGTACACCTTTCCTGCCAAGATCTCATACCCTTCCAGCTGGGGATCAATAGCTGATGGGAATTCTGCAATGCGTTGCTCAATCTCATCAAAGGCAGCTGCAACTTCATCCTCCGTTAAGCTTTCTGGCCCCTCCAGCTCGTCGTCAACCTGGCTTCGGCTTACCAGTGGAGGTGTCCATGTGAAATTTCTTCAACGCCTTTTTCACAGTCTCCAAATATTTATCAGCGGAGCCTCGATGTCCGGTGAGCTCATTGAGACTTAGGACAGTTGGGTACTGCCCAACCTCTGCTGCAATGGAACCATACAAGCTTCGACGGATCTTATCTTCCCATCCGTTGAAGAGAATTGTCAACCTATGCCTCTGCTTCAGGTGCCCTATCTCTTCTATTGAAACTCGTGCATATTCAGAGTCCATGATTGTATGTGATAAGACATAACGTGTGGGAAGAATATATGACGGCCGAATGTAGTCGATAAATTCGAGAAAGTATGGATTTTCGGTGACAGAAAACGGACTGTTGCTGTGAACTACATAGCTGCATGAAGACTTGGATGAGTATGCGAGCATATTTAGACTTAAGCTTAGCTGGGCTCACCGAAACAGCTTGATATTTGCAGTTTCCCGCTGCACAGGAGTCAATGTGTGATCAACATAATTATTGAGTGTACCCACGCCAGCCTTCCGTTTTTTGATGACAGTGCTTGTCCCAACATCAGATTGAGAATTACCGTTACCATTTGTTTCAGCAACATCCGAAGCTGGTGTGTCATGGAAAAGTGGTGCTTCTGTCTGGCCAATTGCAACACCTTTCTGCATCAAGACCTTGTGAGCTTCATTGCGAATGGATGATGGAGCATCTGGGCACTCTTTTGGGTTTGTGAGATGTAAGAGACAGTGGTTATCTTGGCCTTCGATGCATTGACCACTGCCACTGGTTGGAGTGCAATAGTTGCACTTCCAGAATTTTCGGCGAGACTTGTTGTTGACTCGCTCGAGTTCCATGAAGTTATCGGTGATGATTCTAGCTGGTAGGCGGCCACCAGGATGCTTTTCGTCAGACATTTTAAGATCTCCGAAGTGCAGGGAGTATGGATGACAGGATGGTACAAATGATACAGTTCAACACACAGTAAAAACATAGAGATAGACTTAGTATTACTGATCTGAGCAACAGATTGATGGCGAATCTGTGAAGAAAATCTGTCACAGATTGTCTGAGTCAGCCTCTACCTACTACTAGATGTGCCAAGTTTTGCCATGGACCCCTCCGAGTTCGCCAGCAATAGCCAGAGTGGCAAAACTGGCGCGGCGCAATGGCGCAGTATTGCCAACAACACTACCACTGTTCCTAACGTTATCCGGATCAAACTGACACATGCCCTTATGGCACGGACCCCTATTCTGGAGTATTGCGCCCATGTGCACTGCCTGCCTTCACTTCCGCTTCCTGAGAACTTACTACCTGTACCTCAGTGTACCTTGAAAATAATCTTCCCTTTAAGTAGTGGTACTCAGGGCTTGGGGGTAATTTATCAAATCCCATCTTTTACCTTCCCACTTTTCCTTCACCTTACTAGAGGACCGCTTTGACTTATGCCCACTATCAATCTAACCTTGTGATATACTTCCTTCGACTTCACCTGCAAGTTCCGACGAATCAGTATGTTCTGCGCTTTATCCGTTTGAGTTCCGTTTCATTCCTTTCCATTCCGCTGGAGTTCTGCTCGGGTTCCGCTTGTTCCGCGCGAGTTCCGCTTGTTCCGCTTGTTCTGCATTTTTGCGGATCCTCATCCTACCTGCAGGAGGGTTGATTAGGGTCGTTTAGACAGAGACTAGTACTCCCCAGTAGCAATCCCCTTAAGGGTCAAACACATTTGTTCCCAAGTGAGGCAGCAGGCAGCAAAGACCCAACTGTGTAGTAGATCAATTTCTCTCCACTGCACTTGTTGTACCCACAGCGGCAAGAACTGACTCTAAAAGTTGTGCCCGTTTGGCCTTCTCAAAATGCCTGACTTCTACCTCCCAGCGCTCTATGATGAGTCTTCGCAAGTTTGCTTGCAATATGGTAAGAGCTGGACCCGGCGCTATTTCTAAGAGCTACAAATTTTTTGCATGCTTGCAACCCTTCACTTCCACCTCCCAACGCTCCAAAATTAGTCTTTGCAAGTAGGACTGAGAAACCACAATAGGGCCAGGTGTTTGGCGAAATGGTGGAGGAAGCGGATACATAGGCTCATCGAGCTTTGGCCTGCAAGCCAGTGAGTATATGGGCTGTGATGAAAACGTGCAGCTAACCTTTTGATGATAACATTTCCATTTTTACCAGTAGCTGTTTTGTTGCCTATGGCTGGTGACATGGGACTATACAATTTGTCAGAGCACGCCAGTGAGTGTTTGATGCAGACTCCATACCGCTTGTTGACCGAGTTATCCATGGTAATGAAAATATTGCAATGTAGTAATGGTACACTCGCTGCTTTTTATAATTTCACGTCCATTGATCACAGCTTTGAGGTCTGAACTTTACAAGCCCTGAAATCAGCCCATAGTGTCATTTTGATGCATTAAGGGATTACAGCTGTAAGACACTTGTAATACATCAACAGTTACTACTGCTCATTGAGAATCCTTGGTGAATCTTCAAGGATCCCAATGCATCAGTAATGCATTAGCACTCTAAGTGATGCATTAGCACTATTGCCCAGTGGGGGCGCTTCTGGTTGCCTAATCCAGCTTCCCCGGCCATTAAAAATCGGGTGGGTACCTTACAGGAGTGATGCATTAGCGCTATTGCCCAGCAGGGGTGCTTCTGGTTGCCTAATCCAGCTTCCCCGGCCATTAAAAATCGGGTTACCTACCCTGGCCATCAAAAGTGAGTGGGTACCTTACGAGCCCTTACCCTCGGACCCTTTAAATGTGGGTGGTAGGCTGGTAGTGGGCCTTCCTGTACCTGGCTACCTTTATAGAGAAGTTGGTTTGCCTTCGTGCTGCGTGGCTGTGTTGGTTGGGGATAGCGCATACATACCCCACACTTCTGAAAACTTCATTCAACCATTGAGCGACAAAGTTCAACAATGGCATTTCCCAAGTGTCCCAAATTTTGTCAAACTTCAACGGCGGCATTTCCCGAGCATCCAAAATTTCGTTGAAGTCCAAACTTGTAGCGACAAACTTCAAAGTATACATTGTCATAGCTTAACAAGGTCCGGCAATTCTTGTTCACATGTAGTTGAGAACAACCAATAGATTAGATTGAAACAGATTCGAGATTTTAAGCAATATGTACGGCTAACAGTAAGACAGATGGCACAGTGCAGTACTGCTAATTGAAGTATGCATGCCACAAAGAATCAAGATGTTAGGCAATATGTACAACCAACAGTAAGATGGATGGCACTCGCAATCATGCAACCTTAGATTTTCTGAACGAGAACTCAATGATGGAAAATGACAAAAATTCAACAACACTCACTTTTTATTAGATGTGTTACCAGTGTTCTCAGCATTGCGTTTGCTGCCGCGTTTTGAGCCCTGTGTTGTTGATGTAGCATTTGCGCCTCCGCCTACTTGACCAGACCGCCGAGGAGTATCACCAATGACATTGTCCAATTCACGGCGATTGAAAGGGACTGATTGGCGTGCCCTACCAGTACGCTGAGCGCCAGGCTGTTCTTCTTCAATATGGCGAGCAATGGGCTGAGACGCTGAGACTGGAAGAGGCTCAGGTGCCGATACAGAAAGTGCTGGTGTTGGCTCAGATGCAGAGGGAGCAGACACAGAGGGAGCAGACGCAGAGGGAGCACGAGACTCAGATGCAGGTGCTGACTGAGATGCCAGAGGTGCGGGGATCAATGACTCTGGCTCAAAAGTAGAGGGAGCAGGAGGCCTGGGGGTCGCAGGTGCTGGCTGGAATGTAGGGGGAGCAGAAGTAGAGGGAGTAGGAGGTCTGGGTGTCGCAGATGCTTGCTGGAATGTAGGGGGAGCAGGCGTTGCAGAGAGAGTATGAGCAGGCATTGCAGAGAGAGTATGAGCAGGCACTGCAGAGAGAGTATGAGCAGGAGCTTCAATGGACACAGGAGGCTGAGGACCATGGAGCGCTGGGTCTAACTGAAAAGCAAGGGGAGTAGGAGGCATAGGCCAGACAAATGGAGGGATTGGAACTTCACGCTCCACAGGAGGCAGAAAAGGCAGATGTAAGTCAGCGCCGCCCTCTGAATCCATGCTGGCCCCAACAGATGTCTCCAGAAAAGAGGATATTGCAGCCTCATAGTCAAATGGCTCAGTGGAAGCGAGAAAGTCCAAGTCATGCGTATGTGAGCTTAAGTCCTGCGTATGTAAGCTTAAATCCTGCGTATGTAAGCTTAAGTCCTGTGGCGTAGTTCCATTAAACTCGTGAATGTGATGCATTAACCTTAAGCCCACCTGAGTGAGTAAGTTGAACTGTGTTTGTGATGGTGATGCATTACACTCGTTTGGAGTCAACTGATAAAGCGCGCCCCACTCCCTTGAGCTTCCAGGACCAATATTGCCCCCTGGTACTTTTGCTGCAGCGGTACTTTCACCACTGTGAACCTCATCCGCCTCACTATCTGAACCCTCATCATCCGAGTCATTATCATCACATTCAATCTCTCTCTCTCTGTCGTGGTCACGGTTGGTAGCTGGGAGAGAGTCCTCGTGCTCTAAACATCAAGTTTAACATCAGTAAGCACACGATTCCCCATGCCAATCACTTACTGATAGTACTGTCCACAAAACTCGCAAATGCCTTAAGAACCTCACTGTACATGACATACAAGTCTGCAAACTGGCCACCAGTGGCGCATTCACCAAGGTGATAACTGTTGGATGATTTAATTACTGATTGATTATAGATAGATAACTTGGCACATACTCAAAGAATCGTATATTACCCCCAACTTCTGGATCGCGGCCACCCATGAGGACGGAGAACTTCCATCCGCCAGTCATGTGGCTCAGGTGTTGGAAGATACGATATAACACCACCAGAAGGTCATGGATTGCCCTGCGTAACGGTGAATCTTGCTGAAGAAATGCTCAAAGTAAAAGTACATACTTAATCTTGGTATCATCATCTACCTCTTCCCTCACCTTAGCTTGGGTGACCTTGCAGGCTTTCTTGAACTTCTTTTTCAACTTTTGGTGCTCCTTCTTAACCTTCTCTTTCACAGCAATCGACTCTGCCTCGTATTTCTCTGCTGTGATCTCACGACACATGCGGAGCTTAGAGCCACGCGAGGTAATTCCCCCCTCTGCAATTGCATTGTCGGCTGACTGCTTGATGTGGTTGGCATAGTACATCTGCGAGTAAACCTCGACTTCCTTTGGCGCACGCATGGATGTGCCTCCTGCGAGTGTTTTTTCCATGGCAAGCACTCCTCTCGAACCACCTGAACATGCAAGACGCGCAGGGTTTGTCTTCCACTGATACCAGCACATGATTTGCTGTGATCAACAGTAAGCAAATGTTTTGATAATGTAAGTGAACATGTACTTCTTTTCGCTTTTTTAATGGTGTCTTATACACCTCCTTTTGCTCCTCAGTCAGCTCATCCTCGTCATCAACATTGGGATAGTATATTTTATGGACTGGCCATTGGGCAAAAAATTTCTTGTTGATTTTGGGCCAGAACTCCGTGTAATTTTTTGTCGGCATGTAAGTGCGATATTCAGCTAACATTGACATCAGGACGACATCTTGCTCATCCATAGCCCATGTCAGTGGAGCCATTGTGTTGAGTACTGCGCGAACACGTAGGCAAGGGGGGTTTGAGTACGAGTATAGCGCACCAAGACACAGAACATATAATGCATTACTTGATATGCAACTTTGCTGTCAAACGGAGACACAGAACATACAATGTATTACTTAGTCGCTGTCAATATTCAACTTCACTGTCAAATGGAGGATCTCGATGTCACAAGTATATACCAGATGCTAATGCATTACTTGGTATCCAACTTCGCTGCAAATGGAGAATCTCGATGTAAACACGAACATCTATCTATGCTACAAAGAACCTCAATATATCTATCTTAGAGTTATCTGTACAACATACAACCCGCGGGTGTATTCAGCTGTCTGCGGGTTCTTTAAGTCCGGTCTTCTGGTATGCGCTGAACATTTAACACTTACTGGATGGTATGCATGGCATGCATATCCAAGTAAACTCTAATACATCTGGTGGTGTCAAAGTCATTGCGCAAGCGAGCTGCCTTTCTCCTGAAAAATAGTTCTTAATCAACTGCGAACCAAGGGTGATCAAAGGTTGAAGTAGAATAGAAGCAAATAGAACTTTACCTCTTGGTGTTTTGGAATCCACGCCTGGATTATAGCTTCCCCCAAGCTGCTAATTGTTGTGGTATCCCCACCCGGGTAGACGCCGCGGTAGGAAAGGTAGACATCGTGCTCAGGCCATCGAGCGAACCATACCTCATAAACAGACTCCAAGAACTTGTCATAGTTGCTAATGGGAATCTTGTTGAATCCGTCATATAGTTCAGCAAGAAATGTGCATTGAGCTGGAGACAGGTACTGTGCTTCAAGTTTTTGAGACATTGAGTGGGAAGGGCGGAAGAGTGTAAGAATGCAACTTATTCTCTATAATAACTATGATAAAGTTAATGCATTACAATTTACAAGGACCCGGCAGATATGTGTGCTTACAATCTCTGAAAGTCCATAAGTCCTTGGTCAACATTTATCGACAATTATAGTAGCACATCACAGAGTCTCATACAGTAAGTCCTCCTGCCTGCACCTGTCAGCAAGGTCGGACATCCCTGATGTTCCGTAGCACCACAGTTCCTCAACTGCAGCTATAATCTTTTTGCACCGCTTAGAAATTGCACAGACCTCCTTGAAAAATCTTGTCATGCCCATCTCTTTGAGCACACTTGCTTCCAGTGCCTGCAGACCAACCTGAACCTCTTCAAGATGCGTGAGGACCTTGAGAAGCTTGCTGGCGTGCCCTCAGCCCGGGAGGAATCTTCCTCATGCTTGGCAACTTGCTCCAAAAGGAAAAAGGTACGCACTTCATTGATTGATAATAACAGCTTCTCATGCATCTCCAGATGGTTATATGGCCTCTTTCTTGCAATCGACGCGAACTTTCGCCTGAAGAGGCAGATAGTCTCAAAGGATACTGTGGATCCGAGTTTGTCCTGTGGGTGGGGATACTTTGTTGACGAGACCACATACAAGACACATCTTACCAATCACAGCATGGAAGTCCAAGAGGTATGTATCGTGTTTTGTTTTATCTTAAGCTTGTATTGATAGATGTAACACAGAAAAGCATGTGCGCTAGTCATAATGCAGTGAACATGGCAGAATCGAAGTCATCAAAGGGACTAGCAGCCACGGGACTTGGAACCATCAACTGTGCCCGACATAATATGAAGCTTCCGAACGGTGTTGGGGACTTGCAGAAAGGCGAGAGGTACGTACCGCTTGGATGTGCATGGACCCACTTCATTGATTTGCCAATTCCAGATATATTAATATGGATTTTCTGTTCTTTTCAACCTTACATCACCGCTCTCTCAAAGTTCTTAATGTGTCATATGATATCACGTGCCAGTGGCACAAAAATCTGTGGGCCAGGATGGTAACACTTCCAGAGGATTATCAGCTTGATCACGCAATCAAAACTGTTTGCTTCTTCGTACCCAAATTCCATCTTCCTGCGCACATCGCAAAATGCCAGACAATGTTCTCTTTCAACTGGTCTCATTGGGTTGGGCGCACTGATGGCGAGGCTCCAGAGTGAGGATGGTCGAACACCAACCCAGTGGCTTCTAGTACGAAAGAGATGGGTCCAGGTGGTCGATGGGACACGTTGGACGATCATTTCAGAGACTGGAATTGGAAGAAGGTCGTCAACTTAGGTAATTAATAATCATCCCCCGAAGCAGCAGCTCTAAGTGTGCATTTCAGGGGCGAGCTTGCTATGGAAGATGAAAGAAGCAATGCAGGAGAAGGTGGCCTTCCATGTGGCCTTCGAAGAACTCGATGCTGCCATTACCAAAGAACATCGCGTAGCCTGGACGGCAGAGGTAGAAAGGTGGGAGGATAATCCCAATGACACATGTGTGCCAAATCCATTTGAGGCTAAATCAATAGGTCCGTCTGAAAAGGAGCTGATTTGTCATAGCAATCATGCAGGCTGGTGCACGCCTGAAACTAGCGCAACTGGAGGCAAAGGAGCTGGAAAGGGGGGCAGATGTACCGCTGCACCCGGAGGTCTCACCGAGTGTCTTCATAGGATTGGGTCTGGATTTAAAAGAAGAGCAGTAAGTTTGGTTGTTTTCTTCTCTGTATTACAATGCTGATCATGATGCAGATGGCATGTCACTAGGTTCATGAAGGGTCTGGGTAACCATGTCACAGATACCCAGAAAGGAAACCTGCAATGTCAGAGGAACACTTTACATCGCAAAATCGAGTCATGGCGGATCATGCAAGCGCTATACATGCCTATCATGCATGGCACACTCTCTACTTCAATATCACCATCCTCTGATTTAGGGATCGATAATGCGGAGGACTTGAGGCTTTTTCTCCCTTCTGCTATCGGCAATTGTCCATGCCACGACCGCCTGCAACTCTACGAATGGGAACTACGCCTGGCTCAGGCACATGACGCGCTGGAAGAACTCAGGCAATGTCTGCAGATACGCTCATCACTCTTGACATACAAGAAGGACTGGGTCTGCGGGCAGGGTGCGAACACAAGGGCTCAAAATGCCTTGGAACGTGTTACTGGAAGACAAGCAGCCTGTACAGCAAGGTACCATGCTTCATGGGACGCACTGAATGTCCTGGCAGGAGAGCTTGGAAAAGTGGGGTGGCAAGGAGGACTTTGGCCACTGGAGCCCAACAATATATGACTGCTTATTGATCCAGCTATCATTCCTGGGCAGGGGAGACGAAAACTGACCTGGATTTGGAGGATGAGTGGTGTAGATAGTGGTGGAGATGGTACAGATGAAAACGGTGAGTGGCAATGTTCGTGGTCGCAGCCTAAACTAACACTAGATCAGGCATGAGGGTAGAATGGTGCAAAGCACGAGCTCGCGCGATGCACTAGGCTGAGGAGGTCGAATTGCTACATGAAGAAATACGTCGTGTCCTTCAATTTTTTCGGTGGCAGGCCAGCTGGTGGGATGAGCAGGGGCATCAGCATGTGGAGGAGGATACAGGGTGTCTTGAGGGTATACGAGCTTATGCTGCCAAGCAGGCAAACATTCGCCAAGCGTTCACCGATCATTTCCAGACTTTATGGTCTCCCTTTCTCTCTCCTGACACCATAGCCTTGTCGAACGTGGTTCATTCTAGCGCAGACCATGCTGCCGACCTCCCTAGTCTCTTGGTGCCGCCTCCACCCAAGGTGTAGTTGCTTATGTGCCTGTGTACATTATTGCCAATATATGTCTATTTTGCATCCCTGAAGTATGTGTGCGGTGTGTATGTAATGCTTCGTGGTACCTTAGATTGGATCTGGACACCCTTCTGGTCAGCGTGCTTCACAGCGAAGGTACCGTGTGAACCGATCTGATTCCTGGGGGGAACATGCTTCTGGTCAGGAACACACTTCTGGTCACTGTGCTTGACAGCGAAGGTACCGTGTGAACTGGAATTTGGATGCTGGAGACAGGGCAGGCGGAGACAGGGTAGGTGTGTCTTAGGGGCAGCTGTCTTACAACTGTAATGAATTAATGCATGATTCAGGCTTACAATTGTAGTCACTCATGTATTACAAGTATCTTACAATTATAAGACTTAATGTATCATCACCCCAGGGTGTTGTGCTGAAATCAACAAAAAAATTCAAGGTTTAGATGTGAGTTGTTTATGTCTTTCATAGCGCTATAAAATCTGCTGAACCATGGGTTAATTCAGACAATCATGGCTACCAGTCGCAAGGTTGCCTCCAAGCATGCAAAATCCACAGACACACAACCAGCACAACCACCTGTGCATACCACAAGTGGTCAACAGCGACGGCTGACCGAAAAAGAAAATTACTGTGGTAAATCCTGACAGTATTGTGCGAGAACGTCTCACTCACTAGCAACTCTACAGTCTCTGAGTCTCAGCACATTACCCATTGCCAAGAACACAAGGAAAAGAAGTTAGAGAAACAGAAGAAAAAAGTACTGAAGGCTACTTACCAAGCTGATCCTGACATCTTTGAGCGAGAGCCGTCTGAACTGCATAGCAACATTGATAGGGAAGAAGAAACTATGGTTTTATCACCCATTTTCTTTTCCGCAACTCAGAATAATCACAGATAAAATATTTATTTAGTTCTCAGATTGCAATATGCCATCCAAGCTGTCCCGGCCCAAGGTCCTGACATTCAGTGCTGGGAAAATCCCCCCGCCGATGTTGCATAATGCCAGTGCCACCCGCAAGGCTACTACCACAGGTACGTGTCTACTCTGTTAATTCTATACTAAGACTAATCCACCTCCACTACTATCAAGCAGCTCCAACTCTGAGTCCATGTGATGATGAGTCAACAGACTGTGACTCTCAACCTGAAGCTCAGGTTGACCACACTGATGACTCGGAAGAGGACGATAATGACAATGCCGAAGAACTATCGCCAATAGCTCGAGGGACCAAGTGACCACTTGATGTGACTTCGGAAGATGCCATAGTACTGCCAAAGATCAAGAAAAATTCAGATGGTTCATGCCAATGCATGAAAGCCAGTGATTTTGATGATGTCTCCAAAGAGATTCTTGTGACGGTGAGCTCTATTTTCCGGTGTCTAATTGTCACCCAGGCGCCATTTCCCGATAACCTTGCTGTCGAGACAAAATTGGCAAAAGCAGCCTGGCATGAGGCGTGTCAAATCAAAGGCATCAATGTCAAACTGATGCCTTTGGTGGTCAAAATGGTGAGTCGTCTGTTCTCCATGTGTTCTTCATCTGATTTATATCATACCTTGTGAAGTTCTTGACCCGCACATCACAAGTGCATGGGGAACTTAAAACGAAAATGCGATCACTGACTGGGTCTTTTTTCGGTTTCCGGACAAGCAATTCCAATGATGTGATAAGACAGAATAGAGATCTAGCAGAGTCTTTGAAAGACGGTTCTGTGTTTGCTTTCAAGGTACGCATTTTGATGATCTACATGGTGTTTCAAGTCCTGAGTCCTTGGACTAATAGGATTGGGCGTCGAAGAAGGGAATCTACAAGACCGAATTACTGCAACTGGGTATCAACGTCATGTGGTTTGCAAATCATCACGACGAAGGCGTCATATACCATAAATACTTTAATCCTATGCCCGTCGAAGTTATCGCTCTTGTGCTTACAACTGTGAGTCTCTTATTCTTATATTCAAGTTGATGGTGCTGATGAATCACTGGTAGATTGAATGTTGTATCGACAAATGGTTACAACGTCTGAAGGAGGATATTAAATTCACATTGGCTACTTATGGAACTGTCTACCATGATCATTTCGGCTCATTGCAGCACTTCAATGAGCGCACGGCGCCTTATAAACTCCTCGAAAGAATTCGTATCAATCTGCACGACACGGCTCAGTGCGTTGAACAGTGTCCTTTTCGCAAATGATATTCTAACATTCATGCTTTGAAGTTTCCATGCAGGTGTCGACACCCTCCCTACTATGTCGTCATCTGCATCCCAGATCAGTGACGAGGCATTCGAAGATGCCATCCAAGAGTATCGACTTGAGGAGCAGGATGATGCAGAGGCTAGCAAGTCATAAAATGTGTTGACTTGTTGATTAGTAGACATTCAAATTCAATTGTTTTTGTGATCCTGCGTGCTACTATGTGATATATGTATTACTATATAGCTGCTGGAAGCTGGCAGTAGTAGCGCTACATGAACTATGTAGTGCTATATAGCTGCCTGTAGTAGCACTCTGAGGAACTACAGTCTACTACAGTAGTACATGGTAGCGCTACCTGATTCTACATAGCACTATATAGTACGACATAGTTGCCTCACATACTATATAGAAGGGACTTGACTACCGAGCTACAGAGTCTACCCTGGCTATATAGTACTATATAGTCACCGGGCTTTTTCCTGATGATGACAGGGCACTGAATGTACTGATTCATGCTGGCGATGGCGGTCTGGAGCGAGAATGACAAGAACTCATCCATATCATTTGAGGTTGCAACTACTGGCTCTGACTCGTGGGCGAAGCTGACAGTGGGGATGGCGGGAGAGGCTGACGACAGGATAGATGGCAGGATAGGGAACAGCGGGGGAGGCAGACAGCGGCATAGATGGCGGCATTGACAGACCTCCCGGCATTTTCCGGCCAATCGCTAGTAGATGTTCCCCAGACTTACCAGCAGACACCTCCCATACTTTTGACACAGAGTCTGTGGTCTGTCTGCATAGACCTTATGCAGACCAGCCAGATCCCGCATTTTCTGACTGCAACCACCACATCAATGCCTGGACCATTTGTCAAGCACGATACCCAACCCCTTTTATTAGTACCTAGCATCCTTTCAATTCCTATCACTTGCTAAACCCTTCCTTTCGTTACTGTTCCTCCATTCATAACACCGCCATCTTCACCCTGTCAACAACTCTTATATCATTCTCGCTACTCTATCAAATACAACGCCACTCCCTTCAGCTACCGCTTTCACCGACCGTACACCGAGTAGTGATGGAAAAGTTCGGTTCAGTCCGGTTCACCAGGAAATTTGGTGAACATTGAACCGGACGTCACATTTGGTTCAGTGATTTTGCTGAACGCTGGACCGAACGTGCTCGAACGCGTTCAGTGCGTTCGGTTCACGTTCGAACGCTGAACGTCTGAAATTTATGCACAAGGTTAAAGACACTGCATGGCATCATGCGAGGGGCTTAGTGATGTTCCAGCCTGGCTTGGGCCCAAGCAAGCTGTGGCCTGTGCGCAAAATTCCAACAACATAAAGCACTGGAACTGGGATAGGTCAGAAGCAGACAAGCCTCGAACAAGTGAGTATGAAAATGGTAGAAATAATGTACATACATACACAGATATAACATGTATACCGGGAACAATGCAGGCAAACACAAACAAGGGGCGGAGATCACGCACTCCCTGAGAGCAGGACATCGCTGTGGCACCATCAGCATCAGGTCAGAAGTTCAAAACACGAGATCAGACACTATCTGAGAGCGGGACATCGCTGTGGCACCATCAGCGTCGGGTAAGCAGCTCAAAAGACAACATCATGCACTCCTTGAGAGCGGGACATCACCGGACCACCATCAGCGTCGGGTAAGCAGCTCAAAAGACAACATCACGCACCTCCTGAGAGTGGGACATTGCCGTGGGACCAAATTCTCGAGACCAGCTTGCAATGCATCAGCAATACTCTGAGTAGCATTGGCAGGCTCCTGTAAGAATCAGTAAGATGATGTCAATATTGGTGAGTGAAAAAAAAAAAACAAGGAAGAAAAATGACGCACCTGAAGGCATTTGGCACCTTGAAGACCACTACAGTGCATCCCAAGCACAACCCATCAATCTCTTCACCTGGGGAATCGACTTGGAACAAAGTACACACGTGATGTGACACGAAAGTCACTGAGCGTGAAAGGAATCTAACCCCCACAACATCACAAAATTCTAGGACTAGGTAGTGTTCGCGTTCGGCGTTCGGACACGTTCGAACACGTTCAAAAAGGTTCGGAGAAAGCTGAACGTAGAACCGAACTATGGGTTCGGTTCAGCCCATACCCCGAACCTTGAACCGGACTTCAGTTCGGTTCGGGAAAAGTCCGGTTCGAACCGCGGTTCAGGACCGAACTTTTCCATCACTAACACCGAGCCCTTGCCTTTAACTATTCTAGGACGACCCTTCCTCATCCTACAGTATAAGTAGCCCATGTACATTCCTAATGACGAGCAGAATAGAACAGTAGATTCCCCAGAAGAACGTCCCGAAGAACTCGTCTCATTATCTTTTCTTACCATCGCTATAACGCGGTCACTCTCGTTTATCGATTCACGATTGCTCTCGCATCCGTCGTCCCTCCTTTGAAGCTAACACTAACCATTATCATTCCTTCAGCGGTCTATCTACCTCCTTCGCACTCGCATCGCCTCTAGCTACGTACGTCATAGCTAACTTACACTAGTTGCAGAGAGTGCTCCTCGCCCGACGATAACATAACGATGAAAGGTTTTGTACAGTATGTACCTGGACAGTGGAAGAAATAATGAATGCGAAAAAATCTACGAACGAACAGTTATTTCTAATAATCTCGGAGTACTACTGTGGGGTGGCTGCGTCAGTGAGCGCTTGCATACAGAAGAACCATAACTTACCGATCAAGCTGTCTCTTCGAAGTCCTCGTTCGTCAACCGTTGAGCACCCAATAGCTTCCCGATGTGCGTAGGCAAGTACCCCATTCCCTTGCGGCGCATAATGAAGAGAGCCTTCAACATGGGGATAGGCGATTGTTGGAAGGTGTCGGGGTAATCCGCAGCAGGAGGCCGATCGTCCGGTCTGATGAAACCATCACTTTAGATCTCAAAAGTACCCTGGTCCTTGAGATCTGCGGTGTAAATGCCCAAGAAGCGGCACAGCTTCACGTATGTGCGCCGATGAGGAAGGTATAGTTGCCCAGCAAAGACGTTGAGCTGGCGGGTGATGGAGTCATGTAGCATCCATCGCGCGGGGAGTGATGGTATGACGTAAAGGCGCAAGTCATCGCAGGACTTCATCATCTTGATGACACGAGGTGTGTAAGTGTGCAAGCGAACTAGTTTACTTGATCGAATGTCAGGTAATAACGCGTTAACCTCGAAGGGGCTGACAATAACCAGCACCAGTGTGCCAGATGTTGTGCTTGAAAGAATCCAGTTGACTAGACGAATATAGCTGTCCGTTTTGTCTGCGGTCAGAACTGTCGTGGTAAAATCCCTCGAGGCAAACACGTCCCGTGACCACGGCTGACTCCCCGAGAAAGCAGCTGAAGTTGTAGTGAGGGTGTCGAAAACTGCAGTAAACACACGAGATCCATCCGGAATGTAGCCTGTTCGAATGAAGTACCTGACGTCCTCGTCGATGCAATGGGTAGCAGCCGGCACTTGTGGCGGTCTCTCCACCTCGGACTCACGCTCGATCTCCTGTACTACTTCTCTCTCTTGCTCTTCGTCCAAGCGGTTGTTAGGCAAAACGCTTAACCCAAGGCTGTCGCATCTCTCCAAGAGCTCTTCATCTAGCGATGTCTGTGAAACAGATTTGTCCATCTGAGCTGATGCGTATAACGTTTCCAAGCGCTTGGCCTCTGGCTGAAGCCAAGAACGGGCGAGTTCGACGGGCGGAATATGGTTAGATAAGAACGAGGACCATGCATTGTGGCGAGACGTGTAATCCACCCCATGCTGAAGCCATTGTGAAGCACGACGTTGAATGTCCGAGCACGTCTCTGTCATCGCCCACACGAGGATATCCGACACATGAATGTCCTCAGCATCGTCCTTGTTGTTCACGTCTCGGATGCTGCGATCTACTTCTGGAGGTGCGAAAAACATGACTGAGTGGCCGTGGCCGAGCTTTCTCATACGCATGCACCCTAGTAATATGTTAGTAAGTGTCATCAATAAAAATATGTTTGCATCCTGACCTTGGACAAGGCGATCCTTAGTGACTTTTGGCCCTAACGTGACAGCTGCGCGGAATCCCCGAGGCAACTTGACGTCCGTTCCTCGGGTGTGTTCATCGTCCAAATACAATACACACTGGTCTAATTGCTGAGCAAAGCAAGACGCAGAGAAAGGTTCTATAACTTTATCCCGAGTGCGCACCACAAGTTCATCGTGCTTGTTGAAATAGATCGCCGCCTGAGCATCCAGGTTGATTTCCAGCCACATCTCCGCCACCTTGTCATTTCGCAAGTCAAGCACTTGTGCACCCACATCGAGCAAGACTCGTATTTCCGGCGACTGTTTCGCGATGGCCTCAAGGAGCTCCCGAGCGCCTCTACCGGCGGCACGTGAGTCATAATGACCATTCTCTGGCTGCAAAAGGTGGGTGAGAACTCTGGCGTTCGTACCACGCTGGTGGGGTAGTGCATGCTGCGCTATGGTGGTGGGTAGCAGGTAGCGAAAATCGTTTGTTCCACTGAAGCCAGTGGTAAGCAATCCGGAAGACTTTTTCTCTGCAAGGTCCCAAGCAGAACAAGATAACTTGTGGGGAAATTGCTTCGCTTCTTTTGGAAAGACGATCTGAGCCAAGAAGAAATCTATGACAGCCTTGTTGCGCCCGAAGAGAGGGACCAAACAGGTAGTGAACTGTTCAGTAGACTCCATGTTTATTCCGCTGAGGCGTCGCAGGTTTTCTGGAAGCGAAGCTAAAGACAATCCCTTGATCCATGCCTCATATTCCAATGCGGGATTGTCTTGCTTGAGTAGCTGACGGAAGCAGAGGGCTACCTGTTTCTCAGTGAGCCCTTCGTAGTAGTATGAAAGACATGTAAGTGCGATTGCGATGTCTGGATGTCCGAATTCTGCCCTAGATGAGGGAACATCCTTGGCCCGGTATGGCACGGCGAGCATCGTGCGTTGGGGATCCAGACCATAATCTACGCGCCATCGCCGCTCCTTCAGCGTGTATACCAGTATATCGTGTGCAAGGAGACCTCGAATGAGTAGTAGTCCATTCCACAGACTGGACCCGGCGCAATAGTCGCGAAGGAGTTGTGGGTCAATAGTGGGTTGGATAAAAAAGTCACGGATGGAGTCTTTGATATGAGATGGCACGTGGTCGAACGCGAAATTTGGAAGACGGCCGGCAAGGATGTCGTCAGAAAGCAGCTCGACCAACTTTTTACCTGCATGATCATCCAGGATTCTGAAACCTGAGAAGGTTCCGACAGCGCCTTGCTGGAAATCTACTCCAAGAGGAGAAAATTCTTCGTGCAGACCGCAAGCATGTCTTTCCACAAGGGTCATCACCTGCTGTATTGTGGTCCATCGATCAGGATAACCTTCCAATTGCTGTTGATCGCCCATAGTGTAGATAAGTTGAAAGCGAACATGCAGCAGTTCATCACTCTCATCTAGTATGTCGCGAGTGTGCGTATCAAGCCATCGTTGACTATTCAGTAGGGGCGTGGCCAATTCTGTCGAATGTCGTCCAACCGCAATCGCAGGCGAAAGCTGTTGCTCGACGGTCATCAACTTGAAAGAGAGGATGTGGTCTGGTTGTGCGATAAGAATACCACCAACGGTTTTGCACTCATCAAACAGTGACTGGATGATTTCTGCATGGTTGGAAGTAATGGGCAAGGAACGGGAGAATGGCATGTAGAAAATTCGCCTGTTGGTAAGGCCGCTGAGCCGTTCCACGAGCAGCTGAAACATTTGCACAGCCAAAGGCTTTAGCACGACAACCCGTACCATATTGCTGCGGTCTGCTAGTGCAGCGCAACAGATAGGTACAATCACGGAAGATTTGCCTTCCCCCATATGAAGCTGCAGGGCGGTATTGTTGTTAGAGCTTGGGGAAATCATCTCGATTGCCACACTAGCTTGCATGTGACGGATAAGAAATCGGTTCTCTGCCTAGTACCGTTAGCGATCGATCATTGTAATTGTACATAGGTGACCATCGCATACCTGAATTAGAAGCCAGTCCAGATATTTCTGCGTACCATCCACTCCTAGGTAACCGTCGTTCGCCAGCTCTTTTGCGAACTCCTCACTGTCGCCATCAGCTGCTAACTTCAATTTCAGAAGTCGTCGTGATCTTTGCAGTCGAAGAAGAATATGGGCGAAATTGGTCAAAGGGGCTTTCCATGAGTCGGGCGTTTTTGACGTGGAGGCGAGGAGGCCGAGCAGAAATGTAACGGTAATGCGTGGCCATTGCCCAGAATTGAACAAACTCTCCTCTGCTAAACTCGAAGGAGCTAGATGCTCCTCCAATTTACGAAAGGCGTTTTTATAGAGCTTATTACACCATGTATGATGATGTTGCAACATGTCAACTGTCCAGCGAGCCGGGTACAGCGCGGTGGGCGATTGTTCATTCTCTAGATGGGTTCTGCTGTCTTCTAGATGTGCAGCATACTGGCTACCAAACTGGTCCGATCGACGTCGCGAGAGGTTCGAGATGACATGCTCCAGTGGAGATGAATCAAGCCCGCCGCCAGAGGACGTGTCAGTCAGTGAAACATGACTTTGCTTGAGTGGATCAGGGGGTAATGTGATGATGGGCGGAGGCTTTTTGAACAAGTCTTTGGTAAGGACGGCGGTGGTGACTGACATAACATCTGAATTGCTTGGGGTGAATGTGTATGATTGCTCGAAGGACGGCGTGAAAATCCGCCTCGCTTCATCAAGCACATTCTGCACGCGATCCAGATATGTCTTCAGACACCGGTTGCGATAGCAGTTCGAGTATTGCTTTTCAAGGGTAGCGCTAACATTGGGCTTGTCATATCGGGAGCCGCTCAGACAATCCAGAGCGCGTGTAGGGACGGAATAGCAAGGCCAACAATCAAGAAGGATATCGACTGCCGCTTTCTGTTCACGTAGACACTCGGATTGGAAGTGATTTTGTCGCCGGCTTTCCAAGTCGCGGTGCGACTCGTCATTGTAACGAGACCAGGATGCCTCAGGACTACTGCTAAAGGAAGTATATGAAGAGATGTGGCGGCTGATATCCTGTTTTAGGGGTTCGATTCCAAATGAAAGGTCGTATACGTCATATCCGGGGGAGCAAATTGCACGAAACTCAGGAATAACCGCAAACGCGAACATGGTCGCGGCGAGTCCCACATTCTCTGGGGAGGAGTAAGTCATGGCTGATAATGTGAAGGCGAGTTGGAATGTGTGAGTCTCCCGATCCGCGTGGCGACAAAGTTCGTAGACGGACATCCATCTCTGAGCCAAGTCAGGCTTCAACCACTCTCGGCTATATTGAAGCGATATATTGCGTGTTTTTCCAAAAACATTGTTCCACTGAACGAAGACATCGTAGAGCGCCCGACAAGGCTCAAGCGTGATACTCCAGTCGCGCACCATACGTGCGCAATCAAAAGCTTTTTGATCGTCGGTTGGGCAATGGACATCCCTGGAAGCATATCTGGCACTGTTGGACGATTCGCTGGAATAGAAGGAATCGACTAAATCTCGGGAGTAAAGGACGATGGACCGCTGAGAAGCACGTTCCAGGAGGGACTTGTCGCGTGATGGAAAGTTCGGACAAACTGCAATTGGTGTTTCGCTGAGCACCTGCAGCTTTTGTGCATATTGGACTATGTTCCTCGCAGCATGGTAGAACGCGCAGCTTTGGACATAAGATGATAAGCCACTTTGCCAGTGGACCTCCTGCAACCCCATTATGTACCATTTCCGGTCAACGGTCAAGGAGCCTATCTGAGCTAGAAGCTTGGAGTCGAACGGGTCCAGCTTCATGAAGGAATAGCATGCGGCGGATTGCAACAAACACATGGCTTCTTCCAAACCGGTGCGTTTGGTCAACGGATCCGGAACATGGGCACTACACACGGCGTGCAAGTACACCTTGTACAGTTTATTCGTGAGACCAACGATTCCTGTCAGGCGGCCGAGTTCCACGTCAACGGTATAACAGTGATAGGGACGGCGAGCATGATTAGGACTGGTACGGACGGTGACCTGGACATGGTGGCCTCTGGGCTCTACTACAAGGTCACCTTGTGGGATGATGACACGGCGATCACTGCAAGCTTGTCGATCTTTGGGGCGCAAAACGAGCTGGTTAACAAGTCCAAGCATTGTACCAGTAGACTGATCTTCATCAATGACCATGCCTCGCTGGTTGCGCGAATGCAAGTCTCCATCCCTGTCTATAAAGAAAGAGAGCCCAAACCGAGGGAGATCGACCTTGACTACAGTCTGGCCTGCGTCCGCGCTGCAAGTGACAATCAGGTATCGGAAATCTTCGAGCGGGCTCAGTGTCTTTGCCATCATGCAGAAAGAGGGGCTACGAATGTCGATAAGAGTTGACTTGCCCTGCCACGCGACTGAGTGTCCGCCTTCCGTGAATTGCAACACCCAGTTCTTGTCGGACGAGTGCCACATTGTCTCCATCGGACGAAATTCGATCGCACCAGTGCTTTTGTTGAGCCAATGCACGTGATCTTTGACCAGTAATGCGGGGATGTCTAGCTTAAGCTTTTCTCCAGGGATTAGCTCGAGGAGGTCCCCATTCTTCTGTTTTGACTGAATGACAACATCCCCGTTGCGCATGCCGAAAAATATCTGCCAAGAACACCTAATTTTTGGATGTTGTCCTTGAACTGTACCAACTCACTTGAAAGCCGTGTATAAAAGCCTTAGAAGCAAATTCTGCGTTGCAAATGCTTGTGGGGAAAACATCAAGCACTTGCTACTCAGAGTCATTAGACAGTTGGCTGACTACAAGGCTGGAAGACTCACATGACCGAAGAGTACGGTGTAACTAGGATGTTGTACAAAGAAATCTGGCAGCCTGGTTAATGGCTTGCCATCAACCAATAGGCGAGCCGTCAACATATCAAGGTGAACGGTTTGGCGGGATGGGTCGTTAGAAGGCGCTGTTTCACACCTAAGCCACCGAGAGTTTGGAGATTCAAGCACTGTCCAGCGCGTGTGGCGCCGGTATGCATGCCAGATATGTTCCATAGCCTGATCAAGGCCTTCTTGGTCGTCTTCGACATGGTATCGGAAATAGGTCTCAAGAAAGTGCGACAACCGACGGTTGCGTTCAAGAAGTAACCTTGGAATTGGCGGGAGAGCACGTAGATCTAGAGGGACGTTATCCCTCACTGTAACAGAGCAGTACGCCAAGATCCCCAAGTCATGTGGCGATTGGAGAAGTTCTGTGATATTATCTGGGCCAACATCGTAGGTGCTGCGACAAATTGCTGCCATGTCGCGAACACGGGCTTGGCATTCACGACTAGACTCTTCATCTGGAGCAGCTTGCAGAGCTTTGGATAGTTCTTGCACCCATTTGAAAGTTGTGTTTCGGACAGCTCGCAGCAACTCGTACGAGCGCTGAATGACGCTGAAATCTTCTGCTGATGAGAGAAGGCGGGACGCCAAGGCGGAGATCGTTGCCATCGTTGTGCCCTCCAGCCAATTAGCTTCCACGCTTACTTTTAAGCTTTGGAGCTCATCGATCAGGGCGCGCCCAAAATCGGAGACTTTCAGTTCATCGTGCCATACCCTAGACCCGTCGGCCGAAAGCTCTCCCACTTCACAACTAGCCTGGAGCAGCAGCAAGTGGACCGCAGGATCGCGAAACGTGAGCGTGCGTGCTCGCAATTCACGAAGAATGTTGATCCACTGCAGAAGGGTGCCGCTACGGAGGCTCCCAAAAGCGATGAATTCGTGAAGCGTCAACTCGGCATGGCATGTAGCCTGGTTGGCTAAGACCTCGTTGGGGGTGTGCTGGGTACCCGACAGATAATATTGCAGCCCATGATACGGACCTTCCGGCAACACGTACGTGCAAATATCGAATAGGTCAGTGTTTCGAAAAGGACCGGAGGCCCAAACACCTTTGGTCGTATCGTAAAGGCGGAAACACAGCTCATTTTGGATGAAGATCTCGCTTTCAGTGCATGGGAGGGACTTGCGAGAGTTCGAGGAGGCCTTTGTCGCGGAGGCCAACGTGATACGTTGACCAGGATGCTCTACGTGATAGCATACGAGCGGTTCATGACACGCAAGTAGCATGTGCTGCGTCGCACTTTGATTCGGTTGTGTAGTTGGGGTGCATATGTCATGAAGAAAATGGAAGGTGAAAGATCGCCACATCTTGAAAGCAACCGGAGCACTGAGTTCGAATACCACCACCGCTGCATCATTGACGTGCTCGGGGAGTGGCCATTTATGAGTTTCAACAGAAAGCCTATCCCTCTCCTGCAATTTCTCGCACCGACGGCAATATCTGTCGTGTCGTGTCCAACCCTGCCAGTTCGTAAAGGTGTCACACGTAGTGAGAACATATTCATTTGTGAGATGCTGGTACTTGTTGCTTTTGTTGCGAAGATCTGCAGTTCGCTCTGTCCGCTTAGCGTCTGCATCGTGTTCGATGCGGCGCTTGCATGACTGCAGCTCCTCAGATTGGTAATAATAACGGACTGCGAAGGTGTTCTCGTCCGCGCCATCCGAGAAGACAGAGAAGCCCGAGTGAGCATGGCGGGTGCGAAGGGCAACATATTGTTGAAGAAGTCTGAGTCGCTCTAAAGCGACACCCTTTTGAAGGAGAAGGCGATTGAAAATGACAACTGGGACCTCCGGAGAGTACTCCTTGAGGAGAGGAATTGATTTAACAGCCAGCTTGTCAAGCGCGACCCAGAGTTCGAATAGCGTGAGCAGCATGATGGATATGTTCTCAGGATTTCCGGAATAGGAAGGTTGCGCTCTGGTGGAATAACTTGTAGCACGTGCTTGAATGGTCAAGCAAGCGGCATCAATGCGAGCAGCATCAAGGTTCATGACACCATCAACCCAGCCATCAATGTGCCGCTCGATGGCACATTCGAAATCAGAGAGCGCTACAAAGGGGTCCTCGACGTACGCGCTCGCGAAGAAGCTGGCGTCAGGACCAAGGAAGTCGTCGATAGTGCCCCGCTGGTGATGATGAGGTTGAAAGTCTGGCACGTTGGGTTGGACATGGGTAGAATGTAAGACACCGGCGATATACTCCTTACTTTCGGTCAAAGAGAGTTTGGTATCTCCGGTTATATCCATCTCTGAGGCATCCCAATGAGGGGAATCCGCCTGAGCCGCCTGAACATTCTTCCAGCGCAGCTCTAGTCGGTCTTTGATATCTTCAGTAGCTTTGTGCATCATGACGGCTGAGAATTCGTCTTCAGCCTGAAGCTTAATCAAGCGGCGACTGATTTTGGTGGACATGAAGTAGAGCAGATCGCTCGACATATCCATCTCAAGCGCTTTGGACACAAGGTCCGTCATGAGCGAAGCCATGAAAGCCTTGTAACTGTTTCGTCCAAGGCTGGTGCGCTCGAGAGATGTCTGCAATGCAACCCTACTGACAAGCCAGAGGGATGATCTTCGCCAAGGGAGGGTGGCGTTAGACTGTAAGGCATCATCGCCTAGACGTTTTTGAATGCGAGGAATGTCAGCCGGCTCGCCAAAGGCGCGAAGGATCTCCGTGAGAAGCTGGGTGACATAACGGGGGTGGGCGGTCTCTCCTCGGAGGAGTGTGGAATGTCCTTCGGTGGTCATTGTCGCCGGATCTAACTCATCGTAGTTCATGTGCGAGAGAAAGTTCGCTAACTCGGAGGTAAACGTAGGGTTATCTACGACTGAGTTTGGTACGGCGATTGCGGGTCCTGGATACGAACACAGCAGCTTCCCCCTTGCCGCCATGACGACAGACGACGGTGGAGAAACTTCGAAGGATTCAAATATTGTTTTCGTGTCGAGCTTACGAAGCACAACAGCAGCATTTTGTGTTCGGATCAGATATGCAAGAATATCTACAGAGAAATCTTGAGATTTGTGTCAATTTTGCCGTCAACACTATGTGCATACCTCCTGCTTGCATGGATTTAATTTGCGACTCGATGTCTTCGGTCAGGGAAGGAGAAGATATTGTGACGGCAAGACTCTCCAGCATCTTTAACAAAGGACCCCACTGCTCCTGATCGTTGCCAGGCAAAGGGCTCACGAATTTGCGAGCGGAGCCTAGCACGGCATCAAGGAGGAAGCGATCGTTTTCAGGAGTATAATCGTCTTCCTGTGGTAATTTGATGGGACAAAAGACGTGGGTGATAATATACTGCAAGACAGTCTTGTCAGATTCCGAGGTGGCAGACATCTCAAGTAGCCTTGCTTCGCAATATATGGTGGATGGTTCGTCAATAGCTCTGATGTGGGACGGTCTGGGGATGTGGGTTGAAAGCGAGATGTTATAAAAAGCACAAAGGGACGCTTACAATCTAATGCCTCATGGTGGTTACGATGCGCCCATGCCTGGATCTGCGCTGAGCATTTTTGTCCATCGCCGTTGTGCATGGACAATTGGTCATCAATCTCCAGGCGTAACAGATATCTTCTGGTGGACAATTACAAACCTGAGTGGGTGGCATTAACGAAGCCTCAAGGCATATCAATAAAGTGCGGCCCGAATCCTAGGATCCACCCCGTTCAAATCGCGAACGATCAGTGGAGATAATTTCGAGGGCTTTCATGAAAGAAGTTGCACATCGAGAGTAGATAAATTCGGTGTCTGAGACTGAGTCGTACTTAGATCGGGCTGGTATGTGCAGTTACTAATGACGCGGCCTACTCACTAATAACTCTGGGTGCGAGCTGAGTGTGGGAGAGAGAGAGAGAGAAATTCTATATTTATATACCGCAACAAACAAAGTGAGCTGTTAAGACGCGGTGCCCTGTTAGGGCTGTGCTGGGGAGTGTTGTAACAGGGTGAGGGATGTAGGTATAGTACGAATAGCCAAGCGGTCCGCGTTTGATGAGTTTTGGTGTGCGTGTGGGCTCGTTTGGTGTCCAGGCTTAGTATAATATGATACACTTTCTCTCCTTCCTCCTCCTTCTGATCTCTCCTCGTCTCCTCCTTCCCTCGTCACTTCCTTCTTTGCCCTTACTCAGGCTTCTGTCCCTCTCCTTTCTTCCCAGTCTCCTTCTCGTTCCAGTGCGACCTTCTTTAATGCGCTGGATTCTTGAATAAACTTCGCTAGTGCCTTTATGCCCTTCTCCGTACCCAAAATTTCGTTGAGTATGATGTTGTGTGATACCTCACGCAGATGGATGCGTTGTCGCGCAAATAGTGGGCAGTCACGTATGATATGTTCTCGTGTTTGACGTGGTTCTCCACATGGGCAGCTGAGTGTGGGAGATGCCAGTTAAATTTCCTTCAATCACGTGAGGCCGCGTTTCTCATTAACTTGAATCACGCGCAACGTCGCGCCATCATTTTAACCACCATCATCCTCTGCGGACTCGCGTATGCAGCTATTTTTCTGACAGAAATGAAGGATATCCGTGCTATCAGCGGAAAATATACAGAGTCTGCGCGTCACAAGTATTCGTACTTCTGGGATTCGCAGCTCAGATCACCATATTTTGACAACTTTCGCTCTGCAATCAACTTGAACGCGCTAATTGGTCTCTTAAAACCTCTCGAGGAAGAGACAGTCGACGAAGGAGACTATAATGTACATGTCGATGAAGACGTGCCGGGAGCTGATGATGATGAAGTAGAACAACACGTGGGGAACAAACGACGACGCTCTGCTTCCGCATCTCCTGCAAAGGGCAAGAGACGGAAGGTTGTCGAAGATGGCGATGGAATAGATGCTGACAATCAGTCAGAATCGTCCTCGAATGACTCTAACGGATGCGAAGACGACTGGCAAGACCCAGCTTACAAGCAGATCTATCCTTCCATATGGGAAGAGGGTCGTTACGAGGAACCAAATGTTGATCCTGAAAGCCAGTTTCTTCCAGCCTTCAAATACTCTTTCGAAATGCGTTACACCAAATCACCCCAAGGAGACAACGACTCTTACGTGCCTGACCGAGCAGCGAAGAAACTCGGCTGGCTCAAGGAAGAACAAGATCTCCTATCTCTATTTAGCACGCTCTGCCCTGACCGTTCCCAACCTCAAACATTTGACCTTGGCAGGTTCTGGGTTCAAGACTACAAAACGCGCTTGTTAGCCCTTTCGGGGGAGCCGCAATACCCCATGAACCCTTATCCCGAGGAAATCAAGGAAAAAAGTGAGCGGTGGTTCTTCCTCCTTCCTCGAGTTGCATGGCCAGACGGCCTATCCGAAGAGGAACTCGGAGACAACGACATGCAATATGCCTCCGTGCATGAGGATCTTCTCAAGGCACTCTTCACCTACCAGTCATTAGGTCGTGCGAAAATCGAGACCAACGTTCAGGTGATCACCCTTCCTGAAGGTGGCTGGGACCATACAGAGGAGTTACCTTTCCGGCTATTCGCTCAGTTCAACGTGTCCATCATTGTGCCCAGATTGTATGAACCATTTGACACGAAGAAAATTTCCCAGAAGCGCCTTTCCGAACTTGAAGGATTGCAGAGGCGCTTGATTGCCCTTTTTACCATACCATCAGTAGACCAGCCGCTATTCGGCAGTGGACATGATCAAAGAGAGGATGCAAGCATCCCATTCTTCTATGGCATTCTTCGACCAGCACCCCCTCTTTCACAAGGCGTGACATACGAGTCCCTCCAGCCTGAGGGCTTGTTGCCAACGCTCTTGCCCTTCCAACGGCGTAGTGTCCATTGGATGCTCCTACGGGAAGGAAAGACGATGACTCAGGAACACGGTGTCGTTCCGTACACTCCTCACCAGCCCCGGTTTGTCATGCCTCCATTTTGGGAGAAGATCTCCCTCGGGAGTCAAGAGCACTTCTTCAATACGCTTACCGGCGCCGTAAGCCCTTCTATTACAGAAGACGCTGCTGCACTAGGGGGAATACTTGCGGAAGAGCCAGGTACCTCGCTTTCCTACCGATCTCACCCGCATTATATTAACAAAGTGCAGGGCTTGGGAAGACGATTGAATGTATTTCTCTCATTCTGATGAACCCCGCACCTGAACGCAATCCAACTAACAAACGGTGGGACGCCGAAGCTAACCTTGAAGTGAAGGAGATCAAGGTATCGTACCCATGTGCCATTTGGAAGACCTATTGACATAAACATCGAATAGACTACTCTCATTGTCACTCCCCCTGCACTCGCACCTCAATGGGTAGACGAGCTTGCTGCTCATGCCCCAGGACTTAAAGTTCTCATCTACGATGGATGGTCCAAAGTCGGTGTGCCCATCACCCCGGATGATGTCGAAGACGAACGAGAACGACGGCGCAATGCCCACAGGCGTACAGGTGGCAAAAACGGTAATGGCACATCCAGGATTAAAAATAACACAAAAGGGAAGGCAAAGGCAAAGGCAATTGACAACGGGGACGCCATGGGCATGGATGTCGAAGAGAGAACATCCATGGTCGAGGGCGACGACATACTTGACTGGTGCACCTATGTTAACACATTTGATGTTTGCATCACGACATACAACGTGCTCCGTCAAGACTTGACTGTTGCCCGCGCACCGCCCAAACGTCCTCGTCGTGCAGACGTGGAGTACTCAAACCTTGACCGTCCTAGAAGTCCTCTTGTCATGTGCGAGTGGTATAGAGTAATTATGGATGAAGTACAAATGATGGGGACCGGCAAATCCGAGTAAGACCTCTTGTTTTATTTTCTATTGGATTACTGGATGATTGTGGACTGCAGAGAGATGGTGTCCTTGGTCCCTCGACTATCTTCGTTTGCGGTGTCTGGAACACCAGCCCGTGCTCAGGTTTCTGACCTTATTCGCGTTCTAAGGTTGGATAGACTCGTTGTTTCTGATGATGCACCGATAACACTGTCAGGTTCTTGCGCGTTGACGATGTTGTCGGTCCGACCCGCATGTGGAACCGTCTGATGAAGCATGCATTCAAGAAGCAATTCGCTGACCTATTTCAACGATATGCTATCCGGTGAGTGAACTGACGAAGCTCGCGGGCCGTTACTGAATGTACATAGGACACTCAAATCTGCGGTCAACGACGAATTAACTATCCCGCAGCAGCGGAGATACCTTGTTAGTATTGAGCTGGGAAGAGTTGAACGTCACGTAAGTCATAGCACGCTTGCTGAGAGGCGAATTACGACAGCAATTAAAGGTTTACGATCAAAATCTCGAGGCAGCATTAGTTGAGCTTGGTTTGGATGCGCGCGGAGTTGCTGCTTCAGAAGGGTGGCAGATTGATGCTACTCTGCTGCGGAATGTGTTGAGAAAGCTTCGTGGTATCTGCACTCATCCTCAAGTCGGACAGTTGCAGCGACCGGGTGATAAGCTTGTTAAGCCTGGTGCCCTCAAGAGTATCGGCGATGTTCTCGAGGCATGTCTTTTGTTCGTTTGACAATCTGCTGGGCTAATAGATATCAGGCAATGAGAGACCAGAACTGGCGTAATTTCATGGACGATCGTAAGGCGAAGGTAAGCTTCATCGTTCTTGTTATACTCCGTGCTTGCAGGGATTGATCCATTCCCCATAGGTTCAAACGCTTGTTCGCTTTGCCCAGCTTCAGCAACACAACGAGCAGAATCTTGATCGATATCAACGTGCTGTAGATTATCTCATAACTGCAGAGCGAGAAGCAAACGAAATAATCCACGACATCAAGATTACCATGGCAGAACACCAAGTCAAAGGAGAAGCACTGAAAAGAGACGCGCGAGCTCTCCAAGACTCTCACCAGCAGAACCTTCCGGACACTTCGGAGACCGACAAGGGCAAAGGGAAACAAGCGATGTCACCCCCCACTGATGTAGACGAGGACGTTGATGACCTTGAAGACCGAGATCTTCCCAAGAATCCCGCAGGCGAAGAGCACAGTGTCAAGCGGCGGGCCCTACAACAGCGATTACGGGAGTGCCTGATGGTTTTACACCGTATCAAGTTCTTGCAGGGAGACGTGTATCATGTTCTAGGTGCATCCCAGTCAGATAAGGAAGATGCTTCGTATGCTGCAGCCGAGACGCTGCGAAAAGATCTGCTGAAATGTGCGTATTCTCAACAGCTTGCCTTACGCTCACACTGACAACGCATGTAGCGACGGAGGAGAGCGCCAATAAAGCGATGGATGTCCTGTTTGCTGATGCTACTGGACGGGGTGTCAACGAGCACTCCTTGCAGATCCCACTTCCTTTTGTTGATGGAGGCGGAATCAAATCAACGTATCTCGTGAGCTCCCTTACTCTTTCGCCTTTTGCCAATACTGACGCCTCTGAGCAGTTTGACGAAGCCAATGACATCATAGAGCTTGCATTGAACGAACAGACCGCACTTCTGTGGGAGTGGCGCACCCGCATTTATGCCTTGTTAACCCAGAAATTGGCAGCAAATAGTGACCAGGTCGATGGAGAGGAGTACTCCCGTACGTTGGAAACTCAGGGCGAAGCCGAGATATATATGCAGGCATATGCCGCACTGCTTGCAGACCGTAGAGAGGCGATTTCTGCCGAACGAACTCTCCTTGCTGCGCATGATGCACGCGAACACAAAGTCCGACGAACGAAAGCGGCTGCGAGAGCAGCTGCTCAGGCAATGCCGGACGAGGATATTGAGTTCCCTGAGGATATTGAAGTTCAACCTCAACATGAAGTCCTGCACAGAGACCTCACAGAGCTGCGTAAAGATCTCCATAACCAGTTTTCTGGGAGAGCACTCAGATCCGTCATGGTCGATCTGAGTGCTGTAGCGGCTCGCATCACAAATGACAAGGACCCCGAGAAGGTCATCGCAAAGGATGGCGCAAACTCATTACGAACCTTGATAGCGCAGCAAGGTTTGTTACGCTGATATCGTGGCTGTTCCATACTGACTGGCTATGAACGCAGTGGGACTCATGGATAAGCTTGATGCTGACTTGGGTCAACTGCGGAAGGTCTTCAACGAACGTATCCTGTAAGTTCACGATCGATCCTGAATCATACTAGTCTAAACACTGCCCACAGCTATTTCCGTCAACTGCAGGAAATTTCTGATACCGTCACCGAAGCCGTATGGGATGGTACCATTGCCTTGGCTATGGAGGAATGCGCAGCTGAGCGAATTGAGCTCGAAGGCAAAATCAATACATCTCGCGCGCGCCAGCGTTATCTGAACCATCTAGCGAAAAACAAAGAAGAGGGTGTCATTGACGAGGATGACGAGGCTTGCATCCTTTGCAGATGTGACTTTAAACGCGGATTCATCACCCAATGGTGAGTCGTTTCCTTTGTTAGAGTCTCCGGAATGCGGACCAATGCACTACGCATACAGCGCACATGTTTTCTGCGAGGCGAGTTCACTCATATTTTACATTGTGGAATTTTCCTGACCTACACTTAGGGATGTATGAAGGCTTGGCTCGCTCGCCGAGAGGGAAGAGCTTGCCCGGTTTGTCGGTGCGTTCCTTGTATGCCAACGATGACGCCATATTAAACTGCGTTCTTAGCGTCATTATCAACGTCGATCAATTGCAGCGTTTTACAGTCGAAGCAGACAAGCCTGCGCCTGCCAAACCTGTTATGGCGAACAAAGAGCCCGCCCCGGTGTCCCGAAGAGAAATCCAGTACAACGTGATTGGTAAGGATATGTTGGGACCAGTTGCTCGGTTTGTGGCTCATCTAATTTGTCGCTAGATCCTGCGATCTTTGAGGAAATTCAAACCATGGAATCGAACGGAAGCTACGGCAGCAAAATTCAAGGCACTGGTCAGACATTTGCTCTATATCCAGTTCACCGACGAAGGTGCAAAGAGCATTGTATTCTCGGCGTGGGCCGATTCATTGCAGAGTCAGTTTTACAAAACTTCGCTCCTTTGTGTAATGAACCAATTTCTTTCGCAGTCATAGAACATGCCCTCAGATCCAATGGTCAGGATTTTTATCAGCTGCTCTGGCTAGCGTTCTGACGGATTTGCAGGCATCTCATATTTAAGACTCGACCACGCAAAGGGCAAAGGCAAAGACAGCGGTGCTAAGAAATTCCGCACGGACCCTACCTTGCAAGTATTGCTCCTACACGGGTACGCTCGCAGCGAGTGCTTGTTCACCCCTTGTGTTCACACTTTTTTAGGGAGAGAGATAATGCCGGCCTAAACGTGACTTGTGCCTCCCGCGTGTTCCTCGTCGAGAGCGTGGTCAACCACGGTTTTGAGGTTCAAGGTTGGTTCGTTCCTAGTTTGAACTCTACACCCAGCTCACCAATTCACCTCAGCTATTGCACGAATCGACCGTATGGGGCAGACTAAGCCGACGGAAGGTGTGTCTCGAACAACCGTTCTGTTACTTGCTTCTCAATTTATTATCCGTCTAGTCTTCTGTTATTACGCCGAGGGTATTACCTTCCAGCTCCAGATGACGTTCTACCTTGATTCATATCTTTTCAACAGATACCGTGGAGAAGAATATTCTCGACCTAGCAGCTCGGCAAGGTCTCTCCCTCTACACCAAGGACAATTCCGCCGGAACACTTAATGTGACACCCTTCGCCATGGACGCCGAGAAGAAGATCGTCGATTCTTCAGGGAAGAAGAAGCAGGTACAAAAGGGTGACTTCATCTTCAAGTGAGATTCGCTCCTTGTGCCATTTGTTGCATGCTTATAGTGTTCGGGCGCCAGAGTCAATGATATGCTGGCTATCCTGTTCCCACATATGTTCGAGGAGATTGAGTACCTTCTTCCCCCAGAAGAACCCAGTAATGAGATCGCCATGGAAGTAGAACCAACAGGGCGCCATGAACCATTAAATGCAGAAGCCGGACCTTCGAGACTCCACTTCTGAGTTCTTCGGCGTTCCGGCCCTTCCCAGCCTCCCAGCCACCCCACATGCCGTCATGAGTAAATTACAATTGTGCCATTACATAAAATTCATATTACGAAACCTGATTGCGGAAACATGATGTGTGCTACTAGAGCTAAACATAAAAAGTATGGGATGCGACCGAGACATGCAATGCTATGATGATAATTACGGAACGAAGGAGATAAGAAATGATGGAGAGAACTGATGTGTCTCCCGATAATGAATTCCGAGTCCACCGGGAAAGCAAAAATAACAAACTGAACCAAGCCTGCTTAGAAGACCCCGCCATCCCAGCTGGCTCTCTTCCGCTTGTTGTCGTTCGCTTTGCGGAAATGCAGATCCTGCGGCGAGACAAAGCTCGTCCCGCGGTGGTGCATCCCGTGTGGCTGGCGTGCACTAGTGCCTGCCAGAAGCCCCTGCGCCGTCTGAAGTGCCTGAGAAACCGTGGAGTACGGTACGGGAGGGGCTGATTTCTGAGAAGGATGTGAGCGAGCGAGGTCTAACGCTTGTCCCTGACGCGAAGTGTCGATGGTCATCGGGTTGGCATCATGTCCATCAGTGGCATGGCTGCTGAAGTAGTGCAGATCGAGGTAGGGAACGCCGTGGAAATCATTTGGGTTTGAAGGCCGCCACAAGTCTACCCCTGATGGTGACGATTGTGTATGCATAGATGCCAGATCGGAAGGATGTGTGAGTGGGTGCGTGTCGAAGAATGGGAGCGAGCGAGTGCTCGTGATCTGTGGTTGCGAGGCACCATGGCCCTGAGACAGGTGGGTGGACATACACCGGTGTTCAGATGGTGGAACTGAGATAGATCGACCATGATTGGACGACGCATGCATGTGATGATGGCCTCGTAGAGGACGTGACGAGGTGATGGGTGTTGCAGGGGGAGTGGAATGCGTCAAGTCAACGATATCATCCATGTTCTGCTGCGCCATGGTATATATTTCCAGAGCAGAGAGGCTCAAAGACGTCTCAGAATCGTCTTTCTGCACTCCAATCTCACTAGTGGTCTGAGCGGCATCGCCCGAAATCTCCGCTTGGTCATTGAGTGTGATCGACGCCAGCTCGATCTCGTCAATACCTGGCAAAGCAGGGGTGTGGATCTGGAGTGGATGTAGACCGGTGGCTTGCTGCATCCCTGAAAGTCCAAGGCCAGGTGTACCAAACCCGAATCCAGGACCGTAGTATGACTGCTGGGGTTGATGTGTCCGTGCACCGAAGATGAGATCACCGGCATAGTTGGAGTGATGTGTGAATCCCCTGAAACTGCTGGGCGCGAACATCTCATGATCCGAAAATGTGGAATGCGTGTCCCCAGCGCCGACATCCGAGGTGAAGTCGTTTGGAAAGGAACTCGGAAAAAGGTCGTAGCGATCGACGACGCCGTGGTTAAGGTTATGAAAGGAAAACGGAGATGATGGTGCTGGAGACAAACCGTCCGCGAAAGACGACCCGCTGCTGGAGAAAGCAGAATGTTCAAGCCGGGGGTTGGCGGAAAACCAGTCCTGCGGACCCCATGCTGACTTGCCAATAGTGTTCATGCGACGATCAAAGAGAGAATGACCAAGCATATAATCAGAAGAAGAGATATGTGATGAGGTCGGAGAGGCAGTAGACCACGTCGCGGAGTTGAGAGGTGTATCTATGCTGGACCAAGTCTGTGACTGAGAGGAGTCCGTGAGCTCTGAAAGAGAATGCGATGCGCTAGGCATGAAGTCAGGAATAGATAGTGGCTCAGACAAGGGGTCTATCGTCTCCATGTCCATCTCCGCGAGTCCGTCCGGCGAAGACGTATCATCTGGGTGACAAAGGTCGTGCACAATCGGCGGGCATCTGAACAGCCTGGTGATGCCCTCCTCTTCGCCACATGAACTATCGTCATCTTCAGAGCACGATGTACTCCCTGGGACGCTCTTCGTCCCGCCTCTAAACATGCCCTGCCTGGACTGCATGCGCTTCTTGCGGGCAGGGCCTATTTGGCTGCTGTGCGCAGTCAACTGATCATCAGTTGCTGAGCGAATGGGAAGTGGCTGAACACACTCTCTCCGCTTCTTTGGAGCGTTCCGCGGCTTATAGCCGGCTGCTTGATACAGCTCTGGAAACGCGTTGCGGAAACGGTCACGGAGGTCAGTCGAACGTCGATTCTGCTCTTGAAAGACAGGGTCTTTGACTATGGTTGCCCATACGGTACCGTGCTTCTCATAGCCAGCCTTGAGAGCGCGGTCCTCATCCTCAGTGAACGGACGACGTTTCTTGCTACGCGTTTTCTCAAAGATGGAGCGTCCGTCTGGGAGAGTTGACCGGATCTTACTGGAGAGATGCGTCTTCGCATTGGGATAGTGTTCCTTGTACGCGTCAGGGAAGTAAGTGCGAAATCTGGTAGAATTCAGGTATGAATATGAATGAACGGAAATGAAGGAGAACCAACCTGTCCTTGAGGTCGACAGGTGAACGGTTATCGAACTTGAGTTTCGGATCTTTCAATATGGCCTTCCAATTGCCGACGCCCCACTAAGGGAACTAGAATTAATATTCGAGACATGATTCATTCAAGAGCCCTATGTACCGTGTTGCAACCCTCGACGAGCATTTGGGTTTCTTCTTCGGACCATTTCTTTCGTGGTTTCTTCTGCTGGACAATAAAAGCGCCAGGTGTATCGCGGTAGTCGCCATCACCAGCGATCTTGCGCATCTTTCCCTTACGTTCCGGCATTGGAGCAGAAGTTTCAGCAACATGCGAGGTGAGGTCGGTGTCGTCACGAAAACTCCACGCTGGCACGAGCCTGGGGGAAGAAGGAAGTGCAAGGGACACGCGCCTCTGCTTTAGCGCGGAAGAGGCGGGCGACGCTGAAGAAATAGATGAAGATACAGCAGGAAAGGGGGCGGTGAAGGAAAAAGTGACAGCAGTTGGAGGTTTAAAAATGGAGTCTGGTGAATCTGACATTGGAAAAGGTCGTACAGAGACAAGGACCTGGATGAAATGATAATCTTTTGAGGAGTTATAATGAAAACCGGTGGAAGTTGAATCGGATATGAATTGCAGGAGGCAGACCTCGCGTGAGGGTATCTGACACGTTCACGTACAGGCGTTGTCACTGAATTGTACAGCCTGGGTTGATAATTCGAATCTCGTGAGTCGTGGATTGCAATGAGGATAGAAGAAAATCGAAGAGTACAGATTTGACCAAGACAGATTTTGTTCAAACTAGTTTAGGTCGTTGTTGTACAGAGCATGCATGTTGTTATACCCTAAATGAGGTAGCCTTGCATTCAACTTGCAGTGCCTCCTACGGCAGAATACGGCTCAAACACTCCTTCCCTACGGTTCAAACATACTCATATCAGTTCTATATCCTACTCATCAGTCCCCCCATGTCATGCATCGTGCCTCAACGTGCTCGCAAATAACCGTTACAACCTTCGTATCTGATCCGGAACCGCAGCGTGTCCCCTTCTAAAAATTCATCCAATGAATGCAGCATGTCATCGATGTCATCGATCATTCTTGCTCCGAGACAGTCACCTTGGCATTAATCTCCTTCCTCTCCCTATGTACACTTCGAATGTACTCACGCCGCCGCAGAAACTTGCGGGGCCATCCTTTGCTCCACGCTCCCCAACTTCTCTATCCATCCTCCCAGTCGCGTCGCCAGTTCGCCTATTTGTGTGCGAGACAGAACACGAGGTTGAACCCACGTGATCCGCGCCTTTTGATCTACCTGGTCCAAAGAACCTCGTATCAACTTGAGGCTAGCGGAAAGTACCGGTGATAGTTAGATTATCAGCACATGTAGCGCTCATATTTCAATTCAATGGAGAATGCACTGACCTCAGTGCTTTCATGATCAGATGTTCCACTTCGTCAACTGGAAGTCGCGTCTCCTCGGCGATAGTCTGGAAAGACATCGTTCGGTCATTCGCGTTCCTCTTGAACACTGATTCGATCAGCGCCATCAAACATATCTTCTGTCGAAGGAACGGGTAGTTCTCTTCCAGAATCGGCTGTGGCAGAACTCATTTGTCAGACTGTCGGTTCGGCTCGGTGCGAGTCTCCGCGAAAACATGCACGTACCTCCTGCGGAAATAGTGGCGCCAATGCTTCGAATTTACCAATGTTGCCTTCGTTGAATGTGAACAACAGCTTCTTGATCCAATCATACTGCGTGTTATCCAGCGCATCCAGTATTGGGTGCATCAACTAACACCGATGAAGTCAGTCGGCGATCATCCTCAGGCTGTGACCGACCAAAGTAGATGTTTCAAATTCACGTATCTGCTTACCAGCTCCCCAAAATTATAGATGGTGTCGCCGAGAAATGCCGAAATACCAAGGTCGTGTGCGCGCAGTAAACGTTCTTCTGAAGTAAGGTCTGTTGCTACGTCGACACATGCCAGGTACAGCAGCGAATGCTTATAATATGGTGCATATTCTGCTTTGGCCTGTTTTCGGCAAGTCAACGAGGTGAACTGCAACATTCTCGAAGATTCTTGCCTTATAGTAGTCAGCGGCAACTTTGTAATACGAAGCGTTGACGGCAGTGTCAACTCCTTCCAGTCGATCGAGTGTTTTCCAGGCAGTATCCATATCAGTCTTGGTACCCTCTAAATCACCGTACACCAGCTTTGCATATGCAATATTTGCAAGCAGCAGCACATATGCCTCCTGTGATGTCTCGGCATCAATCCGAGAAAGTATGGAGTTGAGGAACATAAGCTGTGTTTGCGGGTCTTTGTGGAACGTCAGGTTAGATCGATTAGAATTTGGGGGTCAAACCCACTGTCAATCTCCTTCGACACTTTAGTCCCCATCTCCACAAGTTTTAGTTGGTTCAGTTTGGACTCAAAGTCGCGCACGAATCGCTCAAACACATCCACACGGAAAGGCTTGGACAACGGGTGGTCGAAAAACTCATATAGTTTGAGCGTTAACTGGTGCCATAGCCTGCGTGATCGATGAGTAATGTGAATGCGGTGTCAATGTCCCTCTTACTTTCTCGTGTGGAGTTTGGCGAAAGATTCAAAGAATGGATGAAGTTCCGCTGGCGTAGCTGACAGGGCAGTAGCGATGAACTCCTCCAGATCCAGTTTCGGCGGTTTTGGGAGTTCTGCGGGCATTGATATAGACGATGGCATGGTTTCCTCACTGCACACAACGTGGTCTATGTTCAATGTCCTTTGTGATATATGAGAATTGAGTGTTGCGGTGAAATAGACGTGACGCGTACGTCCTGTCCCACACAAGGCGTAGAAGCGTGGTAGCGAAGATTTGGCTTTGTTTGACAAGAGCCTTAAAAAATAACATGGGCAAATACTGAATTGATTGCCACCTTGACGGCTGTGGTCTAGATGGTTGCGAGTCAGTCATGATGACCGGATATGCGTGAAGACGACAAGAAAGTTAATGGCCAGGAAGAATTTCATAAACTTAGGTTTGATGGTCTTTTCACAGGCTGACGTCTGCAGCACATCACCTGTGCCAGCCGTAATAAGACTATACTTCCCTGTTGCTGTCAATAGGGGTGGCAAGACGTGGTTTCAGTGCCTCGAGGCTTCAAACCTTGCAAATTTGTAGAGAAGAATAGGTCGGTAATAGATGTCTATATGTGAGGCATGAGACACACGTATCATGACAATAAGCAGCTGATCTTTGAATTTGGTCTTAAAGGGGGCGCATATGTAACAGGATACCATATAGTTCACAACTTCGACACTCGATACATATATGCATGCCTGCGTCAATCACTCTTCCAAATTGTACAAATATATCCTTCCCCGGGCCAATTTCCCAGTAACTTTTGAAGACACTGCGGATCGACACTCTTCGACACTGCGGACAAGCTGTGACGTGTGACACATGACGCGCAGCGCCACGTGATTGTTAGGTCGGAGCTGGCAACTTCCGCTCCAGACTTATCTTGATCGATTGTTTCCAACATCTCTCCCACTCACTATCTTATTCGACATGGTGAGCCGCACAGGAAATATCAAGCCATACGCTGATGGGCTCTGGACAGTCATCCGGAGTTGTAGCAGCCCCCGAATGCCTCCAGGCATTCCAAGAACTGAAGATGAGCAAATCGCTCAAGTACATATTGTTCAAGTTGAACGATGACCGGACGCAGATCGTCGTGGACAAGAAATCGAGCAGTTCTGACTATGAGGAATTTCTAACCCACTTGCCCGGCAATGGCTGCAGATGGGCTGTCTATGACTTCAACTTTAAGTTGGAAGATGGGTCGCAGAGGAACAAACTCTGCTTCTTCTCCTGGTAAGTCCGCAGTTCATTTGACCGCCTAGGGGCACCAGTTCAATCTGCTTCCTGTGCTTAAATCACAACTACAGGTCACCAGACGAAGCACCGATTCGGGCAAAGATGGTCCACGCATCCTCAAAGGACGCACTGCGGAAGTCTCTGGACGGGATTGGCATCGAGGTTCAGGGAACAGATGCGACGGAGGTTGCACATGAAACTGGTCCGTATCACTTATATTAACTACCGGGTCACGATGTTTATTATGCCACCCAGTCCTCGACAAAGTGAAGCGCTTTGGCCGATAGAATCCTTTGTACTACTCTGGTTTGATCTGTGATATTAGTTGTGAGTGCTCTTCGATCACTCTCACGCTGTCGGTCTTCTGAATATGCTTCTCAGCGGAAGATGTGTTACTATAAACCTTTTTTGATGTAGTAGCCGCGGAGATTAGTTGTATAAGGCTGCAAAGGATTCACATTATCATACAAGCAGATGTAGCAAGGACTTTTCCAGAGTATGAAGCGTTCGAGTTCCCCGTCGATCGACGTGAAAAACGTCGAAAGGGAAAACACGGCCCTGGATAGAATTCGACACCATGAAATGTCTGACACGATGCTTCGTGTTTCATGTAAGTTACATAAAGGTTGTAGGGGCGATTCATATTATGTAATGTGCTTCCTACCCGCGGAAAACTGCGTAAGTGTTATTTGGCAAGAGCTTTCACAAATAACAGCACCAAATACCTAACAACAATCTCTCGTTACCATTAATTACTTACACATTGTCGTGGGCGTATGTTTTTTTAATTAGCACCCGATGTCAAGAATATTAAAATCGAGGCTCTTCACCCCGTGCAAGCCCCGCTGCGTCATATGGGTCGGGTCCATGTAATTTCGTCGCTTCATCATAAGTAAGGTAGTGTTCCTGACTGTCACATTCTACGTTGCATCAAGCTAAAGCTGGGCCGTGCGCGCGAGCTTTTCTTCAATAATTGATTACCGTGGCACAGGTCACGACAAGAGCCGAGTCAATGTAAGGGGATCATGTATTAACTTTATCCCATGTCAGGAACAACCACGTAAAGGTGGAGGCGAACCGCACCCCTAGTGCACCTAAATGCCAAAAGCCGCATTGCAGACCTCGTGTGTCTCTTTTCTTTCTCCCCCCATCTCAAAAAAACAGCAGCTCCTTCAAAGAGCAGGACTGCGATAGCGCAAAAGTGTCTCAGTCAAGAATTTGCAAAGACCCGGCCGGAATTCCTCTATCTAGTATGGATCCAAAAATACCGGTATGTGCCGTGTATATACATGGATACAGACATGTCTCAATGACTCCCTCCAGACATCCATCACACAACTTTTCCAAACGAACTGTGTTCCCTCTCCAATGGATGAGCAGCGCATTAGCCATTTCCTCGCAGAGCAAAATTTGGCGCTTTCGTCTGTGAGGGAAGAAATCGATCGCGCCCGCGCAGAACTTTCACGCCTTGAGGCTAAAGAATCTGGGATCATGGAATTGGTCCAGCAACTTGAAGCGCTACAGTCTCCCGTTCGCCGCATGCCGACAGAGATCATGGCGAAAGTCTTCAATCACTGCGTTCAGGACGAAGAAATCCAGGAGCCTGATCCTCTTCGGGCTCCCCTGTTATTGGGTCAAGTCTGCAGCGCTTGGAGAGACCTCGTGTTCTCTCTCCCTTGCTTGTGGAAGACTCTCAAGGTCGAGTTTCCGTCCACAACGCCAGATTGGGAGAACGTTATGCAGTCGAGAATTATGTCTATGCACATGTGGATATCACGTGCCAAAGCTCTTCCACTCTCCCTAATCCTCGAGCACCCAAGCGGCTCTCCGATTACATGGACTGCTCTTATGTCACTCGACAATGAGATCCTGACTCTTGGATCCCGCATTCAAGAGCTGTCCCTTTGCTTTTCGCCGTTGGCACTCAGTTCCTTGTTGACATTCACACAAAGTCCTCTTCCACAACTACGGCATCTTGAGCTTTGTAGCAGCAAGTCCCTTCCTAGTAATGACAATCCACCACCATTGTTTCTTTACGATGCACCCAGCCTCCGCAGTCTCTCGATTGCGTGGGGTAGTCTTGACAGCACCCAGTTCAGCGTCCCTTGGAGCCAACTGACGCAGTTGTCTCTTCAGTATGACGCCAGCCCCTACTGGAGTTCTGTTCACACCGACTACCTCATTGTACTCCGCCAATGCCCTAATCTCAAATCTTGCTCTATCGGAATAGACACCACGCTTGTTGACTCTGATCCGGAGCCTGTGACGCTTCCCGCGCTCGAATCACTGAAAGTGCGCCTCTTCTGCCATACGCTCTACACCCACCGCTTCTTCGACGCGCTTCACGCACCTAAGCTGCGCACGCTTGAAATTCAGAACGTCAGTCTTGCCATGGGTTCATTCCCCAGCCAGATGGAATCGTTTCCCTTCATCTCACGGAGCGCAGAGACTCTCGAGAATCTCTCTTTTGATATAATTAATATATCTGGTGTCAACATGCTCTCATGCCTCTCCCAGCTTCATCACTTAAAACGCCTACGTTTCTTGCCTGGCCCTCTTCATCTCAATCACGACCTTGTAAACAACCTCATTTTGTCTGAAGCATCCCAGAACTCCATCTGTCCCCAACTCACATCATTGAGTCTCAAATGCGCGTCGCGCGTTTCCATCGACCAAGTGACGGAGCTCGTAAAGTCAAGATGCAACGCTAGTCCTAAATTGGGAAGAATTCTGCTTGCAGATCGCAGCATTTAACCATGGCCCGGATACGCGGGATCAGAAAATCGTCGAGTTGAAGGAACGTCTGAATCAGTGTGTGGAGCAGGGGTTGCAGCTCCACCTGATGAAGGCAAAGCCGACGGGTTGAGGTGATGGTTATCCAGTGCGTGTCATTCCATTTTACTAGCTTGATGAGCATCCCCTTGCATTTCTTGATTCATTCACGATTTCTTCAATGATCGCATCTCCTTGACCCCTGATGATCATGACTTGCCTCGCGGAGCGTTCCGTTAAAATATAATTTTCCTCTCATCATTCCTCTGCAAACCAGTGATTCAAACGTTGTCATTGCGGTGTATTAGTACTTTGATAGTGTCTATAAATGACGATGACGGTGACCTAGTACAACCATGGAACTAGTCTGTAAGGTACCCTTTTTGCATAACTTCTCCATTGGTCCCCAAAATTTCCCTCTAACATCTCCTCCTCCTTCTTTATACGACTGCCAAGTCCAGAATAAACAACGCTTATGAATGCCACCCAAACACATGCCAAGGTCAACTTGACCGCCTGACTTGATGAAGGAAAGACGCCCGAACAAGAAACTACCCATGACTGAGTGTGGAAATGACAGAGCAAGACGCCCAGAAAAACACATAATCCACTGGTATAGCTGGGATGTCGAACAATAGAATAAGGTCCAGATGTGATCAGCTTATGATCCTGTCGGATACTTAGTTCGAAGGTGAAGAACTTTCCTAGGGTCGAATAGCAGTGGATACGAATAGCGCTGCCGATGACGCTCAGGCAAGACCCGGTTATAAGTGCAGGTGACGACACTGTACGGTCCAAGGAGAGAGAACAGGAGTCACTCTGGACTAGGAATGCAATTATGGGTTCCGATATGGCAGTCGATTCATATCTCGTTGCATATGCAACCAAAATTTCCGACAAAACGCAAACACAGAGAATGTGCTTGAAGAGTAATTATTTAGTTGCAAGGTATTCTCGAACTGGGACTAGAAAGTACCTTGGCTAAAATGTGTACCCAAAAGGCGATGGGAAGTTCCCAACCAGTGGGCTTCAAGCGCTCCTTTGGAAGAGGTCTGGCATTTGGAGGTGTCATGGCATAATACTGCGCTCCGACGGCACAGAGAAGTAAACAGATCTTGGCCGCGACCATAATGTCAATTGTCAGGGTGGGTATATGATGATCACTGCAGGCCAGTCACTAGCCGATAACTTCTGGTTTCCGTTGTCTCCGCTTGCTGGCCGTCTGCGTTCCGAGCGCACGTGTTTGAAATGATCTATTCGTGCGACTTACGAAAAATGCTACGATGTCTAGATAAACGATTGCAACACAAATAGTGATAAGGTAGTTGAGAGCGGTGGGTATCTAAATTGATGAATAACGAGTGGCCACGTCCAGATTCCAGGGAGTGAGCTAACAATACAATAGAACAACCATGCAAACGAAGCAGAAAGTAAGAAAGCATTTTTTTTTGTGGATATAGATCAGACGATATCGATCGAATTGCGTGGTGAATCACCCGAGGAACTGAGTGGATGTCGAGCACAGGATCAGGCCGCGCAAGAACAGGTGGGTCTGGTAGGGGAACTGCCTGTCCATCAACTTGAACAGGCGTGCTTGGGAGAAACTCCTTTGATATCGAACCCGTGATACTTTCTGTTGGCGAGTATGGAATTTCCTTGGCTTCGTCGAATGCGATGTTGAACTCGTCAATGGAGATGTCGGTGGAGAGTGAAGTGAAAGAATCGCGCTTCCACTCGGTGCATTGAGTAATGAACACAGGCATAGTGCCAGTGCGGCTGCAAGTTGTATGCCATCTCGGATTTCGAGCCGTAAGGAACATTTGCTCCTGAGACAACATACCTGTTGATGGTCCAAGAACCTCCAGATGACATATTACCTGTCAAAACACCCACCCGCTTTACAACTCATAAGAGGTTGGGTGTCGTTGTTGATAGGTTGGAAGAGAGAGCAGCATAGTACAAGAGTGTTGTATCTGCAATGAGAAGGTTGAAGGATGTTGTACATCGTAGACCTGAGGAGGAAAGGATATACTCATCAAATCTTCTGTCCTCCTCAAGCTTACACGGTAATTGGATGAATCATGAGCATGTTCCTCAACTGCCAATAGATGCCTTTCTGTTTGCTGTTGTGGGCCTTGCCCAATTGCCCCTGCGGCATAAACCCTGCGGGTGACACGGCATGACGTCCCTAACCGTAGAGATTCAGTGGACCCCGCTATTGGATGTGTTTCCTCCTGCTCGACCTGTTGAGAAGAACTTGGTCATGCTAAGAGTGAGATGCGTTTGTGAGAGAGATGGTTGGTTGGAGGTGAACGTGATGAGTTCAAATTAGCGCGCCTGACGTAGTGCATTGGATTTGAGACTAACCATGTCTCAAAGGGTGTTTTCTCGAGCCAGAAATAGAAGAGTTGAGAGGAAGAAGACTTTGGGATGTGAAGTAGGTTGCTACGCAGACGGGCCGCATGGCGAAGACGAATCGCAAATAGGCCAGCCTGTGGTATACGAAATCGCGTCCTACAAGCAGTACTGAGTCCTGAGGTCGCCGTCAAAATTTGTAGAGGTTATGGAGGGCGATGTCAGGGCGTCTTTTATTGCGTAGGGCTTTATTATGGTTTCTGTCTGATGGGGTTGCAAGTCGGCCTCAGGCCTTCTCCATGCATCATGATCACGCTCCACGCACACAATCCACTCAACGTGAGTTTCGAACCACTACCCACATCACATGGCGGTCTGGATCAACGACTACTCATGCGTTGAGCCCCAAGTAGTGAGATTTTTTAGGTGGGTTATTTTTTGTTTGTGTTTGGGGTCACCGAGGACAAGTGCACTGCTGCATCTCGGCTGCATCTGTACATACTTAGTGTTCTGTGCACGCGTGTTAACCCACAACAACACTAACCCAAACTCTACTGCAGATACCCCGGCGTACCAGAACTGAGATTGCGAGCTATGCGAAGCATTTTAGGTGTGTGTTTTCATTTACATGATTTAGTTTGGGGGTGTTGTTAAAGGTTTGCTGGGAGAAGGGGTTTCTTGTATACTACAAGTCTGTGGCTCGACCCCACGCCGGATTCATCCGTATCCACTTGCCCTCTACCCAGCTCTAAGGGTATGTCCATTGACAAAAGGCGACTCTAGTAGTGCTTCTTGGCATCTAGCCTATGTATAGGTCCGAGGCAGATGTATTTTTCCGTAATACGGTTCCACGGAGGGCCCACGCTTCCCGACACGTCCAGTGATCTCTCCCCGTCGCCAGGGCTTTCCAGGACTAGTATGCCACGAAAGCCCTAGGTCTCAGATTCCACCTTCTGCACGACTGCACATTCAACCATGATCAACATGTGGACGGTACTCTCGGCATTGCCTACAAGGTGAACTCCTGACTAGAGGTTAGCTTTTGTTAGTAAAGTTACGAAGTTTGCAGTCCAGATGTTCTAGATTGTTTGTTATCACAGGTTCTGCCTGTACTCTCTGCCTGAAATCCGATAGGCTAAACTATCCTAATAGAACTGCCAAGTACGTCGTCAATCATTTTTTATGTCTTGTTCGAACTGAAGGTGCCCGAACGTCCCAGACACTCGCGCTCTACTAGTAAGCTTAAGGTGTAGCAGTACGAATGGCAATCTTCGTTGTCCATTTTATCGATGTACGTGGCACATCTTATCCGCACTGGCGGTAATCGCAGTCCCGCAGAAGCCATTACCGTAGGTGGTGTGAGTAATCGAGCACGAGCGTCCGGGCTTCCATATGACACAGGTTCTGCCTGTACTCTCTACCTGAAATCCGCCGGGCTAAACCATCCTGATAGAATCGCTGAGTACTTGGCGAACTCGAAATTCAAGCAAGCTGTCTTCCTACTGGAGCTATTATCCGAGATCCCCATCTCATATTACCTAGCACAAGCCATGCGTTTCTCATTCATCCTCACTGTTGTTACTGCTTTGACAGCATCTATGTCTGCCAGTGCATGCAAGTCTTTCCTCCGGACTTGCGGGCGTCAGAAAGACCAACCATGCTGCTCAGGTCATCATTGTACGCAGTTTGTGAGTACGAGTCGTTCGCTTTACGTCTGGATTAAACCCTATGATTCACCCTTTTGTACCAATAGGGTCGCAGCGGTCCAACTCTCTGCTTCTAACCATCTGCCGACGAACTTGGAATACTGAACATGTTGGGACAGTGATTCGTGTTTCTGCTTTGGCGTTGGTACGGTGGTTGATCGCACGATATGATATGCTTACTTCTGTACAAATTTTTCTGCTGCCTCGACCAGACTCTTAAATAACATTAGAAAACCACCCTCATTAATTCTGTGGTATTGATAAAAGACACTCATGCTACTCGACTTGCGTACGATTTTGCGTGAATGTACAAGAAACCTGGTGGAGTCAGACAACCCCGACTTCCTAGAGGCTGTCGAGGTTTTTCATGCAACCTCGGGATAATTCTGCATCATGCGCCTGATCTCCGTGTCCGGAATCCTCGTCTCAAACTCAATTGCGGACGGCCGTTTTGATATTTGCCTGGTTATGAACCCCATATCATCAAACGGCTTCGTAGGATCTAGAGTAAGCCGGAAGGCCCAAAGAATAAGGAGCGAGTTGATGAACACCGATCTTCATTGGTCGAAGTGAGCTCGGAAGATGATGTGCGTGGAAAGATAGCTTTACCTGTTGGCGACATGTTGACCGGCGCATACACTGGAATGAATGTCATTCAAAGAATGGGTAACTGAAAGATGGTACATACCGCCGACCAAACCCGAAGACGAAGAATTTAAGATCGTCTCTCAGGCGACCTTGGTCATCAATCCAGCGCTGAGGCTTGAACGCGTGAGGCTCAGGGTAGACTTCTGGATCTCGAGAAATGGCCCTAACGCAATAGCCATCAGTTCCGTCTTATCTTGAAGCACGATGCTTACCAATGGTTGCCAAATACCGTAGTCCCCGCTGGAATACAATAGTTTTCCTGATGCCAGATCATCATTTGCACGACAGGTTTTTCGGACATTACTTGCCCAAATTACGTCTTTGGTTGTTCGGTGAGCCAATCCTGCAGGATGGTTGTAAACTTCAGGGACAAAACCACAACGAGAGTACATACCGTTGGGAGTGAGGGGTCTCCATCTCAAAGCCTCAGAAATGAAGGCTTGCAGGCGAGGAAGGGATTCTTGGTCGGCAAAAGTCGGCGCTTTGGTGCAGAAATCATTGATTTTACATAACTGCAATAGCGAGTCAAGCTACCTCGGTGCTTTCCGATGACCGCGTCGAGCTCGGCCTGAACTATAGCTTGCTCCTCCGGGAAACATGCGGCTGCCATGAGCACCGTGCATATCGCTGCAGAAGTCTTTCACCTGATGTCAGCCACATATCATCAGAGACAACAGAACAACACCGCACCGTAGTAGATCCAGCTCCAAAAAAGGCACCAGCAAGACCGGCCACATCAGTCTCTGTCAAACCAAAGCGATCGGTACTTTCTAGCATATATTTGGCGAACGAAGGGCCGATGTCCACATTGCTCTGCTGCAGAATAACTCGACATTTTATGTAAGAATCGGCAAGGCAACGCATACCATCTGCTCTTTCACGCGGTTCAACTGACCCACGTTGAGTTTCATACCCCTCTCAAAACCCCGTTTTACGTCTTGACCATACCAAGGAAGATATTTGAGCCAGGGGATCGAGTTTACCAAGTAAGCACCGGGGTGGAGCATTCCACCAACGATCCTGACGAGTTTGGCAATCTCAATGACTTCAGGATCAGTCGCAGACGTGGGCACACTCTTCCCATATGCAATTTTCATAATTGTCGTCGCAGCATAACTTCAGGATACCTCTGAGCAATGTGCCATCATAAACTGAAAGCGCTTACGTTTTCACATGGTTCTGGAAGTTGTATGGATCATCAAGGATGTCGAGGACAGTCTTCTTCGCGTGTGACATCTGTAGGGGCTGATAAGCCTCAGCTGCTTTAGGCTGAAGATGAGTATGAAGTGCTCTGCGTCACGTTGAAAAGTAAGATAGGATAGAGGAAAGTATCGCTGACTACTAACCTACGCATGCGACGAAACCTTTCCCCAAAGGCGGCAACGCTGATCCCGCCGCCAAAAATTTCACCAGCGGGAGGACGATCAGCTAGTAATTTGCCCTGAGTCTCCATAATATCTACCACGGCCTGCGACAGAATGTTGAGCCTGGATATGATAAACTCGGTGTAGAGGGACTGACTTTGTAACGACCGATAATAACGATGTTCTCAACTCTTGACCGAATGGTGATTAGAGGACCGTATTCGTCAATCCATCCCGCTATAGTGAGAAATGAGCTGGTCAGCGATAAGACGCAATCAGCGTTAAAAACAATGAGTCAACTATGGAACTTTACCCGCGAGGCGGCAGGAAGTGCCCACGAAGTCTCCAAGTGGGAGGGGATGGTGGGAGAGGAAAGCGACGCTTCGATTTAAAAAGGCAAACCCAAGAAATTGCTCCTATTATCCCAAGACAAGCTGCTACACGGAGGACGGGCTGTACGTTGTCAGAGATGGACAGGTTAGACGGATGCAGTATGGCTGACGGGAGGAGCGCAAGGAAGGCTTGGAGGAACCTCATCACAAGTCACAGCGCATTCAAGTTATGAATGACTCCTTTTAAGTAAGGATCGCATGCCAATTGGGTTTGTAGCTACCCTGAACATGATGGTTCCTGTTGGTGGTTGCCTTTCCGCAGCATTTAGAATCCCAGATTGTGATCCAAACCTTAAAAGTCGGAGTGTCGCCTCCTAGGCCTGTCGCCTCCCACTTGATGACGATTTAGAAACGCTTGCTAAACCGCAGACCATTTGTGTCTAGATTCTGATTTCAAGTCGTGAGCTGTTGTGAGCTGCCAAAATGGCAGGCAAACGTCGGGTACAACATCGTCGCGGAGTTTAGAAGGGGTGTTTAGAACGCGCTTTGGGAGGTAGGCCCCCCTTCCAGATACTTATCTATGTAGAACTGGGTATTTTTGACGTGTGGACTTGCAAAACACCGACATTTGAGGGCGGCACGTTGGCAGCAGGACTTTTGACGATAGGTTTAGATTTAGAACGACCTTCTAAACGCTGCGGGGAAGTCACCCAGTCTCGAACCAAGTTACCAGACGTTCTAAGACCTCCCTCGGGCTCTTCCGTTTCCTAGCGGTCCAGAAAGAGCCAGCGGTGTTATTTTCAACTCCGCTTTCCAGAACGTCTGGTTCGAGACTTTAGGCCTTAGGGAGCGCAGCAGATTCCACCTCATTTGAAAATGATCTATTCGTCCGACCTACGCAAAATGCTACAATGTCTAGATAACCGATTTCAATACAAATACTGATAAGGTAGTTGATAGTGGCAGGTATCCAAACTGATGAATAACGAGTGGCCACGTCCATATTCCAGGGAGTGAAAGAGCTAACAATACAATAGAACAACCATGCAAAACAAAGCAGAAAGCAAGAAAGTAATTTTTTTTGTGGATTTAGATCAGACGATATCGATCGAACTGCGTGGTGATTCAGGTGAATCAGCGATGAGACGGGGAACTGAGTGGATGTCGAGCGTAGGGCTAGGACGCGCAAGAACAGGTAGGTCTGGTAGGGGAACTGCCTGTCCATCAATAGGCGTGCTTGGGAGCGATTCCTTTGATATCGAACCCGTGATACTGTCTGTTAGCGAGTATGGTATTTCCTTGGCTTCGTCGAATGCGATGTTGAACTCGCCAATGGAAATGTCGGTGGAGAATGAAGTGAAAGAATCGCGCTTCCGTTCGGTACGTTGGGTAACGAACACAGGCATTGTACCAGTGCGGCTGTTGTATCCCATCTCGGATTTCGAGCTGTAAGGAACATTTGTTAATGAGACAATATGATCGAGTATCGAAGTGGGACAACATACCCGTTGGCGGTCCAAGAACCTCCAGACGACATATTTCCGGTCGAAACGCCTACGCGCTTCGCAACCGAAACATAGGCAAGGCGGTAGTTCTTCCTGGCCTCATCGGCGAATCCGAAGAAAGCGAAGAACACCAATGCGCAGACCACGACGAGCCATCGGCTGAGCTCGATTGACAAGACCGTTGGGGCGCTCATCCGCCATATTACTGATGGATACTGGTCGACACGGGAGAAATCGTAGTGCGTGTTTGCCCAACTGACCCAGGGGTTGATTTGTTGGGCAGTAACATTGAGGTAGATGGTATAGGCACCCAGAGGGAGCGTGCATAACACTTCGATGCCAGCAAGACCCATGAGGCGGAAGTAACGGTTGGCACTCAGGTTCTTGTTCGCACAAAGAAGCTCCATGAATTGCGCCCTACGCTGGGCTAGTTCGATAATAGTGCGGACTGCATCACACATTAATATCACGTTAACCAATTGTCCCAAAAAAAACGTACTGCAGTAATAAGCGGAGAAGCACCCAATGACCACGGGCCACACAAACACCAGTGCATATGCAGGAGGGGTGTTAAATGTAGCCGGATAACATCCGATTTCCTCGAAAATGTTGAATCGATGTCCTTGCACAATATATTCTGGGGTATCACGTCAAACACGGCCCAGTATCTTTCGATGAATGAACGTACGCAGAATCATCTCGAGAACGGGGATACCAACACCAATGGCCAGATCGGTCATGATATCACGCCTCTTCTGAGCTCTTGTTTTCGTGACCGAGGAAACTGACGCAATGTGGTAGAGACGACGGTTGATGCAGAGCGAGCATGCAGGAATGGCAATGGAGGAGCCGATCATAAATTTGGTGGCTACGAAACAAACATGATTTTCTGCGCCGCAAATAGGAAACAAAAAATGCTTACAGATGTCGCACCACACAGGAGCCCAGTTAATGACATTCGATCTCCAAACAATCGAGTTAATGAACTGGATTCAAGCACGCTAGGCCAGTCCAGATCATATAAAGACAGGTTCCAGTGTTCCATGCTAGAGGATTGGTCAGGTCTTGCAGAATATATCAAAAAATGCCAAAATAGCTGACCTTCGAAATGCCAGGGAAGCGGAATCATGCAGCACATGAATCCGAGAAAAGCGAACGCGGAGAACACCCAATCTGGTGAGTCGAACATCTTAACAACGCAGTTGCTGATGCGGGAGGTGAAGACAGGGGTGACTAGCTCGGAAGACTGGCGCTCCTGAGATGCGGCTGAGCAAAGGGAACGTAGACGAGTAAAGTCCACAGGTGAAGCTGCGGGCCATAGCCTCACGAAGCCATCTTATTAAAGCTTTCGAAAGCACATTCGCCTTGTCGTCCGATTTGGACATCCCCTTGTGCTCGGGTGCAGTTAAACGCATTCAAAGTTTGAAAACTTTGCAAATAGCGGCATTGCCTTTTTGACCAACAAACTGATGTCCATATATGGACGCATGTTTGTTGACCGAAAAGGTACAGCCTTGTTAAGTACGCCCAAATGGCGCACCCAAGAGCTTCGTTGACAGAGCACGCCACATGTTTCGACATCCCATGATCATGAGACCATCAGAAAGTTCCGGCGGGAGCTACTAGCATGAAGATAAGGCGGTCAGTGCGGGAATGGACGTTAATTCCCACGTGCTCACAGAACCTTGACCTATCACAGCTACCAAGAGCATGCAGTGATACGGTTATGGCCGTCGTCATCGTCCACTGTGAAGAATGAAATCCAGATACAGTCATTTCCGGAATCATTGGAAAACACTCCCTACTTCGCAGCACTGTTGTTCTCTGTTTGGCTCGATAAACCACTGGTGAGGCCTGAGATCTGCCGGCTGTTGTTACACCTAGTGGGTACTTTGCATCTACATGTCAAATGCAAAATACAAAGTGTTACCAAGGAGTAGCGGGCCGAGTAGAGGGACAGAGTTCGAACGCGAAGTGGATTATCGCATAGCACTAAAACAACGGTCAATTACAAGCCCGCAACCTGAAGGACTGGTCGTATGGATGGGGTGGGTTCGCAAGCAAGAGCCTATTCCACATCGATGGCTCTTATGAACGTTAGTGAGAGCCACTGAAACAATAGCGATATTCCAAATGCGACGGACAATAAGAGCGGCAGTTGCCGTAATCGGGAGAATTGCCTTTTACGGTATGTTTTCCTGCGTTCCTAAGCATCTCCTGCATCAGCGCTCAGCATCCGCAATTGGAAATGAATGGTTCAGAATATTTAGGATCTCGACGAAAATTCTATGATACATGTTGGCTATTGATACAGGCTGTCGGTGGACCTAAGGTACATCACTAGAGTAAAGAAACTCATACAAAGGAAGGCAAAGGGAAAGGAACGTACGACGAATGCTTCAGGAACATGCCAGCAGTTGCAGAAAGTCAGCAGCAGATTACGTGTAGTACTGTTTGAAATGGGGTCAAAGGACAATAGACAAAATGAAAAAAAAAAAAAAAACGCTGGCAGAGCCTAAAATACTCCGTGGATCTCCTTAACCACCGTCATATAGACAGCATCACGATTCCGTGAATTCCTCGGGTTATTACTATTGCGTGGCACTGCGGACCCATAGAATGGTAAACCTTCTGTATGCAAGAATTTCATACTTGAAGACCTCGAGCGTGGTCGAACAATGACTGTTGATGGGGGTTCAGGCCACTGCGCTGAAAGTAAAACAAGCTGTTGCGGGTCAAAATTCGACTGGAGAGAATTATGTGAAGACGCGATGGTAGAGTAGACAGAGGGTGATTCCAGGGGGAGGAGGGCAGGATCAAGAAAGTCAGGACTTTCTTCCAATTGCTTTGCACGCGTAAGATCGAGTGATGGAGGTCGCGATGGAGCTGGTGAATGCGGAAGAGGTTTCTCCAATGAATGACCATGATAAGTGCACTCTGTACTAGATTCAGAGCAGGCACTCTTGAACTCAGGGACGGTCAGAGACGAAACTGGTGTCAAGTCGCTGATCAGACGTAGTCAGAAAAAATCAGCTAGTGATACAAAGGAACATACCATTCTCTAATAGATGCACATTTGAACTCGGCAATACAGGTTGATCGTCTCTCGCAGAAAGTGAGAACCCGCACAATCTGCAGAGCCTCTCGCAATCGACTGCGCCCCTCCTCTCCAAGCACAAACAATCCGACGAAAAAGAAGGATTGCGCAACCACGACGGCCCACTCAGTGACGAGCATCGCAGTAGTTGACTTAGGTGTCGCAGCAGAGCTGAACGACAAGACCTCAGTCAAATCTTGAGTAAAGTCTGCCCATGGAGCCAGTCCTGAGCCTAGATTGAATACCATGGCCACTACAGTCGCGGCAATGGTGCAAATGACTTCCGAAACAGCCATACTGACGAGCCGTATGTAGGCCCCGGAGGTAATCGAAGAAGACGCACGTGTCCTCGAAAATTGGACACCGTGAAGAAGAAAGTGACGCCAAGTAATACCTGCAAAGACTCAGCCTCGTAGGGACGTACACAACGGTAAACTGGCTTACCGCAAAAAATGAGCGTAAGAAGAGAAAGTGTAAGTGGCGGTATCCAGACCAGGAACAAAGCCACCGTAGTGGGATATATCGTCGTGCGGCATCCAAAATCTGCATACACATCAAAGCGTCGAGGTTGAACAATTAGATCTATCGATGATATGTCAATAAACAATGCGGGGGAGCCTGTGGCAGTCGGACACGCACGCAATGCTGCATATATTACTGGAACACCGAAACACATTAAACATTCAAGTAAGATACGGCGTCGTTTTGCTAGAGAGGTGGACGTTTGGGAGAAAGACGCCATCCGTTCCAGCTGAATGCAAATACAGAGGCATGCTGCGGGTATCGATACATTTACGGCTGTTGTTAGTGCTGAAGCTAGAGAACTTGAAATTGAGTCCTCAGCAAGAAATGGCGTCAAAGTACTCACTGATGTCGCACCAGAGTAAGGATGGGACTTGGTGGGCCCCGGACCACTGGAGGGCATCTATAGCATTGACCATGTTCACAACAAAAAGCCATATTCCAATAGACATCGCAGCGATGTTGCGAGCGCGAAAATACCAAGGGAGTGGAAAGAGAACAAATACCGCGGAAATGAACGAAAACACCGGTACCTCCGTTTGCATTTCAAAATCGAAAGAGAGTCTGGGGAGACAATAATGGCGTGCAAGTTACAGTGGAGGGTCGCTCCATTTCTTTTAATCTCTAAGCTGCGCCTTTGAAAGCAGTGTGGAGAGCAAAGTACAAGGATACGATGCCACAAACTTTGTAAACTTACCCTTTTCTAGATTTGATAAGCTTTTTGCCGAAGAAAGTACAAGGACACAGAGAAGCCACATGCCATGGAATATTTGAACGAGTGAGCACCCACAGGGCCACATTACAGGGGGATGGCCAAAAACAGCAAGCGTCAAGCAAATGCCCCGAAAAGGCATGTTCTAACGTCGGTGGACCTCAGCACCCGTGTGTAATTCGTGCGATCTTTAAAGGTGGACGGTCCAGAAGAATGGGGAAATGATTGACAAAAGAATCTCGATTGGATACAGACATCTGTGGTGAATTATAGAGTAGCATCAAGGGAGGAGCAACAGAGCGTGCTTACAATTGATAGCGATACAAAATTTTGTTGTACAAGCGTACAGTAAGGTTATTCGTAGGTACCAATTATCGTGCGGAAAGACGGATCGTGTTTCGTTCAATGCGTAGATAAAAATACGAGAAGACGTGGGAAACCAGTCAATGCAATGCGAAGGGAACAAAAAATAAAACTTCAGTGGTAACACTGTTTAATGCGAGGAAGTGGGCACGTTAGGCGCATATATGCGACCCATGAGGAGATAAGCTACTACCCGGCGGACGGGTAAGGTCGCGAGATCGCCGATGCGCAGGACGAATTTTAAACCTGGAATACGGAAAGAGGGAAAGAGATATCGAGCTCTCTTTGATGTAAACACGGCGCCTTCTGGTATCGTCTCAAGCTTAGTTGCAGTGCGGGAACGACCTATTTTTTGGGGAAGTGCGAGGAGATGGTGGGAGTTTGTCTCGGCGAGAGCTGCGTGCCCACTCTGGAAAAACGAATGCGAGTGGTTCCGCCAAGGTCGCATGAAATGCAGAAGCCAGATTGTGAGACAGGGTCGACCCATGCACTGAAGTTTCCGTCCTTTCCAGCAATGCTTCTACGTTCTGTTCCACCGTCTCGAGTCTCGACCCCTGAGCTGAGTAGACAGCATCATTCTTTTTGTCCTGTTTCCGAATGGATCTCTCTAACCCCTGGACGGCCCCCTCCACGTGGTCGAAAATATCTTCTGTGAGGAGTTTCACGGTTTCTTTGCATTCTTTCAGCTGAGCATCTAATCCAGCGATGCGCGCAGTCAGAGCCTCGATTTGCGATTGTGTATCCGGTGAGCTGGCTGGAGGGTAGTGAATGACAGTATGCAAGTCTTTTGTGCGTTGGCGGAGACGCTCTACCGCGTGTTTCCAGGGTCGAATACCGGTGGCGAGGATGAAGAGAGAAGTGCTGAACCATGATATGGTCTCCGGGCCTGCCACAGATATGATGATCGTACGGAGGATTAAGGCTCCAAGTAACGGTGACAAAACAGTCAGAAACAAGTAGAACACTTCGAGTTTGTGTAACTCTGACGAAGCAAGTTGATGATACGGATCCTGCTCAGACGTTTGAGGGCGTGGTAGGTCAGGTGAACGACGTCTGGGTCTCGAGAGATGATAGAGGCTCCATGGTACTGTGCACAATTGTATTTTCCGCTTTCATAATTAAAACAAAGCACTGACCTTCGATGATTTGGTGCAAATAGAATATCAAGAGAAGAATGAGAAGGAGATTCTTGACGTGATCTCCTCCTGTCAACCAGTTTCCGATGGGCGGAACTAGCGCAATGATGACAGAAATATCAAATTCATACCACCACTTGCTACTCTCGGGCTCAACATCTGAGAACCGTTCCGAGTTCCCACTCTCCTCAAGCGGTGGAGTTAGCGAAGGGAATCTGACAAAGGGTCTGGCTGGCGGAGAGGGCGTTTCGGCGTCGGACACCTCGCTAGATTCGCTGTCTGATTCGTGATCAAGCGGGGAAGACAAAGCACTGGTGTCAAGAAATGGTCGTTTAAGCGTCGGAAAGTGGTTCATGCTTTCGTAGCTGAAGTGTGTCTAAGCTTAAGCACGCTACAGATGGAAGGTCTGGGAGAAGTGGATGGCTGTGGATGGTCGCGTGCTGCCAAAGACAAGACAAAGGCGTAGACACTAGGTGTGGCCTATGAGGTCTTAGGTATGATGGTGGTGCGCGAGTGAGGGGTATGTGTGGATAAGAGGTAAAATTATCTAATATTTTATTATGAATCATGTTTTTGTAAGTACTTATAATGCTAAGTAGGGTATGATCCACCGCGGCCCGGTCAAACTCAAGCTACTCAAGTCCAAACACCGTGACGAAGAGATGGAATATCATAGTATGGTTGACAGAAAATTGATATATTGCAAATCTTGTGCATACGCTGGGCGCAGTCAGACCTCTTCAAGTTGGATCAGCATCAAACCATGGATCAGTTCAAGTTACTTCCGTAACCTGACTGGTCCTTACCTGAGTCTGAGCCTCATGCCTCAGAACATACTCTCAGACCCAGAAACAATAACATTTGTATTTTGCTCGCTGATCCTATTCATATCGCACGGAATTTTGGGGGACACATGCAATGTGCATGTGTGTTTTCATCAATCCATTGAAGTTACAACCGCAGGCAGAATCGGAGACCAAGTAACCTACAGTGATGATACATAGCTGCATGTTCGATGTACGCCGCGCTACCGCAGTGTAATTCGATAAAAGTGCAAAAGTTGGGAAAGCAACCCGTGAAACCGAAAGGACAACAAAAAATTACGAAGGCGAAAGAACAAGAAACAAGCTCGAAAGGTGTGGTACAAGAGATGCACCAGATAATAAGTTTGAGAAAAAGATTCCTCGATCGCCATGATAGACCGCACAATAAATAGGCTGACTGCTCAGCACGACCAGCCTTAAGTTAACTGGAACGGTAATGAGCATGGTAGATCAAAGGTTTACCATGACCCAGATGATATCTATGGAGAGAAGGTGAAATCGTAAACATAGACAATGATGATCGATGAGCAGTCCACTCACTTATACCATCGACAGGCAAAGATGGCATCGGTCATGCTATTATGCAATAACCTGCATAGCCCCATTTTGCGTCTGCATCGACTAACAAATATTGTTCGTCGTCACCATTGCAAAAGCCCTGAACTGGGAATAGCGGCGGATCTGGCTCGAGGAACGCATATATATCCGTCATTGAGTCAAATGAATCCATTGAGTATCAGTGCGAGGTGGAGAAGGGATGATGATTATCGCAATATTGGAGGAGTAGGTTTCAGAATGGAGTAGGTGTCGCGGGGGAGGGATAGGTATCGCAAAAACGCTCCGAGTGAACGAGAGTAAAAAGTTGGGTTCTTGATATGCACCAGTGGGAAGGTTACGAAGGGTATTTATTAAGTGTCCACGGGTGAGGATGCAAATTATATGGAACCACATCACAATAGATTAACTGTGGCAGTTATCAAGGACAATGGATAACTTAACATGCCATTGTTGGCTCGAAAGGTCAAGTAATGGACCAAGCTTCCGGCGATAAGTCACTTCACTCACGTTAGGCCGCTAGCTAGCTGCTGAGCCGACTGTCATTATCTAGTCCAATCGAAATATAAGCGCCCATGACAAAAGCTAATCCAACAAAGGACAAATTTGAAACTCCGATCTGATTCCGCCCTTTGTGGTTTGGCCAATTGTGCATTAAGCTTCAAGTATAGAGAACAATCAAAGATGAAAGACATCAAAATTCGCCGTCTTCACTGCTTGATATCCTTCACCACTTACGATGACAGCCTCTGACCCAACCTACCCTGCCTTCCCAGTACTGGCTTTGATTGGCGTGGTACTCGTACTCATTCCCTTGCCCTGGCACTTTCAAGCATGGAATTCAGGAACTTGTCTTTACATGATTTGGACGGCACTCGGTCTGCTCAACCTAGCAATCAACTCCATTGTGTGGCGATCCTCTGTTATCAACTACGCACCAGTTTGGTGCGATATATGTAAGACTTTGTCCAGTTTGTCTCGTTTGCCAGCTGACCTTCATGAATTATAGCCTCGCGTCTCATCGTTGGAGTTAGTGTAGCGATACCTGCCGCGTCTCTGTGTATCAATCGACGTTTGTACAAAATTGCCACTATCAGTACTGTGACTACGACAAAGGCCCACGTACGTTGATTCCTCCTCCACTTATCTCGGTTCTGACGGCCTTGCAGCGACGGAGGGCTATCATGGTCGACCTGGCAATAGCTTTAGGGATTCCTATGCTGCAAATGGTCCTCCGTAAGTTCATTCGCACCTCCGTTTTTGTCTTTTTAACATTTTGCATCTAGAATTTATCGTCGAAGGCCATCGTTTCAACATCTTCGAGGAAATCGGGTGCTACCCGTTTACCTACAATACATGGCTCGCGTATCCCTTGTCCAACCTCTGGCCTCTTGTGATTGGTCTTATTTCTGCTGTATACTGCGGTAAATTTTTATTCGCAGCAATGACCGTTCTAAGCTCACAATAACACCACAGTTCTGACCCTTCGTGCCTTCATGAAACGCCGTGCACAGTTCAGCGAATTCTTGTCATCCAATACCTCACTTTCTATCAATCGCTACTTCCGTCTGATGGCACTCGCCACGCTGGAACTTCTTTGCACAACACCCATCTCGGCCTATGGCATATATATTAACCTTGTCGATAACCCGTTAGAGCCTTGGAAGGGATTCGCAGATGCTCATTACAATTATTCTCGAGTTGGACAATACCCATCTGTCATCTGGCGACTGGATAGTCTCACTATCGTCTCAACAGAACTTACACGCTGGAGTCTCGTGTTCTGCGCTCTCTCATTTTTCGCATTCTTCGGCTTCGCCGATGAGGCACGCAAGAACTATCGCAAAGCCTTTTGGGCAATCGCGAAACTTTTTGGTTTCCCTCCTCCTTTGCCGGCTGGTGCTTCACAGTACGTTCCCCCTTGCTATTTTTCTGCCCAAGTTTTCTCAATTCGTACTCCTAGCATTCGCGCACCACCCCGTCCTATCCCAGTCATGAGCTCAATCGGTTCATTACCAGCCTATTCTCCCCCTTCGTCAAAATCTTCCAAATTTCTTTCGACATCAACCCTGGATATCAAAGTGGAGAAGGACTTGTACTCGTATGTGGTCGACGATCGTAGTAGTCTTCCAGATACTCCGACGTCGATGTTCGGTCTTGCTCATGATATAGGACCACACGCTGTCTAGATGATTTTTCGCTTCTGTTTACGCTATGTATCTCCTTCAGCTACGCCTTGATAATTTGGCAGCTACACATATTTTAAGGGACTGCTCCGCTACTCACTTCCCGATTGCTATCTCTCATTCGTTTCTGTGTCATTCATTTACCGTATCTTTTCTGTGTCATATGGTGTATCTCTAGTTGACATACCAAATGTCGTCCACAAAGTACAATGAAATTTTAAATGTACTATGATCATTGATGGTATTGCTGAGAAGTTCATCCACGAGCTAACCACCAGCCACAATCAACGACTGGCTGTGCCCTAAGTACTTTGAGTGTTGGCTAAAGTTTTGCAAAGTTAAGTATAATATATGGCTAGCTCAGATCTGTAATAAGTTGTGCGGCAAAGGATGCAGCAATCTAAGGTGTATGGCAAGTCGTGCACGTGCACGCATCCCTGGTTTCGTACTTATCGTCTCCCCATTTGCGTCTATTGAAGCATGTCTGTTACCTGTACTTGACTCGAATACGCTCTCAGTACTAACAGTGACTGGCAGCAATGAAAATATTTTGGCACACTGGAACAATAGCTAATCCAGCGGTAAAAGTTGGCAGTACTACTATATATCATAGTACACGAATTCGAAGACGAAGGCGACGTTCGTCCGATGGAATCTACATCCCATCGGAACATAAATAAGTATACTACACGAAGACGAAGACTACAAAGGAGCGATAAAGCTACAGAATCAAGCCCCGTGATATAAATAATTGAGCTGTAAGACAGCCCGAACGTCCAGGAAGGAGGATTGAAAATTGAAAGAGAAAGTAAAGCGAATAATGATAATGCAAGTCTGACGCCCTTGGACTAGCCTGTAGCCCGAATAAATTAAGATTAAACGTTGAGCGCTGGGTCAGCGAATAAGATGAGTGCCTTGTCATAGAAATTTTGGTAAGGAGGCGCACGTCGAAAGAGATGTTGAAAAGACATACCTGACACTGGCACTCAGAGTGAGGGGCACTGGGGTTATACAATGACGCAGAAGCTGCCAAAGTAGCCGGCAAGGCTGTCATGGTCAACCGGCAGCGACTCGCCAGAAAATTCGACGGATTGCATTGGTAGAATATCCCAAGGTTGGGATGATTCCATAGATGATGATGGCTCTAAAGAGAGCAGAGTGATGAAGTTGTCCATGAGGTCGGTTATGAGTATAACGTAGTAGTGAATATGTTCGGACCTGAGGCTGTGCGGACGGATAACAAAGGGGGGGTTGGCAATAAAGAACTCTGCCTCCGAGTCATGCTATATAGTAAAGTGTAACCATTGTTCGATAATTACAGGTGCCACATCTCACTAGATCTCACTTTTGTGTACCACAGCTGGAGTTGCGGTTCACCATTGTCTCCGGGGCAAAGTCCAAATTTGGTACTTACATAAGCCTGACTGACGTTACGTGACCACAATGAATGTTAATGAACCTAGGACCTATTGTCCATTGGCGCATTGTGCTAATCCCTTTGTTGAATACAAAATGTTTTCCTATAAGCTTATAATTCACGGTCTCTCTCCTTTGACACACTTCAGTTCTACCCTCTATCAGCCACCATCATGACTGGGTTGGATTATCCTCTTTACCCCACTTTCGCCTTCCTCGGCTTTGTGTTCGCACTTATACCTCTTCCCTGGCATCTACAAGCATGGAATTCGGGAACTTGTTATTACATGATTTGGACGGCAATCTCTTGCCTCAACCAGTTTATCAACTCCATCGTTTGGCATAACAATGCTATCAACTGGGCACCTGTTTGGTGTGACATCTGTAAGTGGATGTCCCGGTATTTCTCCACTGCTTGTGTCCTGAAACTCGTTGTAGCCATTCGGATAATGCTCGGCGCCTCTGTGGGCATTCCTGCTGCGTCATTATGCATCAATCGCAGACTATACAACATCGCGAGAGTTCATGCGGTCACAGTCACGAAGGCAGAGGTACGCATCAGCATCAATGGGGCCTCAGTTCCTTCATGTACCCTGTTTTAGAAACGTCGCGCCATCCTTATTGACACGCTAATCTGCGTGCTTTTTCCTATGATATTCATCGCGCTCCGTGAGTGCATTGGTTCCATACACTAACCAACATCTCACTGATCCTGTTACAGAATATGTTGTGCAAGGCCATCGCTTCGATATTTACGAAGACATCGGCTGCTACCCTTTCATATACAATACGCTCCCAGCGTTTTTCTTGTCCGACAGCATGCCTATAATAATCGGTCTGATCTCTATGGTCTACTGCGGTAAGCGCTTTCTTAGTTGACCTTTGTGCACGTCCTTACCCCGTACAGGTCTTTCCTTGAGGGCTTTTTACCGTCGCCGCGTACAATTCAACCAGTTTTTGGCATCCAACACGTCTCTCAGCGCTAGCCGTTACTTCCGTCTCATGGCACTCGCAATGACGGAGCTATTATGCACCATTCCCCTCGCATCCTTCATGATATGGCTCAACTCTGCAGCGCAGCCTGTGCAGCCCTGGGTCAGCTGGGAGAATGTTCACTATGACTTTTCACGTGTTGTACAATATCCGTCAATTCTGTGGACAAGAGACTACCTCCTCGTTGTCGCCATCCAGCTTACGCGGTGGTTCGTAGTTATCTGTGCCTTCATATTTTTCGCCTTCTTCGGCTTTGCCGCAGAAGCGCGGAAGAACTACAGCGCCGCTTACTGGGCGGTCGCAAAGTTGTTTCGATTCTCCCCAGCAAAGCCGCAACCACGTATGGACTCAAAAAATGGGTAGGTGTCTTATCTTAAGCAAAACATACAGTTTCCTGATAAGAGTTGCAGGTTCAACCGTCCCCCTCGTGCGCCTGCGATGATTTCATCAGCAGGCTCGTTGCCTGTTTATGTCGCTAAAGAACAGAAACGAACTAGTTCTTTGGCATCGTCCTGGGAATATTCACTGGACGAAAAGAGAGCCGCTACGGTGGCAGAAACGACGCCTTCCCCTTCACCATCGGAAGAGTATTTCCCTCATGTCGGCTATGACGACGTTGACCTCATTGAACCCGGGCGTGCCGTATGATATCTGCGAGATCGCCTCCAAAGTTTTATATGTAATATCAAACATCTCATGCTTCGAGTGTTTCATCCCTCATTCATTGTTAATTATACCTTCACGTGAGGAAAATTCAATCTTTCACTTGTATCACCTCCAGACACCTCACAATCTTTGTTGATTCGTATTCATACTCTAGAAATAACATGTGCTGTATCCCTAAAATGTGTGGTTCTCTCACCTTAAGATGAGGTTCAGAAATCTGTCATGCAGCGTATAGTCCAACCTGACAATGGGTGGACAAGTCAAAACCTTGTCCACCAATTGTCAGTCGCCACAAAGCTCAGTTTTCCGCTCGAAATAACAACTCGTGTCATGGTCATCACCATGCGCGTTCATGACACATGTGAGCCAGGGGGCAGTACGTACTATAATAATAGTCTACGAGTCCTTACCCGAGTGTGGGCCAATGGGCCTCAGGCTGGATTCACGAGCTCGACAAGTGGACTGTACCTGACATGGACCAGCCATTCATTGTGAGGAAGCAACTCGGTCATGGAGCGTTTCAGATTCCACAACCGAAAAACAATAAGTACAATGAGAAAGGCAATTCAATCGGAAGGTCCACTGACAAAAATGATCCACCCAGAATCTACCAACATACCTCGACCCACTGGTCTTGTTATTTACACAATATTATGGCCGATGACCGCTTCAATTCAACAGGTTTTTGGCATCCGACATGTCTCTCAGCCCTAGCCACTAGAACTTTCGTCTCATGGCTCTCGCAATGTACAATGCACTTGGGAGTCGCACTTGATCATTGTGACACTCTCGTGGGTGGGCTGGGTGGCATATAATATTACCACCTGAATGGTAGTGGTGGTTTAGAACAGGACGTCGGTGTCTGTGTCCAACGTGGTATCTCGGACTAAACTTTCCCGCCTTCACCATGCGGAAATCATGGTGCATGATGATGATGATGATGATGATCCAGTTTCATTGAGCTCCAACTTTGTTGATTGAGAAATTGATAGAGGTATATTTAGCATACTTATATTGATAGGTGCAACACGTATACGTATCAATAAATGTGGTAATCGACCCCAGCCCTGCGGCTGCAGACGACCCACAGCATGCCCACAAGCTCGAAAGTGGGCCACCCCTGGCAGCCCATTTGTTCTGAAAAAGCAACGCGACGGAGCGTTCAAGATTCCACAACCGAATAAAAATATGTACAACGAGAAAGGCGAATTCGAAGGTCAACGAAGTGACGAAGGCGAACAATAAATATGTTGTATCGCTACAATGGTGATGAAGGATACACTGCGTCGCGAGCGCAAGGAGACGCGTTGGGATGAAAAGAGTGACTATTGTTTGGGTTTGGGAGTTAGCTTCGAGTAATCAAGACCGGTCGAACTAGGGCTTACGTTTGAGCAGACGGATAAAAAAACAGAATAAATAGTTGCATTGGATTGTCAACATGCAATATCGATCACCTGGGATATTACAATGAGCGCATGCGGTGAGGCCTTGCGGGCAAGACTTACGAAATGACGCAATAAGTGCCGGGGCGCCAATATGGTGAGTCCTCGTCGAGAGGAAGGCAAGAATATAATTCTGGCTCAACGTCTGCGACAGGCAAGACGTCTGGCGGGAATATAACGGTATGAAGAATATCGAATGAGTCCATTCAAGTGAGTGTGAGGGGGGTAGCGCGCGGAATCGTGTCAGAAAAGTCGTGGACCATGAGCCTTTGTATTCAGCCTTTATAACTGAAATGAAATAGCTACCGACGGACAATAAGGCTGAAGGTCCACATGTGTAGAGATTTTTCTCGGAGTTGAATGAGTAGGAATGAGCCATTGTTTACTCAGACTGGTCAACAATGGACGTCACAGAATGACACGCGATGTCACAATGTCACATGACATGTGATGTGACAATTGGTGATCGTCAATGAAGAGTTTATTGAGCAACTCCGACCACCATTGTCCCCGTTCAGTGACAGTGATATCATAAAGATGGAATCAAAAATCATGAGTGTATTTCTTTTTCTAGCACAGTACTATTATCTGCCTCCATCGTCGTCGACGATACCAATAATATTGCGATGAGCAATAGTACGAATCCAACGTATCCCCTCCTCCCCGTTTTTTCCTGCTTGACTTTCTTCCTTGTTCTCATCCCCTTCCCATGGCACCTGCAAGCATGGAATGCAGGCACTTGCGTCTATATGTTCTGGGGAGGTATTTCGTGTCTCATCCAATTTGTGAACTCTATCGTCTGGCACAACAACGTATTGAATGTCGCGCCTGTATGGTGTGATATCTGTCAGTGACAACCTATTCTGTCTCTAATGTTGTCCTTGCTAACGCGACTACAGCAACGAAACTTTTCATCGGAGCCAGCGTTGGCCTCCCTGCCTCTGCTTTGTGTATTAGTCGCCGATTGTATACAATAGCTGTCATCAAAACCGTGTCGGTAACGCGTGAGGATGTACGTCAAACCCTCTTCTATCCCGAGTGAGTGCTTGTACTAAGCAGCCGACAGAAACGCCGTGCTGTCATCGGTGATCTCTGCATCTCGATCGGTATTCCCGTCACAGTCATGGCACTTCGTGCGTACCTTCTCAGCAACGAAACAATACTATCCCATACTGACTATACTGAACAGATTATATTGTTCAAGGACATCGTTTCGATATCCTTGAGGATGTTGGTTGCTGGCCAGCAACTTACAACGTGATACCGGCATATTTCCTGGTCTATATGTGGCCTTCATTACTTGGCTGCATTTCCTTTGTCTATTCAGGTTCGTTGTTTTTCATCTCAAACGATCAAAGCTCAATTTTCTCTAGGCCTGACTCTTGCTGCATTCTATAAGCGCCGTCTGGAGTTTAATTCCCTCATATCATCGAACAACTCACTGAATGTCAACCGTTATGTCCGTTTGATGATGTTATCGGTCATCGAAATGGTTTACACCGTGCCAGTTAGTATATATAGCGTCTTTATCTCCGGATCGAGCCTACCCATTGAGCCATGGATATCTTGGTCCGATACCCACTACAACTTCTCGTATGTCGGCCTCATTCCCGCCGCCGAGTGGACCAGCAATTCAACCTACAAACAATCCATTGATATGACACAGTGGCTCTTTCCTGTCTGCGCCTTAATGTTCTTTGCTCTCTTTGGCTTCGCGAACGAGGCGAGAAAGCATTATCGACTGTACTTCCTTTGGGTTGCAAAGCGCTTCGGCTTCAATCTTACTGTAACACAGACACCGACCCCGCATCCTCCCAGGTTGGTGTCATTCACATTCGTGACCGTTGTCTATACTAAAATATGCGTCAGGTGGAAAGGCGCTATCAAGTTCGCTGGAGACCTGCCAGTTGGTTCATTGCCAATTTACACCTCTCCTGCCCCTCCTCGGCTCAAACTCCGGTTATCTTTCAACTCTGCCCTCGACATCAAGATCTCTGACTTTGACCGAGATGTCGAGAATCGTGCTGAATTAACACCGCCGCTGCCTCCATACTACAAGGAAAAATTCTTTGGGGATTTCTCGCCCACCACGTCAAGTTATTCCTCATCTGATATAGAGGCATGTGTAGTTGATGTCAACCTCGAAACACCATCCGAAGTTCATTCTTGGCAACCTTCGCGGGAGCGCTGCACGGAGCATTCTGTGATCCCCGCATTCCATCGTCCCTTCACGCTACCCAACTTGCACCCTGTTACCTTTGACGAGGACGGCTCCATGCAGTCATTGACTGCGTCCGTTGCGGTACAAGCGCAAACCCACACCACTGAAAATTCATGAGCGGTCGTTCTTTGTATTTTTTTTCTTCATGACGCATATAATATATTCGTACAAGGGACTAATACCCGTGTTCACGCTAGCCTGCCCACTGTATCCCTATCATTTTTCAGTCACTTATCTAACTTATACCACATTCTTGTTTCACCCCTTTCGATTAACTTGACCAACCGTACTTCCTGCAGTGACTACTACCAAACTGCTTATACCACCTTATATGGATTGATAGATTATTTTGTCCTGCAAGCCTGTCTACCGATCAAAGATGGGGCGAAGACTAGAATCCGACACCGCTCTGCCAAATAAAACTAACGTGCACTTGGATAGAGTCAAGAATGGCAGCGTCGACATGGGGCAGTCTGCAAACTCATGCATTATAAGACGGTGCTAAAAAGCACCCAATGTGTGTTAGGTCCCTCATCTGATGAGACCGACGCAACAAGGCGCCTGCATGTATGAAAACATCAAGGTCATATCAACCAAGCAAATCGTCGAGAAAATCTTCCATCTCCAATTTGGGCGCCTTCCTCGGTGCGTCAGTAGGAAGAGCTGGCGCCTCAGAATAGTTATCATCTGGCGGATGCGCGGAGCAAAGTTTCAGTATGATGATCTGCATTGATGAGAAGACTCTACCTTGTTTTCTATCGAGCGTAAAGAGAGGCTTTGACTTGAGTTTCTCCGACTTTGCACGGAATCGCGCTTTCAGATCTATGAACCATAATCACTCTTCTACACATGAGCTATCATTAGTTAGAAGTCACCTCGACTTGCATCTGCAGCGGCCTTTTCGCGACTCATTTCCTCAAGTTGTGCATCCCATTCGATCGTTTGTACACGCCCCTTCTGAGATGTTGGAGGTGGGTTACGATGAGATGAGATATGTGCGAGGTCATGGTCGATATCATCATCATCGACCGGAGGCGCTACCGCCGCAGTCACCTCCGAGACGTCCGATAACCGCTGTCTCTCAAGAAACGACGAAAGGTCAATCTCCGGCTCACGAATCTCCTCTCCTACGCTGTGTCAAACACCTCGAAGCCCAACAGGTCTTCCACTCAACACTCACCGTCAGAATCCAACTCAGGCTCAGGCTCCGCATAACGATCGGCGTTGGATCCAAGTTGCCGTCGCGCATACTTCTTTTGCAGCTCTTTCGCCTCTTCAGAATCAGGGTCGAGATCAACCACCTCTTCATCCTCCAGCACTAAGCGCTTATGGAATTCCGCTGGACGGCCGCCTCGACCACGACCTCGTGCGCGGAGGTACTTGCCTAGCCCACCGCGGGACTTTCCACGACCTCTTCCGCGAGCACGGGATGGCTCAGAGGTTGATGCGGAAGTTGATTCTGACATGTTACGCGGGGAGATTGATATGGGCGCTCATGATGTAGGCAAGTAGAAATCTATATATCGAAAAAGGAAGGCAGCACCTTGTGTTTTCAACAGGTCCAAACAAACACCACCTGCTATAGTGAGTGGTCAAGCGCCCCAGTGATCCACAGCATCACCCAATACGCATAAGGTAACGATTTGGTACATCGCAATTGGGAAGAGCCAGCGCTACATCATGAACTTCTCGATAGTGCTACAGATCCTGCTACTCTCCATCCCAAAAATCACCGCTAAAGAGAGCGTCATAGATGAAGGTGAGGAAAAACGGTACTTGGCCATCAGGGAAAGACACTCTTTCGTGAAGGACGAAGCAGTCGTCTGCACGAAACGCAGAATACTGTAAATAATGAGATCTGCAAATGCAGAGAATAGACTGGAAAGGTAGCGAAGCAGAAGGGTGTCAACGATCTCTCCTGGATCTGGTAATGATAACGCTACAGAATATGCATAGAAGGTACCGATTGTGCGTATGGTTGGCCTAGTTGACCAAGATTCGGTGCGGAGAACGAATAATCAGAGCAGCACTAGTACTGCTTGTGCTCGATGAGCGTGCTTTCCGAGACATATGACTATACGAATCACACCGCATTCTCATCGAAGCTGATGGATATCACTGAGTTGGACAAGGAAAGATCGGCATCCTCCTGCTATTCCCAGTCAATGTGCCACCAGCCTACCAACGCTATTTTAAGGTTATCTCACGAATGCAAGTTAAAACAATGTCCCGTTTCTGCTTGCTTCGTAGAAAGGGGAAATACAGATAATCGTCTGCGTTTGACAGAATCTGCTAATGCAGATGTGGCAATTGTAGTGTATGATGGATTTGCTACCATGAGATGGTTCAAACGCCATGATGGAGGGGGGCGAGTGAGAAGGAGATAGAAGTTCGAGGAATATATCAAGACAATAGGGGCCTGCCGAGCATAGCATTTACAGATTCAGTAAACAAGAAGCGCCAGAGACCGCATACCACACTCACGCTCTGAAACCCGCCAACAACTTCCAGCTCTCAGGCTGGGGGCTCGTCATTCTTGTTCTGCTGCACAATACCATCAAATGCGTGTTACACAGGACAGTCCTGTATAATGAGCGCTTTGACGGACCCATCATACAGCACGGTCCTGTATGACAAATGCATCGTTAGAGACTCGAGAGCTGGCGACGAAGATGAACATGAAATGTGACACCTGCAGCGGCGCGGCGGAAAGCTATAGAGGATCTCACCAGATCTGCTGACGGTATGCCTTCTGTAAATTTCCTTTGACACGGCTGTAGTCGTTGATGAAATGCTGCAAGAGGACGCCATCCTGGACGAGAAATACGAGGCACACCAGCTGAGTGTGGGCAGTCGCGTCTTTCACTGATGATTGTCGGCCCGTCGCTCGTTCAATCAGCTGGTCGGCCGATCACTCGATTATCGTATAGGATACGAAAGCTGACACTGTCCTTGTAACTCCATTGTCATCTGGTGTTGAGTTTAGCCCATATGGGTAAAAATGAGCTTCCACGTCATCCAGTCGCGGCCCACGGGACCATAAAACCATTGTTATGGGCCTGCACAAAAAGGTGAATCGATGTCAAATTTGAGATTTTGTGGACTGAGCAGTGGAAAGCAGGGCGTTAAAGACTTACAATACAGCTTAAAGTAAGTAGTCAACGTGTCAGCGATGACAATATTGCTGGCAAAGCGTTTGACTTCGAAGTTCAACTGATGCGTTACATAAGCAGACTGGCCTTCTCTTCAACCTTCTGGGCAGTCTGCTTGGAACGGTTTGTATTCGCTGCATGGTCGATTTTCCATTCACACGTGACATTGACTATGTCCATATTTCGTAGCTTTTCCGGACTTGAAGGTCCTGGCAGTGAAGGATGCGCTCGTCATTAATGTTTTTATGAGAACGCAGCATGCACTGTCCTCCCAATTTCGTTGGGTGAGACTCTGAAACACTCAGCTCTTCCTCTGTTCTGATTGTAGGATATGCTAATCATGTGTTTTTTTTTCCCGCCAGCGTCTGTTTCATGGTGTGACTGACGACAACAAGTTTGAAAGCCTCCGTTCAATCAAAAGAACAGATCCCCCAATCGTAACTCTCGGGCAGTGTTCAACACTCATATCGTAAGAACTGGGATAGTTAGCATGAAGGAGGAGGGATTTGCAAGTTTTATCTGCCTCCGAAAAATGGCTCGCGTTGAAGAGACAGACGTTTTCCATACACAAGACCGAGGTGAACGCATGGTAGATTGGTTGATTACCTTTTCGCCTCAAGGAACGAAGCAGTGCGATAGCGTGTCATCGGATGCGCGATCTCTCCATTGTTTATCTTCTCTATACTGTCGCTTTCGCGTACTGACGAAACATCACAAACGCCACCACAGCAAAGCGTTATCCCTCTCAAGGATATCACGAATATCGAACGTGTCAATCTTCAACTTTATTGTCTGCTCCTACACGAAGGTCACGGACGATTTGTTGTGGGGCATAGGAGGAGGAATAAGGTTGCTCTTTCTCCAGGGCGTCCGCCACAAACTCGAAGCCTTCGAACACTTTCCTGAAGAGATACGAAACGTAACCCCCCTCCCCAATCTCCTCCCATCCCCACTCACCCCTCTTTTCCCCCATCCAAACAAACACCACCTGATTTGTAGTGAGTGGTCGAGTGCCTCGGTAATCCACAGCATCACCCAATACGCATCAGGTAACGATTTGATACATCGCAATTGGGAAGAGCTAGCGCTACATGATGAACTTCTCGATAGTGCTACAGATCCTGCTACTCTTCTTCATCCCCAAAATCACCGCTAAAGAAACAATATATGCCCCAAATATAAATGCACATGTGAATCGTAAGTCCGATGCATAGCGTAACAAGCATGTCAGTGACATCGCACGCAATGCGCTGATGCCAATTGAGAATTACCGGTGTGGGCTCCGGAACGAATAGCCGCGGCGGTGTCAGCAGAAAGACCTGAGGTTCTTTGACTGGACGCTCAGTGATCTCCCGGCTGGGCCAGCGTAGAGTCATAGGATGGTCGTAAACGACCTTCCTCCACCCTTCGGTCTCTGCCCGTCTCTTCTTCTCTGCATGAATAAACAAGCAGTAGCTTAAATAATCTTCCGGGTCAATCTTCGTGCAGCCAAATTCGGTGAGCTCCCAAGAAGGAGTGCGAGATTTCTCGATTTTCATTTCCTCGAGAAATTCGCGCTCGAGAAGATCTTCCATGTCCCGAAAGAAGCCAGGGTATGTAGTCAGGCAGTCTTCATATACGGAGATGTCGTCAGCATCATTCGAAAGAAACTCTGTGAAGGGGTCTGTGTTCTGGAAACAGTAACGCAATTAGCGCGAGAAGGGGGGTCAAATATCATTCGTACATTGACAACAAGACAGGAGCGCAATGCACCCTTAGCGGGGGATTTGGGAGATCTGAGCCGTCGTCTGGTACCAAAGTACGTTGGCGAGTCATCGAAGCGGACCATCTGTGCAGAACGAATCAGCGAACCGTCGGCTATAGTCAAAGAGCAACAATTACTTTCGGGCTGGTACATTCCCCCTCGGTCGGAGACCCGACGAGTGTCATAGACGAAGGTGAGGAAAGATGAAGAAGTACTTCGTCATTAGGGGAAGATTTTCTCTTTCGTAAAGGGCGAAGCAATCGTCTCCACGAAAACGCGGATGAGCTCGAGGGACGCAATACTAGCGCCATGGAGCCCAATGAAGTTGTATTTTTAAACTTCGGAACGGTAATTCTGAGGATGGGGCGGGAGGATGCTTTCGGGGAGGTGAGGGACTTCATGATGATACCAAAGTTCCAAGACCAAATCGATAGCTGGAAGATAAGCTGGGGAAAGCGAAAGCTTGATCACCAATGAAGTAGAGGTAGTAAGAGCGACAGGAAGGATTGCTCACCTGCAAAAGACGGGGTGCGTCGATATAATAAATAAACTGTCCGCTGGGGATGCAGATTGCTAGAGACACAAGGCAGGATAAGCAAGTGAAGGTGGAGAGGGTCCGGAGAATGCACGCATACCGTCCCCTCTCTATTTATCCTGCCGTCTCCCTCACAGCTGTGGATCATATCTCTGTGGACCAACTGTGGCCAGAATTCTGCATTGTATACGGATTTAAGACACCGGCCTCGCCCGGCTGAGAGTCTGTATGAATTAAGGATCGTCTAGGTCATATGTGAAGTGTGAAGCGTGAAACTGTGGACGAACACCCAATCTTATCGGGGTTTGCCTGAAGCACGTTTTGATGGGGACAATGCAAGGGGCGATTGCCGACTCCGAGTGGCACCAGAGAGTTTGCCGAGTACATATTTCCTTCAGTGAGAAGGACCGACATCTTCGTTCGTCTTAAGTCTGTGGTTTGTCTGTATTTCCTGTAGATCCCAGAGGTGTCGATGCTCTCAGTGAGTACGATTCGGCATTGAGAAAGCGGTGACATCCCAATGATTGTATCGGGGAACTGTCTACAATGCATCTGCTCGCCTTTGAACACACAGATGAGATTCTATCCTGGTGCCAGCATAGGCAAAGTCAGTAGCAAGTCAGTAGGCTACAATCTAAGACAAATCAGACGTGACTACTCTAGAGAAGCGCACGTCGGAGTTTTAAGCGCGATGTCTGTGGTCCACGGTGGTATGCTGTTGAATCTGCACAAATATTATTTGTGTCGCCCCCAAAAAAAATGTGTCGCCCCGAAATAATATCATAATATCATGTCGCCCCCCAAAGCAAAGTGTGATTCCAAAAAACATGCTGTTGAATTTGCACAAATATTATTTATGTCGCCCCGAAACAACATGTGTGCCCCCAAAAAATAAAAGTGCTGTTGGATCTGCACAAACATCTTTGCACAAATGCAACAGCACTTTTGTTTTTGGTTAGACCTTGGAAAACGGAAGATCGTCGTTCCTTCTTACATTGTAATACATGACACGCTACCAACTGCTAGTACACTGTAACATCATCTTCCTTCGCTACACCCTCACCACCTTCTGAACCCACCAAACAACAACAGTAACCCCCAAACTCCACAGATGAGAACACCTCTTGCGCGGATGGTATGCTCGAGTTGACTCATCCAAGCATGCTGCATCACTCTGAATCCCTGTGAGTCGCCAGCCATCCACCCTGTAAAAATCATGTTAAGCAAATTATACGAAGTACGAAGGATATGCTTACGCTGAAGACACTGTCATGGTGCTGCCAGTCAAGTAGGTAGACAGGACGATCCTTGTCTTCTGCATGCTCAGCAACAGCAACCGACACCAGAGCAATTTCCACAGGAGTAACTCTGCGAGAAGCGGCACGGTGTTTTGGTACACAGGGTGCCTCCAACCCTCCTTCAGCCCCTGCAAGTTCTGAGCCAGTAGTATCCACAAGCTTTCCCACAAATTCCTTCTTGATGTCAGCGAGCGTTTTGTCGAACGTAGCCGCCGATTCACTACCCATGTTTGATTTGATGATACTCTCGATCAATTCGGAAGGAATGGGAATCATCCCGCGAACTACGGATCCCGTCTCACGACGAACAGCACATGCTTTACAAGGGGAATGGTCTGGGCGTGCGAAGACTGTGGTGGTACCTACGAGCTGCGGGGCCGAATGAGCATTCCCTTTATGGTGGAGCTGGAATGAGTAGGCGCGGTTGTACGCATACTCTGGAAGCTTCACGTGCACAACGAATGTGCGGTAGTTAGGAATAACGGTATGGTCAGCTGGCACGGCAGGATCATCCTGGTTTGGAACAGGTAAGTGCTTCCAAGCGTGCGACGTGACCTGTTTCGCCTTGGTTTGCGGATCAAAACCGTAGTAGGTTGCGACCTTCTTGCGTGCTGCGGCGCGCTCTTCGGATGATGTGGCAGCTTGATTGACTTTAATGCCCACAAATTCGGGGTACGAATAATCTGTTTGAAGTAAGCTTATGTTATCCAGCAGATAAGATTGCTACTTACACTTCGGGTAGGCTTCTTCATGCAAAAATCGAGCCTGAGAGGAGGTCCAGTAGTCTCCTTGTTCCGTTCGGAATGGTTGGAGTGGCCCATCGGGAAGGAGTTGTTCGTTGTAAACTTGTGCATATGTACCGCGTGCCTAAGGGACAACTATTGAGTACTTGTGCCAGGACGTCGTCCAGCTCCATCCCACACCTGTGTCCAAGGGTATTGTTCCCCGTCGTGTTCATATCCGTTTTCCATCCAGTACTCGGTGTAGCACCATTCCCACAGAGCCACTTTTTGGATTCAGTCACGAGAGAACACCCTTGAACAACATCATACTTACAGAGTCTGTCCACATTCGCATGGTGAACTGAAGGAAAGCCAGGTAAGTAATGCATACAAGTAACTTGCGCCTGTTCACGTACGGTAAAAGATAGGATCGTAACCGGCCTATATAAAGATACAAGCTCAAGATTATTGTAGAGGATTAGAAAAGGAGTTGCTCACGTAGTCTGGGTAACTCTGCAAGTTTGGTTAACAAAGATCAACAGCATCATTCACACGCAAGCATTTACTACTAACCATTTGTCCGTTTCCACCCTAAGTCATCGCTAGAGTAAGCAGGGGTCAAAGTTGGAAAATGTATTCACCCACAATTAAATTATGAACAGTGTCGTGCACACCTTCAAGCGACCCTTGGTTAACGAAGTCCATCTCTCGTTTCGACTCCGCGGTGTGATTAGAAAAGTCGTCCCAACTATCAACATGAGTCAATACATGATACTGGCAGAAGCTAAGACGCACGTCAACGCGGGATTTTCGTCGTCATTGAACACAAAGAGATGCGCAACTCTGCGTCTCAGATCCTTTGCGCCGGCTTTGAACGTCCTGGGAAAATCAAAATCAGCACCACCTCGTGCAACATGTCCTCATCGATCCTTACTTTTGTAACAGGTCTATGTGGCTGCCATCAGGGTCCGGAGTACTAGCAGCGTAGCGGTACGTCCTCTGCCACTTGGAGAAATATGCCACTTGATCTGTCTACCGACCATATTTGAGCAAGTTCCGCAGCATCAAAAGGAAAGGTATCGTACCGAGTCATCCACCTCGTCGGTAAAGTCGGATGGGATTCCCCCGACGTAGGAGAAAAATGAGAGCGGATTGTTAACGATTTGTTTTTTACCTCCAGCAGCCATGATTTCCACTTTGTCTTCATACAGAACAGGGGGAAGGCCATTCTCAGCTACTTCCTTTTCGGCCCAGTCCCAGTAGCTGGGTCTGACGTTGAGTCTGGATCACTATTGGGAATGACATAGCACGCACGGAAAGCGCAATTCCTTGGCAGCCTTTACCCACACTCCACGTTCATTCGGGTTATTAGCTTCAATGTCGTTAGCCAATTGTTCTGCGACATTTCCGATAGATTGCTGCAGAACAACGGAATGAATTGAGCAGCATGTCAGTCACGATCATGTGTTGAGCATACCTCAATAAGCATGACATATGGGCGGTGCCAAGTAGGAAAAACAACGGCACCATGGCTGAAGAAAGGTTTCAGAATCAATAGAGTGAGAGGGTGTACACCAGCTTACGTGCAATAACCTGTCGCAAACAACATGGTCAGACTTAGTGGGACTACGATACAAACGACTGGCATACCTCCGAATCTAGAAGGAACGGGGTTGGTATCTTTCTTATCCGTGGCGCTATAGTCAGCTGAGGCATCCTTGTTGCGGTCGCCAGCCCATTCAACGTAAGGCCTGCCGTGAATTGACCCAATCTCCATGAATGTGGCTGCAGGCTCTTCGACAACTTGGAGAGCCTCGGGACGCTGCTGGACCGCGGTGAAAGCAAGGATGAACAATGCAAACTGGTAAGGATGGTCCTTCTCCAGCTCCTGGATAGAGAAGCGATCAAACACGCCTCCAGTGCCCTTGCGGCCAATCACGGGATAGTGGTATTCAGTACTCATTGTTGGAGTAGAATAGAGAGCGATAAAAATTAGGTACGACCTGGTGTTTCACAATCTCTTTAGAGCTGCATTTATATGTACACTGCAGGCGCCAAGACAGAGTGTACTTGCGTACAACAGTAGGTAAGCCACCGCCATGACCTGCGACTGCGACGGCGATTGGTAAACTTGGGTCTGTATTAGGGGTGCACCTATACAAACATTTCATAAAGAACGACGTCTAATTGATAGAGAATGGAACATGCCGTTCATCGGATTCCAGCAGCAAGCTACTGCGCAGCGCCCATGGGAATACCATAACCCTCTATGTGACCATCGTATCAGCAATGGATTTCCACTATTGTCGCTTCCGACCTGAAAACCCATGTAACAACCATCCGATGAAATGTAGGAACGACCTGTCTCCTACCTAATAGGGCAGCTCGCGTACTGTATGTAGGCCATTAGAGACCATTATGACACATCTGCATGTGAGCGCCGACATCACGGAAATGATGCGATGACCTTGATCTTGATCTTTGCCTCTGTCCTTGATCTCGGGCGCATGCAGGTCAGAACGGCATCAACCACCGCGGCAGATCAGGCTGTGCCCCAGATCAGCCACCTGTCTGAGCCATTGAGGCCTGCAGAATCTCATCGACCGCTCCACGTAAAGTCCGTCTGCGCACCTTCAGCACTAGTGGGTGCATACAAATGTAAGCTCGAAAGACGTGATAGAACACTAGGTCATACCTAAACGACCCCAATCAGAAGGATGAACAAAGAACGATCCTTTTGATTCTTGAATCATTGATGCCGCCGATTCGAATGATGGAGGGTGAAGCCGCATTGCCGAGAATGCGTTTGGACGGGATCCAGCGCCGTAATGCAGGCGGAACCTTGCTTGCAATGAAAGAGCTAAACCAGCTTAACAAGGATTTTTTAAAACGGTGATTGAGGGCAATTGCCAATAAGGCTCGGTTCGGAACTGCGGAAGGAGATAGACCCTACCTTGACCCTGCAGGTTCTTTTCGCGATAGATTAGCAGCAAACACAGCTAGCGGCAACCCCGCGTATTGCATTCTTCACCCCCGCCTACACCGAAGAGAGCTACTAAATGAGGAGGAAGAGCTTCGGTCGCATTGAGAACAGAGGTTGAAATGTTGAAGAGTCACGGCGGTGAAGTTAGGAACGACTGCCGTCCGACGTCAATACCGGTACATAGTGACACCGTTGTCACATCTGGGGTCTCTGGCTTGCATCCTAGCGCCACAGAAAAAAATTGCAAATGCTGGCATCGAGATACGCCCAAAATTCAAGAGGCCGAATTATGGACAGGCCTCAGGAACAGGCTCCAAGGATACGGGGAATACGTTAGTATTACATTGCTCACGAGGTCTCTTTAAAAAAACGGTGCTGCTTAACAGCGGGAAGTGCCAGGTTTGCGAAAGATGCTAAGGACGCCAAGAATTAATTTGATCAGGTGTGTTCCTTTCCTACCTGTAAGTGGCTAAGCTCATTACGCCACTGCCAGCATCATTGTTTGCGGGGTAATTGATCTACGGATTGGTACTTACCCATCTTCATGTATTCCTGCATTCGTGAGGCATTGTGTACTCCTTCAAACTCCACAGCGTTTGGCCAGAAGCACAGAAGACAGTCACTTTACTGGTAAGCGTTATACGTCCTGACTATGCGTTATTCTTCGCTGAATTTTGTAACTATTGCTGTAGCGTCTGCGTCGGAGGTGCAGGCCGCACCATTGCGCTCGCCAATGTGCCAGATCCTACATTTTTTCCCTGAAGGTACGTGTGCTGGAAGTCTTTGGAAGTGTGCTCGGGCTTTTTGAATTGATCGGTGGGTAAATGAACCAGCTTTCCGCGTAATTTGCTAACCTGATGGAAGTTGCCATCTGATGATTGGAAACGCAAATGAATCCATTCCAAGACAGACCCGCTGCAGTGCACACCACTTCAATACATGAATGGATGAGTTGAGTACCATGTCGATTGAGGGGCAGCGACCAGGAGAGCCATTCTGAAGTGGCTAAACTAGTCGCGACCTTTCTCTGACAGGGTCTTCCTTCACCCTCCTCTTTGCATTGCAAATGATGCCATAGGTGGGAATTATTATTATATGCTCTGCAATGGCGCGGTGGTGTCATCAATATGATTTGGGGTTCCTCGATGGACGCTCAGCGATTTCCCGGCTGGGTCAGCATAAATTTGATGGCTGAGATATTACTATGCCCGATTGTGAGGCGCATTCTCAATGACACGTCCGTCACTTTGTCAATACTTTCGGTGGTGATCTACTTACCTAAACATGTCAACCACAATCTTTCAAATAAGCGGGTCTATTATGCAGGTTTTCGGTCTTCGATACGACATACTGCTTTAGGTGATGTCAAGAGCTACGAAGTCTCTGGTCAGGCACGCAAATGGAAGGGCCATGCTTCACTTCTATGAACATACTTGCTCTTCACAGTGAAAAGAAACTGTCAGGTGCGTCCTCACTCACCCCTCTATCTTCTCATACAACCTATAGCTTTCAACACTAATCAGGGTTTGTAGGAGTTATGTCTTCCCTCGTAAAGCTTGTTGCATCACAGTTTAGCCTGAAAGAAGTCTTGCGCCGCTGATGTTCGTCCCTAGCATATCCTGCTACTCGCTTTTACTTTATTAGGTGCGACGTCTTATATTGAAGGTGTTCTCTAGCATAGACAGATGGTTATGCACACAGCGACTGGGCTGCTGTGCTGGTAGAGTTTTTACTGTCAAGATACGCGGGATGTTGCAGTGCGTTTATGTTGACAAGATTTCTTGGCTTTGGAACACGTGACGAGTACCAGTCGCTTCTCTCGTGATACTGATAGAGAGTAACTCTGAGTATGTCGAGGCTTGCTCGATATAGATGCACTAATAAGACATCGGTGCTCCTGACATTATGAACCAGAAGGGTAAGAACTCACAGTAAGCCCGGGTTGTGGAGATCCCCACTGTGCGAACGTCACAGACATTGGCAGCCACGGGACTCATGGTTATCAGAAGCTTTAAATACCCCAAGATTCATGCGCATGACTGTTCACACTCTCACCTGGGTTCTTATCATCGATCAGTCAAATCCCAACAGGACAATGAACGGAAAGGTTTACGACGAGAAAATGGAAAGGACTCTTCCCGGCTCCATCCCCCTCCACCGACGGCACTTTGTCCCCAGAGGTTTCCGGGCTGCAACCTCGAATCACTGAAAGCGGTACGGCACGCATTGATCGACAACCACACCAAATATCACATCTTCTGGAACGACATAAAGTTCCACAAGTGAGTGTATGGAAGAACACGCTAACTGATAACTTACGGTATCTCTGCCTAGCCACGTTACCCATCGAGCGCTTGCGATATATGCGTTAGGAGGGAGTGGCACCTTGATTGAAACGTTCTACAAGCAAGATGTTAAAGTTCAGAGAGCTGCTTTCACGTCGCCTGAGCCCATCACAGCACAGAATTTCGTTGAGCATCTCAATGACGAAAAGTAAGCAAATGCTTACCTTAAATGGCCTGACTTTGGTATCCTGAATATTCGGAATCAACAGCTACTATCAAGCATATACCACTTTCTTTTCCGAAGCCATTGAAGAGAAGGGTGCCTCCGCGACTTTGGAGGAATTCATCTTTTCCGAGCAGTACAACTTTCAGCCTGGAAGAGATGCGGCAAGCCAACCGGAAATGTTGTGCCGATTCGTAGATGCAGTTATGCACCCATTGATTCAGTCTGGACATGGCGTCGAGTTTGGCTTAAAAGGCATGCTTGCCGAAGGTAAGTCACATTTGGTTTAAGAGAGGAAGAAACGCCACTTACTCCCACTGAACTGAGTTAGGGCTTGCGTTGGCGGCCGTGCATGGCGTTCATGCCCCGGGATTCTTGCCACGGTCAATGTTTGTCGCCCAGCCCGGCGATGACATTGATGGCGTGAGGAACGGTTTTGCGTCATTGGTGCTCGATGGCCAGTCCTCTGCTACAAATCTCAAGTCAGCAAGTGGGCAGGCAACCCACGCCTTCTCAATTCTTGCTCGCATTCTCAAGGACCCCGGCCTTGCGTCGGCAGGCCCACGCCTGCCCTTCGGGCAATATCCTGACACACTCGTAACTCGCGGAGACAAAATCCGCGAGCATGTTCAGAGTTGGACGATAGATATCTCCAAACCCGGAGAGATCGAACGCAAGATGGAAGAGTGTATTTGGACCTCCTCCGTGATATATGCTATCGGAGGATGGAGAAATGGCTTCACTGCCGATTTTTTCCTGTGAGCATCGATTGGGATCCAGAGGTTCGATACTTACAGATACTACATAGGATGCATATGGTCACTTCAAGTATATTCCTCCCTTCACTCATCGCATACCTGTCTCCTCGAGCACAAGTCCTCCTTCTCCGTGCATACCTCACAAGCGCTGTTACGTGGTGGGTGACCCGCGGTCGCCCCTCCTTGAATTTCAAGTCATTCTTTGAGTCCACGTCCACGGTGCCGAATCCTCCGAACAGCCCCGCTGTCCCACCAGCAGAACACATCCTAGCAGAGGACGCACAGACACCGAACCCATTCCTTCCTCTCATCCAATCATCCATAGCACACCCTAGCGACCATCACCCCAAGATTCAACGAGCTTTCGCACACTTCTCTACCATCTATGGGGCCCGACCCAAAGGATACTTTGCTGGCACTGAACTAGATGGGGCAGAAGAACTTGACGGCTCATTATTCGTGCGAGCAGCCGTGCAGACTGCAGATTACATGGGATGGGCGAGAGAAGGGGAAGAAGCGAAAGGATGGTGTCTCGAAGGGTTCTACGTGTAAGTGGTGAGGCAAATTGGAGCAAAGCGGTTGTTACCTGTTCGAAGAGAGTATGAGGATTAGGTCAAGACGAATACTACTCACATTCCTTCATGCGTCATATTCGGGGGACATGGACGATTGCGATAATTGTTCAGAACAGAATCAGTGATACATTACAACCCGAAAAACCTGCGGGATCGTACGTAAGGTGAGGAATACGAGAGTCTATGACAAGTCCGTGAGGTGCCCAAAGCAATGTAACGATTACAAATCATAACCTTGGCTAGGTGCCTGGGGATATTCGTGGTGCGGTGCAGACGGAGCGGAATCAACCCCGTCAGAGTGACTGGTCCTTGTCATAGAAGTCAAGGATTGATCTACATGAGGGAGAGCTTCAGTGCCTGCCACAACTGAGTCGTCGCCTGGGTAATTCCCAGCAGGTGGAGAATATCCTTGAGCGGGCACTCCACCGAAGTCGTATTTGGGAGGGCGATCGATATTATTGTAGGCAGGAAGCATATCTTTCCCATCCCAATCTGGATCATCAGGCCCTCCAAATCTGCGCCCGGCAGCATCAGTATCTGCAGCATTCACTCTGCGATTAGGACGATAAACCGATGGCGGAGGGGCAAGAGGCATCGGATAAGAGGGTTGGTATGAAGAACTGAATGCATTGTCTCCAGGAGCCTGAGAGTTGTAGTAAGAACTTGATGACCCGATAGTGAAGAATTCCGCGACAGGTCGGTTTCTCCTTCGCAGAATGTATATCCTTGATAGAGATTAGTAAATATTTTCATTGCACCTCACGTGAATTCTCAAGACGCACCTGAGTGATACGAAAAAGAGCGCTATAACGACGGCAATAATGAAGTAAAGGTGTTGGAGAATGGACTGGTCGAACGGATACCAAGAATTCAGGTTAGCTCTCTAGAAACCGATAAGTCGATGACAGCTGACCTTGTTACTCTGATTCCCGTTGGAGTCACCGAGCGAGCGACCCAAGAGCGCTATGGAAGCGCTTGAGGGAATGAAAGTCATCTGAAGAGGCTGCTAGTCGACTTCACACTCGTTTGCGCAGCATTTTACTGGCCGGGCTCCAGCAGCATGTGAACGAGGTTTTATTTTCGTCGAAGGGATAGTCTCATATACTTAGACTAAGACTTCACGCCACAGAAACCAAAGATACCATAATGCCATGCACGTGAGTGCTTGTACCCTGCAATGGGAACCCGCAATGTATAGCACTTGTGAGTATGGACAATAATGACTTGGATGAGCTCCTCATTACCGCTCTCGTCGACGTCAAGGGCCACCCCGGTCATTACAATGGCTGGCTCCCGTTTCTTTCCAAAATCTCCTCCCTCGTCTAATTTTTCGTTCCCGACTCAGAAAGGTTCAGGGGATCCGACTCGGGCGTCTGTTGTTCATCTTTTGGCTAGAGCTCATTCCCTTCCCTGTTCAGCAGCTTCTCAGGCTTTCATGCAGCTTGTACAGCCTGCTGCGAGGTTTCAGTTAGCTCTTGATTTGTTGTTGCCTCTCCTTACCTCACCCGCTGATGTCAGTTGAGTTCTTTCGACAGTGATCAATGTTCTTGTTACTGACCTCTTACTGTTCTGCTGTGATGTGCCAGCTCGCACAACGCATCCCGGTTTCATTCATTCTTTATTCCATGTATGCTCCTTATCCGATCTCTCTCAATCCCTTCAAGTCTGTCTTGTATGCTACATTCGTTAAGGAGAGAGAACTCGCCATAAAAGTTTCTGCTGAGGGCGGGTTCAGCGACAGGGAGCAATTGGTTTGGGTTCTCTGGAAGATCCTGAAGGGTGATGGTAATGATGTGAATCCAAGTCTTGTCGCACCTTTTTCTTTGGCTTACAGTTGTCCAGATTGGTCCATATTCTCCCAGTACATTGACAAAATCCCCACTGCCCCCGGAGTTGAGGGCTTCAAGCCTGTTTTTGGATGAAGAAACTTTCATGGAAGCAAATGACCCGTAAGTAGCAACTTCGCTCTTGGCGATCTTTCTATATCCGAATTCGTCAGTGATCATTCCGTTGCCAAATCCACGATCACGGCAGGTGAACAAAAGCAATTTGCCGAGAGATATGCTTCCAAGGATTTGCCACCATCAGTCCCGCAGGCCACGGAGACCAAGATTACACCACAAGAAGATCAAGAAAATGAACGCATTGCTCAAGCAATGAAACTTCTACTCGCAGCTCGTGATCGAACACTCACACTCACAGAACAACGGGTAAGCATTGCAAACGAAACAATGTGACATTTATTCTAATAAACTATCCTGGCAGACTTTGACGCCTTTAATACCCCGCCTGACCTCTCCCACGATGATAACTTCCGTGGACCTACCGCCCATCGTTTCGTATAATCCTAACCTAGCTTACCAGCTTGTCGTCGCTTTACTGACGGCACTTCCTAATAACCTTGCACAAGGTATCATCTGTATATCTGGATGCCCTGACGTTACTCCCTCCAACACTCCCATCATTTGACCTCCTTGGGCGCCTTCTTCGTGATACGTCAGCTATTCTAGATTATTCAACCGGTGGCAAAACTACGATAGCAGACACCGTACGTTCCGAGGTCCTGGGACGCTTTATTCATGAGAGTATCAAGTGGCTCGATAATGCCGAGAGAGAAGAACGCGAGGGGCTCGTCAGTGATGACAGATTTGCGAAGGGAGTTCAAAATGTTGGTCTCACATACCCCTCGAAGCACACCACCTTACTTTTTTTGCAGCTCTGTCGTTTCTACGCCTCATTGCTCAAGTTCTCGATCGTGAATGCCGCTTCTGATGCAGACTCCACTGAAATGGCACACTTCACCTTGCGCAACTCTCGGTTCGAAGAGGCAAACGCTCTGTATTGCATCTTCGCATCGGGGAGGTTTTGACTCTTTCTACACCACTTTGATATAGCAAATTTTGTCTTACCCTACGCATGTTTTCATCTCGTTCCATGGTCGCACGTCATTACTTACCACATGCCTTTATGATTAGCTATATGTCCTGCAACTCATATGATCCCAGTTTATGTCATGTCTCATTCAGTCAATGTTCGCTGTTTGCATAGTGTTGTAACCTAGATGCACTTGCAGGTGTGTTTGAGGAAATCTAATTCAACGGTTCAACACTCATCTCAGTGATAGAATATGATCGATTTTCTTTTTCCTCGCATCCGTGGCCGGACCTGATCACTTCCACGTGCACCCCAGCTACTGAACAAGTCTGTTCAATATTCGTAATGCAGGGCAGTTCAACCTGTATTCACAAGGTTCTGTCCCATAGCAGGCTCAGCATGCCGTTAACGGTTCTGGGACATCCCCGCAGCCGGACCGAAACTTTGTTGCGACTTCCCAAAACGTCGAGTCGAGACGACGGCAGCTGCTATGTAAACCAAATGTACCATTTACCATCTCTTTAAGTCACCCCCCAATTGCACCCACCGAAACAAGTGACCCAGCTTTCAGATGAAAGATCCGGCGGCCAATATCAAGACGAAAGTCATCCTTGTTGGTATTGGGTAGCGTGTTCCGGTTGAACTGTCCCGAATAAGCTGACTCACTGACGCTGAAGAGGCGCTACATGTTCAGGGAAGACAACGCTGGCTAAGCACACGAAGGATATTCTTCCCAATAGTGTCATCGTTCACCAAGATGTGCGTATTGATCTTGATGTGTCACGTGTATACGACGAGGAATCGCTCACTCGTGAATACCAGGATTTCTATCTAGTGGGACTGACTTTAAATAGCGTCTGATCTGATGTACTTACTCGGGGATCCGTAGCCGGACGAGATGCTTCCTACCAAAAACTGGGACGCACCGAGCGCCATTGACTGGCCTCGAATGCGGAAGTTTCTATCAGATGTGAAGTCCACCGGCGGCATCCCACTCGACCATATCAGTTATGATATCCCGGATGATGGGAAAGATGTGCCTATAGATGGGAATAGGACAAAGGCCTGGAAGGCACGCTTTCAAGACCTCGAACAACGCTGTTTGGTTGTCGCCAATACCAAGGTAATTTGGGTGTTAGTTGATGGATTTATGTTATACTGGGACCAGGTCTGTAATCTCGCTTGATTAAACTCTCATTGCAGAGCTTATTCGGGACTGATCGCTTTCAGGATGTTATTCGTCAGCTGGATGTTTGCATGTTCTTACGTGTACCGGGGCAAGTACTAAAGGAGCGGCGTGAAGCACGCGATCGGCTAGGTACATCCTTCATAAATTAGCTGAGCTCGTCTTACTTGCGGTGTCCCTAAAACAGGTCGATTACCTTGGACTGATCCCGAAGGTTATTGGGATGATGTCTGCTATCCTGAGTATATTGTGACACATAAGGGCCTGTTCAAGGGTGAGGATGTTGAAAACGGCAAACCGAGTGAGGATCGAGTGAAAGGGTTGCTGGTGATTGAGTCTAAAGCCAAGGAGAGCATGGATATGATGGATATTGTAGAGGTCTGTTTAGAAAATCTTACTAGTACGGTGAGCGACCTGTGCACGGGACATTGATTGTGCGTGCATAATATTGAAACAGATTTTTAACACCTCCGAGTGTATAAGTTGCCACCTGCTCTCGATACCAAGGATTTCTCCAGCCGGGGCAGGGGAAATCTGCAGTACGCCGCTCTGGTAGTAAGTCGACGCTAAATAACATAGGCGAACGAGATTTCGGTGGTGTTGATCATACCATTGCACTACGCCAGTGACAGTGCGCATCGAAACATTATGAATAGCGAATAACCAAACACGTCCAAGTATGGGTCCAGGTGGGTGTATAGACAAACTGATGTGACAGTTTGGTCTTGAATCTCAGGCAGAGCACGCACAAAGTCACACATTTGTGTTCTTGCTGGTCAGTGATAAATGATCTATAACAATTGAACTTGAAGATGAGGGCGAAAGTGGGTATAGCTACTTACTCCGAGTCGTCGCCCCTGGGAGGCATCGGTATAGGCTTTAGTAGAATCAGAGGCCTGCCAAGCCTGAAGTCAGCTTTGATACATCATGCATAGCAAGTTCCTTACCAAGTTGGCAACATACCTCCCTCGTACGCCGATAAAATATTCTGCATCTGCATTATCCATCATGCATCACAGGGTGGCATCCACATTCCACCTGAACTGGCTGCATAACACCTTCATGTGATATGTATGATATCTTGCGCCTCTACTGTCCGATCCGCTCTGAAGGCGATAGGTAAGTCCATTTATTCAAGTGATCTCCGTTTTTCTTCAGCGGGTCGAGTAAAGCGTAGCTACAGGACACACATAGCAGCATCTTACGAAGATGATATAACTAGCAAATTTGCCACCCGCCTATTCTCACTCTCACTGTGTCACAAGGGCATAAATTTGCAAACGCTATATTAATGTGATCTCCAACTTTGCATGTAGAGTGCCATCGCAGTCCACATGCATAGTATTGCTAACAACACAGTCAGTTCAAGTCGTAAGGAGAACAACCACAGAATATGCTTGGTTGGTAGATTCACCGCTCAAACAACACGTGCAAATGGATCGAGATGGGGAAGCGTAAGGGAGAAGACTTACTCGTCCATCAACCAATCGTAAAACGACCAATATCATCTTATGGAACCTGGTACCTTGGATCTGCGTAGCCGACAGGGGAAGAGGGGTCATGGGACCGTCAGTTTGCCTTGGCTTCGAATGTGTTTAAACCTACCCCTCAGGAACAAGCACCCGACGTCCAATATGATACGAACGTAGCTGTTAAGGTGGACTTGTGCGACCGGGTTTCCCTCCGTGGGCCTCGATCATGAATTCAGCTTCTGTGTGAGCTGGAAAACTATGCTGAGAAAGACTGAACCCGGTGCGCCACTACCCCTCAGTCCCTATGTAAAATTGCCACAACTATATACGTCCTGCAGGGATGGTGTCATCATATAAACAAGACTATACCACATACCCATCGCAACAAATTCTATGCCTACCTCCTCTGTAATCCGCAGGCGTTTCTGGAACATCCTGATGCGGAGACAAGCGACGAACTTGTTCTTGCACAGTCCATCCCCTTCATCATGCACATCAATCTCATCCGACGGACAACCCAAAAAGCGTCTCAAAGACTCGTCTTTGGCTGATTGGTGTACAATAAATTAGTTGACACTTTCGTGTGGGCATTATAGAACACTTACGATTAACGACACGTCCCAAATTCAGCGCCGTGAACAATTCGTGATTACTAGTGGTCATGCATGCAAGACGCATGTCGGAGGTACAAACAGACGAAAATTGGGAAATCCATCTATAAAACGCCACAAATGCATCGCTATGGTGATTCACGATTGCCCAATACAACGCGGTGTGACCTTTGATGTTGGGCGTCTGCAAAATATCGGAAAAATCTGTAGCTGTGAGAGCAGCAGCGCAAGCGTTGACATTTTGGACGACAGGGGAAGGCATGAAATCGGGTGCGGAGACAATATCACGAATGCGAGATAGAGTAGAAGTATGATCCGGTTTGCTTCGTGGGAAGGAAAATACAGATGACGGTCGTCTGCATTGGAATAACGCAGACATAGAAGTTGCAGGAGGTGCGCTCACCGACTTATTATCATCCTCGGACTTGGTAGCCATTGCAAGGGGAATTAGATCCACATAGCTAGGTCCTGTCAAATATTTCTTGCTTGCTCCAAGGCTAAGAATAAGCAGGAAATGACCAGCCGATAGCAAGTGCCAACCTTCTGCCAAAGAATACAGGGGTTGTGATGAAGAAAACGATAGAGACGACCCACGACCACAGGCCTTTGACTTCGGTGCGCTTCGTATGAGGGATGCCTGTAAACACAGAATTTTGTAAGGCCATGCCAATATTTCGATGGTTTCGATCAGACCATCAGTGCAGGGCGCGCAACACCAATGAGTTTACAGGATATGTATACAACAGGCTTCCATTGCAATTTGGTACGCATCAAAACAATTATGAACAGCGAATACCGAGACCGTGAAAGTGGGGGGTAGTATCGGGTACATAGATAGTGGGAATGAACAAAAGAAGGTGGGTGTAGAGACAAACCGACGTATCAAGCTGAGTAAGTCCAGAACCCTGACGAGACTGACACTGACAGCACGAAATTTCATGATGATGGTTTGGTCTTGAATCTTAGGAGAGGGGCAAGACCAGATGGCGCGCAAGCCTTCTTCAAGAACTCGTGCTGCACAGAAACATTAGAGATGGGACTGATGGAACGGACAACCTCTACGTACCTGTAGGAGCTCACTCGAATTGGCGCGACTTTTGACATCGACACACAGGCATACGCTCAAGAAGTTCTTCAGTTCCTTGCTGAGCGCCTCAGGCTTCTTCAGCGTTGGCGTCCCGTTCGTCGCAATCAGGTATAGTGCCTTTAATGGTTCCTCATCAAGGTAAGGAGGCTCGTTCTCGATCATCTCAATTGCCATGATGCCGAGCGACCAGATGTCAACTTTGGCACCGTATTCCTTCTGTTTCACGACCTCCGGTGCCATCCAATATGGAGTACCAACCATTGTCGCACGCTTGGACTTCTGATCGGTAAGTTTGGCACAGAAACCGAAGTCGGCTGTGCATCAATGATCAGAGACCAGTGTAGGATTGCAAAAAAAAGCGCACTAATTTTAACGCGGCCCTGCGCATCAAGAAGGACATTATCGGATTTGATATCGCGGTGAATGATGGATTGGCTGTGTAAATGACACAGACCCTTGCATGTCTAGCAGCGTATGAGCATCACCCACGGATCATGCCGAATAAAAGGTACGCACTTCCAAACTTATGCTCGAAATCTGATCCTCTTCCAGTGTATTGTTTTCTATGATGTCCGTGAGGGCACCGCCCTCCATGTACTCCATGACGACCCAGAGTTCATTGTTCTTCACGAGGTACGATTCAAGGAAGTTGACAATGTTGGGGTGTTGGGATTCCTTCATAACGAGAATTTCGTTCACGATGAGTTCCTTGCGTGGCTGGTGTGAGAGGTCCATTTCTTTGATCGCAACCTTCTTGTTTGTGGCAAGCGTTTTCGCAACATACACATGTCCAGAAGCGCTGTGAATGGCTTATCAATATTCGCCAGCAGCTAATGCAATGAAAGCCTCACCCCTGCCCGACTTTCTTAATCTTGCTGTACAAGGTCTTCGGATCATCATCACACACAACACTCCGGAGCTTCTCCATGATCTGCGCCTCGGTCATCGTGCTGATCCGCTTCTCCTTCTCCTTGGGTTTCTTCTGCAGCGCCTCTGCAGCAGCAGCAATAGCTGGATCCTCGCCCTCGGGTGCAGTGACAGTAACATCCGGTGCCGGTAGCTCCTTCTTTTTCATCGTCTGCAAGGGCTTTACAGGTGGAGGACCAGCAATGGCTCCGGTAGGTCCTGCCACAGGCTCAGTCGCAGGCTCAGAAGTAGCTGGGGCAGACTTGGAAGGCACCAAGGGAGGTCGATCGGCGGCGGCAGCAGCAGCAGCCTGCTGCTCCTTCAATTTCTGTCGCTCACGTTCACGCTCTTCGCGCCGCTGACGTTCTCTTTCCCGTTGCTCCCGTTCCTTCCGCTCTCGCTCTTGCTGCCCGATAGTATCCGTGCCCTCATTTCGCCTTGGGCCTTGATCCAGTGAAGGTTTCCCAGCCCCTTGCTCACGGGCCTGTGCTCGCGCACGGAGATCGGCGGTTGACGGTGTGTGGTCAGGTACAGGGGGCTTGGGAACGGCAGGTGGGGGTCGTGTGGCTGTCAACAAGGGTCGCGGAGGGGCGGGTCGCGAGGCCTGCAGGGAGGTTGAAGCTTGCAACATTGGAGGAATTGCGGGTCGCGAAGGTGCGGCGGGGGAGGCGGGGGAAATGGTGTTTGCGTGCTGGGCATGTGAGCCATTCACGAGCTCAGCGGCACGGGCAGCGGCTAGGGCAGTTGTTGAGAGCCCGTTGGTTCCCGTCTCTGCTGGAGCGGAATCCTGCCGCTTGCGTGCTGTGTCGAGCGGGGATGTGATCTTGGGGAGATTAGATCCGCCGAGACCTGTGCCGCCAAATCGTGCAGGCGCATCTACACCATATGGTGAAAGAGTACTACTTGTCATGGTGGAGCCGACAAGGGTGGATGCTGCAGATGTCGCAGAGGCGGATCGTGACATCGAACCCATACCCATTTCCTCCAACTCGCGCTTCTGGTGATCAGTGTAAAATTCGAGTACGTCGAGGACGGCTTGAGGATCTTTAGCGTAATCTTCACGAGTGATTGCAGACTTTGTAAGTAGCTTGCTCCATTGTTCGGGCATTCCCTAGTAACACGGACGTGAGCGAGACAAAGCATATGACAATTTCAATGGAATTCGAGGAGATGCACGCACAGTGAAAGCACCTGATACGGGGTCAAATCCAACGTGGACCTTGTGCACAAAGTTGGTCGGGTTGCTAAAGCCCATCAAGGGGCTACGAGAGTATACATCGTCTTGCCATCCATAAAGCTCTTCGTCATTTTTGAGGGCGAGGTGATATCGTTTGTCCTTGGTCTCGAGGAGTAGACAATAAGGCTTGAGATCGACACGTTCGATATTCGTGATATCCTTGAGAGGGATGACGCTCTGCTGTGGTGATGTCTGTGATGGTCTGTCAGTATACGAAAGCGAAGATATGGAGAAGAAAAACAATGGAGAGATCGTGTATCCAATGACATGCTATTGCAGTGCCTCGATCGTTCCTCGAGGCGAAAAGCCAATTAGCCAATCTACCATGCGCTCACCTCGGTTTTGTGTATGGAAAGCGTCTGTTCCTTCAACACGAGCCATTTTCGGAGAAATATAAAACTTGCAAATCCCTCCTCTTTCATGCTAACCATCCCAGTTCTTACGACATGAGTGTTGAGCACTGCCTGAGAGTTGCGATTGGGCGATCCGCCTATCCCAGTGTAATCAGTCGAGTATGACGAGCCAGAGGAAAAGTTTGCGTTGTAGCCTGAACTTTGCAGAGCATTATGAGAAAATATTGGGCCCTCTGGTCCTCTTCGAACAGGTGCTTGGGGTGCAGGTCGAGAAGGCGTCAGATTCGTTGCTGTTACTTGGTTGAAGGCCATGGCAAATGCAAAAAGATTAACTGAGGCAAAGACAGGGAAGAGAATTGGGGTTCCTCGCTGGCGAGGAGGGCGAAATGTATAATGTCGTGGTCGTTCGTGATGATGGCGGGACTATGTACGACGTCCAGCAAAAGCTAATGTCCCTCTGATTGAACGGAGGCTTTCAAACTTGATACCCCAAAAATGGCGAACTTGGACCACAACACTGCCCGGATCTGTCCGCCAGGAAACACGAGTATCGCCACGGTAACCTGTGACAAGTATTGATCCTTCAAGGGTACTATGGTACAATTGAAGATCGCTCAGACACCGCATAATTATGTATGAGAAATGACATCTACTATAAGGCTCATTTCCGCCCTTGGGGCAGTTCAACGTCTATTATCCGATTCGCAGCCGCTGATCATCGAGACTCGAAAATGGAATCAACAAGGATGCAGTGCGCCGAAGGTATTCCAATCAGATGAAGGGAGACAGCAAGAACATATGAACAGACAAGTATGATAAACTACTTGTTTTTAGTCATCCTGTGGAATTTCAGTACATGCCTTCCCGACGAGAACCGTCTAAAACTCACTTATAGGTAAAACGCTTTTTAGTGTGCGCGAATTCACCAAGCTTATGGCCGACCATATCCTGCGTTATCGTCACCGGGACATAGTCTTTACCGTTATGCACCATGAAACGGATGCTGCCGAAAAAAATCACAATTAGCATATCGTACAAGTTAGAACAGAGGAAGAGTTGAGTATTTCAGAGTCTCACCCGACGAAATTTGGGAGGATAGTGGATGCGCGGGCCTGCGTTCTTATAGGAACATTGTTGACGAGTGCATCCTTCAGGTTCGGAAAGGCTACGAAGTATGGACCTGGGTAATGACATGGACACATATGAATGGAAAATCGATTATGCGGTGAATACAAGACAAACCTTTCCAAGCAGACCGCCCAGACCGAAGAATGAGCGAAGGTTGCATTACCAGTAGAAGAGAAGAACTATTGAAAGTCGAAACAGTCTGCTTATGTAACGCAACAATTGGACTTAAACGTAAAGCGCTTGCCATTGAAATTCATCGGCCCCTTCCCACATTTAGGGGAAGTCAAAGTAGACGATTTCAGCTGTTTTCAGCACTGTAAAGGGTCCAAAAACTCTGACAACCCCCGCTTTCATCTGTTTTCGAGAGGGAGCGCGCAGCGCCAAACGTGAACTGTCTCCTAAACCTCGTCATTAATTCCTGCATCTTAGCAGTCCTAAGCCTGTCTCCCTAAACCTCTTGATCCCTAAACTTTTTCATTAACATCGTCATTCCTAAACCTTACCCAATGCAAGCCTTGCTATATAATTATTCGATAGCGACATATAGCTTGTACAATTGATTACATAATTCTATTTTTTTTAGCGACATATGATATTACAAATCCAATACTAGATACTTAATGAATCATATCTAAGTTATTAAATATAGAGGGTTAGGAAATGGTGTATTCATGGTAAGGTTTAGTTCTCTCACTGATGATGACACTATCAATTGCAGGACGTATATGACTTTGCACGTCTTTATGCTGCTGTCTGACGGGAAGTGGCACATTGGGTTTGGTCTTTCTCAGCCCACCCTTCCGGCATATACAGATGCTACGCTTCTGATCGAGGCACTCGAAGGAACACCTGGCTGTGCAGCCCCACCTGAAGGGCTGCAATTCCGAGATACGCTCGACTCAGATATGCTTGCACCTAAGGGGTGGGTTGAAATTTGACTCGTTCACAACCATGGTGTGTTGATGGTTGTACCATTCATATGGGATTATGATTTTTTCTCCCGTTAAAGAATGCGCGAAAGATACGAGGGTGAGATTCACTGGGAATATTACTAGGCAATGAGCGACTAGCTGATGGACAGGTAAGTCTTTCCCCCTGCGCTTCCTCAGCTCAATCCGTGTCACGAGATGCATTTGGGGCGGTGATTTGCCATATTTTGTAACCCCTCTCTTTAAACGACTTGAACTGACTATTTTGTTGTAAGCGTGGTCAACGGTGCACCCGCACCAGCCTCCTCGCTATAGCCATACCAGCCACCCCTACCAACCTTCTAAACCGCACTAAACAACAATACTAACCTAATGCTCCACAGATGTATCAACGATAGGAGGACAATGAGGTTACTTCCTCGATTTATTCGTGCTCATGAAGTGGCTCAAAAGCACACTAGTGTCCTGCAGAATGGCGGAGTTCGAGTGTCCTCGACACTAGCCCTTTCTTCCTTCTCAATGATCTTCAACTTGGAACATGTACGTACAAGTACTGCGATATCGTCGTGGCCTGAGTTTTCTCGTGTATTCATGCAAAAACGTTCGCAGGTTGAGTAACATGAGTGTTGTTTATCAATTCACCTGGAAGGTTTTCTAATGTTACCCAAGAGTCTGGTCGAGGCAGCAGGAAACTTTCTATAGAAGTAAGCATACTATCGACCAACTCCGCAAAAAGAACTGCATATCGCGCGATCAACCACTGTACCAACGCACAAGCAGAAGCACAACTCACTGTCCCAACATGTTCAGTTTTCCAAGCTCGTCGGCAGATGGTTAATGACAGTAATATACTGCAGAGCCGTGACTCTATTGGTACAAGGCACAAAGGGTGAGTCGTGCGGTTGAAACCTAGATGCAAGGCGAACGACTCGTACTTACACGCGGCTGACACTCCAGACCTTCGCAGCATGGTTTGGTGCCTAGGCGCGAGCAAATCCCGTTTCCAGGGAAGCATTCGGCGGCACTGACAGACATAGATATTGTTGAAGCAGCGACAACAGCGAGGAGAAATGAGAAATGCATAGCTTGTGCTAGGTGATATGAGATAGGGATCTCGAATAATAGCTCTGATACTGGCAGTAGGAAGACGGTTTGTTTTTAGGTCCTAGAATTTTTTTGCGCGAAGTAGACAGGGTCAGCGGACAAACAATCTAGAACATCTAGACTACAACAGTAACTTTAACACAAGCTGATCTCTAGTAAGGAGTTCACCTTGTAGGCAATACCGAGAATACCGTCCAAATGTTAATCACGGTTGAACGTACAGTCGTGCAGAAGGCAGAGGTGGAATCTGAGACCTAGCGTTTTCGTGGCGTACTAGTCCAGGAAAGTCCCAGCGACGGTGAGGTCACTAGATATATCAGGAAGCGTAGGCCCTCCGTGAAAGATTATAGAAAAATCCATCTGCCTCGGACCTATACAAATGCAAAGAAGTACTAGAGTCGCCTTTTGTTAACGGACATGCCCTTAGAGCTGGGTAGAGGGCATCAATATTTGCCCAAACCACGACCAGTGAATACGGATGAATCTGACCATTTGGCATGGGGTCGAGCCATAGTGGAGAATTCGACAAAAAAAGGCCGTCCGCAATGAGGGAGAGTAGTGCTATTTTGATGTAATGAGGTAGCATGCAAGAAACCCGTTCTCCCAACAACACCCCAAACCTAAATTAAATGAAAACACACACCTCAAATGCTTCGCATAGGTCTGGAGCCCCTGAAGGTTCGCGCCGCGCAGGAGATGTTCTCGTATACCAATGTATCTGTAGAATTTGGGTCAGTATTAATATTGTTGTAGGCTAATGCGCGCACACCATCCTGCGTCCAGAACGCCAAGTACAGATGCACCATACGAAAGCCTCAACCTCTGAAACCTCTCCTCCACCTCAAACACAAATAGAAAACAACCCAACTAAAATTCTCACTACTCGGGACTCAAGTGACACGTATGAGTAGTTGTTGATTGAGACTGTGTGATGTGAGTAGTGGTTCGAAGCTTGGACGTTTGAACGTTCAAAACCTCTATGGCTGACATCTCGCGTTGAGTGGATTGAGTACGTTGAGTGCATCGAGTGCGTCGAGTGGTGCGTTGAGTGGTGCTGAGTCAAGGGTGGAGAAGACCTGAGGTTGGGAAGAACGACAACCTCGTCAGAAACCAGAATAGAGCCCTAGTATACGCTTCCCCTACGCAATAAAAGACGCACTGATATCGACCTCTTTTCACACTAGTACTGCAAAGGCACGTCGACGGCGATCTATCCGGCGGATTCCGGTATCCCCAAACCTTCTTCCTCTTCTAATTTCTGGCTCGAGATTTGAGTGCACTTTGAAGCATGGTCAGTCGTAAATTCAAATGCGCTATGTCAGCCACTCACAGCTCATCACAGTCACCTCCAGCGGTCCTCACAAACGCCCATTTCACTCTTAGCATTACCAAAGTTCTTTTCAACATGTCGAGCAGGATTGACTAATAATGGGGTTTATAGAATCTTTTTGATTGGGCACAATTTTCAACGCCTAACCACAGACATTATGTGACTCTATCACCCTCAGTCTCCGCTCTTGCTTGCTAACTTCCAAGCAGATGTTACCCATCGAGAGAAGCAATCCACTGTGAGTATCTGTTTCGTGTCTGTTTCTGCCACTAAGCTCACGACGATGGGTACAGATTGAGACGGGGTTGGAGCCGTTCCTCCGCAGCACATCCATTTGAACGTCCCAGTAGACTGTCTTTGTCGCAGTTCGGAAGCAGTGGAGCAAGTCATGATGTTTGCGACTAACTTGAAATCGTCCCGGTCACCTTACTCGTAAGTCTGTATTCTTGTTACACGTTGCCGTATACTTATAATCTTCCTTGAGGGAATGAACCTCTTTGCAGATAATCACAGACCTCTCTGAAGCCTCGATCGATAACAATGCTAAGCTAACATCGAACACTGCAGAGTCCACAGAATCTCTGCTGCCCCCTCTTGCATAGGGTGCAACAGTTTGCAGAAGACATTCTATGGGCTCTATCACTCTCTGTCCCGCTCTTGTCCGCCAAGTCGAACCCGACCCTTCAGTACGTCGAATACCAACGCTGTCCCTCGGAGAAGTGACCCACCGTGAGTTCCTCTTTCATGTCTGCTTCGACTAAACAAGGTCATAGATTGAGGCGAGTGATAGAGTGAAGCTTTACATACTCGTGAAACCTATACGTAATTGTATTGGTCCGTGTAGGGAGTCAAAGCTTCAAGCGAGGTCCACAGAATCCCTTCCGTTTTGACGCTTAATCAAATATGCAGCGCCTGGCAGAAGATATTTTGTGGACTCCATCACCCTCAGTGTTCGCTCCTGCCTGCCAAGTCGAACGCGTTCCTTCCAACCTGCGAGTACTTCAAAACCTCGTGAGTCTCGAGCTTGGCGGTAAGAGCCCCAGTATCATTATTCGATGATGCAGACCTGGAGCAGACCGTGAAGTGGGTGGCGCACGGTATATTGTATGTCGCATGCATGATTGTCGAGCCTTGCCGACCCCTCCAGCATGAATCATGGGCAGGCGTACACCGCAAGTTCCCGCATATTTGCTGGAGCCGGGATATACGATGAATTTTTGAAAAAGTTCACTGCACATGCCTTGTCTTTGAAAGTTGGCGACCCATTTTCACGAGACACATACTAAGGTCCACAAGTATCGTAGACGTAATTTGAAACGAGCATCCGCAGTAAGTCACTTTTGCTTACTTTCTTTCAGCGAATCAGATCTGGTAAAGAGGACGGCGCAATCGTTTATTTCGGTGGAGAACGCCACGGAGACCAGGGCTACTTTATTCTATTTTCATGGAATGCAAACCGACTATGGAAGAGATATTCGGTCCTGTAGCCGCAGTCATCAAGTTCACCACGGAGAAGGGTAAGCGCATCCTTTTAAGGATGTATCTAAGTCCTGACAAAGTAGCGTTGAGGCCATTGAACAGGTACATGATATTCTTTATGGCCTTGCTTGCTCCGTCTTCACTAGGGACATAGACAAATTCGAGTCGCGCATAGTATCGAAGCTGGTACCGCATGGGTGAGCATGAGCATGTTAGCGTCATGACTGCTGATGACGTGGTGGATGTAGATCAATTGTCACAACATTCACGAGGTGAGCGTGCCGTTCGGTGGTTTAAAACAGTCAGGCTTATTCCGTCGCCCTCCATGGCAGTAGTATCACGACCCTTGAGCTCGTCTGCATTCTAGAAGGTTGCTCTATTACCGATAATTATTCCTCGCGGTGCTTGTCGGGTTTTAGGCGACTCATGACTATAACCGACGGTTTGTTGATTTATTCTGAGCAGATGAGGCTCCGGTTCGATGACTCGCCATACGTATTTCACGCCCAACGACGGATCACAAAGAGTGCTTCTGTCTTATTGTAAACGTATAAGTATGTGATATCACCTATCGCGCTAATTGCCGTTATTGTTTTGACGTTGACGACTTCTCTGTATTCGAGAACTGCCTTTCTACCTACACTGGCTTCTTCCAGGACTTACCAGGGTAGGTCTAGTGTAGGGGGCAAAACTACTTTGGGCTGAGTTGCGACCAAGTGCCGGCACAACTGGCACTTGGCGCACTGGCAAAACTTGGCAAAACTCCCAGACACGTTGCATCAACGTTGCATAATACTACTGATTATTACATTGACGAGACACCCTTCATAGTCAACAGAGACTGCACATCCCAAGACAAACCATCCTCCGAGTCAGATCCCACCTGCTGAACATCATCTTCGAAAGCTGCGGGGACAATTCCTTTGTCAACCTGTTCCAGCTCGGCGATGTCGTACACCTTTCCCGCCAAGATCTCGTACCCTTCCAGCTGGGGATCAATAGCTGATGGGAATTCCGCAATGCGTTGCTCAATCTCGTCAAAGGCAGCTGCAACCTCATCCTCCGTTAAGCTTTCCGGCCCCTCCAGCTCGTCGTCAACCTGGCTTCGGCTTACCAGTGGAGGTGTCCATGTGAAATTTGCATTGAGATCTGTCGCCAGGTCCGTGTCAACATATTTAGACTTAAGCTTAGCTGGGCTCACCGAAACAGCTTGATATTTGCAGTTTCCCGCTGCACAGGAGTCAATGTGTGATCAACGTAATTATCGAGTGTACCCGCGCCAGCCTTCCGTTTTTTGATGACAGTGCTTGTCCCAACATCAGATTGAGAATTACCGTTACCGTTTGTTTCAGCAACATCCGAAGCTGGTGTGTCATGGAAAAGTGGTGCTTCTGTCTGGCCAATTGCAGCACCTTTCTGCATTAAGACCTTGCGAGCTTCATTGCGAATGGATGATGGAGCATCTGGGCACTCTTTTGGGTTTGTGAGATGTAAGAGACAGCGGTTATCTCGGCCTTCGATGCGTTGACCACTGCCACTGGTTGGAGTGCAATAGTTGCACTTCCAGAATTTTCAGCGAGACTTGTTATTGACTCGCTCGAGTTCCGTGAAGTTATCGGTGATGATTCTAGCTCGTAGGCGGCCACCAGGATGCTTTTCGTCAGACATTTTAAGATCTCCGAAGTGCAGGGAGTATGGACGACGGGATGGTACAAACGATACAGTTCAACACACGGTAAAAACATAGAGATAGACTTAGTATTACTGATCTGAGCGGCAGATTGATGGCGAATCTGTGAAGAAAATCTGTCACAGATTGTCTGAGTCGGCCTCTACCTACTACTAGATGTGCCAAGTTTTGCCACGGACCCCTCCGAGTTCGCCGGCAATTGCCAGAGTGGCAAAACTGGGGCGGCGCAATGGCGCAGTATTGCCAACAACACTAGGTAGGTCACTAAATGATGTAAGGGATATTATGTGCTTCCCGCCCACTTGGCTCCAAAACAATTATAGCATCCTTCATGCCAGAGTCCTGGCAACCAGAGACAAAAGAACCTGATCACGAGAGGGTTCAACGCATATCAGAGAGAACGGCTTCATAAATTTCTTCGCAACTTCATTCCCCACAGGTGTTTAATTGTCAACCGCGTTGCGAGCGAGCTTCGCTGACTGTTCGTCGATTCCAAGGGAACCCGGAGAATTATTGAACAATAAGAATGCAAGTACCGGCATGCGATAAATGAAAAACGAATTTGATTGGCCAACTACTTTGTAGCTTATATAATCGGACCTTCTGGTCCTTTTGTCTCATTCCCCGGATTCGTCGTCGACATGACTTGCTCTGTTCACGGCACCAGGCCTATCATTTTCCATGGACAATAGTGTGGTTCTTCTGCCAGCTTCATATCGGCAGGTCAATCCACGAACATTCCATGGCGCGCTAATTGTCAGTTTCCTGATTCCTTCAAAATTGCCAGTGGCCATCCCAGTTGGAAACGAATAAATACACGAGAGCTGAGAGGAGGTTTCCCCCCCAATCCGAGTCCTCTTAAAAGCTATCAGAGCTTCCTCAGCTTTACAAGTATCTCCAACTTCGATTCACTCTTCTACCCTTCCATTAAGCCATGGATTTGTTCTTCACCTTAGCTGCCTTCTCCTCGGCACCCGTCTCTTCTGAAGAGACGCAAGTACCAGTTGACCAGGAGCACTACGGCAATGCCAACTGTTACTGCGTCATCGCATGATTACGTCTGGTATGTTTTTTTCTCCCCTCCTTGTTGCCCATGACTGAGTCTGTCGTTACAGAATATATCGCCTGATCACCATAGCATCTCTCGTAACTGCGTTATCATCACTGTATCAGCACCATCATCATTTTACACCATTCAGCAGCCAGGTTGCGCTGGTCATCCAACCAGTCTTCGTTCAAGACATTCACCTCATTCTGTCACAGCTGACGGGCGTTATATACTGTATTGGTATGGGTTATTTATGGGTTATAGTGGACAGTGGTAGTTGCGTCCGGCACGCTAAGGCTGCTGGGGATCACCACGCTGGAATTTTGTACATTCACATATCACCGACCACCGGCTACACTTTCCTTAACCTTGCGTTATACGTACTCGAGCTCTGCGAAACCTCCCAATATCTGCACTGTGTGCATCTTGATTCAAATAACGATGTGTGATTTAGCTATAACTTTTCAAGTGCGCAAACTGGCTCGGCAAATCATCACGATAAGTATGAACTCCGAGTCGTTGATACTATCATTCCGGATAATCTGCAACTTTTTCAGCAAATCTTTCGTAGCTCGTCAACCACTTCATATTATCTTCCACGAATTTAGAGTGTTGTGGATTCGTACCACCTCTATATAGATCTGATTTTTGCTCATTTTTAGGACGTTATGGTGTGGATGAAAGCCGAGAAAATTCAAGGTCTGACTGCTCCAGCTTCGACTGGCTCGAGAGTTGGTGACACGATCTATTAGGTTGGGCTGGACCGAGCGTTAGCTCGGGATGGGACGCAAGCAGGGAGCCGCTCACCCAACATTGTAGTGATGTGCGCGGCCCGGCTTGAAGCCGTGGGCCGAGCCAAGCCGGGCCAAAGTGACGGCCTGACCATGGCTTTAGCCCGGCTTGGAATTCTGGAAAGCCAAAGTCGGCGGCCTGAGCCGCGGCTCTGTAGGGTTTGCAGAGGCAGCGAAACCGTTCCGAACCCTGAATCGATTATCATCACCATGATCAGTATTTCATTCCCAGTGAAAGCAAGAGTGAGATACCCGCGAGTCTGAGCAACGATCCTTGTAAACGTCGCTGGCAGCGACGGTTGTTTGGCAAAGGCTTTGGATCCAAACAAACACTAAGGGTCACATCAAGAGTTTTCTTGCTAAGCACTTGCAATATCATGACTTTTGATTTATTTTTTCGGTCTCGTTTCTCCCGGTATCTAATGTGTTCATTCATGCGCTCGCGAAGGACCAGGCGATTACTACTAATGGTTGTTTTGCACTTGTCTGTGCTTCTCCGTGTATGTTTCCACTCGTTCGTACTTGTCTGTGCTTGTTGTCCCTGCTCGTCTGCGCCTGCCGCCACTAATTGTCGTATCTCCCTGCTTGTTTGTGTGTGCCGCGGGCCGCCGCATATTTATGCTTGTCTACCACGGTTTGCACTGATCTGAAACTGTCTGCACACATTTGTGCATTCTACCCAGCCAGTTCCCACTGGCCCATCACACTTCCCCTCCCACTGCACAGGTGAGTACTTCAAGTTCATATCTTAACCCATACTCGCAATTTTACATTTACAGTACTCGGGCCGCGGCTCAAGCCAGGGCCGAGCCAAAGCCAGCCGTCACTGGTGGCTTTGGCCTGGCCTGAATTTTTTGCAAGTCCAAGCCATCTGAAGCCAGGCCAAAGCCGCGGCTTTCGAGCCAAGCCGGGCCGGAACATCACTGCCAGTGACACCAACGTCACCTCTGCAAAATACTTTTTGATGGCGACGTCTGTTTGTAGGACGTGACTCTACATGGCCCGTCCGTGTCCAACAATTGAAGACCCTTCCCCACTAATTACGTGGCAGTCGGGGAATTTATGACGCATCAACCTAATTCAGCAAACCCAAACCTTCTTCCACTTCTATTCTGGCTCGAGAATGCTGAGTTTTGGCTGACCACTGCTAACAACACGTCTGGTGACGTCGACTTGTACACCACAAAAGCGCTAGGTCTCATATTTCACCTTTGCCTTCTGCATGACTGCACATTCAATCGTCATTGAGATGCAGACGGTATTCCCAACATTGCCCACAAGGGGAACTCCTTACGAGATGTTTGGAGTTCATACATTTGCAACCCACTTGTTCTACTAGACTGTTTATCCGCCGACCCTGTCACAGGTTCTGCCTGTACTTTCTGCCTGAAATCCGTCAGGCTAAACCATCCTGATAGAACTACCGAGTACTTGGCGAAATCAAAATTGTAGGACATAAAAGCAACCCGTCTTCCTACTGCCGATATCAGAGCTATTATTTGAGATCCCTATCTCATATCACCTAGCACAAGCCATGCGTTTCTCATTCCTCCTCACTATTGTTACTGCTTTGACGACATCTATGTCTGTCAGTGCCTTATGCAAGAAAAAAAACGCCAAGTGCTCGGGCACGCGCGACAAATCATGCTGCGATCCTTTTACTTGTGTACAGCGTGTGAGTACGACTCGTTCGCTTTGCATCCGGGATTCAAATTCATGACTCACCCTTTGCACCTTGTACTAATAGAATGATGTCGATGGTCCAGTGCCGCAATTTAGCTGCGGGTACATCAGGAAACAACCAATATCGTCGTAGGCACGGTGACAACTATATAGGCATATGTAGGCACCGTAGCGCTATGTAGGCACCCTTTAGGCTACATATAAGTATATAGCGCTATATAGCCTAAAGCCACGCTACATACAGCTACAGGAGTTATGACTGTGCTACAGGTAGCTACAGGATACTACAGGAGTTACCACCGTGCTACAGGTTACTACAGGCGCACCCATCCAGCATTTGCAGGTCTACTAAATATACAATAACATACTGGCTTCTAAATACTTGTCACAGACACACAAAACATCTCACCGTTGATGAAATCATTAAAATAAAAATCATTAGCTGCTTCATACGCATTCCCACTTATCAACCTCGGGTCCACTGACTGTCCCATCTTCGGTATCAGATGGCACGGCCGCACAATATTGTTGACATGAATCACCGCCGCATTGCGGTGGAATTGGCGGGTCGAGCGTGACACTTGTCACATTCGAGATGAAGGATCTGGTGCTCTGAAAGGTGTGAACCACTCTATGTAAGCGAGGGGTCTTGAGTATTCGCCAAACTGACGAGGGAGTGAGAATATAGCGCGAACTTGAGCCACTCGCACACCTACAGCAGACTATGATCAGATTGATGTGAAACCGAAACCAAATCAAACTTACCATCTAGAGTATGCAAGTGTGGAGTGCGAGGACCATTCAATATCAACGCCATATCAAATTGAGCTGGACAACCAGGCTTCTGTCCCGATGCAAGTCTCTCTGGCGTTGCTCTAATGCGCCTGGACATTGGTGCGTCGCTGACTTGAAAAGCAGGTGGTGTCACAATGATGACTTGACGAAAAATGTCAAAACAGTCCTGAATGCCTGATACTAGGGTGTTGTGTGGGAGATTTGTGCGAAGGAAAGATTGGAGAGCAGGAAGAAAATCAGTCGCACCATGTGCACCTACAATATTTGGAACAGATTGGTGTGGATGCACTGGGGTCTTGGCAAGGACATGGGTCACTTGAAACTGATCTGCGGGTGTTGCGCGAGCAATAGCAGCCTCTGCTTCTTCTGACCTCAAGTCCAAATCCAAATCCAAATCCAAATCCAAGTATGAGTCCACTGTGCAACCTGCAGGCTGTTGCAATAACCAATCAAGGTATGCACTGCGTAGGAAGACAGCTTCCTGGTGTTGAAGCCACAAAACCATCTGTTCCTCATAATCTTGTTTATTGCTAGCATGGTAAGCGTCCTTCACAAAGTCTATATGCAGGCACTCAGGAAGTTCTGTGTTAAAGCCATCAGCTGCACCAAATAATGAGATTGACTGGACGTAATGGGTGAGTTGGTGTAATTTGGGTATGTTGAAATGTTCACGTATCGTGAGTTCCTTGAGTACGTCTTTATTAGTGTGAAATCCTGCTAAGGCAGTCTGTAGGGCTTCCAGCGACTCAGCTGTGTGAGTTTGCAGCTGCACGTAATACGAGAAATCAAGAATTGAATGTGCCACCACCAAGACCCGACTGTCAGGCATAAATTAGTGACAAACTTTGCCATCTTCAAGACACGTCACACACATACCTAGGCACTGCTCCAGCGAGTAAGCCTATAAAAACTCGCTGCATTTCTTTATGCTCACTTCCTGTCCATTGCTTCACAGTTGATATACCTTTTTTGAAGTGCTGAAGTCCAGGATAATCTGGGATTGCCTTGAAATGTGTGTCCATCTCTTCCTCCCCGATAATTTTGAGACACCACTTAACGAGGTGATCCTTGAAGACACCTTTATGAATTTGGTGCAAAAGATCGGGTGTGAAACCCAGGAAAATGTCGGTGTGAGGCATATCAGCCCAGAATGGTTTATAGACGGCACGTAGCCCTTTCTCCTCGAATTCCGGTGGGTGCTGACCGTTCTTGCGCCTTTGCAAGATATCTTTTGTGGACTCAGGATCATGCATCACTGAGTCCAGTACCTCCCCTCGCTCATTCGCTGCCATGAGGCACTTTGGACAACAGTTTTCCTTACAACAAGCAACCAAACACTGCTCTGGAAAATCCGCGACGTACACAGCCAGAATCAGATAGACATGCCGGATCCACGAGTCTGCGCAGACCATATCCACACCATCATTTCCAGCAGTGATGAGAGGCTGGAGGAGCAGACCCATGCAATGATGGAAAAGTCTATATCCGGCCAGGGAGTGTGCATCAGCAGTAAAGCAGTCAAGCTTACCCGCAGGTAAGTACCCAATGAGCACAGTCACTCGTGCTGATGCCTGACGCCTTTTCACTTTGGCAATGTTGCCAATAGACATATAGACCGGCCAAGCCGACTTATCCCCTCGGAATTGGGACAACGATGTTTTGTCGGATGCTAGAATAATTGGAGCTATTGTGGCTCCATCGGGCAAAGCTTTCTGTGTGAGAGGTCGCCGGTTCGGTCAGTCCATTCCTTATTGCTCTCTTTGGCATAATCTTACCTGTTTCTCGCCCCACCAGTCCACCGTCCACATCTTGTCAATAATTCTATGCTCCCCTGCATGGTCTGAATAAGCTCTAGCAGGGGTGTAGGCCATATCCACCTTGAAAGAAGGGTTCTCGATCAGCTCCTTCACACATTCAACTGGATTGCGACTCCATAGTTCAACCTCTTCTTGCAACAACTCTCTGTTCTCATCCTGACGATTACCGTGCACAGTGACCTTCTTACAACTCCACGCTGGACCATGCGGAAGTTCATCTACCCTTTGCAAGAACGAGTGGTTATTGTGAAATGGAAGCTTCGAGCGCATTTGAGTCTGGTAACAGTATTAACAGTGAGTTCTAAATTTGACTAATGCTTGGAACGTACTATGGGTAGTTTCAGAAATTCATTGGTCTGTGTTTGACCGAGGTTCTTGACAAGCCATTGGGCTAGACCCCACTCTTCGCTGGTGAGTCGTCTATTTAGTATATGCTTTGCAATGCTGATCAAACACTCACACATTCTCAAAGGGTGCCCATGGATCTTCGCCCTCTTCCTGTTGCTCTCTTCTATACCTTTCAAACATGGTCTCCCCTTCACGCAGTGCCCAGCCCATGCCTGGCTGAGGTTTGAAGTACTGGCCATTATTGGTGAGTGATGATGCATCCTCATCATCGACTTCTTTGACAGTGACCCGACAAATTTTGCTGATTGTAGGGTTGTAGTCCATATCTGGAGACGAGTGCAGGTGAACATGGCCTTCATGGGAGAAGTCGACATCTGGTACGTCCAAGTTCTCTGCATCAGCCTCTTCAATCATTAACATCCACTCCCTTCGGCATTCAGGACGCCCCACGATGTGTCTCTTGAGTCCCTCGGCCGTAGTTGTTACCTTCCCACAAAACATACATTGAGGCATCACTGGTTTGTTGTCGCCAACTTCAACCATTCACTTCCTAATACCCTTTTTTTCAGCACGTAGTGACCAATGCCGAAACTTCCAACAGAATTGCAATCACGGACACAGTTCATAATGGTGTGCCACCTTTCATGCCCTTTGACCCATTACTCACCTTTCTTTTGTAGTGTTCGATCACAGATGCAGTTCATGATGCTTCCTTTTGACCACGTTCTTTTGACCGTACCTCTCGTCAACTCTGTTGATGACGATTTCTCTCGTCTTGCGATTTCTCCCTTTGCAACTCTTGTCTTGTCAATTTGGCCCCAAGTTCATACTTTACATGGCTTTTCTTTTACTCGGGTTCACTTGTCTTTTGCTCGGTTTGGCTTTTCTTTGGCTTGTGTACTACCATTCATCTCATATCCTCACACCTCGCTACCTGTAGAGTTCACACCTAGACACGCCTCGCCGCCTCGCATGGCTAGTTCATGCCTGGCAAGGCTTTTCTTTTGCTCGGTTTGCTTGTTTTTTTTTGCCTTGGTTACCTTTCATCTCATACCCTCACACCTCGCTACCTGTAGAGTTCACGCATCACTGCCTCACATGGCTAGTTCATGCCTTACATGGCTTTTCTTTTACTCGGTCGGTTTGCTCGCTGTTCACGCCTTGCAACGCTTTTCTTTTGCTCGGTTTGCTTGTTTTGTTTGCCTTGGTTACCATTTGTTTCATACCCTCGCGCCTCGCCACCTCGCATGGCCTTTCTTTTGCTCGGTTTTCTTTTATCTTTCCTTTGCAAATGTAGAGTTTACGCTTTTCCGCCTCGCATGGCTAGTTCACGCCTCACATGGCTTTTCTTTTGCTTGTTTTGCTTGTGCTTGTTTTTTTTCGGCCTTTCAGCCTTGGTTACCATTCATCTCATACCCGTGCACCTCCTTTCATCCCAACTGACCACTGACATAACTAACTGACTAAACTAGGGTAGTAATACCATGAGCTGCAAGTAGGAGTTCCAATAGTTGAACTTTGCGTGCTTCTTGGCGCCGCTGCTTCTCCGTGTTCCAGAGCCTAACTATCAACTCTCGGACATATGATTGGTGAGTCACAGGCCCTTGGATGCGGTCAGAGAGCTGCACTTTGCATGCCTCATCACAATGCCTAATCTCTGCATCCCAACGTTCTAGGACAAGGGTTCGCAGGTAAGTTTGAGAAGTATTGATGGGTCCTGGTGTCTGATGAAACGGTTGCAATGGATAATGGAACTCGGGAGGACTGGGAGGACGTGGACCTTCCCTAGCCCGTCCTGGAGCCATGACCACATGGAAGGGTCAACTTGGAGGAGGTACAAGCCTACTGGATGGTCAGCATGGGTCATGGCAGTTCTCGGAGCAACCCACTGTGGGCTGACTTCAAGTTTGCTTTCTTTTGGTTTGCTGAATGGCGAGAAGACCAAACTGCTGCGTTAGTTAATGTGTGACGAGTCTCAGACATGCCAGCCACTTACTATTTGGGCATTGAGATTGGTAGTATCTGCTGTAGGTGTTAAAAGTATATCATTTTCTATTATTTTCTCACTCTTTTTATGCTGTTGCATTGATATTGCTTGGTCAGATGGAAACTCTAACTTTGAAATCAACAAAACTCAAAGCAGTCTGTTGATCGGACACCATGGCAAGGGTATTTAAAGGCACATTTTCCTGTTTTTATTTGGCTGCAGGCTACCCAGAATCATGGCAGGAAAACTCGCCTCTCGAAGGGGTTCCCAAAACACAATCTGGCAGGCCCAAGATGACCTATGTGCACAGATGGTATCCACAGCCGGATGCACTGCAAGTGGTCGTCAACACCGCCCAACCAAAAAAGAGACCTATTGAAGTAAGTGATTCTGTGTTGTTGCTCAATGTGTGTTTGACTTACCTCTACTTAACAGTTTTAAAATCTCGTTGAGGACAAGACCGTAAAAAAGCCTCGGAAATCAAGGTAGATAAGCATAACTTAAAGGCGCTGCAGACGAAATACTGGATGAATCCTGAAGTATTTGATGATGAGCCTGCTGAGCTGCTCAGCAAGATTGACAGGGATGAAGATACCATGGTTGGGTTCTTATTCTTCCAGGCACTCGAGTGCTCACAACTACATAACAGGACTAGACTCTTGGATAGCATTAGAAAACCTCCCACGTGAATTCTGTGGCATTGATGAATGACATTCATCTTACTCAACATGCGAACATTTTTGCATGAACAGGCCGCGACGGCATCGAAGTACTTGTACATATATCATGTCCTTGAAGATCGATCAGAAGGATGAAGGGGCTAGTATTGAGGACACTTGAACTTCATCATTCTGCACTGGCAGGACACCAGTATGCTTTTGAGCCACTCGATGAACGCAAATAAATCGAGGAACATCTCAAACACGATATAAATCTGGACACATGACATATGTAACCTCATTGTCCTCCTGGCCTCGACACTCTGGCGTGATGCGCACATTCACACTGATCGGAGTAGTGGGTGCTCTTGGACTCAATCCAAATTGGCATCGACATGGGCAGCTGCAGTCTGGATCTACCTTGAGCTCTACTCCGTAATTGAAACGACGAGGAGACTAAAACAAGTGTCTACCACAGAGTAAACGCATATGCAAACCCAAGGGCTCGCACGAATTCTCCTACATATGAACAGCCGACCGTGTATTTAAACTCTACAAAGCATGATCAGCACCCATCCAAAAAAAAAACCAAAGAAGTAACTCACCTCCCACCTAGACAATGCCTCTTCATCACTCATAGTCAAAACCTACCACCCACCCCGGGTGGTCAATCAGCGTTCCCATCCCATAGCAAACCAAACAGGCAACACAGCAAAAAGAGGAAACACAACACAGCAAACACACGACACAACATAATAAAAGCAAGAAACGCAAACGCAGTTGATGAATAGCCTTGGCAGTTCCACGCATATCATAATGGTTCACAACTATGCATGATCGGAATCCGCTGTAGCTGTATGAGCCTGTGAACTGGTGTGTGTTGGTATCAGTAAGGGAAGAGGGAGGGGGATAGAGGGGGAACGAACCTTGCTCAAAATTAAAGGTCTACGTCTCCCATCTTGACATTCAACAAACTCGTGTGTCCTGTCATTGCAACTGTTAAGTCAGTCCAACCAACCCAAACTCACCTCAAAGCCATCCCCTCCCTCAAACTAGTCACCAAAAATTCATCCGCCAGTCAACAACACAAGATACTGCCTAAAAGTGACCTCTTGGATGTGGAGGAAGACGACGGGTTGGTAAGTGAGCGTGCTGAACAGGCTGTTGATGCGCGCTACGACATCTGAGACACCGCCTGCTGCTAGTTCATTGCTTTCGGTTGTTTGGAGGGCTACGTAAAGGAAGACCTGTTTTTTTTTGGGGGGGTGAGTGTTGGTAGGGATTGGAAGGGAGAGGGCATGGGGGGCATGGGATGGGGAAGGGGCGTACCTTTCCTTGATACTCTGGGTATTTCTTGAGGAAGTGTTCGAAAGCTTCGAGCTTATGACGGACGCCCTGTAAAGTTGACAAGTACAATCAGCTCCCTCTCCGTATCCCACCCACACCCCACTCCCAAAACCAAAAATGCACCTGAATCTCATCCAACTTATCCCTCCCTTATGAACTAAGGCGAGCGCAGGCGAGGAGAACGGGCTAGTAGAAATAACAAATCTCGGTCTCGTACAAAGGACTCTCGATTGACGAATCGTGTACCTAGTAGAAATAACAACTATGGGTTGTAAGTGTAACGTTCATCGGGAATAAGACAACGGTACTCACATCTCAGTCTCGTACAAAGGACTGAGATGCGTACATGTGGGACTCGTAGCTTTATAGTACGTAGGATAGAAACGAAAAATATATCATAGCATAGAAATGAGACATAGTAGAGTCGAGCCGACGTCAAGACGTAGCGCACTCGTACTCCTTTTACTTAAGCTCGCATACTCCTCTATCCGCGAGTCGTCTCTCCATTGGAGGACGTCTCGGACGGTTCGGACGGTTCGGATTCCAACAAATGTGCAACTTGAAGTTGATCAGACTCGGACAGTTGCAAAATTGTTGCTCATTCACAACTCGGATATTGCTCGGGCCCATCTCTACTTTACTTGCTACATGGGTGGCAATAGAAGATGTGCTTAGAGCTGCGGAGTTCATGATCTGGCAGTCAAAATTAACATGGTCGAAATTAACTTTTGCCGAAAATTTCTGCACTTGACGAAATGGTGTAGTGTGTCACACGTCACAGGTGGCGCCGAATCGAGTGAAATACTACAGTATTCTAGCTCGAGAATACTGAGTTTTGGCTGACCACTGCTAACGACACATCCGGTGACGTCTACTTGTACGCCACGAAAGCGCTAGGTCTCAGATTCCACCTTTGCCTTCTGCACGCATGCACATTCAATCGTCATTAGTGTACCAAATGGTCAAATTCATCCGTGGTCGTAGCTCGCGCAAATATTGATGCCCTCTACCCAGCTCTAAGGGTATCTGCATTGACAAAAGGCGACTCGAGTGCTCCTAGGTGCTTCTTGACATCTATGTGTATAGGTCCGAGGCAAATGGAATTTTCCATAATATTGCTCCCAGGGAGGGCCTATGCTTCTTGACATGTCCGCAGGTGAACTCCACTTTCCTGGACTAGTACACCACGAAAGCGCCAGGTCTCAGATCCCAATTTTGCCTTCTGCATGACTGCACATTCAATAGTCATTGAGATGCAAACGGTATTCCCAATATTTCCTACAAGGTGAGCTCCTTACGAGGTGTTTGAAGTTCATACGTTTGCAGCCCACTTGTCCTAGACTGACCGTCCGCCGACCCTGTCATAGGTTCTGCCTGTACTTTCTGCCTGAAATCCGTCAGGCTAAACCATCCTGATAGAACTACCGAGTACTTGGCGAAATCAAAAACCTAGGACATAAAAACAAGCCGTCTTCCTACTGCCAGTATCAGAGCTATTATTTGAGATCCCCACCCCATACCACCTAGCACAAGTCATGCGTTTCTCATTCCTGCTCGCTATTGTTACTACTTTGACAACATCTATATCTGTCAGTGCATCATGCAAGAAAGAAAACGCTGTGTGCTCGGGCTGGGGCGACGAATCATGCTGCCAACCTTCTCATTGTCTACAGAGTGTGAGTACGACTCGTTCGCTTTGCATCCGGGATTCAACCCCATGACTCACCCTTTGCACCTTGTACTAATAGGGTCATTACGAGGGCATCAATGGTCCAGTGGCGCAATATAACTGCGGGTAACGAGCTCGGAAGACTAAACATGTTGGCAGAGTGAGTCATGTGTGTGCTTCCGCGTTGGTACAGTGCTTGATCGCACGATATGCAGTTTTTTTGCGGAGTTGGTCGATAGTATGCTTACTTTTGCACAAAGTTTCCTGCTGGGTCGACTAGACTCTTGGATAACATTAGAAAACCTCCCGCGTGAATTCTGTGGCATTGATGAATGACACTCATCTTACTCCACTTGCGAACGATTTGGCATGAACAGGCCGCGACGACATCGAATACTTGTACATACATACATGTCCTTGAAGATCGATCAGAAGGATGAAGAGACTGGTGTCGAGGACACTCGAACTTCGTCATTTTGCACCGGCAGGACACCAGTATGCTTTTGAGCCACTTAATGAACGCGAATAAATCAAGGAACATCTCAAACACGATATAAATCTGGACACATGACATACGTAACCTCATCGTCCCCCTGTCCTCGACACTCTCGCATGATGCGCACATTCACACTGTGCGGAGTAGTGCGTGCTCTTGGACCCGATCGAAATTCGCATCGACATAGGCAGCTGCAGTCTGGATTAATGCCTATTACCTTGAGCTCTTACTGCTTCTCCTCGATAGTGCATATGCAGAATCCCGCTCTTGCATGTGCTCCCCGAATGGGTTCATCGTGTCGTTTTTCAGAGTACATAGTCCTGCAGAATCCAGATGTTAAGGTGGGCATTTGTGTCCAGTTGTGTCCCCACCCCACTAGCTGGATGTTATACTGCATCTACCTCAGCCTGCGCGGTCATATCATCTCGGACCTTGTCGGATCCCGGATTGCGAGCTATGTGAGTCATGTTTTGTAACGCGAACATGGGAGCATGGTCCGTAATTGAAACGACGACGATACTAAAACAAGTGTCTACCACAGAATAAACGCATATGCAAACCCAAGGGCTCGCACAATTCTCCTGTATACGAACAGCCGACCGTGTATTTAAACTCTACAATTGTAAACATTAGAATGATCGCAAACACAAAGACATTGATAGGTACAACATGACCGACGCACGATCTCTAAAGCAGCAGCATTACCACAGACTCACACTTAAAATTCACAAACCCGTCATTCAAAGATCCCCAACGCCATTCAAAAGCCCACCCCACCCCCTACGGACAATTCGCAAACATCCACAACACATCCGCCACACCCCCAGCATCTAATTTCCACTTCGCATCAGTCCCCTTCCCACTCGTCGAAACCGTCTCCGCATTATCCAATTCATTCAACCTCCTCAACAATTTCTCGTCTCCCCCAACAGCAAAAACGAACCCTGCTTCCCCTCCTACCCCCCCACCCATGTGCATGCCTGAGGGGAGGTCGGGTATGGATGTTGATGAGGAGCGAGGGGAGTAGGCTGGGCCGCCTGGGTGGAGGATTGCGCCTACAGCTGTGGAGCGGGAGATGTTGTTTGGGAGGACTAGGAAGGAGTTTGAGCCTGGGATTATGCGGAGTCCGTAGCGTTCGCCGAGGCTGGGGGTGAAGGAATTCGTTAGTTGTGATGAGAATTTGTCGGGCAGATAGGCACGTGCCTGTCAAAGATATGGTTCTGCGCTTCAGCAGCCTGACGTCTCGCCCACTGCCTATCCGAACAATCATCCGTCGGACCAGTCCAGAACCTCCATACAACAGACGCTTCGCGTTCTTCTACGAACGAACCCGGCGTCCTTTCCGTGAACTACCAAATCAAATCAGCCCATCACCCAAAAACACAAACACAAACAAAAACAAAACGGACGCACATAATTCAAAATCTCCACACAAAGCCCCTTCCAAGTCAAATTCAAATTCGCAACCATACTAATCCAAACTCCCCCCTTGCCCCCATTAACCGGAATCCTCACAAAACACCCATTCTCGGCCACGATCCCCACCCCCGGCACCTTCGCAGCAACCTTCTCAAGGCTCTTCACAGGTAACCCACTCAACAACCAAACCTCATTCCTCTTATTCCCACTAAACTTATTCAATATCTCAAGCGCTCCTTCAGGGGGAGTGAAAGGAGCAAGGAGTTCGGTACGGCTCATGTCGCGACGCCAGAGCGTGCCTTCGAAATCGAAGAGGAGGAGACGGCGAGGGGAGTGTTTGTAGCGGGGGAGGAGGAGGGTGGTGTTGAGGTAGGGGACGGAGGTGAGGTCTGTTTGGGTGGTGTGTTCGGTGTTGGCGTGGAGGCAGCGGGTGAGGAAGGAGGTTACGAAGGTTTGGGCTGTTTGGGTTACAACGTGGTTGTGGAGGTCCTGTTTGGGTTGGAATCGCGTGTTTTAAGGTGATGGGCGTGTGTTTAAGGTGCGCGAGGATGAGCGTTTAAGAAGGTGTGGGTTTGTGTTTGAGGTACGCGAGGATGAACGTTTAAGAAGATACGAGCGCATGTTTAATGATCGACGTGTTTGTGATGGGGGTGCGTTTAAAGTGATGGGCGCATATTTAATGATCACCGAGTATGAGTGGAGATGGGCGCGTATTCAATGGATAAAGAGCGTGTCAAAAGCATGATCAGCGCCCATCCAAAAAAAAACCAAAGAAGCAACTCACCTCCCACCTAGACAACGCCTCTTCATCACTCATAGTCAAAGCCTACCACCCACACCAAGTAATCAATCAGTATTCCATCCCATACCAAACCGAACACGCAACACAACAAAGGCAAGAAACACAACACAGCAAACACACGATACAACACAATAACAGCAAGAAACGCAAACGCACCTGATGAATAGCCTTGGCAGTCCCATGCGTATCATAAGGGTTCACAGCGATACATGATCGGAATCCGCTGTAGCTGTATGAGCCTGTGAACTGGGGCGTGTGTTAGTAAAGAGTGGAGGGGAGGGAGAGGGGACGAACTTCGCTCAAAATCAAAGGCCTATGTCTCCCATCTTGACATTCAACAAACTCGTGTGTCCTGCACAACCCAAAATCAGCGTCGGTCCAACCAACCCCACACCCCCAAACCCAAAACCCCCACCCAAACCCAAACTCACCTCAAAGCCATCCCCTCCCTCAAACTAGTCACCAAAAACGCATCCGCCACAGTCAACAGCGCCAAATACTGACTAAAAGTGACCTCTTGGGTGTGGAGGAAGACGACAGGTTGGTAGGTGAGCGTGCTGAAGAGGCTGTTGATGCGCGCTACGACGTCTGAGACGCCGCCTGCTGCTAGTTCGTTGCTTTCGGTTGTTTGGAGGGCTACTTGGAGAAGGAGGACCTGTTTTTTGGGGGGGTGAGTGTTGGTGGGGGTTGGAATGGGAAGGGCATGGGGGGCATGGGGATGGGATGGGGATGGGATGGGGAAGGGGCATACCTTTCCTTGATACTCTGGGTATTTCTTGAGGAAGAGTTCGAAAGCTTCGAGTTTATGACGAACGCCCTGCAAAGTTCACAAGCACAATCAACTCCCTCTCGATATCCCACCCACGCCCAAAAGCAAAAACGCACCTGAATCTCATCCAGCTTATCCCTCCCAACAACAATCATCATCCCCTTATACCTCTCCCTCAACAACCCCACCCAATAGCCAACATCGGGCTCGCGCCTGCGTTGACGGAGGGCGTTGACGTCTATGCCCATGGGGAAGACGCCGACGTCTACGAAGCGTCCGCGGCCTTCGCGGGCGCCACCTGGGATGCCGTATTCCACCTGTGGGGGGTGTTAGTTTTGGGTTGGTGAGGAGTGTGTGAGGGGAAGGAGGGAGGAAGACGTCATCCTTCTCAAAACAAGCTCCAAAGAAAGGACGCAAAACAGATGAAGCAAAACAAAAACTCACCTGTATCCCCTTGGGCAGCGCTTCGACGGCAAGAATCCGGGAGACGGTTTGTCTGTGTGCGTTTGCGTCAGTTCCATCGGTTTCGTAAGTTGAGAACGCGAGGAGGAAAGGAGAGGAGAGAATGAGATGGGGCGTAGTTGGTGTGCATAGATGAAACGGAAGGGAACGAAGGTAGGAATACAACCCAACCTATCTACCAAACCCAACCGAAACGAAACCGAAGACGAAGAAACCCACCTAAAATGCCGAGCATAACTAGCAGTCTGAAATCCTACAAGATCCGCGCCGAGCATCCCGCGCAGGAGGGGTTCGCGCACGCTGAGGCACCTGCAGAGTTCGGGTTAGTATTGTATTGAGTGGGGTTTAGAAGGTAGCGTGTGGCGGAGAGTGCTCGCATCCAGCACAAGCAGTATCCAAAGACTCAACACCCACCCCCAACAAACACGAAAGCAACCCACCTAAAGATCTCGCTACTCGGGAAAGCGACATGCATGAAGAACCCGATGGGAGCGCGTGCGAGAGCGGGTACGCGTGTGCTTTGGCGGAGGAGGAGGGGGAGGAGCATGAGGTGGTAGTCATTGATCCAGACTGTGGAATGGGCGTTGAGTGATGTCGAGCAAATAAGAGGAACATGTCAAACAAGCTCCGGAATGAAAGACGCACCGACATCACCCTCTTTCCACACACCCTCGATAGCCTCTGCAAATCGCTTGTTGACGGCGACGTACTGCTTGTAAGACGCACTCTCGAAGAAGAGTTTCGTTTTCGGCGCATCAGGGACTGCATAATGGAGACAAGGCCAGAGGACCTATGAAGTGTTAGTCTGGAAAACGCAAGGGAGGAAGGAGACGCACCTGATGACAAAACTCATCATAACAGCTCTCCAACTCTGCATCAGGAATCCAAACCGGCAAACTAGAATGCAAGTCCCTCATCTTTCGATCGACGGTGGCTTTGAGTTCTGGGGTAAAGGCGTCCGAGCTGCTACCGAGGGTCCCGACCCAGAGTTTGCTTGTCATACGATCCTTTACGCTCTCTACTGCGTTCTTGAGACCACCGTTGCAGTGGCTGTTTGGAGCAAAGTAGTAGGGATCGGAAGTTCCATTTGAATAGGAGCGGGTGAGCCTGGGTTTAGAGGATGATCTGCGTTGGATACGGGAAGCACGGGGTACGTCAGGGTTGAACTTTTCGAGGGACGCGTCGACGATTGAATTAAGAGGTGAGATGGAGCCCTTGCCTGTAGGGGTCGAAGCGAGAGATGCGAATTTAGAAAATGGATTAATGATTTCTGAGGGGGGTGTACTGATGGGAGTGATAGCACGAGACTATGATCATCAGAAAGAGTGTATAGGATGAAAAAGAAAGCTTACTTTTAAATCATCTACTATACTCTTGAGTGGTGTTGTCGCACTACCAATAGACCTTGATGATGCATGTTTAAATGCTGGTGGTCGACCACCTAAATCTTGTATATCTGGCGTTGGTGGATTACTTTCACCTAGAACTGCAGTAGTAGGCAAGAAAAGAGAAGCTATGATGACACGGTGATTTCTTAGTGAGCTCATGGTAGTCAATGATCAAGACTAATAGTCTACTCCAATCGATCTATCCTATTTTCTAAACGGCGTAATATACACTGCCAGCGAACGTGTAACAAACCGACTCTACCCGTCCTATTTGCCATTCGATGACGCTCTTCTATTTATGTTTCAAACGTGGAGTCACAGCTAATCTCATCTCATCCAAACGCCCATGCCAAAAACAGCACATCCAGTCCTGAAGGCCTGACCCATCGTGACCTTCTTCGATTGACCTGATCATAGAGCTATTTGACCAGAACAAATCACAATGTTGGTGAACCTTGCTCGTCAGTCTTGACTCTACATGTTGCCATTAGACTCGTTGGCGGAATACCCCTCTTTACAGATCATCACAGACCTCCATCAATGGACTCCATTACCCGCCTACCACGCGTTAAGGACCATATTTTGAGGTAGGAGATAGAGCGGTCCTCGGCAATCGCAGGTCCGTGCAGGGAGTCCAAGCTCCAAGCGGGGTCCAAAAACTGATTCAGTGCCAAACCAAAGACATTCTGTGGACTCCATCATCGCTCTTGCCTGCCTAATCGAACGCGCTCCTTCCACTCGCGAGTGCTTCAAAACCCATCATCTCGTGAGTTCACCGTTCGTGTTTTATTCTTCCACTGAGCTAATGACGAACGGGACAGATTAAGACGGAGCGGTTCCTCCGTGCAGCGTTCAGTCATGGGGAGGTAGCTGGGGAGATGAGGTTGCGCGTTGAATTGTCCCCAAGCCATGGATTGTTGTGTCAAAAAATCGATACTCCGTAGTCGAACCATGTACTTTTAAATTCGAGAGAATACGAATAAAATGGCCGAACCTCTCGCGTCACAATCATAATCAACCGGGCAAAATGATAATGGTAGGAGGACAATGAGGTTACATATGTCATGCATCCAAATCTATACCATGTTTTGAGACGTCCTCACGAGATGGCTCAGTGCAGACCAAGAGCCTGCCTGCTTCTGGGGAGGCCTAGCTATGATGATGAGCTGCTCTACGACAGCCCTATGCTGTTGACTAAACTACGCAAACCATGGCAAACTGCCTCTCCGCCCCCTCGCCGAAGGGTGCCCCACTCCAATGCAAAAATGTTCACGAGTCGAGTGACACGAGTGTCGTTCATCAATACTACAGAATACCCGGGGGTAGTTGTCAAATAGTATTGAAGAGTCTGGTCGAGGCAGCACGAAACTTTGCACATAAGTAAGCATACTTACTATCGACCAACTCCGCAAAAAACTGCACATCGTACGATCAACCACTGTACCAGTGCGAAAGCAGAAACATGACTCACTAAATTTTCAGCTCGTGGGCAGATGGTTACTGGCAGTGGTAAATTGGGTGGAATTCCTATTAGTAAAAGGTGCAAAGGGCGAGTCTAGGGGTTGAATAATGGATGCAAAGCGAACGACTCGTACTCACAGTCGACACACATTGAAGACCTTTGCAGCATTTTTTGCCGTTCGCTTCCCCACAAAAGGCAGTTTTAGTCTGGCATGCACTGACAGACATAGATGCCGTCAAAGCAGTAATGACAGCGAGGGGGAATGAGAAACGCATGGCTTGTGCTAGGTGATGTGAGATGGGGATCTCGAATAATAGCTCTGATACTGCCAGTAGGAAGACGGTTTGCATTTATGTCCTAGGTTTTTGATTTCGCCAAGTACTCGGCAGTTCTATCAGGATGGTCGAGCCCGGCAGAATTCAGGCAGAGAGTACAGGCAGAACCTGTCACAGGGCCGGTAAACAAACAATCTAGAAGATATGAACTGCAAACGCATGAACCTTTTTCACCTTGTAGGCAATGTCAAAAATACCGTTCATGTGTTAATGGTGGTTGAATGTGCATATGCGCAGAAGGCAAAGGTTAAATATGAGATCTAAGTTCTAACGCTTTCGTGGCATACCAGTCCAGGAAAGTCCTAGCGACGGAGAAGAGGTCACCGGACGTATAGGAAATGTGGGCCCTCCGTGGCAACTTTATGGAAAAATCCATCTGCCTCGGACTTATACAAAGAGGCACTCGACTCACGCTTTGTCAATGGATATGCCCTTAGAGCTAGAGAGTGCACCTTGTAGGCAATGCCAAAAATACTGTCCACGTGTCGATGTCGATTGAATGCGCATATGTGCAGAAGTCAAAGGTGGAATCTGAGACCTAGCGCTTTCGTGGTGTACTACTAGTTCAAGAAAGTCAAGGTCACCGAACGTTTTAAGAAGCATAGAAAGCAATATTATGGAAATTCCATCTGCCTCGGACCTATACACAGATGCCAAGAGGCACTACAGTTGCCATTTGTCAATGGACATACCCTTAGAGGGCATCAACATTTTCACGAACTACGACCACGGATGAATCTGACCATTTGGCACAGGGTCGAGCCACAGCAGATAATAAATAGAGATTGAAAAAAAAAACACCGTCGGCAGTGGGGGGGGGGGGAGCAGTGTCATCTTGAGCAATGAGGTAGTACACAAAAAAAATCCTCCAACAGCACCCCATATCAAAACACACCTAAATGCTTCGCACGGCTCGCAGTCTGGAGCCCCACAAGGTCGGCGCCGCACGGCAGATGTTCTCGCACACTGAGATATCTGTAAGAATCACGAATGCTCTGTGAAATCGTTATGAAATTGAACTAAAGGCGACTCGTAACTTACCTCAATCGAAACCCATCATCAGCAAAACCCTAAGTTAAGGTCCCCCCATATACAGCACTGTACATGGGGGGACTTCGCTACACATAGGGTTAGGGTTTTGCTGATGATCCAAAACACGCTGGTAAGCATGCGGCTGCCACGATAACAGAAGTGCAGCAGTAGAACACTACGAATCGGCCGATCATCGAGACCGGGTACTGAAGGATGAGATCGCTTGAGCTATGCTAGGTGTCGAACAGTGGGGCTTGTTGGAATCCGAGACCACCGAAGAGCAGGCACAGGATGACGAGTAGAAGGTCCGAGCGCAGAGGCACGGACCAGGAACGAAGGATGAGTGACGTTGGCCCCGAACCTAGTGATAATCTTTGTTTCATTCTAATATTCCAGATAAGAGAATAACCTACAGTATAAAGTTTAGTGTACTGTCACGAATTCCCAACACGAATCATTTTTCATTTCTCGGTTTTCCTTCGGCTACATCCCATACCCGAACCGGTCACGTAACACCACTACCCTTCACATTATCACAGCATCACCATGTCACCCCTTCACCCCTTCACATTTCACCAATCACATCTCCGATCAGATCCCCTATGCCCAGGGCTAGAACCATATGTCTTCCTATCACTTAATCTCCGTCTCTGACATCATTGCTTATATATCACGACGTCATACTACATCATGCACAGTATCGTACAATTCTTTCTCATTGGCTGATTATTTACAGACTCAGATATCTCCGACTCAATGTTATGTATATAGGTAGGGTAGTTAGCGTAGTTTCTCTTTAGACTTAACCTCTTTGTTCCTACCCAGTGTAGACTCAGACGTTTACCTCTCAATCTATCTGATTCTCTCATCCTTGACGAGTCCTAGTGGTTGTGTGATACCTTTTGCCATTAGGTGAAACATTGATCATAACATTAGGTTAAGTCTATCTTACCACTCCGACTCAAACTTTGTCTTGGACGCCTTGTCCTCGATAAACTTCACCCGTGCTATTCTGCTGAGAGTACTCTCGCGGATTACATTTTTCAAATCATCTTTCCCAGACGCGCACTATACCATTTTCTTTTACGTTAGTCTTTTGTAGAAGTAGACCAGGCCCTTGCCCTACGCGAGCCACCAGTCTATAAGGAGCAGTGACACTTAGGTCCTGTTTCCGCACACCTGCAGTTAGGTCCAAAACCCTACCGACTGCACACTACCTACTTTTCTTTCGTACTATAAAGAACGGCACTCGTGGGTCTTACAACCCTAGTTACATTACCTTAGGAGGTTGTGGGTATTAAGAAGACCCAAACTTCACCGCGTCACTCCCGAACTCCTCTCGAGTTCTACTTAGGTTGACGAACCGCTACACGCACTGTATTCGCACCTATAGTCATCATAGCTCCCCCTTGGAGATCCCGTCTCGTCAGAGACCGTGCCTTACAAATCCACGACAACGATACCTGTCGGGAAAACAACTGTCCCTTCCTTCATGTCCGAGCAAGAGTGGAGAACAATCCAATCCCCCGCCCCGCACCACGCACCAATTCAAGGATGGCAGACACAAGGAGCAGGGCCATTGGTATCTGCAGAAAGCTCCACACCGACCCCGTCGAGGCCAGGCTCTGTGGTAGCGGAAGGCATCTTAGGCCCAGAGGGGACTACCATCACCCACCAGAGCATTTCGGACGCAATATTCCACATAACCGCCCAAGAAAGAGAGCTCAACCAAAACCGGTACAACAAGATGAAAGACCATCTCACACTCTTAGCCGAGAACCTGAACAGGGTAGAGACAGAGAAGAACGAGCTAGCAGAGAGGCTGAGGGCAGCAGAGCAAACAATCACGGCTTTGCAAGCCTTTCGTACGACAACGCCAACAACACAGGCATTTACCTCTGGAGTTTCGAGCTCTGATCTCAAGATGGCCAAACCTACAGAGTTCATGGGAGACAAGAACTCCATCGACATTGACACATTCCTCTCTCAACTCGACCTCTACCTCACCTCCTATCCCACCGCCTCTGAGCTCCAGAAGAGTTCCTGTCTTATTTCTTTCTGCAAGGGCTCTGCAGCGAAATGGGGAGAAAGCGTATCCAAGACTTCCTTAAGTGGACGACTCGGGTCGTATGACCAGTTGAAGAACGACATGCAAGCCATGTGGGGCGTCATCAACAAGGAAGAGAAGATTGCTAGGGAGATAGATCATCTCCAGCAAGGAAACCGCAGCATCGTGGAATTCGTCTCTCTCTTCAGACAGAAGATCGCCCACTGTCGCTTCTCAGACTACGAACTCATACACAAATTCTGTCTCGCATTATCCCAATGGATCAGGGATCAGTTGGCTCATGTAAACCCTAGGGACAAGAGCACCCTAGAAGGAATGATTTCGCATGCTCTTATCATCGGAA